CCCTTTCTTTGAATAAATTTTAGCATACTCTAATCAAGCGAGCGGCAGCTAAAGATCCTATTTGGAAAGCAGCTGTCAGATATCAACAGCGCCTTTACATCCCAAATGACAACTCCAGCAATCTGAGCTTTGTCTTGAACACTTTTTCTCATCCATTTTTGACCAGGTTCCCTGATGCAGCAAAGTGATTACGACAGTCATAGTAAGCATAGAAATCGTAGTACCCGTAGTAGCCATGGCAATCATACACCACAGCGTCAGCGGTTGCATTTTCCTCCATCACTTATGCTGTAGTGATAACTCTACGAGAAAGATAGCTAGATCGATGGGGAAATTATGCAAAGGCTCTTAGATCTCAGGCCTTTGTGATCAGTGCAATAGACTTACAAAAAAAACATTTCCAAACATCATAAAAATATTGACAGTTATGCCGAAATTACAAATATGCCATTTGTGTACTCAAAAAAATATTTTCTGAAAAACAATAAAAAAAATTATTTTAAAATTAAAACCATTACTCTAAAATAAATCAAAAACATTTTCTGCAATGACAAGAAATAAAAAAAGTAGAAAATTTGTAGTTTTTCTGCTTAAAATTAATAAAAAAAGCCTGTTTTTTCAATTTTTATTATGTAAATACGAATACATGAAGTATTGAAATTATTACACGAGAGCGAAGTGGTCTTTGTTGTTATCTTTCTTTTATTGGTTAAATTCGAACTTGTACTAAAAATATATATAAAATAAAATAAAACCAAACTATGTATCTTTATCTTCTTTGGTGAGAAATATTTAATTGAAGAAAGACACGGGAAGAGGGGGGCGGGAACAACAAAGATCACTTCGCTCTCGTGTAATAATTTCAATACTTCATGTATTCGTATTTACATAATATTACACTTCGAGTCTTGTGGTCTTTGTTGTGCATTCAGAGTTAAAATCTTGGTAAAATCCGTAGACGTAGTAACCGAAATGCGGTAAAACTGTTCAAAGAGTTCCTTGGAGGACCAATTACCATGGACAACAATATCATCGACAGCGATACCAGATTGAGCAGCCAGTGTGGATCCTAATGCTCGAGCTTTAGGAATGGGAGTACCCATAGGTCTTGTAACAAATTGCATGATTGATTGAACATGCTTAGAAATACGCTCATGGCCCATAGCAATAGAGTGATTCTTGATTTTTCGAAAAAAGGCGTTGATGAGGATTTCTGGAAAAATTGGATGAGGTGTAGATGCCACCGAGTAAGCCACCCTAAGTAAATATGACTTGTATGCTTGTACTGGACATAAGAGAGGATTGTCGTGTGGATGAATTGTAATTGCTTTGGTGATGCGAGAACCAGCGCGTTTCTCCTTTGGTGCCACGACTACCAGTTTGAGAATATTATTGTCGGAAACGGAGCACTGATTGAGATCGATGCGTTCAACATCCGAAGGACGAAGAAAGCCAACCATAGAAAGCAGCCATGCGGTCTTAGCGGTAAGAAGGTCAATAGGCATTTTGTCATTAGTACCCAAGGACAGCAAGTGTGTGATTGCAGGCGTTATGTCATAGTCCCAAGATTTGAGAGGTAAAACGTTGATTGCTTTGAGGCTCTTGTAGAATTGTTGAAATTCGTCGGTTTGACGAATAGTTTGCTGATCAGTAGTTGAGTACAGTTGAAGAATCAAAGATGTGTAGGTGAGTGTAGTCGAGACCTTCCATTTCTTAATGGCCTTTTGTTCAGCAAGGAAATTCAGGATAGGAAACACTGAAGGTGTTTGAGTATCAATATCATGCTCATGACACCAGTCTATATATGAGTTTTGTATGTAAGCGTAATGTCTTGAAGAGTTTACTATCGCATAGGCCGACTCGGAAAGGCGGAGGCGCTTTAAACCATGTTCCATGCTAGTGGAGTCCATTCCTTGTTCTTCTTCAAGATGAGTGGCTCTTGATCGCTTGTGTCCTGCGTCGGAACCTGAAGGAGTCTCGGTGGGCAGGCTGCTAGTTGTAATGCTAGAAGATACCAGGGTGCCGTTGGCCAGTTCGGCGTGATAAGTGTGGCAGGACGTCGGTGTTGAAGGAGAGTTTTCAACGTTGGTAAGATAAGGTTCCATGGTGGGGCTAGATACAGGCGACCTGGAAGATGATGCCACAGCCGACTGAAGGCATTTGTCCACAGAGCTTGAGATTGGTAGTTCCATGATACGAAGTGTGGGAGATGGTGACGCTTCGCTGAGACAAAGAGATCGATATGGTGGGGGCCCCATATTTGATTGAGATAATTGAATGTTTTCGCCGGAATTGACCATTCTGTTTGAGATTGAAGAGATCGTGACGGAGCATCTGCTGGATTCATCTTGGATGGGACGTATAACGTCGACAGCTGTATATGATTCTGGAAGCAATAGGTCCAAATGTCGAGAGCTATTTGATTCAATTTTTCTGATTTTGTGCCGCCAAAATGTTTGATATAAGCAATGGCTGAGGTATTGTCGATGCATAATTGAAGATGGTGATGAGTTGGAACAGGAATAAATTGGAATATTTTCTGGAAGACTAGCAGTTCCTTCTGATTGATGTGCAAGGACTGTTCCTCCGCAGACCATGCTCCCTGAATCGATTTGTGACCCCAAACAATACCATAACCTTGGTCTGACGCATCCGTGAAAACTTGAGTGATAAGTAGCGTGGAAAGAAGGTGGCGTCCATTCCATTTGGTCAACTCGGTTGTCCACCACAAAAGTTCCTTCTGCATTTGGGCGTTGATCTCGGAGAACGGCTGATTACGTGTTTTGTTCAATTGGGCCAACAGATGACGAGTCAGAAATCGAGCTTGAACATTCCCCAAGTGAGTATCCATGGCTGTGCCAATGAACCAGGCTAAGCTGATTCAGCAGGCCTTCGTTTGCTTCAGTAAAGAATAAGCCATGCGTCGAAGTGTCTAGTTTAGTTTTATTTTATATATATTTTAAGTAGTACAAGTTCGAATTTAACCAATAAAAGAAAGATAACAACAAAAAGCACAAGGCTCGAAGTGTAATAACAGGTATGCCGAAATTACAAGTATGCCATTTGCGTACTCAAAAAATATTTTTTGAAAATAATAAAAACTGCTTTTTTAAGACGAAACCTACTGTTTTAAGACAAATCATTCTGCAATGACAAAAAAATAAAATAAAATAAAAAGAAAATTTCTGTTTCTTTTGTTTAAAATTAGAAAAAAAGCTTGTTTTTCGATTTTTCTGTTTCAAAATAAAAAACGAATCTACTAGGCAGTAATCTCTTCTCTAAGCTAAAACACTGGAATTATTATTTGGTAGACTCATTTATTTATTTAAAACAGAAAAATTGAAAAACAGGCTTTTTTTATTAATTTAAAACAGAAATATTAGAGATATTCTTCTTTTTTGTTTTTTTTTTATTACAAAAAACATTTCTGTTCTATTTTAGAGTAGTGTTTTTTTTTTTTTTTTTTTTTTTTTTTTTTTTTTTTTTTTTTTTGAGTAGACAATTGGCATACTTGCAAGTCGGCATAAATGCTGTCAGAATTTAAATAGTTTTTGTGAATCCATTACATTCATAAGTTCCTGACATGTACGGTTATTACTGTGATTCTTTTATGGCTCTAGCTTTACTTTTTGTATGAATATCACAAATTCTAGTAGTCTCATGATTCTATATATTTTTGATCTGTGCTGGCTTTGGCCATACACACCTCATTGTTGACGAGTCGCACAAATAGTCCCAATTCATGAGAAAGGCAACCCGACTGATCCGGTCAATTACTATCTAATTAGTCCGACTATTACTTTCAAAAGAAAAAAAAAAGAAAAGCGCTCAAAAAATGCATCAAGAAACTTCTTCAAAGCCAAGCATTGTCATTAGACACTACTGAAGGTAGTTTTGGAGAATGCAAAAGTGTATTTGACCAGCCTCTTTGACTTTCAGAGATTTGTAGATCGCTTCTTTACAGAAATGTTCAAGACTGTCCGCTATGTAGTCTATTGGGGTACCAATTGGACCTCTATACATTCGCTTTTATCCCGAATCACCTCTATGTAACATGCAATCATAAACAGTCATAAACAATCACAAACAATCTATTCCTTCCAACATCCAATCAATCCCACTGCAACGTAAGCGATGGAAGAATTATGCGCTCAGAAATGAAAGAAATTTTTTACCTACGGAAGAAAAATGCAATCACTTACGCTGTGGTGCAAATGTTTTTTTTTTAATGATTTTATTTGCCGCACGTATTAGTGGTCTCGAGAGGGACCCACTAAAAGAGGTGCTCGACAATTATTTATTATAAGAGGATTAAAAGAAACAAAAAGGGTACTACAATTTCAAAAAACAAAGAAATCAAGAAAAAAAAAAGGGCAGCTACTGCGAGAAAAGACCTCTCAAGATGAAAGGTCATTTTCAGCAGCTATACGCATAATTTGATAGCGAGTGCTATGGAGGGTGCAGATGTTTCCATTTCTTCTCTGGCTACAAACCCATTCTCAAACACACCATTAGATCAACACTCTCATCTCTATTCCTTTTTGGCTCTTGTTCTCTTAAAATATTTTTAGCTTAGTATAGCCATTCGTTCTTGTGAATTGATCGAGTCCGAACAGTCAAAAACTACATTAGATTATATATTCAAAAGGACCTTTTCTATAGAATTAATAAAGTAACAAAATTAACACCAATGCGCAAGTATGCTATTTGTGACAACAGAAAAAAAATACACTCTCATCATGACGTAAACGATTGCGTTTTTCTTCCATCAATGAAAGACATTTTCCATGTCAGAGCGCAAAATTCTTCCATTTTTTATGGAGGATTTCTGCATTCACTAGAAGATTTCTTCCATCGTTTGCGCCTTTGTCTTTAACTTTAAAGAAATAGATTGAATTAAGAAAAAAAGATAATTAAGGGTTACTACCCCTCAAGAGAGTTATTTTGTATACATATTTCTGATATTATAACCACTATATGAATTTATAGAACCCAATTTATAAATTCATATAGAATAGATTTGTATCAGCTTTATGATGTCAGATAATTTTTCTATAATTCTAGAAGATTTTTGGCCACTGTGCGCATTCTAATGAATGAACTTTGTCCTCATTTGTATCACAAGGAAAAGAGTCGCCTTATGAGCCCAATAATTAAAAAAAAAATATAGTCTTTTATTGGTTTTCTATAAATTCTGTATTGCAAACATAATATTTTCTTTTTGCATTGGGCTCATCAACAGACATTATACCAAAGTCATAACCGATTTGCTTATCTTCAGGCAAAATCTTTTTAACAAGTTCTTTTAGCTTTTCCAACTGATCTTTGTTTGTCAAAGCACTAATAAAAACGAATGAGTTATTTGAATCAACAGGACACTATCCTTACGCTTCTGGGCTTACGCTTGAAAACAATTGCTCCTAGTATTCAAAGTTAAATATGTGTGCTGCTTATATACCATTACTTACAGCAGCGTCTTCTGTTGCAATCAAATGTAAGCGTTTTTTATCATCATCAAGATTGATTACCAACCGATAAATAGCCCTTGTTTTCTTATGGCATTCTTCACATAGGCCAAGTGGTTCTTTTACACTGTACAATAACACCAGTAAATCAAGGGGCTAATAATACGTGAAATGACTTACGTGATTTGACAATCTTGACAATAACTTTGAATCCATTCTTCAACGTTTTTTGGATATAGCTTCGTAATGGCTGCCCTAGTCAAATGAATTCCTGGCTCTTGAGCATCCAAAATCTCTTGAATACTTTCAAAACGATCAAGACCATAGACACCTATAACATACATGGTTTATGATGACTGCCTTGTACGTGATATCACTTACGTGTTCGAAATGGATCATTGAATCCCAAGTCCATGGATTCCACTGATGCACTTCTTTGTCTTGTATTATCTTCTAAGTGTACATAATTTGCCTTTCTTTCCAACAAGTCCCTTAATGCTAGATCTTCTTCTTTCATTAATGTCACTCGGGACTTGCCCTGAAATTTTTTCTCTTTGTCTCCTCGAAGTGAGATTTCCAGCACGCTTGTGTTCTTTTCATTTCGAGTGCAGTTTCTTAAAAAGACATAATCACCTAACTTAAGCTCAGGACAATGAGTTGCATTTTCATCCCATAAAGTGCATTGAAGAAGTCGATTGGTTTCAATACCAAACATCGAATTGTCTCTGTCTCTAAGATAAGGTAAGGTATTCACAGTATAATCTGTCAATAGCAGATTTGCTTTGGACATCCTTGTGTTTTCTTCTGGTATACAGTAGACCACCATGCCCACATAATCAAAGAACCTGACATGGCTGTCTACAATCTGTTCTGTTGTCAATATCGGTCTACCGAACCCCACGCTGGCTGGAGAGGGCGGCTTTGCAGCATGAATTTTTTGATGCCACCGTTGCAAGCGTGACACAATACTGGCTTCCCGCAAACTGAATTTGATCTTGATGTCTTTGGAGAGCTTTGATTTTTTGGTGTGGCTATCAATGCAGACGAATGACAATGTATGTGTGCTTTTGATTTGAGGTTTATTTTGAAATTTGTCCATTCTCATATGGCGCATGAAAATAATGTCGCCTGTTTGTGCCCTGGGCAAAGCGTCTTGTTCGGGATAAAAGAACATGACAGTATATGGATTGGCATGGGTGCTAGGATCCATCACGGTCATCTTGAGACTAAAGTCTGTTATTGTAAACACTTAAGAGAACCAGGCGATGCTTACTTTTGCCAATCCTTGAGCGCTTGACTGGATCTACTTGTGCAATCACACCAAAGACATCAGCCGTTGTTTTGTATTCAAATTCTTTTAAAGTAATATAGTGATTTGCCTATACAAAAGGGACACACTTTAATGCATGGTACAATACAGTCTTTATTTACTTTAAGAAAATGCTCGTATTCTTTTGCTGCTGCTTCTGTCATGGAAAACAAAATGAAATAAAAAAAAGAGGAGAGGGTTTAAAGTACAGCTTACAATTTGGCTTTTTGCTTGCTGTTCTTGTACATTTCACGAAGATCTTTTCTCAAGATCTTGCCAGACACATTTTTGGGAACAAGATCAATAAATTCAATGCCACCTCTTAACTTCTTATAATAAACAACACGCTCATTCACAAAGGCATGAATGGCTTGCTTGATCGTTGCTTTATCTTGTGTCTTATAGGCTTCATTTAAGGTGATGTATGCCAAAGGAACTTCTGTCATGTTCTTTTCATCGTAAATACCAATGACAGCAGCATCAGCTACCAAAGGACATTTAAGCAAGACATCTTCTAGTTCAGCAGGGGCAATTTGAAACGCATTATATTTGATTAATTCCTTGGAACGATCTACAATGTACCAGTTGCCTAATTTATCTACATAGCCAATATCACCTGTGTGAAGATAGCCTTCGCTGTCGATTGATTCAGCAGTGGCTTCTGGGTTATCAATATAACCGAGCATGACAATGGGCCCCTTGATACAAATCTCGCCCGTAGAACCTATAGGCAAAGCTATACAAGATTCAGTTTAGATATACATCGACTTGTCTGTTTACCTTGTCCATCTTCATCTATTACTTTAGTATCAATACCACCAATCATATGTCCTACAGACCCAGGTGCATAGTTTTCAATGGTTTGAATAGCTAAAATAGAAGCCGTTTCAGTCATACCATAGCCCTAACATAGAATGAAGTATTGAGTTCAAGTCGTTCTGTGATGTATGTGTGTGTGTGTGTGTGTGTGACTTACACCCAAGACAGGTATATTGAATTTCTTTTGAAAGTTCTGAGCCAATGAAAGAGATACAGGTGCAGCACCCACATGCACTGCTTCTACACTTGAATACTTGTACTTGTCAGCAATACTAGGGTTATTCAACATATGCAATAACATAGGAGGAACAACGTAAAGCGAAGATACTTGATGCTTGTCAATCATGTGACACATATGCTCTACATCATATTTGGCTACGACAATAGTAGTTCGTCCATCATAAATGGCCATATGAATAAACCGAAAGATACCCATGATATGAAAGAAAGGCACAATGGCAAGTAAAGCACCTGTGTTATTATAGGTGGAACTCTTTTTCAATGTGTTGTCAAGTTCAATGGTATTAGCAATAAAGTTTTGATGGCTTATTTGTCTGTCAGTAAACACTAAACTAGCAGTGGCAATTTACCTAATTTGAACTCCTTTAGGAGGACCTGTTGTACCACTTGAGAAACAAATATAAGTCAAGGTATCCCTGCTCTCTTGAGCTGTCAGTGGTATAGGATCTGCTTCTTCTTTTTCTTGAGTACACAACTTATCTTTCCAATAAGCGGCTCGATGTTGATCATCAGGAAGAATGGACCACACATGAGCATGAGGAATACCCACTGCTGTAGCAGCCAAAAGTGCTACCTTCAAACTGATTGGATGAGCCAAAATAAACTTTGCCTTTGACAGTCTTAATTGCTTTTCATAGTCTTGAACACTAAGAATAGGATTGGAGGGACTCACATGGGCACCTAGATTTTTGGGTTAGATGTAATGCCTCATACGATGGTTCCTACCCGCTGCATGTGTACTTAACATAAAGGCAGGTACATGAATCTACACCATATAAGCATTAGATGATAAGTAACAACGACTTACATGGTTGGGACTAAATACAGAGACACAATCCCCTTTTTTTAAACCAAATTTGATCAGACCTGCTGTTATTTGTCTGATGAGGATTTTGAATTCACCAAACGTGATTGTCTCGTCTGTTGCTGAATCAATATACATGGGTTTATGTTCAGGTATATGACGAGGATTGCTCAAGACAGCATCCACTAAATTGGTATATTCGTATGTGTTCTCTTTAAACATGACTAAGAAAAAAAGAAAGGGAGAAAGAAAGTACAAAATCAAAGACAGATATGTGCTTTATAAATGACATGTCGGTAAAATACTATTTCCGGAAATGAAGTGGCACTTGATGACAAGTGTATCTTATTTAAACATAAGCATGGACAAACAGCTTCTTGTTGGGCCATTACTGTAGTTGACTTTTGTACTACTACTATACCTGTACCTGATTTTAATGACCTATTCATACACACACAAAAAAATAGTCACACAAAAATGTAAGCCCTGGTGTGTGCCGAAAGACCCGGTTAGAGAAAAAGGCATTTTTTTTTCTTCTTGATCTCTATCTTACAATGTCCATGTCACCTTCAAAACAAGTAGCGATACAAGCTTATCGTCACTTGCTTAAAACCCAACGAGAAGTTTTTGCCAGTAAGCAAAATGATGGAATAGAATATGGATAACTGACATTATTGTTTAGATGATCATAGAGCCATTCTTGGTAAGTGTTTGATAGTCAATACATGTTGTTATTGACTCAATACGCGATAGCTGCCAAAAAGGAAACCTATGCTCGATTTATGCAATCCAAAGATGAAACAAACACAGATATCCTTGAAGAAGTAAGTGTTGGATAGAAATCATCAAACTTAACACTAGAATAGAAATTCAATTTAGCTAGACAAGTGGCAACACTATTGAGAAGAAATGTAATTCAGGGTGTACCCAAAGATGAAAACACATACAGTAAGGCCACTTTTTATACACACACACAAAATAGACTAATCCATGGTAGAATTGAGAATCACAAAAGATACAGAATTAGGTGACAATGATTCCATCAAAAAAGCAAAGAACATATATCGTAAAAAAGGAAAAAAGCATCAACATACAGGAGGATGTTGTGGTGGAAATCATTAAATATCAATAAACCAATGTCATTTATGCAATGCGTTGTCAAGGACAACAGTTTGCTAGGTAACAACACATGAATGTCATTTTTGATTGGCTGGCTGAGATACAAACACCCTAAAAAAGACGTTGTTGTTGTTATGGTCTCCTTTTTTTTTTCTCTCTTTATTTTATTTTTTATTTTTCTTTACATGGATAACAGCCAGCAAAAAGATGTACCAGACTGGTCTTTAAGACTTACAGAACAACTTTTATCGCCTCACCAAATTCCACCTAGTGTGACTCAACCTACACATAACAGACTCTCAGAGACATCTTCAAAGGCAACCACACTTCGTAATTCTACTTATTTTACTAAAAAGACAGATCCTCCTATTCAACACCAAGATGAAGAATCGAATGTATGGTGGGTCACCAAAAATGATCAAGATGGATTCTATAGTGTAGGTGGACTTTTATTTTTATTTGGATTTCTTTGCCCGCCTCTGTGGTGGATTGGATCCTTTTGGCCCAGACATGTCAGGGAAAAAGGTGGTAAAATGGCAGATCGATGGCAAAAGTTAAATAGAATCATGTCACTTGGATTTAGTTCGATTCTTTTGATTCTAATCATTGTATTTGTTGTGTTATATGCAACTCATAGTCTTTAACTAGATACCCTTTTTTTCGATTTGTTTTATTCTTTATAAATGACATTGTTTATATTACCACCTAACAAAAAAAAATGAACTATATATATATATATATATAACATAAGAGACACTTACGCCAATCAGTACGATGAGGAAGATCCTTGGCATATTTCCATTCACCGTCCACAATGAATTTGTATTCAACATCTTTAGTTAAATTCATTGGAATAGAGACACTGTAACAATGTGCATCTTCAGCATCTGGTATCATATCAACAGATCCTATTATGTCATGTGAGAGATGCAGTTAAAAAATAGTAATTTTTTACCTGACCAATTATCGAATTCGCCTGTTACTTGGACTTTTTTACCTCCATGGTTCCAGCGAATCTACAAAAGATAGGATAAGCACAAGATGAAGATAAGAGCAGACTTTACCAAAACCTCGGTTGTCTTTTTGGTAGATGCGTTAGAAGGGTATTTGTTAGAAGATTGAATAATTTCTGATAAAGCTGGTGTAGAATTGTCTGAATCAGTGGAAGATGTAAGACTACTTGAAGATAAAATCCTAGGTAGCGCTGCTTGTTGTTGTTGTTGTTGCTGTTGTTCAAACTCTTGTTCTGTACAACAAGGTGGAGGATGTGTTTCATCTTTAGCTACTGTACTCTTTTGCTTGATTTTTTTAGCAGCACCAATAGCAAATAAGAGAGACATCCAAGTTGAAGGTTTTTCTTGGTTGATAGTATCTACCATGATGCCTTCATCATCATCATTACTGCTGCTACTATTGTTATTATTATTATTATTATTTGTGGTGGGAGACAAGGGCAAAGCAAGCCAATCACGCATAATAAATCTCAAGATTTGTAGAATAAAAAAACGAAAAGAAAACGAAAGAAAAGAAGAAGTGGTCCACATCTTTTTTTAATTTGTTGTGTATGTATACAAAAATAAATAAATCAGACGGTTCCCGCAAAAAGAGGAAAAAAAAAGAAAAAGAAAAAAAATGACTTTGCTGTTGTTGTTTTTTATATGTTCTTTTCTACATATTTATTTACGTTCTTTAAAAAAGCAACGTATATTCACACACAGTCTTTTGTTTGATTAAGTTTAATTTGACCTAAAGAGGCTATTCCTTGACACCTTTTTTTTTTTGTTATGTACGTATTTCCACGTAATGCGAGCAAAGAACTTTCTAATTCTAGAAAATAATAAACCCCGCAAAAAAAGATATAATAAGCCTGCCACTTTTTGCTTTTGTTCTTCATGCTTCGTTTATTTGTTCCTCAAAAGAGAGTTATGTCTACTTTGGCATTCAAGTCTATCACTAGTCCCCAACTCAAAGAATGGTTAGCACAACAAGATCAGCAAGTTCACTCTGACTTGGTCTTGGTTGACGTTCGAGAGAGACATGAAATTGAAAAACATGGTAAAATTAAAGGTGCCATCAATGTTCCCTTTCAATTAGACCCTGACATGTTCTCGGCTGGTTTGTCTGATTTCAATCAACAGCATAAGGTAAGAAGTGAAATTATGCTCAAAAAACAAAAAAAAACTTAAATATGTTAGATTGTATTTCAATGCATGTCTGGACGTAGAAGTGATGAAGCAGCCAGAATTGCTATATCCCTTGGATTTAAAGATGTCTATAGTCTTCAAGGAGGGCTAAAAGAATGGAAGGGTCCTATTCAGCCTTTTATGAACAACCATTCACCTTGGGTTCATACCTTCTTTGAACCAGAAACAGAAACAGCACAATATGTAGTCACTGATCTAAGTAAAGAATCATACGACTTTGATGATTGCTGATGTTTTTCCTTTAGAAACAAGAGAAGCATATATTATTGATCCTGTATTGAATTATGACCCGTTCTCATCCACTGTGTCTCCGTTGACGGCAAAACATTTAATCGAGTTTATTGAGAAACATGAACTCCAGGTTTCAAAGATCATTGACACTCATGTTCACGCTGTAAAGTTCATACACTTCATCAAATCAAACTCACTCATACTGACTCATAGGACCATTTGACGGCTGCTCTTTATTTAAAAGATCAATTGCCTACCAAGGTAGGTCCTGCTCATATCAACTTTACTTTCTGAACTTATATAACACTTAGCCTGAATATTGGATTGGTCAACATGTTACTCAAGTACAAGATGTATTCAGCCAGACATATAACATAAGCCATCAAGAGCTCAATGCAGCAGAACAGTTTGATAAACTGGTGACTGAACTAACCCAATGGACCCTGGGAAAAGATATTCAATGTAGCGTACTGGCTACTCCTGGTCATACGCCTGCTTGTATGTCGTACCGTATAGGAGATGCTGCTTTTGTAGGGGATTCTCTCTTTATGGTAAAGGTCATCCTGTGGTTATAGACTCACTAAATCTTGATTAGCCTGATATTGGTACTGCTCGCTGTGATTTCCCCGGTGGAAGTGCTGAACAGATGTATGCCAGTATTCATAAAATGTATCAACAATGGCCTGATGATACAAGAATCTATGTGGGTCATGACTATCCACCTACGGATCGTCCTGTAAGTTATCGTGTGCTTTTTGTTTGAGTTCTAACTTGCACAGTATCAAGTCATGGCATCACTTGAGAAGCACAAGAAATTCAATAAGATGATCAGCCAAAGTGTTTCATCACAAGATTATGTAAACATGCGTAAAGAAAAAGATGCTAAGCTAAGACCACCTCGATTCATTCACCCTTCTATTCAGGTAAGATAACTTATACACATACATAAACTGATCTTATGGCAAGACCAACTTAAGAGGAGGCCATTTGCCTTCACCTGAAGTATCAATGCATGATAAGCAGAAAATACAACAATTCTTTAAGATTCCAGTCAGATTTAAAGCTTAATTTTCTTTTCTTTTCTCTCTCTCTTTTTTTTTTTTTTATTTAACCTTAGCTATACTATGAACCATTTCCTATAAAGAATAGTGAGTCATAAATAAAACAGATATTGATAACTCTTACCTCTTTGGAGATCAAATGACATGTCTTTTCAATCAAATTCAACAAGGAATTGATATCATTAGACCAGTTATTCAATATTTCATTGGCATCCTTCTTTGGTTGGAAATTGATAATGCCAGCAGAACGATCAATACGAGCATAAATGGTCTTTGAGACAACTAACTTGGATAAGAACTCTTCTGTATCTTTTTCATTCAAATCCAAGAGTTGAACAAGTCGCTTTGTAGTGACGCGTGTATAGTACTTTGCAATCACACGAATATTGTGTTCAACCACACGGTGATGAAGTTCTTTTAATCTCTTTTGTCCTTCTTCTTTGTGCGTATTGAAAGCATCTGTTTGACTCAGTAATTGTCCATACGATTGCTCCATGTGTGACCAACGCATCAATTCAGTTGTCACGAAGCATTTGGCAATCTCTTGATACTCTGGGATGTGTGATAACTTGGGATCTTGGTAAATACGATGAAGCAAGTCACTTTGCTCATTGTCATAGGGTGCAAGAATGATAAACAAAATGGCATTTTGAAGTGCTTCTTTCCATTTAGTTTCATCTTCTTGAATGGATCCTGAATCATAGATTTGCTTGTAAAACTTGTGTACATTCAAGTATTGATCTTCATGTAAAGCATGTTGAATCATCAAATGATAGAATCGAAGCTTGAGGTCCTAGATGCAAGTGAGTAATGATAATCATATATAAAGACAGGACTTACTTCGTTCTCCTTTTCTTGGAAGAACTTGGTATTGATCTTTTTGGAGATGATTTGAGTACGAATGTAATCTGATTTAGCCAAGCAGAGTCTCATTTGTTCCAAGATAAAGTCGACTTTTTCACGCTTGTCCATGGATCCAAAGGTTTCTACTTGAAGTTCTTGAAGAATATCGGCAGCCTCACTTGTCTTTCCTTCGTCTTCACGAATCTTTGCTAAAAGACGCGTAATGCGTGCACGTTCAACTTCAACATAAATCTAGAGTGTTGCTGTCAATTCAAGAAATCCTATAGCTTTCTTCTTATTTACCTTGCCGTCTGTGACAGTACGAAGTGTGTCAATCAATTCAAGTTTTGTTTCCATATTAGGTGTAGAATCAAGATAGGACATGGCTTCTTGAACCATTTTTGATGTGGCCTGAAAAATGATTAGACAGAGTGCACTCATGAAACATTACTTACAGCTTTCAATTGACCATGTTTCTTGGACAACAAGATGATTTGTTCATTCAATAACTTCCAGTCATTGACTTGATGACACAATTTAATGACTTGAACTAGAATACGACCAGTAGAAGCTTGATCAGCAGCCTAGAAAACAATGAGTCATAGCGTCTAACTGAGCGTGTCTTACGTTTCTAGCTTGCTTTTCAAGAGACAATAATTTTTCCAAAGCTTCATTTAGTTTGCCTTGCTATGATATACATCGTCAGTATGATATACGCGATGAAAAGAAGGGGACGTACCTGAGCCAAAGATTCAGTTTCAGGCAAAAGGACATCTACTTGAGGACTAAAGTCCTTATCCATCTTTTCTAACTTTCCGTCTGACATTATGTTATTGCGTATAATAAGAAAAAAGAAATGCGTTTTATTTTGGTTTTTTTTTTCAAGTTGTGTAGACGCGCAAACCGTACACGTCATGTCATACATTTTAATTGGCGAAAAAAAAGATATTCGGTGTTTAAATTTCCGAGCTTTCCATTCTGCATAACATCCATTGTGAGTTATGCTCAAAATTGCTCTCTTTAACCTCAAAAGTGTCATGTATTACTATATAATCTGCTCGTATTTATGTTGGGTATTGAATGGTATAGGATTGAATGCCTGCTAACTAGCTAATGTCTGTTGAAAAGGGTCTTTTTTTTTATAATGATTACAGTGTATAATGAACTTTGAATGCAGATTCGAAGGCAATGCTCAAATGAACTCATCTTTTTCATCTTAGTAGACTTGCTTTCTTTTTCTCAAAAGTATCTAGGCATGGTCTCATCTCATTTCTGTTGGATCAGGCTTACATCGGGTCAATCTGACATTTCAAAATTTTTTGATGAACGAACCTCCATAGATCCCCTGGGACAAAAAAAATAAATTTCACACAAATGCCAAACTAATGGTACCGCTTAATTTCTTGGTTTGAACAAAGGACTAATTTGATAATCTGGTTATCGAGTAATGGTCCATCAAAGAACAGTGCATTTGAGCTGTGTTTTGAACGTTTTTGCTCTAGATGACATATAAAACTCGCGATCCAAGGATTTATAGAATTTTTATATGCTGTTTGGGGTACCAAAGAACATTTAAAAGTAAAAGCAGGGTCGATTTATAACGCAAATATGGGATAAATGGACATAGAACATACATATTGGCGGCATACGGAGATTGAAATGGAACGTAATGCCTGTTCTTCGATCCCGCCGCACCCAAAAATCGAACCTTTGCTGAGAACTCCATAAAGACGCCGTTGTTGGACTTTAGTGTAATGATAAAAGTGGTAGATATTTGCTTTTTGAGTTTATTGATATAGAAGAACCAACAGGTTTACTGCAAAAATATTGAGCAAAGGCGCAAAAATGTAAATAAGGTTTTCCACTCATACCATACCATACCATACCATTTTCATAACGCAATTGGTAGACAAATTCATTTATTAAATACTAGAGCATCTAATGGTTATTTTGAGTATTTAAGCTTGTCGATAGCTCCATTTTTTGTCTTGTAATGTTAAAAAGTAGATCTAAGGTTGTGAATAATACCCTTTAGATCAGAGTGATGCTTGGCCATTTTTTTATCCAAATCAACTCCAGCGATACCCCGCATGTTGTTGAGCATTATTTGTGTTATTTAGAGTGTTTGTGTGTGTATAAAAAAGCTCAAACATTCCCTTGTGTGTACAATTTTCTGATTAAAAAAAAGTACGTCCATTTCAAGAGGCACAAGATCCTTTACATGACTTAACAAAACTAATCAATTCAGTGTATTTATGCCTCATGAAAACCGGTTTTTCTTGTTACCACTTTTTTTTAAAACTATTTCTCTCATTCCTGGCTAGTATATCAGCTGATCTTCTTAAATCATTCAATCGAGCTACAAATCACAATATGTTAGAAACCTAACACCCAAAAGAAGACAGGTAAAGCAGTTATCAAGACTAGATAAATGTCAAGACAAATGAATGATATAGAAATGTTCGAAAGGAAATATCACAAAAACTACTTTACCAAGCAAATTATCAATTTGATCAATCATCGTAGCAAACTAGATCACATTGACGTAATTTAAGGGGCAGGCGTTAGCATGTAACACCTCTTAGGGACATCCCTTTTGTTTTGCTTCTAGCACAAAGGCTGTCAAATTTTAGCATTCGATTCAAGAAACACACCAATTGGAATTTAAATCTCAATACTTGACTTTAAGCTTTCCTTCCTAGCATTATCAAGTACTGTTTATAAATAACTCAATTCTTTTTTTATAGAAAGAAATGTCACAATGCAGTTAGCCTTGATGAGGGTAGACTAACAGGATGAACAAGAGTGTTTTCTATTCTTTTTGAGTTGTAATATCAAGTGTTTGTATTCGCATTTCCCACCATAAAGATGATGAATAAAGTAATTTATCAAATCAAAATTGCCATTGACTTTAAAGACTTTTGTGTCCATTCTATTGGCAAGCTCATAATGACAAACCAAAAAAAAAGGTAAGGTGAGAAAATAAGCATATGCCTTCATACAACCCCATGTGACTATTTAAACAGCTAAATGATTCACTGCACCATTCTACCAATCATAACCCATTTTAATGCTAGTATTTAAACAGAGCAATGGATTTCTCTTTTTCTTTACTTTCAAATCATGGCTTCTATTATTAATCTCGTTCGCCGTCTTTCTGGTACTAATATAAATAGCAATGATGCTGTAGACTCTCGTTCTGGGTATTCAAATGAAGGTAAATAAAAACACTTATTGACAGTCTAATAAAGACAAACAAAAAGGCACTGCTATGGATCTTGTAAAACGTGAAAAGCTTGGACTGAATGGCCTTTTACCAGCTCGTATAGAGACCATTGAAATTCAAAAAGCTCGTGCTATACGTGTGCTTCGTTCAAAAACTAACATGCTAGAAAAGTATATTTTTATGGCTCAACTACGTACGAGTAATGTGCGATTATTTTACAAGATTGTGATGGATGAATTAGAGGTAAGCTTAATTTATCTGTATACCGTATTGCTCACTACTTGAATAAGGAACTGGCTCCTGTGATCTATACTCCCACTGTTGGTACAGCTTGTCTCGAATATTCTACCATCTATCCATTCTTAGCTGCACCTGGTGTGTCGGATGGTTTATTCTTGACCAAGGCTCCAGTATCTGAGTTATGTCAAACGATTCGAAATTACTGTCCTACTCCAGATTTTCATCCTGAGATCTGTGTCATTTCAGATGGCTCTCGTATTTTGGGCCTTGGCGACCTTGGTACCAATGGTATGGGCATTCCTATTGGTAAACTTCAACTGTATGTTGCAGGTGCTGGAATTGATCCCCGTCGTACACTCCCTATCATTCTCGACCTTGGTACAAACAACGAAAAGCTTCTCAATGACGAGCTCTATATTGGTCTTCGACAAAAGAGACCTAACGATGATGAATTTTACGCTACGGTCGACTGTGTTTTGACTGCCTTACACACTGTTTATCCTAAACTGTTGATTCAGTTCGAAGACTGGTCTTCTGAGCATGCTTTCGGTCTACTAGAGAAATATCAAGACAAGATCTTGTGTTTCAATGATGACATTCAAGGCACAGGAGCAGTCATTTTGTCAGGCGTGATTAATGCAATTCGTAAAGTGCAGAAAGAAGACCACGTAGATCCTCGACATCATCGTATTGTGTTTTATGGTGCTGGTTCAGCTGCCATTGGTGTTGCACGTCAAATACAGACCTACTTTCAGATTGAACATAACATGCCTGAAGAAGAAGCCAAAAAGTTGTTTTGGATTGTTGATTCTAAGGTATTGTGTAGACTGCGTTTATTTTTTTTTTAGCTAATATATCATATAGGGTCTGATTACAAACACACGCGGTGATAAGCTTGCTCGACATAAAGTATATTATGCTAGAGATGATACCGATGAACAGCAGTTTAAAGAATTACTTGATATTTTAGACTATGTTAAACCTACAATGTAAGTAAAGAAAGAAGTGAGGACATAATCTAACTTGTATGAATAGGCTCATTGGTCTTTCATCTATTTCTAGTGCATTTAATTCAAATGTATTATCGCGCATGGCTAAACTGAATCAACAGCCCATCATTTTCCCTCTTTCCAATCCTGCTACACAAGCAGAATGTACATTTGAGCAAGCTATGGAATGCACAAATGGCAAGGTTATCTTTGCTTCTGGAACAGCTTTTCCCGCATATACCATTCAATCAACAGGCGAGATTAGGTATCCAGGACAAGGTAATAATATGTACATCTTTCCTGGTCTGGGCCTTGGTGCTGTATTGGCCCATCCAAAGCATATCACGGATCGCATGATTTATGAAGCTTCTAGAGCACTAGCAGATTCCCTTACTAATGAAGAAATCAACAAAGGCTGGTTATACCCATCACTCAAACGTATTCGTACTGTTTCTTCCGTTGTTGCTACGGCTGTATGTCAAGAAGCACTAAATGAAGGCTTGGCTACTTCGGAAAGCATCAAGAAATGTAAAACATATCAAGATATATTAAACTATGTAACTCGCCACATGTGGTCTCCTACAAAAGAAGCCTATGGGACAGAACCTGGCAAGTTATAGAAAAAACATTATCACATTGTCGCTTAGACTTTTGATTCTAAACAATAAAGTTGACTAGTGAACAGTATTTTTATTTTTTGACCGATAGTTAAAATTTTTCCGTAGATTTTACTCTATCCATGCTTTCAAACCCCCCTCCCCCACAGTGCTAGACTTTCTATCCAGAAAAGAAACTTTCACATTTTGAGGATTTTTTATGTCTTTAGGCTACACAACCAAACAAGAAAAGTAAGTTCATTGCTTGAATGGTAATGAAAACTGCATAAACATTTTTTCTTTTTAGCTTTGTGAAACCATCTACAATGAAAAGAAAAATGGGGCCGTTTGACTGATAAAGTATTCTCGGTCATAATGAATATGCAGATACATAGAAGATAAAACACTTTGTGGATTCCATCTAATCAGGACTCTTTCTTGATGAGAAAACAGGGTGCAGAATCTATGTTGTCAGTTCTCGCATTGATGGTGCTTCAAGACTTTTTAGATAAAGAAAACACTTTTTTGTTTGTGTATTGTTGTTAAGATACATGAAACACATATTGCAATCATTTCACAAAGGACAAAGAAAAAATAGGAGGAACCATTTTATCCAGTTGGTTTTTATCATAAAATAGTCCTTTCTCTTTTTGTACATAAGAAATTACTGTTTCTTTCTTTTTCTATAATTGAAAATACATCCCTTAAGTAATTTGTAGCTTTCTTTTGTTGCTGTAGACAATAATATAAAAAAAATATGTTCATTTTTCTCAATGCAGACAACGAGTAAAGTGCATTTGATAAAGTAACTAATGGCTTTTCTTTGTTTCTGAAGTCGATTGTCATATTTTGACATAAATACATTTACGCAGAAACAATCGCTTTTCTCGGTGTGAAAAGAGCATCCTTTAAACAGAATCGCAATTTGGAGGTTTGACAAAATATCAAACATGTTGAACTGTATCAGTTACAAAAGGACTTTTCATGTTTTATAATATGCAACTTATAGCATTTACTCAGAGAGGATCTGAATTACCTTCTTGCATAAACTTTAAAAGGCAACTAGCGATTTTTATAAAAAAAATACTGTTTTTATTCAAATCTCTCGTGGAATTGAATATGAACAGCGTCATTTCATACATGAGCAACCCATGATAACAATGGGTATTTCATTAAGAAGACTTACAATCTATCAATAAAAAAAAGTAGATAAAAAGAAGCCTCCATGTACACAACTGTCAAAAGTATTTAGGAAAGAGGAGGGCCAAGCCTTCTTGTACAACGAGTTGTATCAGAGTAGCGGTGTACCACAACATCTTGCAGTCTTTTGATTCTGAATTTTGCAGGAAATAAATCAAAAAATGTTACACCAACACGCTTATGAAACCGAGTTATCTTTTATACGCTGCATAAATGTGAGTCTTGAGTGGCTGTGTATGACAATCAGCAAGCTGGGGGTGTCGAGTAAATTTTTTATAATTTAGGCTCCCTAAAAAAAATACTCTCATCTTTTCTTTCTTTCTCTCTCTTTCTCTCTCTATTTTTTTCTTGTATTACATATGCTTATTTTAAGGCACAACTCTTTGTCATCTGAAGATCTCTTTGTGATTGAATGTGTAAGAATTTCTAATCTCTTATACACTCGAGTTAATCTTGAAATAGTTGATGATCAAAGTTTCTGATCCCAAATATGAAGTCAAAGATCTTGCACATTTTGGTGTTCTCAACAAGTCTCGCGCCGAGCTATATGGCTATATTCTTGGATTTGTTGAGAGACTTGGCCTATGCGAGTCGATTGGCGTTACACCATCCGAGTTTCTTGATTTTTTAGTTGATGTAGATCATGGCTATTTGCCAAATGCATACCACTCGTTCTACCACGCTGTGGATGTAGCCATTGTTCTTTATCATATGGTTATTTCGTACGATGTAGCCAGATATATTTCTCGCATTGACATTGCCGCATTGCTGATTGCAGGCTTGTGTCATGACATTGGCCATGTAAGTAAAGAAATAACCAATCAAATAGCTTTTTGACTTACTATAAACATCACGATAGCCGGGAAAAAACAACAATTTCCAAGTCAATCTCAAGACAGATTTGGCTATTCGTTACAGCAACAAGTCTGTATTAGAAAGCTATTCTTGTACAATCACGATGGATTTGCTGACAAAGCATAAACTACTCAAACGTATGGAAAGTGCCAGTACTGCATTTGGTTTACCTACTTCAGAACCAGAAATGAGAACAAGTATTATCAAAATGATCTTGGCAACAGATATGATATTTCACTATGAATTACAAGAGAATCTGGCTAATTTGTTAGAGATCATCACAGAAGTGGGACAAGAAGAGGTGATGCAGATGCGTTCATCATTACACAAGCCTAGCTTACCTTCTACTACTGAAGAAGAAGAAGAAGAATACGAAGAATACGACCATGGCTGCGACCACGACCACGAACACAACCACAATACGCCCAAAATTACAAAAAGTGATTCAACAATATCAACCACAATTACACATGAAGACGATATTCAAGTCAAAGATATTTTCTCTTCTCAGGGAGCAAAGAGTGCTATTGCGTATTTTAGGAAAAAATCTTATTTCGAAGAAGATACTATTCCACTCTCACTGAAAACAATGCCTATATTGCCAGCGAGTCCTGAAGAAGACGAAGATGATGAGGACGAGGAGGTCGATAGTTCACTAAAGCGGCTCAAGAAAACAACATTGGATGGCCAAAACAATCATCACTCATCAGGTGTGGATCTTATGACAAGTACGATACAAAAAGATGGAGTCGAAAGAACTGTATATACACCACCCAACTATATTATGGAACCACAACAACGGCTTATTCTCTGTCAAATCATACTTCATGCTGCTGATATCAGCAATGCACTTCGCCCTTGGCCCATTTGCCTTGCATGGTCAAATCTTGTATGCGAGGAGTTCTTTCGACAAGGAGAAGCTGAACAAGAGCACGGACTACCGGTTTCGCCTAATATGGATCGAAGTCAGGTGAGCCAGACAACCATTGGTTTACAGTTTGGTGATTTTGTCGTCAGTCCTTATTTTGAAATCTTTGCTGCCTTGTTCCCTAAAGCAGATGAACTGGTAAAAACATTGGCCGAGAATCGTAAACAATGGATCAAGTTGGAAGAAGAAGTGAAAGATAACAAGGAAAAGGAAGAAAAAGAAGGTAACCAACGCTTACCTTCAAGTATGTTACCCGACAGACCTATTTTGAATCCTTCAGGCAGAAGAGTCAGTGTGGCTGCTGGTATGGTAGTTATTCCAGACGAATTAGAAGAACGCACCATTGGTTCAGGTAAACACAAGCGCAAATATTGGGGCGTACGCAGTGTTAGCCATAGTGATATTTCACTGAATGATCAACGGGATCGATCTGAAGTAATTCGTCGAAGAAAGAGTGAAGAACCGAATTTTATTATGTCACGTAGACTTAAGATGTCCCCAATGTCTCCAAGAAGATCCGCTCGAGAAAAGAAGTCCAAGACATTACCGGCTATTGGTCAAGAGCAATAACAGCACAATCTTTAGATCCCCAATTTATATATGTATTTTTCCACACTTAAAATAAATTATTTATATAGTAAATCGCAAGACATTACGTCAAAACAAAAGCGATAAAAGACTTTCTGTACAGTGCTTATCAGACAAATAAAGTATTAATGCACATACACACTCGAGATAACCATTCTTCATTCTCAACATATAACGATTACTGCTATGCTACCAAATTCTTGAGTTCATAAAGTCGTTTGAATCTGAATACATTGGTCTCTGTTTACCCTGGTACTTTGCATGTTACATCAACCCATTTGTGTACTCAATTGTCTAGGCTTAGACCATCAAATATTCATATAAATTGTACGCGGCTCTTAAATTTAAGCACTTTAGTGTATGACCAAAAAGAAAAATAAAGATCCCCCCTCCCTTCTGATGTTATAAATATCTTTTTTTTCTTCTTTTCTCCTCTCTTCTTTTTTTTTTTTACTCTCTTTTTCATTCTCGTAGCTATGGGCTTCTTACTTCTGATTCGACTGTCAACTTGCATGTATCTCATTACATCAATTGTAACTCCACTTGAGACAATGAATGTTACTGCACGCTTTTTATCGCTTTTAATACCCTTAGCACATGTAACTCATCCTTCTGATATCTTGCCGAATTTGCTCAAGAGTACTGTCCTTTTGGCAAGATTTGTGGTACTATATACTGTTTTAGGTTTAGAGGCTCTATTCGCGCCATTCAAACGTAATGCCATCACTAAGCCTAATATGAACTCATCGACAAAGAAAGTCATGAATCAAGTTACTCTTGCTAAACCAGTCTTTGAAGACAAGGATGTAAATGAAATTCAAGAAACTCTTGCATCAAAAGGTCAATTCATAGAAAAAGAAAATTTGAAGGACAATGGAAAAGTCAAGAATAATGATGACCAAGTGAACACAAGTATTCATATGAAAGAGCAAGAAAAGAAGGAGGAGCCTGTAGAAAGAGACCAAGTATCTGCTAGTGTTGTACAGCCTGCATCTACGGAGTCAATAGTTCCGTATCATATTGAGACGATCACTCCTGACATCAAGAAAGAATCTGACAATACATTCTCTAAGGTTGAACACAATGATACCAATTCATTGATTCCTAATAATTACAGTCATGACAAGAACAACAATAGCAACAGTCAGAGTGCTATCTCATTATCTGAGAAGTTACAGCAGATTCTTGATCAACCTCACACACCATCACCTGACAACCATGAAGAGCCCATGTCCCTGCCCACACCTGCTCTCACTCCACCCAATCAATCTTCTGCTGCTCCTTCGAGTGTCTCACGTCGAAGCAGTATGAACAGCCAACATTCTATCAAGAACAGATTTTCTGCAGCCATGCAAAAGGTCGCTAGTCGATCCTCTTCTATCTCAGGCACTCGACCTCCTGTTCCTCCATTACCAGTCCAGACAATGAAGAACAACGATTCAGCTATTGAGACTTCTCCAAACAAGAAACGGTTCTCTACTTTATTGACACGTAAAAAGACACCCGAAACAGAACCTGTCAGTATTGAACAAACTCCTAATATGAAGCCTAAACGATCTGTTTCAACAAAGTTACAAAATGGATTCAAAAAGTCTGGTAAAAGACTTGCCAAGATCTTTTCTTGATTGTATATATACATATCTTCTTTCTTTAATTTTGCACATAGTTATCCTTTCTTTATATATATATATATATACATATCACACATTTTCTTTTTAATTACTGCTATTTGTCAACTAGCTAACCATTTCTGATCAACATGAAACTAAATATATAATACTAATAAAAAAAATGAACGAATAACTCTTCATATATATTGAATTTACAGAATCAAGCTTGGCTTATCAGATAAACAACAGCCCCATTTCAAGCGTAAACAGGTTCATTTCCTCACCGCTCCGATCAACTAATATAATATTTGCAATAAACAAACAAATGATCTACCTTGTACTTAATTTGAAATAAGTTTTTATCTGTTCAAAACAAACAAGATACCTTTCTATATCTTTCTTCTTTTCAGAATAGCCATCTTATTTAAAATTCTGTAAAATAAAAAGATTGTTGCACAATCAGCCACGCAATCAGGAAAAAAAAAGAACAAATGGCTGGATAAAAGAAGAGCAAGTAACTCAGTTTTCATCAACTTTAGTAATTCTGTTTGTTTGTCAAAATTAATTTGTTTTTATTATCTAATTGCACGACAGTCGTTTCTTTTTATGTATGCATGTTTTCTTATTAAAGTTTGAATAGTACGCCTTAGATACTATATATCCTTGGCGTAATGTCAAGTTGACACAATGCTATTGCAAATTAAGACAATCTAGCTTTGATTAAAATGAATTTATAGTCATTCCACTCAACTGACTATAGAAAAAGATGCTTGGGTCACTTTAAAATTGCATGAATTAGTTTTCATTTGAAAACAGATTGATTGGCTTCAATCAAAGCATTTAATGGCTATCCCCCCTTCACTAGGAATGATAGAGTTTATTATATATGATCTAAATCCATTCTCAAGAAACGGTTTTCACTTAAGAGACGACGATGATTTCTAAAGTCAACAAGCACTTGAAGGCAAGTCAAAGGATGATTGTCAGCAGTAGTTGCATGAACCAAGACGGCAAATTTTCCCTGTAAAGGCTCGTTAGTTATCAATCCTATTCCTGAAACACTTCAAACCTTCGGAATCTCTTTAGGCAATGTGACTTTTTGTGTAACCTGGATGATGTGATTTTAGTCTCTTCCTCTCTCACATTTTTTATCTTTCTTACCGTTAAATCGCCTTGATCAATAGGGCATTGAAGCTCTACATCATCTTTTTTCTTTTCAAGTTCATTACAAATATCAAACTTCTTATGCAACAACTTGACTACACCAAACTTGACCACAACATCTGCTTCAGAGCCTGGCAAAACAGGCTCATAAACAGTACCTGTTGCTTGAATAATTACCTCTCCTCCAGGTACAACAATTTCGGGAGTGATTTTGACTGATCTGATTTTGAGAGCGTAGTCAGGCTTACCTGTAAACAAGTCAGTCAATCAAAGCATATCGCTTTCATATTTACTGCAGACTTTGACTTGAACATTTGAAGCAAAGGAATTTGTAGAGAAAGAATAGGTATCACTTGGCCAATAGAACAATCGAGCCGAAACGCTACTGCAAATCAATAGAAATACACAAAGTAGATGACCAGTTTTAAATAGCATTGTGGAAGCTAAAGAAGAAGAAGAAAAGAAAAGAAAAGAGGAAAATGTATGGTTTTTAAGTCTTGTCTTAATGCAGAAAAGTCACGTAGATCACGTACGCTAAGATCATCTGACAGTTTTTGAATACAAAAGTGTGTCAGATTGAAGCACATTTTAGATGTTAATCTTTAAAGTGAACTATAGTAAAGATAAAAGAGTCAACTTGCTTTTTTTGGGACTTGCATCTTCATAATAACATATTTTTCAGCGTGTGATGTGAATGAGTAGCTGTACAAACGCCTCCTTTATTGAATTGATTATGAATCACTCTAGATAAATTGAACTGACATAATAATCAATTAAAAGCGAGTCAGGGTGAATGCTTATGAAGGGAATTCAATCCTATATGTATGTGCAAATAAAATATGACAATACCTAAGTGTGATAATGCACATAGTCGAGGAGGATCTATACACCAAAAACAGTTTGTTTTGTTTTAAGGAGTTGTTGTGACACGCTTTACATGAATAGGAATGTTTGAATGTCAAAAGCAGACATACTGAATTGTAGAAAAAACCCTTTTTTTTTTTCTTTTTAATCATTCTCTTTTTCTTCTCTTTTTGTGTTTTATATGATTGACCACACAGAGCACCAAAAACAAATAATTCCATCTTTTCATTTCCCAAATGGAAAGCCTTTAAAGAAAGAGCATAAGGAAATGTTGCTAAAGATAATGGCAAGTTTTTGCCCACCCTTACATATACAGATGCACATATTCATACTAAAAAATAGGTTAAAGTAAAAGACATTTACGAGAATCAATCTTGTCTATCAGAAGCGCAATTCTTGCCAGTAACAAGAGCATGTGGATTACCTAGATATATGAATATGGCCTTTTTTCGAAGACTACAATCTTTTAGCAAGACAAGTAGTCCAAAATTAGCCTTTTCTGTGTTTGTAGAGTAAAGTAGTTAGAAAAAAAGGAAAAGACATCTTTATTGATCTTTCTAAAACAAAAGGGGTTGGGCATCCATTGTATTAAAGCGACACAACCATAGTCAGCATGACGATAAATCGTTGTATTTTAATATTCTGAAGAAAACAAACAGTCAATGGATTGTGCCTGGAGATTTCTTGCCTGTATTAGAAGGTATGTTGACCATCGTAGACAAATGATTCATGGTCAATGGCAGATGTTGTCCGGAATCATCCTGGACTTCAGTTCCTTGTTAACAACCCAATGTTTCAAGAAAGATACAGTAAGTGAATTGACTACTTGCTTCTTTATTGTAATTTCTGGATTAGTTGAGACGGTTATATGTACTATTTTCTATGAAGCAAAATGTGCGAATGGTAAAATGCGTCTATCTGATTTTTATAAAAGCAATTTTGTTCAAACGATAAAACAACTTGGACCCAAAATTGATCTCAACAGTGTAATGAGCCTAAAATAATATGTCTCTTCAAGTCCAACTTATTTCTATCATAGACGAGAGATTGCTTTTCTTACAAGCACTTTTATGTTCTCTATGTCAAATTTTGGGAACTTGATGGTGACCATGATCTTATTATTTTTGAACACGATTTGGCAAACTATAATGATGGTATACTCTCATCCAAGTTGGTGCATCAGATTATGCAACATGGACGCATACCAGCATTTACCGCACGAAAAAATCAACAGAAAGATCATCTAACATTGACTTATTTGGACTATATCTGTACGCAAAAACTATCAAGAGTTAACTATCATATTTTAATACAACCTTTTTTTTAGGGTTTTTGTTGTCTGAAGTTGACAAGAGTACTCCTTCAGCTATTGAGTATTGGTATGTAGAACAGCAATATTTTTTTTTAAAAAAATTAAACCTATCTTCTTAGGTTTCAATGCATGGACGATGATGGAGATGGCATCATTACAAGCTTTGATTTAGCAGAACATTGGAGCGAACAAGATAAAAAGTATACATAGCGCAAGGCATTCTGTATCTTATGTTGTTCTATAGACTTCAAGAAGCCATTGAGTTTTATTATGAAGATCCTATTCGTCTAGAAGATTTGATATGTCAAATGTAAGTGTTCTCTAGAAAAAAAAAAAAAAAGATAAAAGCTCAGCCAAAATATAAAGGAACGATTTAATTCAGCCAAAAATACCTGGGCAATTTACATTGAGTGATTTGAAGAAGAATGGCATCATGGCAGAAAGATTTTTTGATACATTTTTTAATATCCAAAAGTTTCAAATACATGATACATATCAGGGACTTATTCGAGCCAATGAACAATTGGAAAAAGAACGAAAAAGACAATATGAACTCGAAAAAAGAAGATTCATGGAGTTCAAGCGGTTCCATATGTTGGTTGGAGACAGTTCTGTATGGAAAGAACACTTTCTTGAGTCATTTTCGCTAGGTGTCTGGAGCGATTATGCTGAACAAGAATACGAAATACTCTTGCTAAAAGAACAATTTGATGAGGAGGAAGAGGAGGAGGATGAAGACAAATCTGTAGAATCTGATTGGTCTCCTAGAAATCTATTGGAAGATGAAGGTCATGATGAAGGCCAAGTTGCCAAAGAAAATTTGATTGAGATGTTGCTGGCTTCAAATAACAAAAACACAAATAATAGTCAAGCCAATTCAGATACGACAATAACTTCACTTATGCAAACCATGAATGAATACAATGCTGATATAAATAGTCGCATAAGAAACAATAATAGAATCTGGCATTCAGTTGTATAAATTAGCTACTTTTGATGTGAAAGTTAAAATAAAGTTGATTATGTTTATGCGATGATAAACAAGCTTTTTTTTTACCTCCGCCAATCAGTTCTTTTCTTTTTCTTTTTCTTTTATATACGCGATTTACCTTGTTGCGTTCAAGATCTCAGTCAGGATGAAGATATACACAAAGACAGGCGATAAAGGTACTTTTGAACTAAAAAAAGGATGGTATTTAGATTTATATTCATTATAGGCACTTCAAGTCTTTATAACGGGGAACGTAGAAATAAGGACGATGATGTCTTCGAAGCTTTAGGTAACCATAGTTTTTAAAATCAAAATAGTAAACAATGGAATAGGCACAACTGACGAATTAAGTTCGCATATTGGGTAAAGGGAGAAAGCCACACTTAGTACCTAAGCTAATCTTAAAAGACTTGCTATGGAATTTTTAGAAGATTACTCTTGGGGAACCGAGCTTATTAAAAGATTAACAAAAGTAAACATATTTATTCATCGCGCAAACCCACTCACAGAAAAAAAAACATAGATTCAATGTCTTTTACAAGATGCAGGCTCAAACATTGCAACACCTCGAGAACAATCCAATGAGTCCCGTTTAGGTAACATATCAACACAGCAAGATCCTATGCATTGACAATTTTCTAAAACAGTGCGTACTGCATTTGACCCTTCTGGAACTCAAGTTGATCAACTAGAGACATGGATCGATGAATATGACGAGCAACTACCAAAGTTGACTAAATTTATTTTACCTGTAAGTAGCATGTGTTACTGGGCATGTTTGTTTATTTTTGTTAGTCTGGAGGTAAACCTAGTGCTTGTCTTCATGTTGCTCGCACTGTTTGTCGTAGAGCAGAAAGAAGAGTCCAGCCTCTGGTACGGGATCATTTGTGTGATGAATCTGTTGCTATTTTTCTAAACAGGTAACTTGTGAAGTTGGGTCTGTATGTTAATTATTTGCTGTAGACTGAGTGATCTCTTGTTTAATGCTGCAAGATGGGCTTCTCAATGTCAGGGAAAACAAGAAAAAATATACAATAAATATGAATAGCAGAAATAAATGAAGCATGATTAGGATGTTGCATCTTAAGCGCGAAACAAATTGATGTTATATAGAACTATATGTTTCTAATAGAATTTTTGTATTTATAGCATGCAATTAGACAAATTATCAAGGGCTGATTTATGTAATGTTTTCTAGTATCAGTAATTATCAAGAGACATATTTGACCCATGAAAACATGAGTGTAGTTTATGACCCAGCCTGCCTTATTTTACATCAAAATCAGAAAATGATCTGTAGCTCATCATACAAGCAATTCTTATTATGACAATCTATGGTAAAGAATGTTTCTCTTGCATTACTAAACATGCTCCAAGCGTTGAATTTGAAAAAAGCATATAAAAAAAGTACACGACGCATGTAGAACGCTATAGACTATTTTACGCATCATCTCATAAATACTCATAATAAACAGCGCGTTTTCGTTGCATTTTCAAGCTCTACACGTTAAAATAGACCAAGTTACTTAAGACCCCAAGTTGATCAGACTTTACCTTGGTGTATTTTTAGATGATTTCTTGTTTTTTGGTTAAAATGCGGCTCGAGAAAGACTCAAAATACCTTCAACATCAAAAAGTGCAACAAAAATAATTTTTAGATAGTCAATGTGTTCTAGATACGTGATTTAATACTAACATGGTATCCAGCTTACAAAAATGGCAAGATTACTACCCTAAAAGACCGAAATTATGGCTTTTTAGCTGTACAGTCGTTCCAACGCCAAAGGGCGGTTTTTGATTTTTCAAAGGGCGGATTTTTATTTCCCAAAGGGCGGCTCTCATTTTTTCAAAAAGTCGCTTTCTTTCGCTTTTACAATTATTCCAGGCAGTACATTTACACGAAAAGGAAAAGCGAAACCAGAAAAACTATTTTCTGTCCATACCACCTTTTCGATCCAGTTGTTTGACGCTAACCCCTCGACCGCTTTGGAACAGGCAAGAGAAGAGCTGATGAAGCAGTTAGGAGTATCCGTTGCTATTTCATCTTTGTAAGTGCATATTCGTGAAAAGTACTGCTTAACATTAAAGCAAGCTAGTAAATACACAACCGAAAGAGATGCACCTAGAACGCTCGATCTCCATTACGAAATCATCAACAAATGGATAGAGGCCGGTGTTGGTTTTCAGAAAAACTGCGTGTCTATTGATGAAGCTGGTTTTCACTCTCAACTGATGAGGAGGCGTGCATGGTCAAAGGTTGGCACTCCAGCAAACGTAAAAGTGCACACACAAAAAGGTGTTAATTTGAGTATGATTGGGTGTATATGTGCTAGAGGAATTACAAGCTTTGCCAAAGTTATACCTCTGAAAATAGGGGATGTCGAATTGATAGAGAAAGAGTTTCATTCTGAGGTATCAGCTAAAAAAAGAAAGTATAACACTCAAGAGCCCAAAAAACAAAAACTCTTAAAGAAGGGTACTACTGCTTATCATATTGTTAAATATGGAGTCTGTTATGGACGTACTTGATAAAAACGAGATGAAAGGGTGTTTCATTGTCACGGATAACTGTAGGGTACACCACTCCAGATTTGTTGTTGACGCAATTGTGAGACGGGGATAAAAACCATTATTCATGCCACCTTACTCTCCTTTTTTAAATCCCATCGAAGAGTGCTGGCCGAAGATCAAAAGTGGCATTAGAAGAAACCCTTTGAAAAAAGGCGATGAGCTGACACCTCGTATCGCTGGAGCATGCAATGCGGTGACTACAAAGGACTGTTTGCAGTGAGTAAAGCATGCTGAATCTTATTGGGAGAGATGCATTCAGAAAGAAAAGGGCTTAAAATAACTAATGCCATATTCAACCGCTGGTTCTCGTTACCTTTTCCTACGTACTAAATATGATAACCATAACAAGGGAACAAGCTATATGCATGCTATATTGTGTAGCCTTTAACGATGAAAATGTCAAGAAATTTGTACCAACTATTGATGCACTGAAGAGTTTGGAGATCTGCTACAAGGAGGATCCCATGGAGCCAATGGTGATCTGCATTTACAAAATAAATGCCTATCCTTTCCTATACAGAAGATATCCAGTCAAGCAAAAAGAATCACATATTGAAGATAGCACAACAGTGAATAAAAATCAAATGGATTTAGGTACATAATAAAGGATATACCTTTTCCACTCTATGATCCAGTAACATTTAATATATTCTTATAGTCTCTAAAGCACAAGTAGCCAATTTTCTTAATATTGTATTTTTGCCTGCCAACCCATTCAACGAAGAGCCGTATAACTGCAAACAACTGGATCGAAAAGGTGGTATGGACAGAAAATAGTTTTTCTGGTTTCGCTTTTCCTTTTCGTGTAAATGTACTGCCTGGAATAATTGTAAAAGCGAAAGAAAGCGACTTTTTGAAAAAATGAGAGCCGCCCTTTGGGAAATAAAAATCCGCCCTTTGAAAAATCAAAAACCGCCCTTTGGCGTTGGAACGACTGTAAAAACGATTTATTTACTCTAAATAACAGTACTTTTTCTCGCAATTGGAAACATAGCAAGATCAATCACGTCATATATGAAAGCTCTATCTCAGAGGCCTCTATCAGTATAAGCAGGTCTCGATTTGGATTAGACATTGGCCGAGAAACCAAACATCAAAGGTCATTTACCAGTATACAACATGGAACCAATCTTCGTAGACTATTGAAATCAAGAGCTATCAGCACACATGTAGGATCATTTAATAACTCTTTCAATAACCAATTAAACGATACAAACAGATATTGAAACAGTCTCATATCGATTGAGAAATGAATGACTAAAGTACTTGTTATACTGCAATAGCCATATGTCAAATATGAAAAGGGACACTCAAAATGCTCAATTAACATGATAACTACATGTACTATACGTCATTTGAAAGCTAGACATTTGAAGAATACAAAGACACAACTAAACCACATCTCTTCTAAAAATCAATCACTAATGGACTATTCAAATATATTGTTCTCTCTTTCATACAATGTCTAAAATCAAAACAAATCAACCTCAAGATACAAATTTTTAGGCTTAAAACTATCCCCACACTTGTTTTTTATTATGGAATAGACATTGATAAGCCAACTCTTTCGAGAACAAGAGTGTGAGATGCGCAGTACGCTCCATAACTCGCGATAATGCACAAAATACCTTTTATTGAAACCAAACTGAGTGATTTAGAGTTAGGAAAGTATTATGCCAAGTCCTGAACCAAACATCATCGATCACTAGGCCCAACATGAACCCAGGAAAAAAATTCTATTGTCACTCACTTCATTTCTGGCTTTTAAACATTCTCATACCTTACCCGATTGAAAAGTTTATGTTGTCATAATACAAAAGAGGCAAAACTGTAGCACTATAAAATAAGCCTATGGATGTTATATGACTTTTTTTTGAGTGGGAAATAGTGCGATGATACCGTGTATGAATTTATGCATGTACCACTGCATAAAGTTTATATACAGTGTATTTTTGACATGTCGGAACAAAAGCGGTGACAATAGTAACAACCTTTTTTAGAGAGGCTAATTCCAAAATTTAGTGTCTATCATTGACATAGCGCAAGAATTCCATTGATCAGGATTCATTTGATAATGTAAGATGACGATGAAGACTTACTAAATTTGTAGAATTCAAATCAAAAAATTTTTAGTAGTGCACGGATCGATCCCTTACTTTCTTTCTTTCTTTGTTTTTTGTTGAAAGCCTCTTCCATGTCAGAAAAGACAAAAGGTATATCTACAAAAAAAAAAGTTGCAAGGCCTATTGAATTCGGAACTAAAGCATGTCAAAAGATGAATTAAAATATGACAGTACGCCTTATTCCAGTCGTCCTGTGTCTGATGATGAAGATGGAGGGCAACAACGCTTCGGAGATGAAGGCAACACAAGTGAAGACTTCAATTGGGAAGAAGATGACCCAGAGGACTTTCACGGGGAAGACGAAAAAGGGGTTCCTCAAAAGAGTTCAATCAGTTTCTTTTTTCTGTCTCGTAGTTCATCTTTAATTTCATGGATCATCTTTATCTTCCTCACATTGGCTTCTGTGGCTGTCTGTGTGGTTATTTTTGTCAAAGTCAAACCACAAACAGATCCTACCTTGACATCGTACAATTTAGCCCTTTGGTTTACATTTATTGCTTTCATGTTCTGTATCTCATTTGTCACTCAATGTGTCGTGGAGATCGTTCCTTGGATCGTCAAGAACATAGCTTCCATCTTCTTTCCTCGAAAGACAGAAGTCTTAAAAGCAAGACTATCGGTAAGTGCTTGATTGAAACGACCTGATAATACTCATGATGACTTAGTATTATATGGCGCTGCGATTATATACCAAGTTAGTAGGCATTGGCGCCTGGGCATGGGGCTCATGGGCCTTTCTTCGTTGGCATATTGAAGGACCAGAATATGCATCTCGACCCGTCTATGTGGCTACACTTGAGCGAGTCATGGAATGTTTCTTTTTGCTCATGTTGTTTCTTTTTATCGAAAAATTCATTTTGCAACTGATCGTTACTTCCTTTCACAAAAAAGCGTATGGTGACCGCCTGGTGAAAAACGAAAGAGCACTTCGCATCCTGGATAAACTGAAACGTGTCAAACGCACCATGCCTCAAGACTTTTTATTAAAGCGTATCAAGAAAACAGCTAACAAGCAGCGCAACCCACTTCAGACGCAAAAAAGCAATGAAGGAAGTGAATATGGGTTTCCGGTTTATGGCCAACATAAGAAATTCAAGACAAAACCCATCATAAGTACCAATCCAAGTACACCCGTCAATGAAGAAGCAACAACAAAACAAAATGTGAGATTTCCTCCGACGCAAGATATGGACACATTGATTCCCATCCCACCATTGAATGAGAGAAACAATAGTCATATTTCGGTGGAACAGCCTTCTCAGGTGAACAAAACAAAACAAGAAAAATCAAGTTATTTAAACAACATTCGACAACGAATGAAGCGTCATCAAGAACGTCAAACAATCGAACAAAAAAACGAAATTGCAGATGAGCAAGAAGAAATCAAATCTGAACGTCGTCTTGAAAACTACGAGCAAGAACAAAACCCAGGTCGGTATCCTTTAAAGAGGGCCAATACAGGCGTGTCCACTTTCAGTTCAGCGAACAGCAGTATCCTCGATGCTTCCTTTTTTAATACCTGGAGTCTCAAAGACGGATACCAGCGTCTATTCAAAGAATCGATTTTGCAACAAGATGCTATTCATCAAGCCAAGATATTGGCTCGTAGTATTTACCATAATGTCATGGGTCCAAATCCTGTTCGTCAATACATGATTGAATCTGATCTTTATGAATTCTTCAAGACCATCAGTGAAGCAAAAGAAGCCTTTAGCTTGTTTGACACTGATACCAATGGCGATATTAGCAAGCGCGAAATGCGTGCCGGCTGTATTCGTATCTATCGTGAACGTAAGGATTTAGCTAGATCTATGCGTGATATGTCTCAAGTCACTGGAACACTGGACATCATTTTGTTGATTGTGTTTGCATGTATATGGGCTGTGGTGGTGATGGCGGTATTTGGCGTGAATGTGGGCACACAATTGACGCCCTTATGGAGTGCTTTTATTGCTGCTAGTTTTATCTTTGGTAACAGTGCAAAAGATGCATTTGAATCTATTCTTTTTGTTTTTGTGACAGTAAGTAAGATCATAGATATAAGCTGACACTCATGTTATTTAAAGCATCCATTTGATACTGGAGATCGTGTGTTTATTGATACTGAAAACTGGACAGTTGCAAGTGTGGGCCTTATGGTGACAACCTTCTTGTAAGCTTACAATTTTTTTTTTACCTACAAAACTAAATGAGCACATTATAGAAAATGGTCTGGCGATGTTGTCTATGTTAAAAACACAGTATTGGCAACCAAATACATTATCAATTGTCGTCGAACAGGCAATACGACAGAAGCATTCGGTATGCATAAACCATAATAAAAACAGCCAACTAATCTTTTAAAGATATTCAAATTTCGTATCATACACCTACTTGGAAGATTCAAGCACTTGGTGACCATATGGTCAAATGGGCCAATGAATATCCCAAGCTCTACACACCTAATTCTACCGGTGTCAATATCATTAATCTCGAAAACCTGAATCGAATCACACTCACTTTTTACTTTGAACATAGTAACAATTTCCAAGATGCTGGTGGCCGTTGGTTGCGCCACAACAACTTTATGATGGAACTTAAGGATGAACTGCAACGTCTCTGTATTACTTATACTCAACCTGACCAACCTGTCATTCATGCCTATCCCAATGCTGAAGGAGATGATGATGATGCAAGCATAATTAAGGCACAAAAAGAGCGTTATGAAGAAGGTGAAGAACGACTAAGAAGACGCTATACTGCTTCAAAGCCATATGAAAACATTACTTCTAAATACCAGAACCAAGCTGATTCAAATGGAACCAGTGGAGGAGGCGACGGTGTTAATGGTGATGGTGTTGATAGTAGTACCGCTGCTGCCTCTGCTGCCACTGTTGTTTTTACAACAGGAGCCATCTAAGACTTATAACATGCATACAATTAGAATCACTGTAAAATAAAGCATCATATACATCGTTTTCTTTTTTATCTTGAGGCTGTGGCAATCTATTTTCTTTCGTACAGGAACCGCAGCAGACTTTTTTTTTGTTCTTCTCAAGAGAGAAAAAACATCCTCTTCGTATTGTTTGTTCTACACTGCTGATGCTGTCTTTGATAGCATTCACTAGTATAGATTTAACTCTACGATTCAGCTATAAACAAGGCATGTCAGCATGTACTCTTTTGTTTGGACACGGAAATTGTGCTTCTCTGTACTACCCGAGGTCGTTCTTACTCTTTTTGTATAAAGCGCTACTTTAGACAACGATGGAGTTTTTATTTTCTACCTCGGAAGAAGAGGGTGTGGATAAATCTACATGGTTGTCTATCAAGAGAGAATAGACAACCATCATGTATGTATCTATCTCTTTTTTCGATAGATAACCCTATATTCCTTGAATCACCTCAACAGACGTTTTTTTTTCGACATTGTTTCTAGATAGATACGAGTAAACTATCTCTCTCTGTCGTACCTTATTTTGGAAAAGGTATTAATTGATGGAGAGATGCAGCGGATAACGGCAATAAGAAAGCGTAAGTGAACCGATACGCATTGTTACACGATGAAGTGTATGATACGCATGATGATAAGGGATAAAACTCTAATTTTCCTACTATGAGATCCTGTGGCAGTTTATCTGACCATATTTGATCATTCGATCCCAGAATTGTCGCTCAAGTTCCATAGGGGTTTACTGAGAAACATCACAATAAACTCTATTTAACGCAAGTGTAGTAGATTAGCGAGGGAAAATTTACTTTTGTGAGAAAAGTACGTATTCAATTGTGAAGGAAACAAGCAAGTTTATTGGTGTGTTGGCATAGGTGAGTGATTTTCTGGCCAGGCATTGGTTACAGTATAACAAAAAAAAAAGACCAGAGAATATCATTGTTTAGTTAAATTGTTTTCTTGACTGTGTCCTTTTAAGAAAAGTAAGCGCATCCGGAACTAGAAAAGCGCAGAGATCCGAAGTTGAAGGCTTTTTTTCTCTCTCTCTTTTTATGAGGATACATGAGCTGACATTTCCGAGCTGAGCAGTGTTCAGGATGTTCATAAAAAAAAAGGGGGATGCTTCATAACAAATACTGTAAGTCTTTCCTGAGTCTATCAAGATCTACAGTCCAACTTGATATATACTAAACAACAGTAACCTTGATCTTTTTCTGTTTCTCCCTCAGGATACACCATAATCGGAATAGCGATTGGTTCCGTCCTTGTGGTAAGTTACACTATTTTTGACCCGTGTTTTTTTCATATAACCATATATAGAGAGAGACATCAAGTTGTTTTATGTAAACAAAAAAAAAAATCTGTTGAATATAGGGTTCATAGCAGTTCCTTTTTTTTATTATTATTATGTTCATAGAATGCACAAGTTGGTATAAATCATAATGAAATGCACAGAAAAAAAAAGTGGTATTGTTGTGCAAATAGAGAATAGACAACAGAGAATAAAAATAAAGAGTGTATATGATAATGCTCGTTGTGAAAATAAATTATAAGGTTGCAAATACACAAAATTACAAAAAAAAAGAGTATGTATATACAGTATGTTAACAGTGGAAGAAACTTGAAGTATTGGGATGTTGAAGGTAATATTGTGATACTGGTGAGTCGGTATTACTGTCCATGTATTCATTATGTTTCAACATCGTCATCATTGGATAATCCGAGTAATCTGCCATGACATCGCTGTATAAAGGACGATGATTGAGTTGGTCGTAATGAGGTTCTCCATAGTTCATGTTAACCATCAAATTATCAGTAAATGAAGAAGTAGTCGAGTAAGCATCACAGGGAGAAAGTGAAGGAGGATAATTATCACAAGCATACATAGGAGTATGCTGATAGAAATCACCAAATAACTCTGTGTTGTCTGGATAAACATTGTATGACATTGTGGATTCAGGTACATTACACAGTAATTGGTTGTAAGTGGGTGAGCCAGTCATGACAGGGGAATGATCTGATGATGATAATGATGATGATGAAGATGATACAACAATGGGCTCAGATTCCGAGATACAAAAAGATGTTGTACCAAAGGTTTCTGTGGTTGGAGTAACAACAGGTTCTTTAGCCATAGAGGAACGACGAGAGGAGAGTTGAATAGACTGTCTTTTAGTATGGAGGAAATGTGACATAGAGTGTTGTTTCTTAAGAGAGTTGAGGGGTTTTTGTAAGTTGTCGATAAAGGACTTTTCTTTTCCCTTTCGGATAGTCCAGAAGCAGCCTTTCCGAGGAGGGTTTTGTGCATTAGGATCACGGTCAATCTTTACAAAAGCTTTGTGTAAAGATAAGTTGTGTCTTATAGAGTTCTAGGCACAAAAAAAAAAAAGAGTTAATCTATGCTCCAAATGTTCTAGTGTGTGTGTGTGTGTGTGTGTCTTACCTGCCAGCCCTGAGTATCATTGGAATAAAACGGATAGTTTTCTGTTATCCAGATGTAAATATCATGCAAGGTTAATTTTCTTTCTTTGCTTGACAGGATAGCATGCGCAATAATAGTCGCATAAGAATAGGGTGGCTTTTCTGTCCTGCTAGTAGGATTCCAAGATGGATTGATATGAATAGGTCCAGGTGGATATTCAGTTTCTTGTTTAGCAGTAGGTTGACTTAATGTAGTCTTTTTGAATGCAGAATCGCTTCGTTTACGTTTCATGTTTTTCATGTCCATAGTGGCTATCAAAAGAAAAGACAAAATAAAAAAAAAGAGAGGGAAAATGTATTTATGCACAACAATTTAGGGAGACCTGATTTTATAAGCAATTCCGAGAAACACGGCATTTTATAAAACGAGTTAACCACATTTCTACTAATACAGTTCGGAACGGGGGGATAGAGTTACACTAGCCATTTTTCATATGACTAAAAGATGAATGTTTGATTCATGCTATTGTTGTTACAACATTCTCAAACAAAAAAGGGAGGAATTCCGAGATAAAAAAGAAAAAAAAATGGGGTAGTACGTGCGAATGGGCTTCGCTTTTGTGCCATGTTACGCTTTGAGGATTCTATTTTTCTTTTTCTTTTTTTTTATTACACTTCTCTCTTTTATACAGTATATATATATATATTTATATATATATTTAGTTGACATCCTTTTGCTTTGGTGTGTTAACATTGAGTAACAAAGTGTCAGAATCAAGCATAACCTTGTTTCCAGATCTAGCAATGACACCAGCAATTTCACGAGCAGCTTCAATACGCTTCAATTCCAAGAAACCAGGCTTGTTTTCAATGGCTTCACCAATCAATTCAGCAGATTTAGCTTCACCTTGAGCACGAACAATGATAGATTGCTTTTCTTGACGAGCTCTGTCAACAACGAAAGCAGCACGTTGAGCTTCTTGTTGAGCAATTTGCTTAGCTTCAACAGCACCTTCAAAGACAGGTGAGAAACCAACATGGGTGATGGAGACATCATCCAAAATAATGTTGAAACGTAAGGCACGACGAACCAAATTTTCACGGACAAGACGAGAGACACGCTCACGTTGTGTAATCAATTGAGAAGCAGTGAATTGGGCAACAACAGACTTTAAGACCTCATTAACAACAGAAGGCAAGATACGTTCATCATAATCTTGGCCAAGAGTACGGTAAACAGTAGCAAGTTGATCAACACGGGGCTTTGAGAGAACACGACAAGTGATGTTAACCATTTGCAAATCTATTGTTTGACATGAGTTATTTATCATTCTTATTGGTGTATACACATATACACACACATATATATACACACACACACGCACGCATCTATGTAACTATGCTGTCAAAATGAAACGTCGTAGTCAAATGTGTTGATATTGTTTATATCCTCTTTCTTCTTTCTGTTATTTCGTTGCTACACACATATATATATATATATACGTGCACATGTGTGCGTGTGTGTGTGTGTGTGTGTGTGCATATATAATAAAGATAGTTTACCTTTGGTACCAGTCAAAGAAGCAACATTGCGAGGCTTTGCACGAACATCATAAATGATAGGGGTTTCGAACCAAGGAATCATAAAGTGAGTACCTTCGTTGTAAACAGTATCTTGAACACCAAAAAGACGAGTATATTTAATGGCTCTGTGACCACCATCAACTAAAGAATATAAGTTAGTCTTGATCACGAACCCCTTCCTTCTTCATTACAACCCCGGAAAATGACTTACCGTTGAAAAGAGAAGCGTTTACACCGTAGCCCAAACCACCAAGAACAGCAAGGGCACCAACAGCACCACCAATACCCTTACCAGAGCCTTGAGGGAACATGCCTCCTAACTTTTGAGCTGCTTGCTTTGCTTGTTGAGCCATTATTTTATTAAAAAAAAGTTGCAAGGAAAATGGACACACCTGGGGAAAAAAAAAGTAAAAAAAAAGCAAGCATGGGGGACTGCTAATACGTCAGCTCGGGGTGAGAAAACGGTTCGGTAAACTGAGTTTTAGAGATGTCGCAGTAAAGTTTTCTACAGTATTTCTACTTGAATTCAGACGATGTTAGTTTCTTTCTGGACGAATCAAAATTAATTTCCAGATGCTCTTCTTACCTATTTTGGACGAAATAAAAATGGAAATTAACAGAAAAAGAATTATTAGAGAAGGTACAATAGTATGTTAGATGATTTTACCTATAACAATCTTAATTCCCGAAGGAAATATCGTATCAATTACGGCAACTATTGCTTTTCTTTTTAATTTCTCTTGAATCGTTGTGGACGGCCTTCGCCCTTCCAAATTGACTTGGCAATGTTCATTATATTCAAACTAGCGTTGATGTCACGCTGCCATAATGTTCTGCACGTCTTGCAAACGAGAACACTATTACCGCAGGCACCACTAATACCACCCAAAGTCCTACTTTCACATTTGGAACATATTTGGGACGTCAAATATTCATCAATGTCCACAACAAGTAAGTCACCAGTCCTCTCTTCTTTTCAACGTTCTGTATAGAAGACTAGTGACACCAGTCCGGACCGTTTTCATCTCCACATGGTCCTCCCCAAACATGCCACTACCAAATACTATCAGTGGTACCTTCTGTTTGTACTGAAAGAAATTGCTTTCTCTAAGTATCATGAACTTATGAGTATAAAAATTATCGTAGCCATTTTTCTCTTTCCTTTATCCTTCTTTCCAGACTTATTCCCCTTCTTTTTCCGCTTTCCTTTGTTCTTTGCTCTTTTTCGTTTGTTTCCTCTTGACTTCTTGTTGTATTTCTTGGTACCATCTAACAACATTTTTACCATTTGCTCCGGTGCTCGTTGGCGACCCTAGTATAAGAAAAAGGTTTCTTTTGCAGTTTCTTGATTGTAAAAACTGAAAATACGACCAATGTTTTCGAGCATATAAATGGCATACTCCATATACAGCGATTCGTTGGCAGTCTTATTGGTGGATATATTTGTTTCAATCGTCTTAATACCGCATGCTTTCTTTTTCTTCTCTTGCTCTGCTGAGAATTTTGTAGAGCCTGTCAAGTGGTAATATTCCTTGATGGAACGTTGCCTGAAGTCGTTAATATTACCATTTGAACCAGCAGATGCAGTGAAAGCCCTTTTTCTTCCTAGATCTACGGCTATTGGTAAATAGTGGCTGTCAGCTTCATGCTTCTCAAAATCATCCAGTATCAGGTCAACTTGATTGATCTGCTCGGTTAAACGTTTTTCTGTGATTGTTCGTTTGTTAAAAACAAAATCAACAGAAAAACCGTCTGATCTGATCTGATTACCAAAGAGCCTCTTATTTGTTCCAGTGGGTAATAAAGATTCAATCCTAATAGTAAACATATTTTAAATGACTATTATATAAAAACATTTTCTACTACTATGTACTTACGATTTGATTCTAAGCGGTTTAAAATCAAATAACTTGTAGAATAAATGCAGCTAATCATTATACCTTCTGGGGAGTGGTTGACCAGGAAGAAATGCTGCTAATGCATTGACCAAAATTGTCACTGATCGCCAATGGCATGATGGTGAAGAGAATACATTGAACAGCCTTGGTAAAGGAAGTCTTCTAACGTCAAACGCTTTATGGGATTGATGTTCCCTTTCAAAGACAGCCAGTATATGAAACAACAGAGGAACAAAAAAGCCAGGGATATCAGCTAATGATTTTATACTAACTCTAGCATCGAGTTTGTTTTTAAGTGGCAGGCATAGTTCATCGATTCTTCGTTTGATCATAGGGTCTTTAAGTGATTTCTATTCAGGCCACACCGCTTCACCTTGGCATACATACTGATATCCATATTTTATAACAATATCATCGACGTCCTTCGGAGCCATGGACTATATACATAATATTTAAGTATTTAGAGTAAATGGATGTGATTATTAGCTCTTACAACAAACATAATTTGAATTCGATATTGCAAAAATCTTCTCAATATATTTTCAAGTTTTTCTACAACTGCATTCTCGTAGGCGGTTGCCAGCTCCTTGCAGGCCTCAGTAATGCACTGGCTAGCTCCTCCAATAGCAGATAGAAAACTTAATTTTTCTTTAATAAGATGAACCTCGTTAAAAAAAACATTATAACAGACAAGTCGATCTAACTATTGTTGATGATCTGGTATAAATGACTTTAAATAAAAAAAAAAAAGTATATACATCATAAACCATACTATCACAAATAAGTCTTTTCTCATAACAAGAACATTTGTCATATATTATTATTATTATTATTATTATTATTATTATTATTATGCCAGCTAGTCATAGTTTGATAGCAATAAAATTGAGTTCATTCTAAACAATGATATAGCTGAATCAACATTTACACTCCTACGGAATAGAGTCATATAATCCAGAAACCAGTAAACAGATCTCATCTTGAATGATAAATAACTGTAAAGATGGTTCACAAAGTATATTTTATTGAAAAAGTCAATACTCTTGTTCCATCTAATATAACCTTCAGCTCATCAAGTCCTATCTCAGGTTACATCTAAGGACATAATCCAAGTCATATATAAACCTAGAATATAAAAAATCTCTCTCGAACTTTTACCTTTATAATCTTTTTATTTAAAAAGTCCCAAAACACTACAACAATCAGTCATTTTGATATTTCTTCTCTAACAATTGGTTTCCCTTTACAGATAAATGTCTAAATGTAAACTCTCATTCATCCAAAAAGCTAATTCTTTTTCTGTCTAATTTCCATTTTTGATTCGTCCAGAAAAAAACTAGCATCGTCTGAATTTGGTGTAAAAACACTATTTAGGCATAACAATCAAGTTGCGGGTACTAAACATTCAGTCGCTAATAAACAATGACTTACAGGTCTTTCTCATTTTATCTTAGTAAAAGCATATTTCTTCTATAAAACAAACAAGGCAAGATTATTCACGAAAAAGAGAAAGACGCAATGAATTGGGCCGAATGTTGGTCTTTAATTCCAAGATTCGATTTTTATTGAAGTTACGTGTATAGAAACGATGGAGAGAGACAGTTGGAACGCAAGTTCAATATCTAGACCAAGAACATCTTAATCATAAATTTCATTGGCAAGTATTTGTGAGCATTATTTACTGACTTTAAGACCTTATACTGTTAACAATGTTTGACAGATAGGCTATCTTTATAGTCTCGAGAAAAAAGAAGGGGTTGCTGTGGCAACTTTGGTAGAGGAGCTTGCATTCTCAACCAAAAAATGGGAGATCGAGCATGTCTTTCAGACAATCAATGCTCTGTTTATGCTAAAAGTAAGACTGATTAACCGCTCTTTCTACTCGCAAAGTTTTCTCATTTGAAAAAAACATGTGCTCAAGCTTGCGGAAGAAGTTGGAGGCCAAGCACCGAGAAGCAGATTGAAGAAGCAAAAGCTGAATGAAGAAAATCAACAATAAAATAGTTTCTTCAGCAACATGACTCTGTAAATCGCTTTCAATGTCGCAAAGTTTTACTTCCTTTCTAATTAGTAGGTTGAATGAGGTTAATCAGTCTTGTTCGATATACTAAATTACACATTTGTTAAGTTTACTTAAATAATAGATCTGTGTATTTCGACTTCAAAAAAAAAAATGAGCCTAGCAGCAGTAGCATTCTTTTTTTTTTATGCTCAAAACCATTTGTTTATGACTACGTCTCAAAAAGTGTTGATCACTTGACATTTGAAATGATTAGAGAAGCCATCAAGTCCACTGATGGTTACTATGACATTTTACGATGAAGCACATGAGTTGCTTTACAGCCTCTCTACAGCTTTATTTGAGAATAGGTGCGAAAGGTTATCGACACACTTGTTTGTGAGCCATTCTCGAAATTGCCGCTTTTCTATTGGATATCAAGATTGCTTTTGCATGAAATATTCTTTTTTTTTATTGACATATGTATAAGAACTACTGTGCCTTAGAGTGTGAATTATACTATGTTTCTCATTTCGGAATGTTGCTCATCAAATAAACAAAAAATTTTAACTTAAACCTTGAAAACGATGGTGTGATCCTTGAAAACCTATGTTTTATACGCCTTCTAGAGGTCAAGAAAAAGATAGCTCTGTTTGCCTTGAGGTTAACTAGGGTAACAGACAGGATTAACTATCTGGGATATCTGAAAACACATGAAGCTTTTTATAGAAGTAAACTTTTCTGTTGATCTAGTTACGACAAATCTAGGGTATCAGGCAGGATAATTACCTGAGGTATCTAGCTGCTTTCGCCAGAAAATTAGGAGAAAAAATTTAACGAAAAAGCACAAGAAAAGGTGTATGTCAGAGAAAGCTTTCTTTTAAAACTTCAGCTCAACTGCTGAAAGTTAGAATTTCTTTCAATTAACCGATTTCTTATGCACTACACTCTTTTTTTTTCTTGGCAGAGTACCGTATAGAGAAGGGATGGTTCATATAACTGTGACTAGAGAAGAAGCAGTCCTAAAGAATATAAGACGCATAAATGTTTACTAATGGTGAATACTCCGTCCACTCTAAAAAGAGGCATTTTGATAACACAGCTGCTATTAGATTTTTATATCTCTGTTCTTTTCATCTTATCATGCAACATTCTTTTTTCACACAAATAACTTGTTTATCTTTGATAAATTACTGGTTTCTTTATGTGTGGTAAGCAGTCAAAACCTGTGTATTATTATAAAATGATCTATTAAAGCTAATTTTGTTCTTTTTTTCTTTCTCTTTTCTTTTCTGTATAATGATATCAATTTCTTCCTCTTCTTTAAAAAACTGCATATTCGCACAAAAGTGAATACATTTTAGAGTGAACAATGGAGTGTCCTCTAGCCTTCCTCTCTCTACCCGGTACTCTGCGAATTTGAATTTGAACATGTCCGATAGGGGGTAGTTCCTAAGAAAAAAAAAGGAAGGGAGGGGGTGTACAAGGAACCTGATAGCCTTTTGCCTGTTTCCTGTCGTGAATGGAAAAGCATTTATTACGACATCGACGACGCGAAATTAGATCATCCTCTTCACAAACTTGTTACCTGGTTTTACAATGAAGTAAGCGCTTCATATTTGCATTTGACGGTTAATTCTTGACGTATTCTATAAGCACTTAAATCAACTGATTGAGAGTGTGGCCTCAATGATTGAGACACAAAAGGCTTTATCTTTACAAGATCATTTAAACAAGCTGTCAGTCGATTTGTTACAGAACTTCGCCAATTTGACACTCTTAGAAATGGACATTTTGAAGCTTTCGTTGTCCTCTGCAATAAGCCTTGTCAGCGCAAAGTGTCAGCAGTTTTTTCGAAAGTAGAATTCCTCTGAATGACTTCTTGGATATGAATAAAGCTAAAACAAACCACTCAAGCGAAGAAGAAAAAAGCCAAATTGAAAATGCTTTTATACATCCCCACGATAAGTAACTCGTACAATACTATGTTCAAGTGTATTTGACCTGAGTGATTGTATTTATATTTTGCATAGCCAATCCAATCAGACACTGGTCGATGTCAACGTAGGCGCCTGGAACATACATTATGACAAAAGAGCAAAGAGTACATCACACTTGAACTATTTTCCTGCTTCTTTAAAACACTTGCTGTAAGTTGGATGGTATTAAAGCATGATTTAGATAGAGAAAAATGTATTGACTCACAGTATCGGGTTTGAAAATATAGTTTGCTTGCAAAGAAACTCTGTCGGTATCCAAGGAATTAAAACAAGAGCATAAAACTGTTTTGAGATCAGGGGAAAACAATTCACAAAATTTGCTCCAAGTGATAAATCCAGTCGTTATTCGTCTGAATGAAGGCAATCACATAAATGTCATCGCAGAGCATGGTCCCTTGAGCCCAATACGCGGTTAATTAAGCATGTCAACCTCCTCGTTCAATTCACTCTTCGTCATGATAATACAGTTTTACTTCTATTGTCAAAAGCCTATTTTCTTTTTTTTCTCTTGACCAATTCTGTAGATGAAATAGCCTGCGTCTAACTGGACCCTACCATCGCGTTAGGCACAATCTTAAAGACTCATCGAAATCGCGCTCAGAACTCAGATTACTTTGTTCCAATCAAGATCAGTTCCCCCGGATTTCCCGCATAGTGTCAAATAATTAAAACTGACTCATCAGAAATAAATTTACCCTTTCTTTTTTTCTTTTATCCCCCTTTTTTTCTCTCAAGTCACCATGAAGTCTTTTACTGTCGAGCAAGTAGCTCAGCACAGCACTGCCAACGATTGTTGGGTTATTATTGAGAATAAAGTATTTGATATAACCAAATTCTTGAACGAACATCCTGGTGGAAAGAAAATCTTATTGAAGAAAGCTGGTAAAGATGCATCCAAAGAATTCAAGACATTCCACAATGCCTCTATCATGCAGAACATAGGTCTTCCTATGCAAATTGGTGTCATTGGTACCGAGAAAAAAGAAACAAAACCTGAGTCAACAGTAGCGATGGTTGCTCCTCAAATTGGCTATGCCAAATTTGGCGAAGGTATTCCTTATGGCGATCCTTCTTGGTATCAAGAATGGAACAGGTAAATACGTCTATAGACTGCATATAGACTGACCTTTATTTAGTCCTTATTATAATGAGTCTCATATCAGAGTTCGTCAAATCGTGCGTGAATGGGTTGACAAAGAAATCATGCCCTTTTGTCATGAATGGAGCGAGAAAAAGGAAATTCCTCGATCTGTCATCAAGAGTGCTGCTAAATTGGGTTTGTTGGCAGGTTTTTCAGGTGCAGGCACAAATCCCAAGATGGCTGACTTATTACCTTACGGGTTACCTGGTGGTGTAACCTCTGCTGAATTTGACATTTTTCATGAATTTGTCTGTATTGATGAATTAGCTCGATGTGGCTCTGGCGGTCTGATCTGGGCTATTGAAGGTGGTCTTTCCATTGTAAGTGTGTATAGACTAGTTGGTGCAACATGTAACATGTATATAGGGCCTTCCTCCTATTATGAATTTCGCTAGAGAAGAGATCAAACGTCGTGTAGTGACCGAGTGTCTTGCGGGTGATAAAGTCATTGCTTTGGCCATTACTGAACCTGATGCTGGTTCTGATGTAGCCAATCTTACTACCACGGCTAAAGACATGGGCGATTATTTCTTGGTCAATGGTAACAAGAAATTCATTACTCAAGGCTTCTTTGCCGATTACTATACAGTCGCTTGTCGTACGGGAGGCGAAGGCATGGCAGGTATCTCTCTTTTGTTGATTGAACGCAACTTTGAAGGTGTCAATGCACGTCAAATGGACTGCCAAGGCATGTGGGGATCAGGCACTGCTTACATTACTTTTGAAGATGTCAAAGTGCCCAAGACTCATTTAATTGGTCAATTGAACCAAGGCTTCAAGTACATCATGCACAACTTTAACCACGAACGATTAGGCATTGTGATGCAAGCCAATCGTCTTTCCCGTGTGTGTATTGAAGAAGCACTCAAGTATGCCTTGAAGCGCAAGACGTTCGGTCAACGCCTTGTCGATCATGCTGTAATTCGAAACAAGTTTGGCCACATGATTCGTCAATGTGAGGCAACACATGCATGGCTTGAAAACATCTTGTTTCAATACAAGACACTTCCTGCCGAGACGCAAGCTACTGTGTTGGCAGGCCCAATTGCACTTTTAAAGGCTCAAAGCACGCAGACATTTGAGTACTGTGCTCGTGAAGCTGCTCAAATCTTTGGTGGTCTAGCTTATTCTCGTGGCGGACAAGGCGAAAAAATAGAACGCCTTTATAGAGAAGTCCGTGCTTATGCTATTCCCGGTGGTTCAGAAGAAATCATGTTGGATTTGGGTGTTCGTCAAGCAATCAAAAAATGTTCTAAATTATAAAAAAAATCAAGTTTGAAAATGATAGATGAAAAAACATTGATAACATGACACTTTATGATGAAGCCCCTGAATTTCTTTACAATGTTTTCTAAGAACAAGCACTTTTATAGAACCTTCTGTTTCGCTGACTAGATACTGATAACTATTGAGCTAGCTTCATTCGTTTGCTTCTTTGGAGAGATAGATACAACAATGGATTCTTTCATTTATCCCACAATTGCATTATAAATCGACCCTGCTTTTGCTTTTCAATGTTATTTGGCGCTCTAAGTAGCATATAGTATCTTTTATAGCTCCATTGATAGCAGCGTTTACATGCCATATAGACCAAAAATGCTCTAAACACAGCTTAAACATGCCAATCTTTGATGTCCCATTGCTCGACAACCAAATTATCAAAAGGGACCATTTTTTATTCAAAACATGATTTTTTGAGTCAAGGGATCGAATGGTACCATTGATTTGGCTGTCGTGTGAAATTCATTTTTTGACCCATGGGTGATCCATGGAGGTTCGTAAAATGAAAAAACAAAACAAAACTCAAACAGAAAATTTTGGAATGTCCCAAGGCAGGTCTGATGCAACTGAAGTTGGATAAGGCCATCTTTAGGTACACCCAAGGAAAAGAAAGCGACTTTACTAAGATGAAAAAGGCGAGTTTATTTGAACATTGCCTTCAAATCTGCATTTAAAGTTGATTGTACACTATAAATGATAGAAAAGAAACCCTTTCAGTAGATATTGACTAATAAGTGGGTAATTTTTTTGCACTTTCCGTTGCTTAAATTACACGCAAGTAAATTTTTTTCGTAATACCTGGTACTTTTGAGGTCAAAAGAAAGATTTTTGGATATGATAAACAACGGATTCCTTGAAAGAAATGAGTTTGATATTTCAAACATCGACTTTTCTTGCTAGATATCACCTTTGGGGCTAAAAATACAAAAGCCCATAGATATATCAAAAAACGTATCAAGAGAAGCTTTACAGTCTTTTATTGTACGTTGAGTATTCTAGAGTAAGGCATCTACTCATTACTGGATGTTAAACAAAAAAAGCTTATTTTCTATCATTTATAGTGTACAATCAACTTTAAATGCAGATTTGAAGGCAATGTTCAAATAAACTCGCCTTTTTCATCTTAGTAAAGTCGCTTTCTTTTCCTTGGGTGTACCTAAAGATGGCCTTATCCAACTTCAGTTGCATCAGACCTGCCTTGGGACATTCCAAAATTTTCTGTTTGAGTTTTAACCGTTGTTGACATTGTCATTACCACCCTCCCGCAAGTCTGGAAAGCACACTGGAGATTTGTTATTGACAACGTCTCTTTTGATGCCTACTCCACTCTACAACAAGCACGTACTGATTTACAGCTGCTCGCAGATGAAAAGCAAGTACACACAAGACTGTGATTCTTCTCTTAATTTTTTCCACTCATAATAGTGGCATACCTTTCATATTATCTTATCTACTTAATTTGTAGCATGATTGCATAATATAATTCCGTATGAATTGCGCCCGTCTTTAGAGTACCATTAAGGTAACTTTACGCCGAGCAACAATAAAATCTTTAAAAAAAGCATAACCAAAAATCGAGCCTTTACTGAGAACTCCATAAAGACGCAGTTATTGGGCTTTGCTGCAGTGACAGAAGCTATAGATCTTTGCTTTCTGAGTTTATTGATATAAAAAACCAATAGGTTTGCTGTAAAAAATATTAAGCAAGTACGCAAAAATGTAAATGAGGTTTTCCACTTATAGCATACCGTTTTCATAATGAAGTTAGTAAACAAACGCATTCACCAAAAATTAGAGCATCTGACGGTTATTTTGAGTGTCTAATTTCATTGATAGCTCCTCTTTTCGTTCTGTAGCGTTAAAAAGAAGATCCAAGGTTGTCAAATTGAGGTTTTTTCGTGAATAATACCCTTTGGATTAGAGTGATCCTCGGCCATTTTTTACAAGTCGATTTTTTTGTTCAAATCAACCTCAAAGGCACTATAGATGTTATTAAACATTGTTTGCAGGTGCTCGGAGTATGTATTCGTCTATAGGCAGGCTACACAGGCCCTTTTGTCTTGTCACGGAAGTGCTTTTTTTTTTTTTTTTTGCTTCCTAGTAGATATGGTCTTTTTCGGGCTTACCCAACGCATGAAAAGAATTCACGTTTGCCTCTACAACGAATAATAAAGCACTTTTTACTCTGTTAAATTTAATATGTATGATCTTGCCTTGAAGTATTTCAAATGCATGAGAAGAATTCATGCTTGTCTATAAAATGTACAATAAAACCTATTGTACCTTGTCAAATGTAAAAAGTAAGACCTTGCCCTGAATTAACTCAAATGCATGTGGCTTGATATGCTGTATTGGTTTTGGCACAATAAGTGATCGCAAAAGGGTAGGTCCAGTGCTAGGTTTCCAAATACATCCAATGCAAGTGGCCATTGTCATACATTGAACAATGCAAAAGAGATATATATGTGACTCAAAGCTAATATATCTTGACCAAATTAGTGTCATCTTTATCACTTCTTCGCTTAGCTGCTCTTTGTGATTCCTTAAATAAGTATCGGTACTTGAGCGTTTTTTCTTTGCCATGAGAGAAATAAGGATGATTTTATTTCAGACATTGACCCATGCTGTAGTGTTCTAAAGACGCTAGACTTTTCCCTAACATCAAGATAATACATGTTTCTTTTCTCATTCTCTATCCATGCGTGTTGGATATGCTGTTTCTTTCAACCAGCAAGCCACTTGTTTTATTTCTGATTTGCTGGTAGCGTTGAAATTTTTTTGACGACTCCGCATGCATCACGCGTAGGCACATATCTTTCTCTCTTTTTCTTATTACGATCTCCTAATGTCCAACCAAAACCAACCTCCAGCTACTGAGAATAATGAGACTGTGGATGCAAGGGAGTTCACAGGAACAAAACTTCAACTTTGTCTCCAGTAAGGATAACCATATAATAGACATAGCTTATTAAAGGCTTTTTATTCAGATCTATTTATGACTGTACACGTACTTCCACAGAACTAGATGCTCTCAAAAACAAGTTACAGTCACTAAGTTCTATTCGACAAGCGCTTAGTAATGATGCCAACCGACCTGTTGCTGCTTTAGAAACCATGAGTAAGTGTGATTTCATGTGTACCTTTTTTTTTAATGCAATGTAGATAATACCATCAATGAATTAGAAGCAGACATTGAAAAAAAAACACAAAAGTAACAAACAACACCTTGTCTGTTTTAGACTAACATTCTACTTGTATAGCATCAAGAATTCAGAAATAGCTGTTATTGAAGGATTTCAAGACATTGTATCCAAAGTCATGTCAGAAACAGATGAGAAAGTCACCAAGGTCTCTGAAGGCATCCGAAGAGCATTGGAAAAGTTTGGCAAATCAATAACAGATCAATTCAACAATAAACTGAGCGAGACAGAAAAGGGCATCGAGCTACTGAAAACAGAAAAATTGAGTGTATCTGAAAAAGAAGCGATTACAAAGATCATTGATGACTTCAAAAGTTCTGTGATTGAGACACAACGAAAGACATTCAGCAACATCACAACACAAATGACAGCTCAATTTCAGTCTGCTTCAGAAAAGAACGACAAGTTAATGAAACAGTTTGATATAGCAAATGTCACCCATTCAGTTCAGGCCAAGGTGTTGGAGAGCATGGATAAAAAACTAAAAGAAAACCTGGATCAACTCAAGAAAGAGAACACACAGTTAATAGAAAAGCATCAACAGAGCAATATCACCCTATCGTCTAAATTTGCAGAACTCATCACAAAACAAGTTCATGAACAAACGAACCCTGATAAACTTCAAAAGATCATTTCTTCTTTACCTGAATTCCAAGCACTTTTGACAATGCAAGAATCTCTCAAGAATAACCCCCAAGGTCCTGCTCTGAATGCGAATGAATTAGCTGATTTTGCATCTCTTAGAGAATCCGTTTCAAGACTCTCCAAAGAACTGAATGAGCTCAAGCATAGAAGCAGCTCTACTCGTGCTATTGTTGATGTACTAAAAGATGCAGGTGTCTCTCGAACCGAGTCTGCCAAGATTGATGTTGATTACAAGGCTGCTGTGAAGCATATGGAAGAAATGGAGCGCGAAGTATCTTTGATCTATAACAATATTAAGATAATGGAAACTGTGGTTAGTGTGAAATCAAAAGCTGTAGAAGAAGCCACTGGATCCAAAGAATCAACAGAAATTGTTTCTCGAAAGAGACCTCGACTAGAAGGACCAGACGAAGAGATGGTAGATCAAACAGCTCTTTTGGCTAGATTGGCTGAACTTGAGAATAAACACCAAAAGCTACTTGACTTTATTCTTCAATGTAAAGACACTGTTTTGGATGACATGTTCCCTACTCGTTTGCAAGCCACAATGAAGAAGATTGAACAAGTCTTGGTGTATGTATCATTTATGTAGATAGATTAGACTCACTTGTTTCTATTAGTAACCATGAAACCTTTATTGCTTACCTAATTGATCCTTTCACAACCACTCAAAGAACTCGATCTACTAACTTCACATTACCAGAAGATACTAGCTCAGTCAATGCACTTCATCCTTCTATGTTGGATGCTATTACTCAACTTGTAAAGAAGACAGCTCAAGAAGTATCTGCACCCTTACGTAAAAAGATCAAAGTGCTTGAAGATAAGCTTGAAAGACAACAACAACAATAAAGCCATTGAACTTTTGACAGATCAATACCACTGTGCATATGAATGACATCACCTTTCATCTTGATTTTCATTGGAAGATAAATTTGCAGGGCTTTAGACCTATTGAAAAAAATTAGCAGTGGTTTAGAAATCAGTTGATATTTTTACTGTTTGGCAGGCTTTAATTTTTTTTTGACTCTATTCTCCCCTCTCTTTTTTTTTTATTCTAAAGATTACAATGCTTGCTCTTCGTCGTGCTGCTATTAAGGCTGCCCCTATTGCTGCCCGTGCCTCTGTCAGACCCTTCTCTGTCTTGGGTGCTCGTTTCTGTAAATATAGCGAATATATATATATATATATATATGTATAGAAATGAAGAGAGAGCGAATGTCTTTTTTAGAAGTGACCAATGCATATAATTCAGACTCTTTCCTCTCTTTATATATATATATATATATATCAATAGACAATGTGTCATATATACTAATCATGTTCTATAGCTGGTGCTGTTGGTCACAATGTCGAATCTAACTTGGGTCCCGGTGCTAAGGCTGGTGAAGTCCCTACCGATCTTGAGCAAGCCACTGGTTTGGAACGTGAAGAATTACTTGCCAAGATGCAAGGTAAGGAGCTCTTTGACATGGAGCCCTTGAACATGACCCACATTGGTACTCCCAAGAACCCCATTGTTGTCAAGTCTCATGATCCCATTCGTTTCATTGGTTGTACTGGTAAAGTTGTTTGACACTCTAGTATACGTTTATTTAAATTTTGTATAGGTTTCCCTGCTGAATCTCACGATGTTATCTGGATCAACTTGGACAAGTCTCACGAACACGACCGTTGTCCTGAATGTGGTTCCGTCTTTGAAATGGATTTCGTTGGTACTGAAGATCACCACCATTAAATTTGGTTCATTCAATACATTTGTTTATTATTATTATTATTATTATTACTTTGTGTGTTAGTAAAAGGATCAAGCAAGAGAGAGAAACTATGCTTAACCTTGTTGATCTTTGCATGAAATCTAATTTATAATTGAATGTGTTGTCCCTCTCATTAGAGTTGGACCACTGTCTTGACGATATGTCTAATAACGCGAGCAATCTGAGGTTAAACTATGTGTTGTTGTACAAAATAAAAGAAAGAAAGAGAGAAAAATACATATATATATATATAAAGAAAGAGAAAATAAAGGAGATATCAATCATATGTACGCATTCAATTTTAATGAGCATATAGACAGAACATACATTAAAACAAAGAAAGCAAGGGGCACAAACCGTCTTTTATTTTTAGCTACTTAGAGGTTACCCTAAATGTAGCACAATCACGAATGGAAGAAGGTACTTAATATCCCTAAAAAACAGCATTAGTTATCCTTTTTGCACGGGAGGCATATTTTTTTTTCCTTCATTCTTTTCTTCTTCTTCTTTCATTTACTTACTCTCTTTTTCATTTCTCTCTTTTTTTTTCGCTTTCTTTTTTTATTTTCATTAAAGTATTTGAGAAGATAATTTTATAGAGTCTTTTTTCTCCCCTAGACATTTCAATCTTTTTTTTTTGTCTTCTTTTTCTTTGTCTTTTATCTTCTTCTTTCCTTTTCCCTCTCCCCTCCTCCTCATCCCCTTATTTTCCCATACATTCCTTTGATGCTTTTTGATGAACCAAGTAACTCTCCTTCTTTTTCTGGTTGTTGCTGTAGCCAAGGTTTCGCTTGCGCTCGGTAAGCAATTCTAAAATACATAAAAAAAAAGAGAGACTCATTTTAATCAAATAGAGATCGAGAACAATAACTCAATGACAGGTAATAAAATCTAATAAACCAAATTAAGATCCCGGATATCTATTTTTATATATATATATATATATATATTTTTTTTTTTTTACTAACGTTGATCTTTTAATAGCTTGTCAAGCGACATGTTCAAGCACTTTGATCACTTCCACGCATTGTTGGAAAGAGACAAAAGCGACATTTGTATCTAAAGTGCATTCTGATTACACACTTCTTAGACCTACTACCACCGTCGTAACCACTTGTACAACGACTGTTCGAAAAGCACCCGTTACGAAAACTTCAAGTCATTTTACAATGACTCCGACAAGGACTGGATCTGTTCCTTTGCCTATCATGACAAATACTGCAATGATAAGTAGCACAGCAACTGACATTGTGATTGCTACAGGTGTAGATTCGTCTACAGAGACAATCAGTATAGCTACTCCAACAACACCTGTGGGTGGTAGCAGTACGGAGAACAGCAGTAATTCCAATGATGGAGATCGTAGCAGTGATACTGATTCAAATGATTCAGACAATACTGATAATAACAGTGACTCAAACAGTGCTGGCAATAGCAGCGATTCCAATAATGTCGATAATAATAGCAACTCAAATAACACAGACTCAAACACAAATGATACTGACTCGAATGACGGCAATGATACTGACTCGAATGACGGCAATGATACTGACTCGAATGACGGCAATGATACTGATTCAAATGACGGCAATGATACTGACGACGACAGCGACAGTAACAATGCTGATTCAAACGACAACAATGATAGCAATGCTGATTCAGGCGACAGCAATGATAGCAATGCTGATTCAAGCGACAGCAATGATAGCAATGCTGATTCAAGCGACAGCAATGATAGCAATGCTGATTCAAACGACAGCAATAATACTGATTCAAGCGACGGCAATAACACTGATTCAAGCGACGGCAATAACACTGATTCAAGCGACGGCAATGATAGCAATGCTGATTCAAGCGACAGCAATGATAACGATGCTGATTCAAGCGACGGCAACGACGCCGATTCAAGCAACACTAACAATGCTAATTCAAACGATAACAGTAGTAATGCTGATTCTAACGACAACAATGACACTGATTCAAACGACAACAATGACGATAATACTGATTCAAACAATGATCAAGATGGCTCTACTGATACTACACCTACTACTGATCAAGGTGTCTCACAAAGTAATCCTACTGATAGTATTTATGCTACCAACAACGGCAATACCAACAACGGCAATACCAACAACGGCAATACCAACAACGGCAATACCAACAATGGCAATACAGATATCTTCAACCCAGAATTAGCAGCTCAAAATGACAATAGTAACAAAGCTCTGGGCATTGGTCTCGGTGTTGGTATTGGCTGTATTGCTGCTCTTGGCTTAGCAGGTTTGTTAGTCCATAATCGTCGTAAAAAGAAAGCTTCTTTTGATGAAATAGAAGGTGATCAAGTCCCTACGCGTTGGCGTCCTCAGAGTTTTATGGGCGTCGTTGCTTCTGTTGTGTCTAAATTACCTCGATCACCTTCTCAGCGCAGTAAAGCATCTACTGATTTACTAGGTGGTACTGGTGTTGCCATAGGTCATGGAGAAGGAGCAGTTGAACCTACTGTTATCTCCCATAGCAATCGACAGTATTAAATGAGAAATAAAATTAAATTTTCTGTAAATTAAAATTAGTCTCCTTTATTTTCGAATCACTTGGTCTACTTTGTTACAGTGAAGCATAAAAGTAGGAGTAATCCATCGACCACAACTGCATTGGTCTCCAGCCCAATGATAAGCACCTAATTTACACTGGCATTTAGGACAGTCAATACGTCCTTGTACATCATCAATCAATCCTTCCATCCATTGCATGGGTTCAATAAAATAAGAAGAACAGGTGTTGTTCTGTATGGCTAATGAAGCCAATAAGGGATTAAGTGAAGCATTCACTTTGTTGCGTGAAGCATTTACTTCAGAACCCTCTGCTGTAGTGGAAGTGGTGGTGGTGGTGATATTGATATCTGAGTTACGCTTATGATACGAGAACGAAATTTGGCCTTGGCCTGGTTCATGGTCTACTACATTTTCTGATCCAACAAGCATACGTCTACATTTTCTGCATCGAAGTGCTCTGAATTTCTTTTTGTCGCTTGCTTCGGTTAGCGGTGTATATTCTGGATCAGCAGCCAGTGCTACATGTTCTATATAGCCATAATCTATCAACATGTCAGTCTCTTTAGCATCTTGATATGCTTGCTTCTTACTTTTTTGTTCTTCTGCCATGGTTGCTACTAAGAAGCGTCTATAGTCTGCATGTCTAGCATCCACATCGAAATTCAAATCATAATACAATGAAAGTTGTTCCATAAACCCATCATTAGGAGCAATAGAAGGTCTCTTTTGTCGAATGATTGCTAAAGCATCATCTCGCTTGATCTTTTTTGATTTCATCAGACAGGCTGCTAATACAGTAGGACTACGAGACACACCTGCTTGACAATGAATCAAAATACGTCCTCCTTCTTTATAAGCTTCTTGAATAAATGTGTTTGTTTCATCAAAGTATTGAATGATATTTTGGCCTTCAATATCCATCATAGGGATATTCTTGTATTGAATACCATCTGACTGATAGTTGAAATCACCTAATGACAGAACATGCGTAATCTTGTTTTCTTTTAAAGTTTCTTTTGTCACAGCTTCATAACTAGCTAAGAATATACGTGATACTATTTGTTGACAATCTGTCATAATGAAGAGAGAAAAAAAAAAAAGAGATTAAAAAAAATTTTTTTTATTATTATTATTATTCTACATCCATATCTGATCCTCCATCATCCATCATATTAATAGGTTGACTATTACTCTTTGAGTTCTCTAATCGAACACATTTACTCAAGAGTCGTTTACGAAGTTCAGGTAGTTTGATTTGTGCTCTTTTAACAAAACCAGGAGCAGGTATATGGCGATAATCATTTGTATCTCTTTGCCAGACAAATACATCATGCCAGTCTTGGTCTCGAGACATATGTTCTTTTTCATATTCACTAAACCGCATCTTTTGTCGACTGATATCAATAGAAACTGCATTCTATTCAAGCAAGTTATGTCAATGCTGATTTGACTGCTACTTACTAATGCATAGAGACGATGTTGTTTGTCTTGTTCTTTTTTGGCTTTGAATTTACGACTCTGTTCTCGGAGTTCATGCATTCGTTTCTCAGTAGCCACTCTCTCTGATTCGAGTCGCAACTTTTCTTGTCTTTCCCATTTCTCTTGTTCTTCTCGTTTCTATTATATGGCATCAATAGATGGTTGATAAACATAACTTACTTGTTGTTCTTTTAGTTTCTTCTCATTGTGGATTTGACTATAAATATCTGCAATATCAAATGGTTTTACATCAACTGTTTCTTTAGGCTTAGGTGGCTCTTTTTTGGCTTTAAATGGTAATGGTTTTGTTGTACTGGTGGGTGGTGGTGAAGAGGAAGAAGGTGTCTTTTTAGCCAAAGCAAGCCATTTATCATGATTGGCCAAGACAGGCTTGTCTTTGATAGGCGAGGGTGGTTTACCAATAGCCAATTTAGGTCCATTATTAGATAAAGTAGGTGTGGGCGGTTCTTTAGATAAAGCAAGGCCTGGTATTTTAGGCTATCTCTTTTTGTCAGTAACAGATATACACATATTTGTGTTTTACCTTGGGTGGTGATGTGACTTCGGGTTCTTTCACAGGCTCTTCTTTAGGTTGAGATACTTTGATCTTTAATCTTAAAATAGTAGGTCCATTGTTACTTTTGTTTTCACTTGAGGTAGGCTCAATCATGTCTGAGTGATGATCAACAACAGCAGACGATGACGTGGGTTCAATTGCAAGAGGTGGTTCTATGGTAGATATGTTATTCATACATGCAGACAATTCTATCTCTCTCTCTCTCTCTCTTTTTACCTAGAGAAGTACGTTGTCTTTTAGATTCCTTTTTCTTTTTACTGTCTTTTTGTTGATGCAATTTGGCCCATTGCTTTTCAAAAATAGCTTCAAACTCTTTACCCAGATTCGCCACAAGATGGTCGGGTGGATTATACAGATAACAGTTACGAAACATAAGTCGGATATCTTGAGCTAATTCCTCTTCATGGCTGTATTGATGACTATAAAGTTTCTTTTCATAAGTAGACATATCCATAGGCTGTTTAATGATATCGTAATAGTCTGTTGCACCCCATGCAGCTGCATCCACAGGATTCTCAAATGGCCAAGCAATGCCTTTGTATTTAGGCTTCTTGAGTTCTCTTACAAGAGCCTCACATCGTTTGAATTGATCTTCTGGCATGGATGGAACAGGGTCATTATTTACAAAAGTGACTATAGGTTCTGGCTTGATTTCAGGTGGCGGATCTGTCTTCATGATGGGTTCTGGTTTCATTTCCAAAGGTGGTTCTATGTGCATGGTTGAAGGTGATGGGGGTAAAGATGGTGGTTTTTGTATGGCTAACTTGATTGTCGTTGCACTCGGGGGTGCTGGTATTGACTGTGTATCTGTATAGACCTATAGAAACCATATTAATATCAATACAACATAAAGCATGAAGCCAGATACATGATGTGGTTCTGTTGTAAGACTGGGTTCTTTTTTGCATAGTTTCTGATAATGTTCTTCCAATTTCTTTGCATCTAGACAGACTGGATCCCCAGGATTATTATAAAGATAACAGTTATCAAACATCAGTTGAATATCTGCCTTAAATTCATCCACACTCTTATAAGCATCGGCCAACAACTTTTTCTCGACTGTGCCCAGGTCCATGGGATGCTTAATGATGTCAAAATAGTCGGGTATGTTGAACTGAATGGGATCAACTGGATCAAGAAAAGCAATGGCACGTTTGTGTTTCTTTAGTGCTCTGATGGTCTGCATACACCATTTCTTTTCTGCTGGGGTCATAACAGCTTGTGTTCTAAAAAGAGAATTAGTTTAAAGCTTTTAGTATCGAATGAACACTCACGAAGAATCATCTGCAATACTTGAAAAAGATCGTTTCTGAGCAACATGAGACATTTTGTTTTCTCCCTTATTTTTTTCTTGTTCCTTATTCACGTTTACTGTGTAAAAAGAAACGTTTGCAAGAGAGTGTTAATAAGGAAAGCGTTTGCTTAAGAAAAACTTTTTTAGGCAGCCAAACAAAAAGAAAAAAAAAATATATAGACTGTATTAAATCACCGCACCAATCAATTGAGCAAAAATGCGGTGTTTCAAATTGTCGAGTGTACGTTGCCAAGGATGACACACACAAACATAAGAGCAGGTTGCTTAGAAACAGTTGCTTAAATCACCTAGGCTTGAAAGAAAGGAAGAATCACCGGTGATTTTTATCAGTGCATGGACAATAGTTCAATCTTTGTCTTCGTGTCTTCTTATAGAAAGACTGGTGTAGTACAAAATCAATCAAAGAGACAATAGACGTGTATCTCATGCACTACTAAGCCAATGAATAGGAATCTATGTTGGTACTAATAAAAAATAAATGGTCTCCTCATCCTTTTTCAAGTACCAAATCTATAGATAGATAAACTATACTGCTTGTGTGCTTCCAAAAATAAGTGCAATTGACTTACTCTTGCCAAAAAGAAAGAGAGAATTTTAGAAAAGTCATTTTGTATCTTTATTCTCTTAAATGTATTTTTAAACTCTTTAAGCTTTTTTTGATTCTTCAGAACCAAAAAAAAAAAAAAAAAAAAAAAAAAAAAAAAAAAAATAGAGCTATCGACTAGCTTAAATACTCAAAATAAACACCAAAAGCTACAATTTTTGATCAAAGTGTTTGCAGATACACAGATAAGAAATATGTTTACAAAAATGATAATTTTTTATGGACAAGGCGGTACAACGTGAAGTGAGACTACATAGACAGCTTGTTAAGATAATAGTCATTCTTGATTGGGAACATCCGTCTATCATGTTTGTAAATGTGCAGAAGAATCAAGCTAAAGAAATCATGGGATACAAATGACAAAGGAGCAGCATTCAAGACTTGTAAGCATAAACAGCACAGCTTTTTGACTTTCCTGAACTCGATCTATATGTGACTGAAAAAAAAGAAAAGGCAAGTTAGTTTACGTGTTCATTCATTATATATCTGACAAGGAATCCAATACTAAAGTTCAAAGCTGTATTGAACTGTGTTGTGCTTGATAATCTAATCCTCGTTGCAGAAAAAAAATCTGATTTTCGGTATTTGTCGCACTTTGTAAGTGAAAGTAATAAAGACTTGAAGATATACTCACTTACAATGTCTTTCTTTAGAAATGACTTTGTATATGACTATTGTGGCCTCAAAGTGCTTCAGAAGTCCGAATCGTGCTACCGATCTTATCTATTTGACAACTGCATGAAGGCCACTACCAAATATTTACGTTGTATCAACCACAAAGTTACTTTCCTTCCAGGAGAAATTAAACTCGAAGCCATGACCATACAACTAAAACAGAAAGGAATGATGGACCGCAAGTATAGGTATAATGCTGATGAAACACTCACAGCCAATGACTTTTCTGCCATTGAAGTCCTTTTGACAGAGGTGTTCTCTGGCTACGGCTCAAATGACACTCGTAAAAATAAGCTTTGATCATGATAAAGCTGTGTTTGGAATGTTGGCAATGATATGAACCGTGGCGCTATTATATGCCAAATCGTCATTCAGTACTTTTACATAATAGTTGGTACAATATGCATGTGTAGATTCTTGAGAAAAAACCAAGGCGAGTTTTCTTTTTATGACCTAAGATATGCATGTTGGTAGTCTTCAGAGATTGAAATATAACAACGCCCATTCTTCGATCCTGCCACACCCAAAAATTGAGCCTAGGCCAGGCACCTCTCTGGATCTAGTCTCTGATGCACTTGCATCTTTCAAATTTTCTCGGATTCGGTCTCAACCCAACTGTCCTCTTTCAGTAGCCATGGTAACCTTGATCGGTCTCTCTGAAATCTGGAAGGCCCATTGGACCCATACCATGCAGAACCAACCATTCCATTATCTCTCTGTTCTTCACAGCGCTTGCTATCAAATTAAGCGTATAGCTACTGAAAATGACCTTTCATCTTGAGAGGTCTTTTCTCGCAATAGCTGCTCTTTTTTTTTCTCGGTTTCTTTTTTTTTTTTTTTTTTTTTTTTTTTTTTTTTTGAAATTGTAATACCCTTTTTGTTTCTTTTAATCCTCTTATAATAAATAATTGTTGAGCACCTCTTTTAGTGGGTCCCTCTCGAGACCACTAATACATGCGACAAATAAAATCAAAAAAAAAAATCGAGTCTTTGCTAAGAACTCCATAAAGACGCAGTTATTGGACTTTAGTGCAGTGACAGAAGCTGTAGATATCTACGTTCTGAATCTAATGACATAGAAAAAACAATTAGTCTACTGCCAAAATTTTGAGCAAATGTGCAAGAATGCTTGTGAAGTCTTTCGCTTATATTTCATCATTTCTGTAGTATAACTAGCAATCAAACGCATTCATTAAAAACTAGAGCTTCTTACGCTCATTTTTGGTGTTTAAGCTTGTCAATATCTCTATTTTTCATACTGTAGCATAAAAAAAAGCTTAGAGAGTTGTCAAACAGATGATTTTCATGAACAGTACCCTTTGGTTGAATGGTCAAAATGACCATTTTTTTACAAGTCGCTTTTTCTGGCTCAAATCAACTCCAAAGTTACCTTGTATGTTAGCAAACATGGTTTGTAGGTATTTGGAGTACGTACTCGTGTATAAACAGGCTACATAGGCCCTTTTGTGTGCTCATTTTTCGATTGAGAAAATGCATCTAATTAAATAGGCACAATCACCTTCATATAATCTAATGACATCTTACCACTGAAAAGAACCGACTTATAATATGTATCTTTTTTTTCTCATTACTACATGCTTGTTGAACTATTTGCTTGCCAATTATCTCCATCAATCACATACATTTTTCAAAAAGCAGAAAGGGACTATTTGTTATCACTGTCGTCCCATAAAAACCTTCATTTATTTATCTTTAAAGCATGGAATAGTTTAAATTCATCAAACTGTATTCGTTGTCATTACACCAAAAAGAGAAAAAGTTTATGTAAATAAAGCCCTTGATTGAGTTTGAATAAGATGTTTCCTCTTGAAAAAAAAGATTTTTTTTTACCAAATTAGCTTCTCTTTTTATAGATCTACTATGTTTTCGATCAATAGATACAATGGAGAGAACGAAGAAGATACCCGTACGCTTGAGAAGAAACAAGAAAGACTTAACAAACTCAACAACAAACTCGCAAGTAAAAAAAGAAAAGATAGTTCTCAAGTAGAAGAAAACGATCATAAAAAGATCAAAGCAGATCCATTAAAGAAAAATAGAAAGAAAGAGCCAGAAGTAGAAGAAAAAGCAACTGATGAAAATGAGCAAGAGCAAGAGCATCAGCCATCAGAACAAGAAGAGGAAGAAGAAAGTCAAGAACAAAGTAGTCCTGTTGAAGAAGCGATGGATATGGATCCAGTAGAACAAGATAATGTGCCTACACTCGAAGCATTTCCAGAGATGGTTGGACCCAAGACAAAACGAAGTAAAGAAGAAAAGAAGTTGCTCAGGAGCATGGGTATTCCTGAGTGGATGTTGCAGCCTACTGTCGTATCACCCAAAGATTCATGCGGATTAGATCAAGTAGGTCTCTCTTCTCATTTGGTTCAGCGATGTCAAGATTTAGGTCTTTCTTCTTTATTTGCAGGTAAAATAGCATGGCAATGAAACCTATGTCTCATTCAATGTAGTTCAAATGGCTGTGATACCTGTCTTTCTCAGAAGACAGGCATTGTATGATACAAGAAGAGTGCCCGGAGATCTTTGTATTTCAGCACCTACAGGTAGTGGTAAAACAATGGCTTATGTCTTGCCCATTGTTGATATCTTGTCTAAGCGAGTGGTGACTCGTCTTAGAGCTGTGATTGTGTTGCCCACACGTGATTTAGTGACTCAAGTAAAAGAGACATTTGATGCCTTTGTGAAAGGTACAAACTTGGTTGTAGCAGCTGCATCTGGTCAGCAGTCTTTTGCACATGAACAACATGTATTAGTTGGATCGAATGAACAAAGGTATGCACATATGCCATGTCCATTGGCTGACAGTATGTCTAGTTTAGATGGTGGTAAAAGCAGAGTGGACATTTTGATTACAACTCCTGGTCGTTTAATGGACCATTTGACTTTGACACCTAATTTTACACTCCAACATCTCCGGTTCTTAGTAATTGATGAAGCAGATCGTCTTTTAAATCAAAGTTACAATGACTGGTTGAATCAAATATTATTAGCTACTCGCCCTGAGGCTCATTTGAATGCTCCTTCCTTGGATTTCAAACACGACAAATACGGGTAAAATAAACATAGATGTCAAACAAGTGACTTATATTCTCTTAGTGTGACAGAATCAGATGCCATTGCTCCTAGTTTCCTCAAGACATGTTATAGCTTACCTTCTACAGAACTTGACTTACCCAAAGTACCTTCTGTAAGTATCTCATAACTAGTCTTTAAATCTAATTTGACTAGATTCAAAAACTACTATTTTCTGCTACATTAACAAAAAACCCTGCTAAAATTGCAGGATTGCATCTCAATGATCCCGAATATATTTCTGTTCAAAATGAAGATGGTAGTGACATGAAGCAAGAATACACAACACCTGAAGGTCTTAAGGAATACATGACCATTTGTCCTACCGAGAAGAAGCCACTCATGGTGATTTATTTACTTCATCAGTTGGGTATCAAGTCAGGTTTATGTTTTACGAAATCTGTCGAGTCCACACAGCGACTCTATATGCTGATTGAAGCCTATGAAGCCACACAACCTGAAGAGAAACGTATTCGTGTGAAGGAATACTCAAGTGAATTAAGACCTGTACAGAGAAAACAACTTCTTAAGCAATTCAAAGGCGGCCAAATTGATTTGTAAGTAGTAGACAAATTTGAATGTATCTTACAATGCAAATCTAGGTTGATTTGCTCGGATTTGATTGGCCGTGGTATTGATTTGGATTCCGTTCAGTTTGTGATCAGTTATGATGTACCCTATTACATGGATAAATACATTCATCGTGTGGGCCGTACTGCACGTGCAGGACGTGAAGGCGAAGCATACACTTTAGTAGAGAAACAAGAAGCTCGACACTTTAAGGAAATATTGCGTCATGCGGGACATTTAAGCCAAATCAAGACACTTGACATAGAAAAAGCCAAATTAAAAGAATTGGTACCTGATTATGAAAAAGCCATGGCTAATCTTACGGAATAAATAATAATTTGATAGATAAAAGAAAAAATTTCCTTTTCTTTCTTGTACCCTTTTTCTTTTTCTTTTTTTTCTTTTCCTTATTATGAGTCCACCGACAAAACTGAATAGAACGACTTCTTCTTTATCTACAAGGAATAGTCGGCGTTATGTTGAGCCTTCTATTTCAAGCGAACAACAAGTAGAGGAAGAGGAAGAAGAACCTCAAGACGACTCAGTTTCGATAAGCTCAGCGGATAGAGAAATGACTTTAAAGGACCGTCAAGAAGTAAGCATCCAAGCGAGATATACGAGTTGACATTGATCTTCTTAGGCCATGAATAAAAGCCATCCCTTTGGCTTGCCTATCTGGAAGCCTGCTCTTTATAAAAAGTCTCGTTCAGTTGTCCGTAGTGCTAACCGAGCACTTCATTCATCACCTGCACCGGAACTATTCCTAAATCCAGGCAATATCTTGTGGTTTGTATTGTTTGGTTGGTGGTTATCATTGACCATACTTATCATCTCTGTTCTTCCTTGGGTGTGTTGTGGTCATGCTTATACTCGTGTGTTGAGAGAACTTGCATTTTATTTGCTTTGGCCATTTGGTCGATACGTTGAACGTCAAGTGGAAATCACACCCACGCATATTGGAAGCACTTTGGATGAAGAAACCGGTTTATTAAACGGCCAAAAGAAGCATAAAAGCAATATCAAGCGTATTTTGAAGCTTGGACCAGCTGGGTTAGTCTATTACTTGATCTTCTTTAGCTTTATTGCACCTTTGTTATTTTTAGTATCGGCTGTTTGCTGGATGTGTGTCATTTCGATTCCCATGGCCAAGTTAAACTATATCCTGATACGTCATTTGTATCGCCACCCTTTATCACTGCGTTTCAAATCAAGTCCCTCAGGTCTGATTCAACCAGACACATCAGGCAAACCTTCTGTGATCTTGCTCTGTACTTATCAAGCCATCGGTCTACAGTACTACAAGTACACGTATGATGGGATCAACATCATTTTCATCAACCTGATACCGTTGGTCTTTTTTGTGATTTTGGATGATTGGCTTCTGAAAGACCGTTTTCCAGGTACATGGATCACTGCTTCTGCTATGGTGTTTGCACTTTCTTTGGCATCGGTCATCCCACTCTCTTATTTTATCGGTATGAGTGTCAGTTCTATTTCTGCTCAAAGTAGTATGGGTGTAGGTGCAGTGATCAATGCCACCTTTGGTAGTATTATTGAAATCATTCTATATGCTGTGGCTCTTGTGAGTGGTAAGAGTGCATTGGTAGAAGGTGCCTTGATCGGCAGTTTATTGGCAGGTGTGTTATTGATGCCTGGATGTTCTATGGTGAGTGGTGCTGTCAAACAAAAAGAACAAAGGTTCAATTCTAAAAGTGCTGGTGTTACTTCCACCATGTTGATTATGGCTATCATTGGTGCATTGACACCTACCCTGTTCTATCAAATGTTTGGATCCGTAAGTCCTTGTTTGTGTCTACACATCATGTATTGATCTCGCTGTAGTTTGAGTTAAAATGTATTGGATGTCCAGACATAGTCAACAATAATGGAACCATCGCTTGTTCAAGATGTTATTATGATCAACTGAATCCAACCCATGACCCTGTTTATCAAAACAGTGTGAAGCCTCTCATGTGGCTCTGTGCTGCTATTTTACCTTCTGTAAGCACACATGAGATAGTGTATTACATGTACTTAACCGTATTATATATAGGCCTATATTATAGGATTAGTTTTCAGTTTACATACGCATGTAGACATGGTCTGGAAGAACAACACACATCAAAACAAGAACAAGTTAACATACTATCAACGACTGATACCCACGCATCTTATTTCTCAATTGATTCATCCTCACCATGAGCCCACAGAAGACCATATCGAAGGCCATTCCACTGCAGTCCATTATAATCCATCGCCACCCATCATGCAGTCACCTGTGGCACTTGCACTTCCTAAAGACAGTACTATCCCACATGCTTCCATTCCTGTCGTCAACACACTTGTGGATGAAGATGAAAGAGAGGACGAAGAAGTAGCAGGTCATGACTCACCTAACTGGGGCAGAAACAAGAGTTTTATCATCCTGTTTGGTTGTACACTCTTGTATTCGATTATTGCAGAAATCTTGGTAGATACAGTGGACGAAGTCATGCAAAACTTCCCTATGGATGAAAAGTTTCTGGGCTTAACTTTGTTTGCCCTTGTGCCTAATATCACTGAATTCATGAATGCTATCTCATTTGCCATGTATGGCAACATTGTGCTTAGTATGGAAATCGGTTCTGCTTATGCATTACAAGTGTGTTTATTACAAATTCCTGCTATGGTTGCATTTTCGTTTTGGTATAATTATGGAAAAGAAGAATTAGCTCAGTTTACCTTTAGGTAAGTAACAAAAAAAAAAATGGTTGACATGGTTAACATTCTCTATAGTCTTGTGTTTCCTCGATGGGATGTGATCAGTGTGATCTTTTCTGTCTTTTTGTTGACCTATACTTATCAAGAAGGAAAGGCTAATTATTTCAAAGGAAGTATTCTCATTTTAAGCTACATTGTACTTGTCGCAGGATTTTACTTTATTCCATCCTTTTCTGAACACAGTGTACTTATTGGGTCACCTCCTTCATTGCTTTTGTAAGCTTATTCTGTATATATGTTTATTAAAAGATCTGTATATTCCCCCTTCTCAAGTTTATTGTCTAATCTTGACTCGGACATAAGGAACATCAACATCTTCATCATCAGCATCATTGACACAAATTTCAAATATCAAAGACTTGACGTGAGAAGGAATAGGCTTTTTAGAGACAGATTCGACCACTTCAGACAACTTCATGTTCAAACGTTCGGCAGCCTTCTTCTTGTTCATAAAGAAAGAGTAAAGCATGGAAACACCTGAAGAAACCATGGTTACCTCCAACTTGTGCTCATTTTGGAAATAATCAATGAATTCTTGAAGAGTCATGTCATGGTCAATATCAAATCGATCCCATAAACTAAACTTGATACCATTGTATTCAAGTGTAGGCATAGCAATAGGTTCAGAGAAACCAAAGAAAGGAAGAGCTAGGTTGACAAAGCCATTCTTGTATTGTTCCAAATCCTTCTTACCATCCAAGATCTTGTAGAGTTCAAGACAGACAAGACCCGTGACCATGGCTGTGGTGGTGGCAATGGCAGGAATGATCTTACCAGCAATGAATTTGGTCTTGTAACGATCTGCAGGTGTGATGCCATAGTTCATGGCACGCAAGTTAGAAGCAGCCGTGATAAAGTCAATGTGATGGTTAGAATCATCGTCTTTTTCGAATTCAGCAGGTTGTAAACGGAAGTTACCGACACTAGAAGGAGAGGGCAACTTGGAGATCAATTCATCCAAACTGTCAGCGCCATTGTCGTTATCCACTGTTTCGTTTTCTTGGACTTGAATCTTGACACCTTCCTTGGGCTTGAATTCAGGCACAATCACATTTGCCAATTCCTTACGAATATAGGCTTCATCTGTGTTTTCTTCCAAACCATAATTGTAAGCATGCAAATTAGCAGCATCAATAATGAAATCAAGATGAGCACGGTTGTTGACATCAAATTCAAGAGGTGTAGGAGCACGCTTAGGTCCAGACCAGAACTTTTGACCAGTGGAAGTGACAGCATCGGGAGGGAAATTGAACAACAATTGACGAATGTTGTTACTGAACAATTCCTCAAACTTGAGACGAGCCCAAGCAACACAGTCAGCAAAGGTACTGGGCTTGTCTATGGCCAAGCTGTTGTAGACAGCTTCAATCGTGTCTTTGCTTGTACCACCTTGCTTCAAAGTAGCTTCCACAAAGTTAGGTTGAGTCAAGTACAGATTGACATTATCAGCAGGTTGTTTGAAATAACCTTCAAACAAATCACGAGCCCATTGAATGGTATGTTCAATAGCATTAGGGAAGTTCTTCAATGTACAGATAGGAATAGACTTTTCTGGAGGGTCTTGAGAAGAAGAGTAGGATTCGGTCAAGAAGGGCAAAATCACTTGTGTGTTACCCTTTGTACCCAAAGTACCGGACTCCAAAAGAGGCTTACGATAATAAACACATCTTCTGTCCATGTACTTGCGTGCTTCGACATTATCAAGTGCATTGGTCACACCGTCCAGAGATTCAAAAAAGTCGTCGTCGTAAATGTCTACATGATCATGAATACCAATTTTCATTGTATTTCTTTTTCTTTTTTACTTACTTTCAGTATCAGGGCCTACTCTTTCTTGATGAATGGTGATCTTACCATTCAAATCAGGGTTCATTCTGGATACAGCAGCAGAAGCACATTCTGATTTCAATTTCTACTTGTTGGTTAGTATCTTTGTGATAGCATAACTTGCAAATGACTTACACCAACATCACCAGCTCTAAACAAGAATTGTCTGTTCAAGTTACTTTTTTCAATAGTGTCCATATCAGTGATAGTCAAATGGCCTTTAGGACCTGTACCCAGACCCATCATGGCCCAGTTCTTAAGCATTTCACAACCAATGGCACCAGCACCCACAAGGAACTCATTGGTGTTGGCAATCTTTTCTTGGAATGTCTTACCAAAGACTGCAATTTGACCATCATAACGAGAACCGACCTACAGATGATGAGATGACAAAAAAACAGGTGACACTCCTACTTACAGGCTTGCACTCTTCTTCAGTCAAAGTGACACTAGTAGGAAGAGCCTCAAGTGCATCAAAGTACATGTATTGATGAATAGGATTAAATTTACCACTAACAGCCTTGAGCACTTCCTGAGCTGTCATACCACCAAAGACAGCCACCATAGGTGAGAGTTCACCAGCAGATTGATAAGCTAATTCCTTGATGAGTTTTTCGTCTAACTCAGGCTTTTCTTCAACAGAATCCACCAATATCTTGGTGAATTCAAATACTTCATTGGCATCTTGTTCATTTCTAGGCTTGGGATAACGACCATGCTTTTCAACAAATCTGGATAAGGCTTGGAAACCCAAGTGAAGTTGTATAGGACGATCGAATTTGGCGAAATCAGAGACCAAGAATTCGGGCTCACTTAAACTTTCTTTATAAGATTTCTGTTTCAAATGAGTGACTGAGTTATGTAAACTAGTAAACTTACGAAATCAATGTATTTAGGCATTTTGACTTGAGTAAAAAGACCTCCATTTGTATAATCACCAAATTCAGAAGTATCACCAATGCTAAAACTATAAGGACCAAAGACCTTGACCTTGCGAGGAGTAATGTCATTCAATTCAGTCATACCTTGGATTTCCTTGAAAGTAACATAGTCGCCATCTTCCAAGCCATGACGCACTTCGTCCAAGCAAGTAACAATGCCTTCTTGTTCCTGTTTTCACATAAGTATATACGTATAAACACATACAGGACATATTACCTTGGAAATATTGGCAATCATACCATGCAAAGGCTCTTCACCATTGGTATCAATCACCTCAAACTTGGAACCGAAATCATTAAAGATACGACCAAAGAGACCACGAATTTCAGTAGAAATAAAATGAATGTTGTTGGCGTGACAGATTTCAGAAATAGCCAATTGTTGAGACAATGGCATGTCAGTAACAACGACTACCTTATATTTCTTCAAGTTATCTTGGGTCAATTCGCCTTCTAAAAGATGAACAGGCACGTATTGATTCAATTCTGCTAACTTGGGTTGAGTCACTTGAGCACGAGGTTTACCAATATCTTGCTCTGTCAAATAAAACTAGAACATAATTGTGGTTATCATCTTACGTTTGTGTGCTTATCACCTACTTGAGCAGATAAATCAGACATTTGAGTAGGTGTAGGGTCCCAAAGCGTAACACTCTTGACACCAGCTAAAACAACGTTTTTGGCTATCATAGACATGTAAGTAAATAACACTCTATTTCTTATTGATTGTACCAATTTCTACACCAAGGCCCCTTAAACCAACAATCAAGACGTGAGCCACACTCATTTTCTTCATAGCTTCATGACCCAAAACATAACTAAGGCTCTATTAAAACGCGTGCTTCGATACCAAAAAGGAATACTTACAGTTGACGAGAGTATAATCCTTCATCAATCGTTTGGTCGGAATCAACATTCATAGACATTTTCTTGCTTTATTAAAAAGAAAAGGAGAAAAGAAGAAAAAAAGATAAAATATCATGGTTAAAAATTTATAAAGGCATGACGGAAGTTACTTTTGCAATTTAAACTGCGCATGTATTCCTTACTCATCAACGTATAGCAGATCAAGAAAAGAGAATCCGCAGCCTTTTCTAATTCCTTCTTAACCAATCTAGTCCATGTTTGATATTTCAGATCTCTTTCAAAAGGAATGTTATTTCAGCTTCAGTTGGAGACGATTCTATGCTGTTTCTAGACCTATTTTTCAAAACTCAGAAAGAAATGTTTGTTATGACTTCACAACTCTGACATCCATAACAACTTATTGCTACAAAAAAAAAGTCATGATTTACATAAAAAGTGTTTATTTGTTTATTTATTTTTACAATTCAGCATGTTCAACAACTTCAACAGGCAAAGCACCTGAATCAGCAATGACAATATCAACCTTGGGTCTGTCTCTGAAACTATAGAAACAAATAAGTACATATGTGTGTATGAATAGAATAAACTTACCCTTTTTCACAGTTTTCGATCTTGGTAACAACATCCATACCTTCAATGACCTTACCAAAGACAACATGTCTGCCATTTAACCAAGGGGTTTGAACAGTAGTAATAAAGAATTGAGAGCCATTGGTATCAGGACCAGAATTAGCCATAGAAAGAACACCCTATATAAGGTTAGCAAACACACAGAATTGAGCTTATTTTACTTACAGGACCAGTGTGTCTCAACTTGAAGTTTTCATCCTTGAACTTACTACCGAAGACAGATTTGCCACCAGTACCATCACCATTGGTAAAGTCACCACCTTGAATCATAAAGTTCTTGATAACACGGTGGAAAGTAGAGCCCTTGTAGCCGAAACCATGTTCACCAGTAGCCAATTCCTTAAAGTTTTTGACAGTATTGGGGGTCGTCTTGCCGTACAAACCAATCACGATACGACCGAGTTCTTCATCACCTTGCTTGATATCAAAGTAAACTATGAATATTGAGTATGACACGCGTTCATTAAAACTTATTTACCTTTGTCAGTAATCAAAGGGCCAACAGCAGCAGATACATAGCTAAAAGTAGCAAGTGCCATCAGCACTGTGAATAAAAGGGAAGCAAAACCAAAACGAGCCATGATTTAAAAGAAAGAAAGAGAGAAAAATAAAAAGATCGGATTTGAATTTGTATTTATTACCCCTCTTCTGACTTTAAATTAACATCAAGCAATCAAATGTGTACGAGTGTCCATTTATCTCCTGCAAAGAAAAATAAATAAATGTAACAATAGTATGGTGTATTCTACTATTATTTTGGTAAAAGAGGAGAATTTTCATCATGTTCTTCTGACTGTTGGTCAGCTTCTTGATCAATTACTGCTGGCGATGTTGTTACTGACATAGGGGACACCTTAACAATCGTATCCACAATCCAGAACTGAATCATGTTCATGATCAATGGAAATCTAAATAACTCATATTAAGCTATTGAATTGTCTTTAGTATGACTTACACAAGCATGACAAAAATGACTTGGTATCGATAATTGCCCTTGGTCCATCTGAGTACCCATTCACCAAACGCAAACAAAAATGGCAAGTGGCGAAACATACCATAAACGCATAATTTCATCAATGATTCAGCCAGAATGAAAACACATGTCTGTTTAAACCAAGGCATCAACATACGATACACTGGAGGAGGACCATACCGACCTGTCTCAAGTTGCTTTACGCCTAACTTTGTTAATATGGCCTGAATCAAATGAAGCCAACCCCATAAGATGGCTACACCCAATGTTGTATCGACGGCCACGTTAAGAAAATACCATACGCATAAATTAGTTTTGGGACCTCCATTGCGTGGTCGGCCAGCAATATAACTGATGGCCAAGTTTAAAAAATGAATGACTGCTGCTCCTGCAAATTGTTTGCTGACATCCAATGCCCTAATACAGTTTAGAAACACTTCAGGGGATTGTTTTATAGATACCAAACAAGGACTGGTCTTTGAGGGCGTTCTCGACTGCGCTTATAGAAGAGTGTTATCAAAGCAGAAGAAACAAGAGCCATTTGAACAAGAATAGCAAATGAGTCTAGCAGTTTACAGCCTTCGTCGTCAGGGTGAGGACGATGGTGAGGTCGCGTTGGAGGAGGTGTTGGAGGTTCAGGTAATGATTCTGTTAGCATGGTAGTATAATTACATGATGCTGTGTTTGTCCATAATGCTTGACCTAGTACCAATAGACTATGTATCGATATGGAACTCATAATGTGTCTAATAATCAAGATTCTATATATATAAGTTATGCAAGAAGAAAAAAAAAGAGAGACAAAAAGAACAAGAGGAATTTTTACTTGATAATGGATCGGTCTTCCAAATCCTTTGTGCATAAATATCCCTTTTTCCAATGTTTATTAGACAAAAACAGTTTCTGTCTTTTGTTTTATCACTTTCTCGGTCACTACAATCGTGTTATCACTAGCAAGCTTTTTTTTGCCTAAATCGGCCACGCCTACAGTCACAGACTCCAAGTCAGTATCATCATCATCTTCTTCTTCTTCAAGGACAACATCGAGTCCTTCATTGGATCTTCTGATTGAATAGCCACTTGCATTCATAATATCTTCATATGGTATAGCCGTGGGAGTGTTACCTTGACCATGTCGTACAGCTCGATAGCAAAAGCTAGCAAAGGTAGCATCTGCACGCAACAGCATTTTCTTGTCCTTGACGATTTCTCTTACACAGAACCAATCATGCACACAATCTTCTACCACTGTTTCCCAATAAACCCCGTCGCTTTGTGCTTTTTGAGCCAATTCAAGTGCATCATCACGCAGCACTTCTTTGTTGCCGATAAACATCAACACTTGCTCTGGTAAGAAAGCATGGAAACCTGATTCAAGTTTGGCAATGCCCAAGATGGGATTGTCTTCCTCAGCATCAGTTACAGGCTCAAAGTAATCCTTTTTGATAATTTTGGCTGTGTATTGTGTAATGTAATCATATTTTACATTGTGCTTCCATGATGCTGAGTTTGTTTTATCTGTCACAAGAGGAGACGAAAAGACGGCTGCTGCAGGTCGAGGGAGCTCAGTCAGGGTTGGACCACTCTCGTCGTCTGTAACAATCTCAAACATGCTTGGATCGTGTGTAATAAACAACATTTCGAGAATCAGAGAGGCTCCCGCAGAGTCACCTGAGACGATGATCTTATTGGCATCCACTTGCAATGTTCTGGTGAGATATTCATAGGCACGGACAACATCTTCTACTGGGCTTGGGTATTTGTATTCTGGTGCAAGGCGATAGTCAATTGACATGATCATGACTTGCATTCCATAGTGTAATTTGAGTACTTTGATCCACTGAATCCATGTGTCCATATACATAGTACAACTGCCTATTCGAAATCCACCACCTAGAACAAATATGAGTTTGATGAACATGTACTCTTGTTTTTTTTTTGTTTACCATGCACATTAAAGAACACAATATCAGATTCATTAATTCGCTTCATTAAAGAAGCTTGATCCAAGTGTTTGATATTCTCTCCAATCCAACAGCCTGACCATTCATTGTTTCCTGTTACTTTGTGGATCCATGGTTTATGCGATGAACGAGGTTTGGTGATATCGTTCAGGATTAGCCTTGCCACTGGTGAAGGCATGGAGAATACCTTACGGAGGATATTGATCGTGGGTCCAGGAGGCAACTTGTTTAATGCTACTCTGATTTGGTTCATAATAATAATAATAGTAAAGAGAAAAAAAAACCAAAAATATAAGGTTGCTTTATGTATTTCCCACCAATCATGGTTACACGTTACACTTTGATAAAACACAAATGTCCCTTTTGTAAGCATAAATTACCAATAAGAGAAAAGCATGCTGATTTTATATATAATTGAATATAGTTTGAACTCTATCAATGTGTAACTAATGACTATGCCACTGCAGTACCCTTATTAGCTGCCAGCAGCATATCATGTTGATCTCCCATCATCAACGAATTAGCTATCCTTAATGCTTCTCTCGTAGCATCATCTTTTGTTGGTATATTATAGTCAATGACTACCTCCTCAGACGAGTCATCAGACAATGCTACTTCTTGTTCTTCCTCTGTTAGTTCATACAAGAGCATATAAGGGTTGGACCTTAGGACATCCTCCAATGAGCATTCGTCTACTTTGGAATCTGAGATACGATACCAAGTATTTTGACATTTCCATTCTTCTGGCTGTCCATCTCCCTGACAACCATGACATTGACACTGATCTGCAAATATTCTTCGTTTGAATGCCACATAATGGCCAAAGCTATGACTGCCATAATGAACAATGACACTCATCAATCGATAATAAGTCGTGTTCTTTTCGGGTATGGATATAGGCACGTTGGGTTGTGTATGCAGAGTGCCATTCGTACTAAAAGGCGAAACATCCAAATATTCAGGAAACATAAGCTGGCAGGTATTTTTATACACGGCACCTGTGTTTAAAAAGGCAGAACGAGAGATATGCAAACACAAAATCTTGGGTGGTTTAGCAAGCATGACTTGTTTACTACTCATTCGACTAACAGATCGTAACAATGGGAGTCTGTCTTGATCGTCTTCTTCTTCTATACGTCCCATCTTCAGCCTATATTCAACTTGTTGTTTTGCTTTTTCTAGACTCACAAGCTGAACAACTAATTCTCTTTTCTTTTTCACGTCTGACTTCTTAAGTTTCTTGGACTGATATTGGAGTTTTTCAATGTCTGCTTCTAGTGATTTGACAGTGATTTCAAACGAACATTTACGACAACTTGCGTCTTGTAAATATTCCATCGATGTAAACTGAGACAGACATTCTTGAAGTGTTGTCGTGTATTTGTTGGGTACATTCAGTTGAATATTATTGAAAGAGAAATGACGAATGGCCCCCTATGTTCATTAATCATTGCATACTGTGCACTTGGTCTATCTTACAGTATATCCACATTGCATACAAGATAGTCGGTTGGCCAATAAGCCTGTAAAAGGGTTTTCCGCATGATGCTTTGGTCTTTTTCGGTGGATCCAATGAACAATGCTTTGAGGTGGGCTCAATACATCCTTCAGTCCTCCTCCTAATCTATCTGTTTTGGCTATCTTTTGACCTTCTACATCAATGGCACTCGATACGATCTGAAAGAACTCTTGTGCGTCTTGCTGTTCACGACTGATGATACGACGATTAGAAGAGAGTGCTGTTACAATATCGACAGGGCGAAATGAAGTACGTTTCTCAAGTGGTTTAGCGAGGGATCGAATTGTTTTGAGTAAAGATCGAGTGACTGGTAATGAAATGCCTGTGGATACATAATTGACTTGTGCTAGATAAAGATGTAATTGGGGTAAAGAAGACATGGCCTAAATAAATGGCTTAATCTCTCTATATATAAATTCAACTGTTTACCTGCAATACTGAGTTGAGAAAGCAAGAATTGCCCGTGTTGACAAGACCGGACACAAGCGCAGTTTCATCACTGGCATCCAAGCCAGAACTGAGGCAAATAGCTGCTTCTGCTGAGGTCTTTGCCAGTGTACTTTCTAACATAAACTCATTAAAAATTGGTGATAGACAAAGGCGTGTCTCGTTTACCATTTAATTTTTTGGATAGGTTATCATAGTATTCTTGAGGTCGAATATACATCATCAGTTGAGGGATTCTCATCTGACTAAAGACAGTATGCAAAAAAGAGATAAAGTAATCAGGTAATAAATAACTAGTGTCATCGTGGTAAACAGCCAATCTTTGAAAGAAAGGTAACAGTATAGCTATTAAGCCTAATATAGCCACAATCAATTGGACCCAGGCAGACAACTCAGTAAGCAAAAATTGTAGCCTTTCCAAAGTTAACTGCATTATTATGAGAGAAAGAAAAATGAAATAAAAAATTTTCTAGGTGATTGGCTGAAAAAGGGACCTGCATTAACACAGGCATTCTGTATTTTATTGTCAACTAACTTCATTGCCACAAGAAAATAAGGAGCTGTTCTGTTCAGCCAAAAAGAAATACGTGACTTTACTCAGTTAACTACACGTGCAATGATGTCTGTTGTATAGGAGAAAGCCAGCCAATTTATTTGCGCTTAAATCGCTATTGAAAGATGTCTAATAAGGGACGTTTCTTGAGAGATTTTAGCCAGCTATCACAATATGCCTCATTCATCATACTACTTGATCTCCTTTTTATGACTGTGTAAACTAATTAAGTTCGGGAAAAGGGATTTGATATATAAGGTTTTCTTTTTTTTTTTGTATAAAAATATCTCAAATTACGATATTGAGTGATCGACGTAAAAAGACATTGAAAAGAGGTCAAGACAGTGTTTTATTATTTACTTTTTTTAACAAATCTTTCTTTCTCTCTTTCTTTTTCTTTTTATTTTTATTTTTCTTTTCTTTTCTTTATTTTACTTCAAGAGGTTAACTCAATAATAATAATAAAAAAAAAATAGGTAATATTCTCCTACTTGTGAGCAAGTAAAAATTAATTTGATTTTCTTTAGCAATAAATAGCATTAGGGTCTTTCTTTAAAGAAAAGCTCTTGTATACTTAATTAAACATGCTCATTAACGGCATAAAATTTGCTTGTAATACATGTGTCAAGGTAAATCTTTTTTTTCTTAATTTAATTTAGATTCACAATGATGATAGGGTCATCGTTCTTCTAATTGCAATCATATTGAACGACCACTTTTTGAAATTCGGAAGAAAGGAAGACCAGTAACACAATGCTCTCATTGCAGAGATTTAAGAAAGACAAAACAAGCGCATATGAAATGTTCTTGTTCTAACAAGTCAAAAAGTAATATCAAATGAATTTCTATATAGAGGCTAACGTATTCAAATCACAGCCATCTCGCATCAAAAGCAGTACTGTTATCAATGTTCAGAGAGTCATGGAGGCATTTCTTATTCAGACCTAGTTCAAGGAACATCCCAGTGTACATGTCATGAGATGAATTCCAAAATAATGTATGCTAATTCAGGCACATCAACTAAAATTCCTGATGGTTCTCATATTGTACTACCCTCAAGATCTCGAGGGAGTATGCAGCATCAAGAAAATACTTTTAAGCGGTCTACTAGTGCTTCTGACGTTTCATTCTTGGGTAGAAGTCCTCGTCGAATGAGCCGAAAAGCAACCAATAGAAGATCCACCATGTCTTCTATCGAAGCAGCCAACAGCACAATGATGGTATCTACGCAATTCCAATCAGATATGCTTGTAGACATGCAGTCATTTTTCTTGCCTGATGTAGCATCGTATAGCAGTTGCTCTGCTTCTTCAAGCTCACCTCATTCTGTTTATGCGGATATGAATGACTTTATTCCATGTGTCGATCCCTTTGAATTTGAAAGAAGTTCTGATGAACTCACCAAGCTTTTGAACAAAGTCTTTTATGAACAAAAAGACAATCATGTAAGTGCGGATATGGTACGTTCAGCGACTACCACCTCCACTGCTTCCTCATCATCATCCCCTATACACCACTTGCGACACACTATGTGTGGAAGTATTATACCCCATGCTTCATGTTCAGCACTTGTCGGACAACCTCAAAAAGAATCTGTCATGGTAACCATCACGCCTCTTTCAAACCAGCAACAAGAAGTACCTCAATTTGACTCTCACCAAGCGTCTTCAAGCCGAATTGTAACATGTTATTTCGGAAGCAACTGTGTTTGTCCTGGATGTCTTGTTCATCCCAACAATGCCACTCTTATGCAAAATTCAATTTATTCCAATTATAACTCTGATGATGACGAGCAATTTATTTATCCTCAACCAACAATGTCTGATACTATGTTTTAAATTACCTTTTATGCCACTTACACTCCTTAGTCTTAACAACAACAACAACAACAACCAAGAGAAAAAAAATTAGTTCATGTAAATAACTACATTTAGTTTCAACATATGCCCTTATTGATTCTATAGAAAAAAAAAAAGAGATGATTACTGCTATGCCCTTTTCTCTTTGCCTTTGAATAAACAAAAATATGAGACAATCAAGAGTTGGTGTAACACTTTACTACGATAACCAGTATTTCTTTGTTTGTTTTCTTTTTTTTTCTTTTTCTTTATTCTTTCACAATGGTACGTGTCTTCTGTGATAGGATATGTTGATCATGCTTGTTTGATTGTAGACTAATCAACTGGATGCTCAATTACTTTCTGAATACCGCGACTCATTTTCATTGTTTGATAAAAATGGAGATGGTGTCATTGATTCTTCTGAACTTGGTCAAGTGATGCGTTCTTTAGGCCATAGTCCTAGTGCTGAAGAACTCAAGGATATGATTGATGACTTAGACTCTGATCATAATGGTTATGTTGACTTTAACGAGTTCTTGGTGTTGATGTCTAGGTAAAACCAGAGGATTGGACTAAGTCTATCTGACTCCTTTTTTCTGTAGAGTCAAAGGTTCAGAAGAAACAGAGAATGACCTTATTGATGCATTCAAGGTCTTTGATAAAGACAAAGATGGCTATATTACACATGATGAACTTCGCTCTGTGATGAGTCAATTAGGTGATGTGTGTTCGTAACCTATTGTTTGTTTACTTATACTCTATATATGTAGGTCAACATTTGTCTCAAGAAGAATTAGATCAAATGATCTATGAAGCAGATGTTGATGGTGATGGAAGAATCAATTACAAAGAATTCGGTAAAATGATGGTAAGGCAAAACATAAAATAGACGCGTTATAACCAATGTAAAAAAAAAATAGACTGCAAAATAACTAAGTTCCCTTTTAATAAAGTGAAGATATTCCATATTAATTATGGATATATAAAGAAGAAAGGGAGCTATTGACTATCATGTTGCGACATCTAAAAATACACAACACATATTAGATTGTTTCTGGGCCTAACATGTTGACGTTGAGCATGTTATAGTCTAGAGTATACTCCAAATGTCATTTTAATAGTCTATCTAATGCTTTGATTTCTTGGCGGGATGTGGTCCAAATGCAATCTTGGCTACACTGTTGTATTTCTCAAACACCAAGACTCCGTGTAATGCAGCTATTTTATCCATTTAAGCATTTTGAGTGTCCCTTTTCATATTTGACATATGGCTATTGCAGTATAACAAGTACTTTAGTCATTCATTTCTCAATCGATATGAGACTGTTTCAATATCTGTTTGTATCGTTTAATTGGTTATTGAAAGAGTTATTAAATGATCCTACATGTGTGCTGATAGCTCTTGATTTCAATAGTCTACGAAGATTGGTTCCATGTTGTATACTGGTAAATGACCTTTGATGTTTGGTTTCTCGGCCAATGTCTAATCCAAATCGAGATCTGCTTATACTGATAGAGGCCTCTGAGATAGAGCTTTCATATATGACGTGATTGATCTTGCTATGTTTCCAATTGCGAGAAAAAGTACTGTTATTTAGAGTAAATAAATCGTTTTTACAGCTAAAAAGCCATAATTTTGATCTTTTAGGGTAGTAATCTTGCCATTTTTGTAAGCTGGATACCATGTTAGTATTAAATCACGTATCTAGAACACATTGACTATCTAAAAATTATTTTTGTTGCACTTTTTGATGTTGAAGGTGTCTTGAGTCTTTCTCGAGCCGTACTTTAACCAAAAAAAAACAAGAAATCATCTAAAAATACACCAAGGTAAAGTCTGATTAACTTGGGGTCTTAAGTAACTTGGTCTATTTTAACGTGTAGAGCTTGAAAATGCAACGAAAACGCGCTGTTTATTATGAGTATTTATGAGATGATGCGTAAAATAGTCTATAGCGTTCTACATGCGTTGTGTACTTTTTTTATATGCTTTTTTCAAATTCAACGCTTGGAGCATGTTTAGTAATGCAAGAGAAACATTCTTTACCATAGACTGTCATAATAAGAATTGCTTGTATGATGAGCTACAGATCATTTTCTGATTTTGATGTAAAATAAGGCAGGCTGGGTCATAAACTACACTCATGTTTTCATGAGTCAAATATGTCTCTTGATGATCACTGATACTAGAAAACATATTATATAATCAGCTCAAGCTTAATTTATTCAAAAATAAGTATAAAAGGCTTTTTTTTTTTTTTTTTTTTTTTTTTTTTTTTTTTGCTGGTGAAATAGGATCATTGTTGGTATTTTCTACCATGATACTCTTCCAAGTTTAGAACTTTGTATTTGAAGTTAGTCTGCCTTCATGATAGGTATTCTAAAGCTCAAGATATAGCAGCATGTTGAACCTGTGCTTATTTCTATTCAGCATCTGATGCCTATCCTTCATTGCAATAAGTAAAATCAACTCTGAATCCTTTTCAAAGTTTAAGCTTTTTTCGCTTTAGTGTCACACAGCTGGTTTATCATGTCTTTTTCTAAGCTTTTCTTATACCAAATGACTCACAAGCAACATCAATTTATCATTGTTTTTTTTATCACTCGCCCTATCTGATACAAAAGAAAAAGAAAAGAAATGATAAATGAAGCTAGATTTATTGATAACGAGGGTTCTGACTATCAGGAGGTCCATAGCCACCAAAGTTACCAGAAGGAGGAGGATAATAAGGTGCATTACCACTACCACTGTGATATTCTTGTCCGGAATGATGCTCTTGTCTTTGAGGGGTAGGATATTCGGGAGGAGGATAATAGGGAACATTACCAGCGTGTTCTTGGCCTGGTTGATGATGCATGCCACCACCGCCAATAGGTTCACCATAAGGTTCAATGGTCCATTGTTGGTTTTGATTGTCTGTGTCTTTACGCTTATACAAGATAATCTTGGTACCATCTTTGTTTCCACCACCCTGCTCATATATAAGTTATGCACATATCATATATAAATCCATTTACCTTGATGTCAAGAACAAGACGAGGATCAGCCAAGACATAGACATAGCCATCACGATAACCCCATCGTTGGTTATGAGCCCTGTTCTACAATTAAGATATATTATCTGAGTTAATGGACTTACATGGTAATCTTGCGGTCATATTGAACAATGGGTTTATCAGATAAAAGGTCACCACCACGTACATCAATGACTTTATAAAATTTTAGCATGATTTTTTTTATAAAAACGAATCTTACCTAAATTGGATTTCTTGTTAACCAAGAAACCATCTTCGGCACGCCAAAGCTACACTCTTGGTTATATCAAAGCCCTCTTTTTTCATTATAGTTTTATTACCTGATTGTCTTTATCTTCACCATGTTTCTATGATGCATAAATATACATATACAATATAAACACACAAAACTTACTTGAGGCCAAATAATAATGTTGGAGTCAGCCTAATGCTTTATAAGTTGAGTTGTACCTTACAGCCAATACTTACTGTAGTCTCACCCATATAGACATCCACACAGGAGCCGCAGCTACGAGATTTGATATAAAAGTATTGTCCTTCAGGGAATCCGTTGGTCATGATAAAACTAAAGAGAAAAAAGAAAAGGAAGGAGAGAAATCAATGCAGTTTATATATTTACACGCGTCATAGGCCGATAACAACTCAGCCCCACTCCATTTATTATTATTATATGCAATTTGACATCAAGTTACTTGTTTCTGTCTCATCCAAGCATAGTAATTTAGCAAGGATAGGCACCATTGCCTACCAAAGTAAGTACAGTGCTATCAATTGAAGATGACTTACTGGTTTATTATCAGACAAAAGAAACTTGATCAATACATTTTTGAGGTATTCATTGTTCATGTCCTGTCTCTTTTCAAACCCATCCATTTTCCTAGTATTCGATGAATAAGCCATAGTCTATCTACATAGACGATTACCTTAATTCGTCTTTAAGCACTTTTTCTTGGTGTTTGAGTGCCATGACTTTATCTTCACTTTCATGTAACATTTGACTTAGACGCTGCACTTGCTTTTCTAACCCCATCCGTTCATCCGGTATTTGACGTGACACAAGAGGGGAAAGTAATGAACTCATGGAAGCTATTCTTGTTAGTATATGTCTGTAGAGAGAAATACTTACCATAAACATCTTGAAATTCTTTCTTGGACGAAGCATTAGGTAATGGCAAGATATGTTCTTCTTCCTTAGGCGAACTAGGTGTAGAGACTAGCAATGTCTGAATTTCATTTTCCTTGGCTACCAGTTGTTGTTGTAATGATTGATTCAATTGTTCTAGTTTGTCTATACGCTCTTGTTGTTCTTGAGACGGCCTCTGTTCTGGTTGAATGGTGATGCGATGATCTAACTCAAATGTTTTTTGCTGAATGATTGAATTCAAGGATTGTAATTCTATAGACTTGCGTCAATACACACACACACATATATATATTACTTGATTCATAATGTTGTCTTTCAATCTCAAAGGTTTCTTGTATAGATTTTTGCTTTAAATCAGACTGTTTTGTCAATAGACCATGTTGTTTTTCTAGCTCATGAATGCGGTCAATAGCTTTTCTTAGGTCATGTTCTAATAATAGCTGATGTTCTGCCTTTTCTTGTTGTTCCAACTCATGCTTTCTATAACTCATTTTAGTCATAAAGCTTCCTTGTTGTCACTCACATCCTTTGTGCCTGTAATTGCTCAACAAGTTCTTGTAACTCATTCAGTCTGTTTTGATCTGATTTCTGTTCCTGATTTAATAATACATGCGCTCTCTTTTTGTATTGTTCATAGTCAGTCTTGGTCAATTGGAGTTGATTGGCTAATTGTCTATTCTTGGCTTCCAATTGTTTGATTTCTGATCCATAAAATGTCTTTTCACTTGTGATGACTGTATTTAACTTTTCTATGGATACTATTCAAATCAATGGAGAAAGTTCATTCTGTCCACCTACACTGTTGTGATTCAGATAATGACTTAAAAGACTGTTCTCTTATTTGACATTCTTCTAATTCATTTTTTAGCTTATCGATGTCTGTATCTTTGGATGCAATGGTAGCACGGTATTGATCAATATTTCTAGATGCCTGGCCAAAGATTTCTATAGACAATAAGACAACGCATATCTAAAGGCAACTTTCTTTACCTCTCATTCGCTTTAGTTTTTCCTCATATTCATCTAAAATGTTGTATGAATAGCTATGTCACTATCATATATATATTTACTTGTTCGTGTACTGAGTGTTTCTTGATACTTGCTGTTCTCAGACAATTGATGTTTTAATTGATATTTCAGGTCTTTGACTTGTTCCTGTAGTTGAAAGACGAGCTTATCTGTATCGCGCAAGTTTGAACTTGCTACTTTCTAACAACAAGGTCAGTCTCTCTTGATAAACAAAAGGGGCTTTTCTGTACTTTAGAGCGAACAAGTTCAAGTTCTCTTTCTAGTCTCTCTACTTGTTTTTCTGCTTTTAAAGCTCTGAATTTATCTGGACTATCCATCCTGTATAAAAAAGAAGAGAAAAAGGGAGATGGTACCTATCGGAGATTCTATCTAAAGAAAAGGGAATTGTCCGGGACTCTTTTAAACTAGTAAGCCACTGCATAAATCTTTTTTTTTTCTTTCACTCTCTTTCTCTTTTTTGTCTTTTCAATAGAATGAAAGTACCTACTTCTCAAGATAACTTGTGGATCGCAGCTGGTAAGAAATATATTCGCATGTTGGAAAGCTAATTTTTTTTTTAGGTGACGGTCAACTCGATCGTGTGAGAGTAAGTTTGAATCAATCTACCGCAGTAAACTGACAATGTGTTTGACAGGAATTAATAGAGAACGGCATGAATGTAGACAGTCATGATGAATTTGGATATACTGCCATGTAAGGTACAACTCTATACTACGATCCTTTTTATTTATCCAATTAGGCATGCTGCTGTTTCTTATGGTCAATTTGAGATTGTCAAATATTTACTTGAAAAGGGAGCCAATATCGATATTGAAGACTTAGAACATGATACACCTTTGTATGTGGCAGAAACAGTAGAGATGGCTCAATTACTGTTAGACCATGGTGCAAATCCTAAACATATCAATGCAGAAGGCAATTCACCTGCTTTAAATGCTCATGATGAAGGCTGGGAACAAGTAGCTCAGTTAATAGCTAGTGTTACAAAAGAAACATTACCTACTGACGAAGATGAAGATGAAGATGAAGAGGATTTATCTCATGTTCAAGAAGGCACTGATCATGAAGAATTCTTTAATGAACAAATACAAGAAATCATGAAACGCATTGAAGAACAAGGAGGTGTTCAAGATGAAGAAGAATTAAGAGAAATGGTGACAAAGATGGTATTGGAAGGTGTTCAAAGAGGCATTCAAGAGCAATAAATATACAAAAATAAAATTAAAGCACAGAATAGACACGGCTGAATAAATATGAGATTATTTTTATTTATTTATTCTTTTTCTTCTTCTTCTTTACACTATGGATAAATATCAAGTAAAGTAGTTTTTTTTTTATTAATTAAAAAAGTCGTTTATTGACCTATTCAAAGAAAATAGAAAAGTTGGGTGAAGGTAAACAAAGTGAAGTGTTTTGTCATCTTGTACTTATTATATATTTATTAGGTACTTATGGTATTGTCTACAAAGCACAAAACCGTGAAACAAATGAAGTGGTTGCTTTAAAGCGTATTCGACTAGATAATGAAGAAGAAGGTGTAAGTACAAGAGAATAAATAACTAAAAAAAAATGACCATATTTATTATATGCAGGTGCCCTGTACAGCCATTCGAGAGATCTCCTTATTAAAAGAATTAAAGCACCCTAATATTGTGAGGTGGGTGACATAAAAGACAGAATACATCATACTCATCTACAACAGACTCTATGATGTTCTACACACCGAAAAGAAGCTTACACTTGTGTTTGAATACTTGGATTCTGATTTGAAAAAGTTTCTAGATTCTTATGGTGGTGATATTGATGTACTTACAGTCAAAGTAAGGAGGTTGACAGCATAGTTCATTCACTTACATGCATTGATCTAGCAATTGATGTATCAACTACTAAAAGGCATTGCTTTCTGTCATGCTCATCGAGTTTTACACAGAGTAAGTGTTGTGTGACTAAAATCATAGAGTTGATATAGGTTATATTAGGATTTGAAACCACAAAACTTATTGATTAACAAAGTAAGTCCATGTCTGACACATTTGTTTTTGTCTTAACCTTTGTTTAGAAAGGTGAATTGAAATTGGGTGATTTTGGATTAGCAAGAGCTTATGGTATTCCAGTCAGAAGTTACTCTCATGAAGTAAGATAATAGAGTTTAGACCATATACTTATCAACATTAGGTTGTCACGCTATGGTATCGTGCACCCGATGTATTGATGGGATCTCGTCAATATTCAACTTCCATTGATCTATGGTCAGCAGGCTGTATTTTTGCAGGTAAAGCAGTAGCTAGGAGATGATTACCTTGTTCAACTTCAATGTTAGAAATGGCTTCTGGAAGACCTTTATTTCCTGGTAATTCCATCTCGGATCAATTACAACGCATTTTTAAGGTACTGGGTACACCTACTGAAGAGATTTGGCCAAAAGTGTCTCAACTTCCAGAATATAAACGTGATTTTGAGATATTCCCCAAAATACAGTTGGAAACCCTTTTGCCTAAACTTGATCCATTAGGTATTGATCTCTTAAAGGTAATGTAGTTTGTCTTTGAAGAAGGGTGCACTTATCTCTCAATAGCGTTTACTTGAATATCCTCCTGAAAAGCGAATTACAGCAAGTGATGCATTGCAACGTAAGTAAGATTCAAATCACACTGACAAATAATGCTTTCTCTCTTTAGATCCTTACTTTGATGAACTACGGAAGAAGGAGTTACCTACGACTGACAATAGCCGATAAATATCCCCCTTTATTTTTATTTCTTTATCATTGAATAAACATAATCAGCAATTGCAAGTGAGGATGTCAGACCAGGACTTTCAATACCAATCAATGTAAAGAAGTTATCATGGTCTGGTTCTTCTTGAATCACAAAATCTCTAAAGGGTTCACCTGGACCTGCCAGTTTAGGTCGAATGCCTGAATAATCAGGGTTCAGTTTATCTTTATGCATACGAGGAAGATAAGACTGAATAGCTTCTGCAAATACTTCTCGCTTCTTGTCATCATCAGGCACACGATAATCATAAGGATCATCAATGTACTGTACATCAGGACCAAATTTGATTCTGCCTGCTAGATCTAATGTCAAATGGGTACCAAGACCAGCCAGATTCTTTTCAGGGCAAGGATAGATCAAGTGGTTGACTTGAATAGGTTCTGAACAGGTATAATAATGTCCTCTGGCATAATACAGCCTGTAATGTCCTGGCATCAACATATTGCTGACTTTGTCTGCATGTAAACCAGCTGCATTAAATACACGTTTAGCAAACACACACGTCGTGTCTTGTGCATCCGATGGCGTGGCTAGTTCTAACAGATATCCCCTGAAGTAGGTTGAATAGACCGAACAGCTGTATTCAGGGCAACATCGCCTATGTGTTGCTCTAAATAGTCCATCAATTGGTGCGAGTCAATGATGCCTGTGGAAGGCGATACCAAGACAGCATGGGCCTTCACATGGGGTTCGATATGACGGGCTTCTTGAGGATCCATGAAATAAGTTTCTACCCCTAGTCGTGTTGCTTTCTGATGAAGACTCTCAAGATAAGTAAGCTGGTCTTGATTTTGTGCCACAATCCATTTCCCTAGACGACGATAGCCGATATTTGTCTTGTCCAATAGACGATAAAGCATACGGTTGCCTTGGATACATAGTTTCGTCTTGAGGCTTTTTTCTGGATAATAAAGACCTGCATGAATCACTTCACTGTTTCGAGCACTAAGGTGTGGACAATCAATTGACTGTGGCATGGGTTATTGCTTACCTTGTCTCTTCTCCTACTCGCTTATTCTTTTCAATCACACAAGTTGTCTCTTTAGGCATACAGCGTGTCAGTTTCTCACCAAGAGCCAGTCCAACCACACCTGCACCAATGACGATATTATCTACTTGAAGTTCAGGTGTTCTTGGTCTTGATGAGAAAGCTCTTTTCCCGAGATGCTTGATTAGTTTGTGCATACAGTATTTTCAGTTGAGTTTGAGGAAATTCTGAAAAACATTTCTAATTTTTAGGATGATTTTTTTCTTTTTTTAACTTCGTACTAAATAGACTACATCAATCCTGAAGCTGAACCTTTGTTGCGAGTACGATGTGAGATAGAAGTCGGCAACTATGGTGTTGATTTCGGTAGTTTGAATAATTTAGTTTGTTTTGAATCTTTAAATAAAGATCAGATCGAACCTCAGCCTATGGAAGAAATCACAGTTATGAGTAATGTCAAACTCAGTACGATATAAAAAGTATGGAGCAGATCAGATTGAAAGATTCAACAAGGTACTCCAAGAAGAGGGACTATCTCTTCCTAAAGCTGCTGTGGTATGTGACATTCCTTGTTCAAGCGTTTACAGAATGTTGGATGAGTTTAAAAGTGGCGTCTATGCACCCATATTAAAGCAATGCTCCAAGAGTCTCGCGGTGGTGAAGAAAGTTAAATGAAGAATACGGAATAGATGCACAAGCCTCACAGGCACAACATCAAGTCAAAAAGCTGGAGAAAGATTTTTAATACAGGAAAAGCCAAAGGATTATTCAAGTCTTGTACCTTAGTCAATCCCTTAAAAAGTTCTTATTACCATGCCATTAGACGTACCAAGAAACAAAGATAGTTTTTTGTTATTCGCTCAGCAAACTAATAGTTTGGTTTTCTACGTCATAAGAAAAGGAAAATAACTTGTCTGGATAACACAACGCATGAAAAGCATTTATTATAGATTGCTCATTTGGATATCCACATCAGAAAGAAATATCAACCATTCTTTTGCCCAAGGCAGTCTTTGTTGGCAATAATTTACCATTAGCTTCAAGAAAAAAAAGAGATCCATTTTCGCTTACCGTCTCACTGAGCTTTAACTCTCACCCCCTATCTTGGGTTCTTTTTTTTTTCTTCTTCTTTCTTGACGCGACATGGCTTCAAAAGAACAACAATCAGCACTCTTTACCGAGTTAAAAAAAGCCATTGAGAATGATGATGATGACCTCTGCTTAGAACTCTGCGATAAACTCATCCAATTAGACCCTCAAGATCAACTTGCACTTCAATCTAAAGTGGTTACTTTGATTCGTCTCGAACAATACAAAGAAGCACTGACGCTTATTGCACGCCAGTTCAGAAACAGTGAGATTGATCTATCGTTTGAAAAGATATATTGTTATTATCGTACAAACCAACTTGTGCCAGCCATGGAACTCTTGCAACAGTCAAAGGCAAAAAACAATGACCCTTCTTTGTCCTATCTCGAAGCTCAGCTGGTAAAACGAGACCAAGATCCTTTTTGTTCATCTAACGCGTTTTCATAGCTTTATTCTCAAGGTCAATTTGAAAAGGCCATTGAAGTGTATGAGACGCTTCTCAAGTCACTAGACAAGAGTCATCATCTGTATGATGAAATCCAGGTCAATCTGTTGGCTGCCAAGGCTGGTTTGTTGTACTCTAACCCATCTGCCAACGACAATGTAGAGTTAAAAGAAAGTGCTGATCTATACGAAGTTGCTTATAACGCTGCTGCTGTCTATTTGGCTCGTGGCAATATCAAGAAGGCTCAAGAGCAACTTGAATTAGCTCATAGTAAGTGAGACAGTAAATGGCTATTTTTTTCTTTTTCGGCTCATGTTCTATCAGAACAATGTAGTGACCGATCTCAAGGAATGAGTAAAGAAGAGCACGAAGAAGAATTAGCCGTGATTGCCACTCAATTAGGTTACACCTATCAATTACAAGGTCGTTCTACAGATGCCATGAATATTTACAGACAACTCTTGAACTCAAAGTAAGTATCCAAATGGCGTGTATTGTACTTATGCCATATATGAGGGATGTTACTGTAGCCGCTGTTGTATCCAACAATATGGTTGCTATTGAACAAACAAAAGATCTCGAAGATGCTGCAAAGAAACTCAAGACAGCCAGCAGTAAAGAAGCAGATGCCAAACTTAAAAACTATCAAAAGAGAGTGATTGCCATGAACGAAAGTCTACTTCAGCTCTACAATCGCAAGTATTCTGCCTGTAAAGACCAAGCTCAAAAGTTGATTGACAAGTATCCCGATCATGATCTCTTGTACCTTATCTTGGCCAGTGCTACCTTCCATCAGCACAAGGCCGCCAAGGCTGTGGAAGAACTCAAGAAATTCGCTGAAAAGAAGCCTGGTTCACTTGCCATTCGTTTTGCTACCATTCAGTTACAACTCCTTGAATCTCAACCTGCTCAAGCGCTTGAGACATTAGAAGCTTATATCTCTGCTAACAAGCAAGACAAGACGACCTATAAGCCTGCCGTGGTAGCCTTGTTAGTTTGGTTGTATGAACAAACGGGTCAATCCGACAAAGCAATGGAAGTATTGGACGAAGCCTCTTCTGTCTGGAAAAACGACAAGGATTTTGCGTCTACCAGTGCTCCCACGTCCACGATTAAACAAACGGCTGCTTTCAAACTCAAGACAGGCAAATACCAAGAAGCAGTCGATGACTATGAGCAACTTGTCAAGGCAGATCCCTCAGATGCTCAAGCCATTGCTGGTCTCATTGCAGCTTATGCTGAAGTGGATCCTAAAAAAGCAGAGCAATATGGCAATGCTTTACCTGCTGTCGCTTTGGATCATTTGGATATCGACACGTTGGAAAAGATGGTGCCTGGTGTCAAGCGTGGTTATGTCAAGAAGGATCCCAACGGTGTTCATGTCAAGAAACCCAAGACAAAAAAGAAGCGACCTGCTCTTTTACCCAAAAACATGGACCCTAATGCACAACCTGATCCTGAGCGTTGGATTCCCAGGTATGAACGATCTACTTACCGTATGAAGGGCAAGAACAAGAAGGCATTAAACAAGGGCCCTCAAGGTGTGATGGTTGAAGGGGGTGGCATTGGTGGTACAGGTAGTGCCAATATTGGCGGTAAAAAGCTTCTGATTGAAGAAACTACACCAGAGCCTGCTAAACCTGTCTCTACCAGTACTCCAAAGAAAAAGAAGGGAAAAGGCAAAGGAAAGAAATAAAAAAAGAAAGTTATGTACATTTATTATTGCTTTAATTCATTCAAAAACAACTGAGCACCTTCTACAATCAATTTGTGCTCAAAAGAATGAATACGTTCTTCAAGATCCTCAAGTGAGTCTGTATCATAAATAGGCACTTCTCTCTGAAGGATGACTTGTCCACGATCCACGTCAGCAATGACTTTATGAACCATAATACCTGTATGTGTAATTTCTCCCTTTTTATAGGCTTCGTAAGCACGTTCAATGGCATGAGCACCATCAAACTGACCAGGCAAGGCAGGATGCAAATTCATCACATTATTGTCAAAGAACGACAAAAATTCGGGAGACAAAATATGCATAAAACCAGCCAAAATCACCAAGTCGGGCTTATAGTTTTGGATTGTCTTTGCAAGGTGAATATCAAAGTCCACACGAGTCTTGCCTTGATCCTTGAATTGTTTTAGCGAGAGTGTTTCTGTGGGGATGCCTGCTTTCTTGGCGCGCTCAAGACCGAAAGCAGCTTTTCTGTTAGAGATAACACCGACAATCTTGGCTTTTAATTGTCCTTGTTGTGTAGCATCAATCAATGCTTGTAGATTTGTTCCAGAGCCCGAAATAAGCACAACGATGGTTTGTGTGGTTGACATGGCTTAGAGAAAAAGAAAGAAGAAAGAAAGGCTAAAAAATACAAGATTAAACGGTCTTTTAAATTTAAGATTTTCTGATCAATACATCTATGAGTCGAATGATGGTGGCTTGTTGTTCCTGAAGTTGCATAAATTTCATTAGATGAACCTTCTTTATTGATTGACACAAACAATGTTGAATAAAATCTATCAATTTCAAACACTTGTATAGCTGCCTTATCCGTGTCTATCTGCTGCTTCATTGTTGTCTTTTATCTTTAGTACGAGTTGGACGGGGCTCATTTTACTTACCAAACTAAAGTGTAGTTGTCTTCAATATGCTATGACATTGCATTTTGATTTCGTATGTTTAGTGTCTAGTTACTGATTTTTTTGTTCTTTCTCCTTTCTATCAACTCTATCAAGACGCGATAAGTGTTGACACAGAGAAACAGAGTACACTTAACACGCAATGTGAAAAAAGAGAATCGGAATATGAAATACCGAACCCTCCTTTTGCATGACTTTCATCCTTCGTTATGCTCAAAATTGCTCTCTTTAACCTCAAAAGTGTCATGTATTACTATATAATCTGCTCGTATTTATGTTGGGTATTGAATGGTATAGGAGCGGATGCCTGCTAACTAGTTAATGTCTGTTGAAAAGGGTCTTTTTTTTTATAATGATTACAGTGTATAATGAACTTTGAATGCAGATTCGAAGGCAATGCTCAAATGAACTCGTCTTTTTCATCTTAGTAGACTTGCTTTCTTTTTTTCAGAAGTATCTAGGCATGTTCTCATCTCATTTCTGCTGGATCAGGCTTACATCGGGATCAATCTGACATTTCAAAATTTTTTGATGAACGAACCTCCATAGATCCCCTGGGACAAAAAAAATAGATTTCACGCAAGTGCCAAACTTATGGTACCGTTTGATTTCTTGGTTTGAACAAAGGTTTAATTTGATAATTTGGTTATCGAGTAATGGTCCATCAAAGAACAGTGCATTTGAGCTGTGTTTTGAACGTTTTCGCTCTAGATGACATATAAAACTCGCGATCCAAGGATTTATAGAACTTTTATATGCTGTTTGGGGTACCAAAGAACATTTAAAAGTAAAAGCAGGGTCGATTTATAACGCAAATATGGGATAAATGGACATAGAACATACATATTGGCGGTATACGGAGATTGAAATGGAACGTAATGCCTGTTCTTCGATCCCGCCGCACCCAAAAATCGAACCTTTGCTGAGAACTCCATAAAGACGCCGTTATTGGACTTTAGTGTAATGATAAAAGTGGTAGATATTTGCTTTTTGAGTTTATTGATATAGAAGAACCAACAGGTTTACTGCAAAAATATTGAGCAAAGGCGCAAAAATGTAAATAAGATTTTCCACTCATACCATACCATACCATACCATTTTCATAACGCAATTAGTAGACAAATTCATTTATTAAATACTAGAGCATCTAATGGTTATTTTGAGTATTTAAGCTTGTCGATAGCTCCATTTTTTGTCTTGTAATGTTAAAAAGTAGATCTAAGATTGTGAATAATACCCTTTAGATCAGAGTGATTCTTGCCCATTTTTTACAAGTCGGGTTTTTCAGCCCAAAAAAAACTCCAAAGATATCATGAGTGTTAGTAAGCACTGTTTCCAGGCGCTTCAAGTATTTATGCGGGTATACACAGGCTTTGTACTCCCTTTGAGTGGTAAAGCAACCCTGTGTATTCGTCTGTTTTTTAAATGGATATAATCACATCCTAAATTCAGAAAGTACATTTTCTTCTGTAAGGAAAAAGGTTTAACAATTTTGGTAGATAAAAGTTATAGGTATTATAAAAGCCTCCACTAGTTTGAACTAGATAGTTAGTAGTGCAATAGACGTTGATTTTTTGAGCCAATTGAAAACTGTTTTGATCTATGACATACCAAAAAAGAAAAAAGAAAAAACCACTAGCTTTGCATGCGAAGTACTACCTTGTAGTAAAGCTTTTGGGAATAACAAATGATATAATGCCCTTCAAAATGCGTGTACAACACTAGTGTAGCACAAAAGCTAAAACCAATAATTGGTTTGGACAAAAAAAAGTCTTGTTGCAAGGTAAACTGCATCGCTTAGAGCACAAAGCATCACTTTTCTGCCCACCAATCCAGAAACAGTAAGACCCATTTACTTGATTTGACTGGTTCATATTCAAATTACATCGGATCTATCGGAGGAGTAACATAATTTTTTTCAAGAACTTTTTCCTTTTATTTCGCTTATGGGAAACTCAATCAGTAATGAAGAGAAAGGTATAAGGAGGTTTTCTTCGTCTTCGCGCTCAAGGAAGAGTTCTCGCTCTTATCGCTTCACGGGTTCTTCCAGCAACTCTTCTTTTTCTCCCAGCGCCAGCCATAGTGATTTAGAAAATAAGCACGAAACTATTCTCTATCGATTAAAACACAAGGCAAATAGGTCCAGAGGACATAGCCACACTACCAGTAGCAGCAGCAGTACTCATCATTTGCCTCGGATAGATCAAGACAAGCCAATAAGCCCTGACTTGTCTAACCATGAGATGATTGGAAAGTATGCAGACAGTCAAATGACACTATTAAACACGAAATATCACCCGCTGGCCGGTATAAAAGCACATAACGACTCATCCACCACAGTCAACTCTACAACCACTGTAAATACACATTCGTTCCCTCAACAAGATCCAAAATCCTTTTCTTGTGAATTACTCTTGAAAGAACTCTACATGTCTTGTGAAACAAGTCCTGAAAGAAGAAGAGAAAGAGATAGGTAAGTGAATGAGAGGTTGCTTATGGTCATACTGATTTCGCATAATAGACGACATCGACAGGTAAACAAGACAAGTAAAAGAATACAGTATTTACAATGTTTATAGCATTATTTATTAAAGAGGATTTGGGGCAGTAACTATAAAATACCCCTAAAAGACCCTTCTGTAATCATTGATTGGTGTTGTGGTACAGGTAAAATGGAATGAGAATTGAATGGCTTCTAACCTTTATTAGCTGTATGGGATGTGGAATTAGCATTTGAATTTCCCAAGGCACAGATCATTGGTATTGATTACGAATCGTTTACTGTGTCTAGTTTGACCAATACTGTCAAGAACTTTTCTTTTCATAATGCCTTAATTCACGAAGGTCAACATGGATTTGATGCATTTGAAGATAACCAAGTCGACTATGTCATGTTAAGAGATACATGGCTGTTAAACTGTTCTCTTGCTAAATGGACCACCACATTTAAAGAAATTTATCGCATTCTTAAGCCAGGTGGACATATAGAGATTTATGAGCAAGGTAATAAGTGGATGTGGATCTATACGATATGCTAAAAAAAGAGAGGGCGAATAGATATGAGCTTTAAACCCATAGGTCCATATCTTAACACACTCGAAAATTGGGTAGCCAATTTCTATGCAACTATTCAATTTGATCGTAATACAATTCACAACCTGGAAGGTATTCTAAGCGATTCAGGCTACACGAATGTCAAGAAAGAATCGGTTGAGGTTCCTATTGGTGAATGGCCTAAGACAGAAGGTAAAGTGACTTTACTAATTTTGTCTATTATTGACTCTTGATAGATTTAAAAGAAACAGGTTATCTTCAAAAAGATTTAACAGAGCGTGGGTTTAGAGAAGGAAAACGTTGGATATGCAAGATCAATCAATTGTCTGAAAAAGAATTCTCAAATACACTTTCTGCAGCTATGGAAGAATGCGATCAATACGGCACTGTTGTCTCTAGTCTCTATTACAGCGCTCAAAAACCACTTACTGTATATTAAAAAATCACCTTCCCCTTTATGTATATGTTCTCTTTCTTTCTCATTGGCATTTCTTTTCTTTTTATGTGCATAATAAACAAAGCTAAAAAACGCGTTTTTTTTTTTCATTTACGTGTTTATTTTTATCAATTTAATTATTCTTTCAATATGAGTGATATGGACTTGGACGACGTTGGTTTTGACAACCTGGACGTCGATGACCTTATTAAACTTGAGCAAGTAGAGCACAGTTATTTGTCCGATCCTCTTCATCAGCCTTCAAGGATGTCAATGTCAATACCTCCTGAATCCAGTGATCTAGTAAGCCTAACATCTCAACAAACTCTTATTCATGTTTTTAGGCAAACAGTCAGATAATAGAGCTAGAGTCTCAATTAAGGAACTCTAGACACAAGACAAATCAAATGGAAAAGAAAGTCCAAGAACAACAAGAAGTGACAAAAAGAAAGGTTGGAATTCTTGCTTGTCATGTGTTATTGACTTCAATAGGACCTTGAGATACTTGAATTAAAGCGACAATTGTCTATGTTGAGACCAAAAGCTGTGACAGAAAAGCGAGCATTTCCTGCAGAGAAGCCAGCCCCAAGAAAGATCTACAAGAGATCAACGCATTCACCAAAACAATCACAATCCTCTTCGGTCGATCAACCAGTTGCTGTTGTACCACCATCAGTACAATTACCTGTGAATGAGAATCAAGAGAATGTATGTGTGTTTCTGTGTATGCTATGTACTAAAAATGATGATAGTATAAGCTATTACGTGTTTTATATTCAGACATCTTTATCGAATGGAATAACAAAAACCACAACGGCACAAAAGACTTTGAAAGCTGTGTTCATCATACTGAACTTATTGACATGTTTGTCTCACAATGCATGCCAGAATCTCATGAGTCAAATGTCACTCTAGACCAGTTTGGACTCATGGCAGATCAAATCAAGCATACAATACAAGACTCTAAACAGCCTCATCAAACCATTCCTATCTTACTACATCAACTTCATTTTTGTCTATCGATTTCAATTGAAAACCGCCTTTACAAAACCATTCAACACTTGTCCAATATTATCCATAGACTCACATGTGCATTTATAGAAGCAAAGGAGTACATGTATCAAGAACTTATGTTGTACCCGCCGAGTTCTTTAGTCTACACAATGGCCAATGCACTAAGTCTTTTTAGATTTACTCAATTACCACCCGAAATCAGCATTCTTGACAATCATCCAGATATTCAGAATAACAATAATATCAGTTTTACACGCATTATGGAACTAGCTGAACTCTACAACATGCTTCCCTCACAGATTTGTAGTCTGATAGATGCAGAAAAGACGCCTGATGAAACACTGGATACTGTCAAGTCTATTTTAGAGTCCTTTATCCATCTAGGACTAACTTATCAAGAGCCTTTGTAATTATTCATTCATTATTTGTTTTTTTTTTTGTACTCATACTGCTAGATTTGTGTTTCTGTTGACTCATGAAGGGTTTCTTGAGCTAATATCTACTGCCACACCATGGCTTGTTCTTATGAAAGCATGTCATGTCCTGAATACAAATTATGTAGACAAGCAATGGTCAGATATTGAATGGAGATCAGATAAACCTTTAAAGGCTATTCAAAAGCTGTTTGATTTACTAGACATACCTGGTGCATCTATTGGTAAAGAAAAGGTATCTATTGCTCAAGATGGAACATAGTCTAATGTCCATAGATGTACCAATTGCGTATTGATACTCTTGGTGTGATACACAATATGTGCAAAGTGAATTTACCACTATCTACCCTATCATCAATCCAAAGAGAGGTAAGAACATACAAGATGAACAGTGTCTTAGGCTCAGTCTATATAGGCTTATACAAAATCTATGGATCTAATGCGAATAGAAACAGTTGAAATGAAAAAAAGCCTCAAGCTAAACGAGCAAAAAATGCAGTAAGTAAGCAGATCTAATTAAGCAGTATAAACTGATCATAATACAGGGCATCTTTCATTGCAGAAATATTCGCTACCATTCATACTGTCCTCAAGAGATATCAAGGAGATTTACTTGAATATTATGAGCAATATGATGATTATAACCTACACAGACTAAGTGCATTGGTAGTCTATATGCTGGATCATATTGAAGATGACCATAGAGCTCGCCTGTTTATCTTGGCTATAGAACAACTTTTAAACAAAATTGTACAAAGTCAACAAAATTAATTTATTATAATAAGACAAAACAAGTGTCATACATATAGACCCTAACAAAAAAGGTTAACAATAAAATAGCTGCTCGATTCGAGGACATACAAGAATCTTAAGAATCCTGTCTTCAATCGAAAATACCTTTAAATAGGACATCTTTAAATCGAGCGGCCACTGTACATTTGTGTTAGAATATAGTTACCAAATTTTATTGTTGTATCCAACTCTTAAGCTATGAATATGCATCATATACCATAAAATCAAAGTCAATCGACTATAAACGAATTAAAGAAGTATTACAATAAGTCATGATGCAGAAAATACAAACTATTAGCCAAAAGAGATTAAAAACAGCGAAAATGGTCCTATTGTATCAATGCTTATTTTGAACAAAGTAACCTAGGACTGATTCATAAAATACATAAAAATTAGCCCAGTTTTTTGTCATTCGAAGGTATCAAGATCCAAGAGCCCTTCAATATACCAAGATAATACTTAAACGCACTCGGTTTTTTTGTGGATGATTTGTTGAGATGTTTATTTTAAGATAATACAAGTAGTACTTGGTAGTATCACTCACAGCTTGGTATTGGGAAGATAGAGTGGTATATCCGTGCAAGTATTTTACATATGCTAGCTAATATCTCCCTTCTATTCTCTGCTCTTTCTTATAATCTAATGTAAGTAACAATATGAATATTAGTTATGTATCTTATGCTCTGCTTAATCTCTTGAATTTAATATTTTATTTTATCAACATGCTTAATATTTATACAAAAGAAAGTTTATTTTTTATTTACCTCCCATTTTGGTGAAAGGCAAGTTGAATACGACTTTCGTTTTCTATTTTTGTTGCCATTCATGTTCTTAGCAACAAAGGCTTCTTCGTTCAACTTCATAAGGTGCCTCTAAATAGTTTTAATATACGTCAGTAAAGAAAAACACACAAAAAAAAACATACTCTCCAAGCACAGAAAGAAACCATCGTTTCAACAAATACTTGGTTTAACAAGCGAACATCATTAGGTAGGATGAGTTGCTTGTTAAGACTACAAGCTTTATAAATGCTATTTTCTTCCACCAAGAAGAACATCTCACCAAGATTGCCTATTTTTAGGGTTTTAGAATCTCAAAAGTTGATAAAAGCGCATTGAGCGTATACTTTACCACCCCAATTGAAAGCAACAATCTTAGAAGACAAGTTGCTGTCTTTCAAGTCTTCTAAGACGCATTGGTTCAGGCGGAGATTCTTGCCTTCTTGCTTCTTTAGCAGTGAAAAATCTCTACCAGCCTTGAATTCGCATAAGGCCAGCTTAACGTTTTCTTCTCCTCTTATAGTCAGGCCGACTTTCCTCCCAAAGACATTTTTGCTTGCGTTTGAGGAACCTGAGCTCTCACTTCTACAATATGAAGAAGAGGAGCCACCAGAGAAGCTTGCTTCGCTTGATTTCCTTGTTGTCTTGGTACACTCAGCACATGTTTCTCCACTAAAAATAAATAAATAAAAGTATTCAGTATAGTTCTGAAGTAGATCAAGAAGAGAAAAAATTACATAATAAGGTTAAGCTTCGTGTTTCTGAACAATGCCTTCAATACATCACTCAAGCGAGAAACTACTTCAGCTTCAGTCTTTTTGTCTTTCTTTCTCCACTCTTCAATATTGCTGACACTTTTGTAAAGTATGTATATTAGTTTCTTTATCAAGAAAGTTTAAATTTTGTAACAAACAAAACTTACATATATTCAGCAGCAAGCACCAAATCAAACTCGAAAGTGCTACCTTTCTTTTCTTTCAGCAAGCGGATTTTTTTTTCAGCAACAAAAATCTGGGCCTCTTCAATTCCTTCCTTGACTTTCTGTTATTTTTCAAAATTAAATTACCTGTAATGTAAAAAATAGTATAACATACTTTTACTACTTGCTCGAAAAAATCTCTAACAAGTCTTTCTTCTTCAGCAGCAGCAGCATCATCGCCATCTTCTCTCAAGGTTTGAACTTCGCAAACCACCACTTTCCAAAAGAAAGGGTCAATGTTCTTCTTGTAGATATCGAGCAAATCTTCGTCCAAGAAGTCAACGATATGACTCAAAGCCAGCCTTTATGCGTTGAATTAGTATATGCTTATATATCGAAAAGAATTCAGGTTACTTACTTCAACACAAAAATTTCGTCTTTTGACAAGTTTGAAAAGTTGTTTAACAACTTGACAGCCATCTTGTCAAGCAAACAGCGAGGGTTGGTCGTCTTCATTCTTTGAATGTTCTCTACATCACGTTTGGCTTTTGCCCAAACAACGTCAACGTCTTTTTGTTCGGACTAGAACTATGTTAGAACTTCGAATTGGTTTCTGTTCTTAACTTACCAAGCTATACCACCACATGAGTATAGCTTGACGCTGGGATGCTGAGGTATCCTAAACTTGAATGTTAGAGAGTGTTCGAATTTCTTGTTTTCATAAATGGAACTTACTTTGTTGATTAAGAAAAGATTATTTAGCAAATCATCGTTTAACTCAGTGTTGACTTCTTTGTCTTCAGCACACTTGTGACAGATATTCAAGATAAGTGATTTCAAGCTTTCGATGGTTGGACAGTCGTGTTGAATTAACTGAGCATAATGATTGTTAAGCCAGTCATTAAGACTAGGCTGGTCGTTTTGAGATATGTAGCTTTTGAGGCTTTTGGCTAACAGTAAAATTGTTAGGATAACAAAATAACGCGACAAATGTGTGCTTACAGTCGATAAAGTTATTCATTTGCGAAAAAAGAGTGACGGCTGCTACTTCATTGATTTGATATAAAAAAAACGTTTACGGAAAAAAATTTGTCCTTACTTCTCTCACGGTAGTTTTTTTCTTGTATGAATAGCCACAATCTTGTGTCAGTTAATTGCTTGGTCAAAGCATCATAGACAGAGACAGTAGATGGTGTCACATCTTGTGTAATATATTGCCACAGGAAAGATTGAAATCTTACTGTTCGTCTATAAAGAGCTGATGGCACAATCCGGGCAATGTCCCATATTCATGGCGAACCTTCAAGCGTAACCGGTTACTCTGTTCGTCAAAGAGGAAGAAGAGAGATGCTGGTACTTTTGAGTTTATTGTCAGCATCTGGAGACATGATGCCAAAGTGTTCTGTCATAAGCACTCGGAGCTGAGGTGTTAGATTAGACGAACTAAACAGAGTAAAGACCCATCTCATCTGCAGCACCAAGTATTTTGTGATAGGGTTGAGGGCTCCTACACCACCTTGATCCTTAGGGAGACATAAATGGTCAAAATAAACATACGGAAACTTCTTTTGCCACACGTGAGCATAGATAATCGAGCAAAGTTCATTCAGAAATCGCTTAGTAGGTGCAAACAACCGCAAGCAGTACCAAATTTTGGATAAGATCAAAGTGTTGGCAACGGTAGTTCTTCCTTGAAGTGAGAGGTGACGCTGAGAGTAACCATGAACCCGTGTACGCACTTGTTCCAATAACATATCCTGGACACGATTCCGCTGAGAATCTGTGTATGGCATATAAAAGCCAAGGTATCGAAAAGCAGAAGGGGAATGATGGTGGTAGTATGTTTCGATATCATGACTCAAAAGCAATGATTCCCAAGATTCTGACTTGACACCACTCAATGAGAAAGCTTCCGTCTTGTGCTTATTAAATCTTGCATTTGATACAGCACTATACATAGTCAAGTGATGTTGGAGACGCATAAAATCAGTGCCATCCTTGACAAACACACAGATATCATCAGCATATGCGATGCACTTGATCTGTTGAGATGTAGTGCTCATTGTCGGGACATATCCTTGATATGTAGGGTCTTGCTGGATTGAAAGAATCAGCGGCTCCAAAGCGATGTTGAACAATAAAGGGGACAAAGGATCACCCTGCCTTAACCCACGTCGCTGATGTACTGGATCCGTAAAGGATCCGTTGACATTGATTGCTATTGAGTTATCAAAGAAAAAATTATAGATACTCTGTATAAATAAGGTAGGAGAACCTAGGGACACAAGAGTTTGTTGAAGATATGTTGGTAATACTCGATCATAGGCTTTCTCCTGGTCGAGAAGCAAACCTACACCTTGATTATGTTCATATCTTGCTTGTTGTAGAACCAAGTGAAAGTACATCCCATTTTCGCTAATAAAACGTCCTTGAATGAAGTCCTTTTGAAGAGGGTTGATAACTCGATTCATTATAGGAGCTAGACGTTGGGTAATGAGCCTTGTGAAAATTTTATCATCACAGTTGATCAATGAAATTGGTCTCCAATTTTTTAATTCTGATAAATCACCTTTCTTGGGTAGCAAGCGCACTCAGATTTCCTTCCATGACTGAGGGAAAATTCCTTTTACCATGGCATCATTGTATACCTGAAGTATCAGGGGCTTCAAACAAGGAAAACCAAACAAGAGTTGAAGGTATATATACCCTAGTCCATCACTACCTGGGCTACTTTGTTTTGGGCTACGCTTTGTCATTCTGACAATATCCTCCCAATCAAATTCCATTTGGAGCAGATTTGCTTCATCCTGATTAACTTTACTTGGAAAGTGAATATTACCTAAATACTCTTGTATTTGATTCATAGGTACTGCATCAATCGCATATAGGTCTTTATAAAACCGTTGTACAATATTATGCATTGTCGATTTGGTGGTATGTACAATTATTGGTGTTTCGGAATTGCTATCCTTGAAGCCAGACATATATTGTTGGACTGTTCGACTCTAATATATTTTTTTCAAGTACCCAGCATTGCACTCACCATTCTCTTGCCAGCGAAGACCAGCCTTTAGAATAGCTGTTTCAGCCAGCTCTTGTTGTAGTATCTGTAGCTCATTGTCAATAGGTGGAATTACCAAGCGCTGAACGTCTGGAGGAGGCTTTGTGCGTAGTAAACGATTGCGTTTCTTTTCTAAAATACGAATTCTCTTGGTACGCCAATCAACGTAATCCACTGAATATCCTCTAATGATTGACTTGGCTTTGTGTTTTACTTCATCCCATTTTTCTTGGGGCGATATATTCTCATCAAATCCTTGAACCAAATGTTGTATATTCCTCTCTAATGTATTTTGTAGCTTAGGCTGGGAAGCATACACTGGATTGGCACGCCATAGTCCATGACCAAACTGGGATTGGCCCAAGAGTAAGGATGTGTGTAATATGGAATGGTCTGACCATTTCGCTCCTAATCTGGTAATAGATGATTCTGATGCGCATTGGTACAAAATTTTACCCAAGTATATATAGTCTATGACAGTCATCACTAATTCACTTGAGACGGTGCGTTGAAAGGTGGGAACTTCGTGAAGGCCATTGATGGCCAAAGCATTTTGAAAATTTGCTTGCAAGAGGGCTAACCATTGCGTTAATGTTGAAGACGAATTATGGTGGCGGCTGAGGACTGAGTAATTAAAATCTCCTGAAATAATCAGTCTGTCAAAAGAGATAACTGATCGAAAATCATGGAGCATTTGTGTTAGATTGCTAAAGAATGTTCGACATTTTGCAGCAAGGCCTGCCGGTGCATAGACGTTCAGAACAAAGAAAGGTTCATAGAAATGATGTGGATGTTCAACCATGCATAGTTGAAATCGATCGGATGTAAAGGATGAGGAAGTGTCGATGATAGAGATGTTGTAATCGGTAGAGAAGGAGAGTATGCCCAAATGACTGGTCCAATGGGACTGTGTAGGTTGAAAGAGGATGTTGAGGTTATCTATAGTTGAAGGAGTGGAAGCATGAGTTTCTTGAAAGCATAATATAGAGAAATTCTGCATTCGAAGGTATCGTATATATTCTTTTTGTATTTTTTTGGAGTTTGTTTTCACTAAACTATTGGCGTTTAGTGAGGCATAGTGGCACAGGATATTTTTCTTATTCATTGATGCGGATCTATAAAGGGTGACTCTCTACTCTCTGATTATCAGAGGCAGAAGAGGGTGTTGTAGATTTCTTCGTGTCCAATTGTTGATTCAAATTTGATCCATTACGTCTTTCTCCTTTCTTCATAACGAGGTAATCTTTTAATTGTTGGCTGACGCTGTACATCTTGGTATCCTTATAGAGGTCTTAAATCTCCATCCTGCCAATATCCTCGTCTCCACTTTCTATTTCAGATTCATCTTCTTCCATGCTCTCTTTCTTTGAAGGATTGTAATCACTATCGCTAGTATCGTTATCATTATCTTTGTCGACATTGATCTCTGTCTGGCCAAAGTTGCTACTTTTGACTTCAATACTGCTTTGCCCTTCAGGCTTGGATGCTTCTTTTCTTGGTTGGGTGGCCTTTCCAAGAACTGATCTTTCTCTCTTTGAACGCTTGCTGGGTGTCATAGACTGTTTCCTAGGACATTCAAACGAGCGGTGTCCTAATTGATGGCACGCATAACATATAATTCTAGCTTTCGACTTCTCACATTCAAATTTTGTGTGTCCAGTTTGGTGGCAATACCTGCACCAAGTGGGCATGTTGTTCCAGGTTGCGTGAAATATATGGCTTTTGCTTTCGCACCAACGAATGTTATGCTCCAAAAGCTGATACTTGAGGTTGTCTGTTGATTCTGAGGGACCAGAAGGAATACCAATGACGGCATATCCTGCGCCCATAAACCATCCGGTGGTGGTTTCTGTATTGATTCCTACATCAATTACCTTTCCAAATGGAGCTAAACTCTGTTGCACGCCCTCAAGAACTACCCTTTTGGGATGTAAAGGTAATTGGAGTGTGGCATCTGCGGCCTTGCAAGGGAAAATTCACAATTTCGACTTTTTAAAGACAACACCATGCTCCATAAGATCATTGTCATCATCATCTTTTTCGATATACAATTCCAAGTACTGAGTTGGACCATCTCTCAAGATGGAGCAAGCGTAGATCTTTGGGTGTTGAGCGCTGATTTCCTGCATACACTGGAGATCAGTGTATTCTTTCTTAACTGGAGTAATGTCGAGTAAGAAAGCATCCTTATGGCCAGCTACTCGATAAATTCTCGATTGAAATTCTTGCAAAGGTGAGTCTGCATCTTTGTCAGGTTCAACGATGCCTTGGTGCATAAGTGATACTCGAGTTCTAGCTGCTACACTAGCATATGATCTTGATTGTTGGGTGGCTTTTAGGTTTGGAGATATTTCAATCCCCGCAACCGACTGGAAGTATTGAGAGTTAGGAAGAGCCATGTATTACATTATTTTGAAGCAGAAACACTGTCAAATTGGAACATAAAAAACTAAAATAAGAACAGTACTTTGGATCTCCTGATTTTACAACATCTATTTATTCAAGTGAAATAGACATTGTTTACTCTTGTATCAAAGCAAAATGTATATATTTTAAGCATCATTGTTCTTAATTTAATTCCAAATGTCGTAAGAGGCATTTGATTAGAGAGCTCAGCTAATGGCTCAAACAATATATTTTCTTGACATTCTTTTCCAGCCTTATACAAAACAGCATGGACTGACCACATTGTTATTAAATTGAGCTGTAGTTTTTCCTTACTTATGAGCCATTTTTTCGAAGTCGTCTAAATTGATGCAAGCATAGAAAATTTCCTTACAAGCCTGTTGATTTTATACTTGGGTTAAGCCATACAAATGAATTAAGACAAATCGTTGAGAGCACTGGTTCGACCGCTGCAAAAGGTAGAGGATTTTAAGGAGACTGCACAAAAGACAACATACAAACTAAAAGCTAGTCATGCATAGAGCCTTTGAACAAGTAAGTGTGGGTGAAGTCAATGCAAACGATAAAGGAGGCAATTCGTTCCTCATGGGCCCACTTAGACATCCCCTCGAGAGCACTGGTTCAAGAACTAACTAGGTACTGTACATAACAATGGCATAATCAAGAAAGTCAATATACAAACTACAAAGGTAGTCATGCATAGAACTTTTGAAAAAGTAAAAATGGGTGAAGTTAATGCAAACGAAAGCACTGGTTCAAGAAATAACAATAACTAAACTAATAGAGGCTTCTACAGCACGTAGTTTCTACTTTACAAAGAAAACACCTTTGACAAAAACATAAGCTTGTGCAGATAGAACTTGTAAATTTGTTAAATTTTAGCAGTCACGTCCAAGCAATTAAAGCATTTGGTGCTATTTTCAAGAATTCATTGACGAGACAGAGGTAACTTAAAGATTTGTTCAAGGAAAAAAGCATTAAAAAACAATTACCAATGAAGGAATGGAGAAAAAAAAGGTACTTTAACGTTGACGAGGAGGGAAGGCATGAGGCGAGGCACCAATATCACATATTTTGGAAATGCTAACAAGAAGGTCAATCTCACTCAATTCACCTTGTTCCTTAAATAGCTCGGTCTTTTCAGAAATACTTTCCCTAACAAATCATAGTTTTTTTTTTGCCCTCATTGATGCATTCATCAAAGCGCAAGTCAATGCGATCATCATTGTTAACAGGACCAGTAGAAACTTCAGAAATGCTTGCAACATTATCCAGATTGCTGGTCATTTGCTCCTCGGTAGCATCCACATTGAATTCAGCAATGGTGTTTAACACTGAGCGCTGAGTCAAAGGCACCTGAAAGATTCGGTTGACCAAGAAGATACGCTTGCAAAGCTTGGAGTTTTCAGGGCAAGAACAGCTAAACAAGTACTTGGTTGTTAAATTGTTTGAGTAAAAAGGCACCATTAAATTCGAATTGAGCAGACATAAAAAAGAAGAGCTAGATGCATGGGTCACTAATATACATCTTATAAGATGTTTCCTATTGCATTCGAAGTTTTTAATCATTTAGAGCAACAGCAACTGGAATACAATGAATAGATTCTCAAAATATTTTTACTTTCTCTTTTCTATGCTTCTATTTCGTTAAGTTAAAGCTCTATTCTCTACACATAGACATCAAAGAGGATCCAGATGACTTACTTCAACACAAAAATTTCGTCTTTTGACAAGTTTGAAAAGTTGTTTAACAACTTGACGGCCATCTTGTCAAGCAAACAGCGAGGGTTGGTCGTCTTCATTCTTTGAATGTTCTCTACCTCACGTTTGACTTTTGCCCAAACAACGTCAACATCTCTTTGTTCGGACTAGAACTATGTTAGAACTTCGAATTGGTTTCTGTTCTTAACTTACCAAGCTATACCACCACATGAGTATAGCTTGACGCTGGGATACTGAGGTATCCCTGTTCATCACAAAAAAAGAAACAATCCGACCATTTCAACGTCCACACGAAAAAGCGACCATTCTTGCGTGAACGAGTTTAAACTGAAGGAGCAGTAGCTGTAAACATTCTATTGAAAATCAAGAAGAAAGAAAGCAAAATTAAGTTTATTCTGATAAGTTTTTTTTTTATCAGTTGACAATGAAACAAGCGCATATTTGGTTTTGCCATGCTTTTATAGAAGCTCGCATAAATACTTTTTCAATAATATTGTAAATTAGGAAAGAAGGAGATAGAGAAGAAAGTAGACCATTCTTCAATAGTTGCAGATCTAATTGTTTTCGGAAGTTTATCTTCCTGCCACTGTCGTTCTCATTAATTTTCCAACAGACATTATAACCAAAGACTGGTCTGTGCATTTTTCTTTTCTTGTGTGCCTCATCTCTAATGTAAATGACAAAATTGCTTCCTCCTGGAAAACTCTCTTTTTCAAGTAGAAAAAAGGAGGAGCAAATTGCTGCCTGATTTAATGGGGGAACTCATAACTATGTTTATGCAAGGAACTGACTACACATTTCATGACTCACTTCAATGACTGAGTACTAGTGAAGTCAAAAGAGATCAGTCATAGGAGAATTGTGATCATACCCTACTTGTTGCAATGATGAAAAAACAACTTCGTTTCAAAGTCAAGAAGAACGATTTCGAATTAGTCATTGATAAAATGATTGTGTGTTTAAACAAACAAATCCATGAAGTTTGATAATTCCTTTCATACGTACCACAAACTCGAGAAAAGTCTACTGTCGACCAAGCTCTCATCTCAAGAACTTTAACTACAGTCTCATTCAGTTGTCAAAGCTATACCATGTATCTTAATTGATATACAAAAAAGAAAAGAAAATGCTTTATGATGTTGATTCTACAGTTTCTTAAAAGTGATTTACAGGATTAGACCCATTTGGATTTCTGTCAACATATCTAGTAGTTCGCTTTTAGAAAAACGTGTTCCTAGATTAGTAATAATCCTGATGTAAAATAAGAAGATAGTTTTCATTATACTTCTTTATTGCTTATATTTATCCTTTCCTTTATCGAGTCCATACCTCACTTTTATCAAAAAAAAGAAACTATTGCTTGTAATCTCAGAGAGATTCGGCAGATGCTTGAACCGAAAGTTTCGTATAGCTATATAGTAAGTTTAACAAAACGCAAATCAAACCCTTAGATTTTGTATACAAAAAGGAATGCTGTTGATTTTCTTTTTTTATATTCTGACACACAGTGATTTAAACGCAGACTAATTCCGCATATCGACTTTTTTCCTCAATGTGGTTCACTACCAAATAACGTTGAACTCGAAAAATTAAATGAAATGTGTTACACACAGAAAGAAGAGACCCTTTTCTCTCTCTCTCTTTTTATGAAACCTATTGTTGTGCTAAAAAGCAAAGACTTATCAACAACATTTTATTTAGTATTACTAAATCAAGTACAAATCAGGTATGATTTATTGGTTTAAGCAACTTTAAAAAGCAACCTTAAAAAATCTTATTAAAAAATGTTGTGACACAAGAAAATTCATACATTTAATATCTTTTTCATCTATTTCCCCTCTTTTCTTTCCCCTTTTTTTTCTGCATATGTCTACAGACGAAGAAACGAAACTGGATTCAACCATCGCTCATACGTTTGCTTCAAAAAATGCATGCATGAGCGACGCTTATCTAGAAGATGGTCCGTTATTTAGAGCGACGCTAAAGCAACTTGAAGACCGCACCGTCTCACTTAAAGCTTCATTGAAACGTATTATCAAGACAGCATCTGCTTCTCTCGAAATAAGACGCCAATTAACTCGGAGTGATGAAATCTACTTTCATGCTCTACAAGACACGCAATGCATTGAACCTTTTTTGACAAACTATTTATCAGGGGCATGGAAATCCATTCAAGAAGAACGTCTTCGGCTCGACGAGTCTTTATCCACACAACTGATTGAGCCGCTCAAGAAACTGTATGATCAGGATATCAAAGCAGCAGATGTCAAACGTCGACAATTTGAAGAAGAGAGTAAAGATTATTATGCTTTTCTTTCCAAATATTTGAAGAGCAGTAACAGTAAGAAAAATACAGAAGTGCAGCAACAACAACAACAGCAACAACAACAACTACGAAAATCAAGATTTGATCTGGCTCGGTTTGATTATTTAGGATTCTTGCTTGATTTGCATGGCGGCAAGAAGGAAAATGAAATTTTGTTTTGTATTGCTGATCATACGGTCCGAGACGTTAATTACTTTGAGACGATTGCAAACAAGATTGATGCTGAGAAGAAGGGACTGAATGAGTTATTTCGAGTCATCACAGAGAACTCACGTGAACAGGAATTGGCGGCTCATGAAAGGGAGAAAAAAAGGGAAGAATTGGTGGCTCGGTGTAACATGGATGTAGATCAAAAACAAATAGAAGAATTTTTAAAGCAACAAGTCACGATTGAAGAATTGATCAGTGAAACTGCTTCCAACGTCATGAGCTCAAGTAGTAGTTCCACCTCGAATCAAGAAGAAGAAAGTAAACTCAAAGGCTTTCGAGATTTGGATCAATATATGGCTACAAGTAGCATAGGTAGAAAGAAGGAAGGGTTTTTGTTTGCTACCGCGAAGCCTTCAAAAAGCACGGGTGGATTTGATGTGAAGTCTGGCTCTGTAACTTGGCGCAAGTAAGTAAATCCGTTTCATATGTATGTGTGTATGTGTACGCTAACAACTGTTAGATATTGGTGTGTGCTCAGTGGTGGTCAATTGCATGAATATTCTAATTGGAAACGGCAATTGGAACCTCATATTGATCCTATTAATCTACGTTTTGCCACAGTTCGTGAGGCACGTAATTCAGATCGTCGCTTCTGCTTTGAAGTCATCACGCCTCAATTACGCCGTGTCTATCAAGCAACTTCACAAGAAGAAGCATATAACTGGATTGGCACCATCCATAACTCAATCGAAAGTGTCTTAAACGGCACAAGTAGCTCTGTTAACCTAACCGAATTAAAACCCAAACCGCCTTCCACCCTGTTTTCTCGGTGCCGTCGACAGTCATTGAGTGGTGCCTTCAGACCCTCTACGACAAGTAGTCTCAATCAAGCTTCTGATAAACTTGTTGTCTCACCAAGTAAATCAACACCTGTAAAACTAAAGAAACGAAATTCATCATTTAGTACAGAACATCCTATGCCGATGCCTCTTCCTCCTTCTGCCTCTCAAAAAAGACCTACTTCAAGCTTGTTTCATCCAGTGTCTGAAAGTGCAGAGTTGTTGGCATCAACTTCAAGTCCAAGCGAACGGTTCCGATGGTCAGGATTTAGTCTAGGTAGCATCAGTTTAGACAAAAAAGAAAAAGACAATGGTAGTGTGGTCAGTATTCCTTACAGTTCGAATAACAATGGTGCCTATGTGTTTTCATCGCTTGCCGAGTCTGAATCAAATACAAAACTCTTGTCTATTCTCAAAGAAGATCCCTCAAATCATTATTGTGTGGACTGCAGTGCTCAAAATCCAGATTGGTGTTCACTCAACTTGGGTGTTTTGTTATGTATAGGTATGTCCTTTTCTATTTGTTTATTTGGATATGCATCTTAACAACATAATAGAATGTTCTGGTATTCATCGTAGTCTTGGCACACATGTCTCCAAAGTGCGTTCATTAACACTTGACAGTCATTCCTATACACCTGATATTATCGAACTTCTCAAGTCCATTGGTAATGCTAAAGCAAATGCTATCTGGGACGCAAGAATCGAGAAAAAACTAGTAATCAAAAAAGAAGACATACCTCGCCCCAACTCAACAGACCCCCGTGCCATCAAATATGCTTATATTCAAGCCAAATATGCAGGACATCAATTTGTGCAAGAATTAGAAGGTAGCACAAATGCAGACAGTGTCTTATTTGAAGCCATTGATGCAGACGACATACCAAAAGCATTGTATGCATTGGCTTCGGGTGCCAATATTAACTCGATACGTACAAGTCAAAAACCAGTCATTGAATCTTCTTTGTTTATGATGCCTCTGGATTTAGGCGAAGATGTATCAAAGACACTTGATTTTGAAGGTGGAAGTGATGATACAAACTACAGTGAACAGGCAGAAGACAATCAGTGTGCATTACATTATGCTTTACTTCACGGTAGAACGACACATGATGAAGAGTTGTTTGCAGTGACTAGTATGGATGAAACAGATTCAGTTGATTCCACAAAGCGCAAACTCATATTTCCAATGGCAGAATTTTTGCTACAGAATGGTGCCGATACAAACATGATTGATCCTGATTGTGTGTTGGATGACGAAGCACTTGTGTACATCAATACCAAAAATACAGCAAGAGGACAGTCTACTATTACAAGATCAAGCACAATCTTAAACCAGCATTTGTTAAGCATTCACTTGCAACAGCAAGCAGACGAAGAAGCTGCAAAAGACCATCATCCTGTAGTGATCATTGAAGAAGAAGAAGACAAACAATCATAATATATATACCTTAAAATTAATACACTGTACAATAATAAATATATGTTTATTCTTCTTTTAAAAAAGGGTGTTTCAAGGCTTCTTCTGCAGTAATCCTGGTTGAACAATCAAGATCCAAACAACGATCCAAAAGGCTCAAGCCTTCTTGATAGTCTTTTGGGTCCCAAGTAGCGATCCTTTCCTTGTTAAGAGACTCGCATAGTTTTGTCCAAGAAACACGGTTGTTGGGTATATGGATATTTGTAGAGAACTTGCGCTCTAAAATGAACGCAATTAGTATTGTATCGTAGATATATCATGTATTTTACCATATTTAATGGCACACGCCTCGAGTTCTTTATAGCCAAAAATTTGACCCAATTCAATAATAGAATCAGGTTCATCATTTGCCAAGAAGAAAGGATATCGACCTGTCAAAAAGCAGAGGAGAATAACACCCACAGACCATATATCAATAGCTAATATGATGAGTTCAAGCCATTTACCATCATCTCTCCCCCCCCCTAAAAGAAAAAACTTACCACATGTCTGCCTAGTGACTCGCATCAATATCTCGGGTGCACGAAAGCCTCGAGTACCTGCTCGATTGGCTCGAATTGTGTGTCTAGGATCATTCTTTATATAGCCAGGAATTCTCCCACCAAGACTTTTGATGGCTCTACCTTTGATTGAATTGGACACTGAATGAGTAGCACCCTCAGGTGTTTGAATGGTGGCTGCTGCCATGGCTGCTTGTGCCACTGCAGTAGCTGAAATGGTTGTTCTGTTCTCTTTATTACTTAGTGCTGCTAAGACTGATTTTGACATGTTAGTATTGTTGGTTGATTTTGTGGTTGTACTACTACCAGTAGTAGTAGAAGAAGGCATGGTTGTTGTAGGATGAGAGGTGATAGGTGTGGGCGTAGTCGTGTTGCTATTGGACTGATAGTGATATTGTGATGCTTTTGCTTGTTTTTGAACATATTGCTCAAGTGCTTTTACATCATTTTCACTCTGTACACCGGCGTTAATAACAATAAAAACAAATACAACCATACCTCTGCTAAACCAAAATCAATCAAATAACCGGTTCTTTTTCGAAAGTTATATAAAAAGTTATTAGGCTTTACATCACGATGAAGTATTTTATGCTTATGAAGTTGTTGTAAAGCAGTAAAAAGTGCTCGTAAATAGCATTTCATGTCAAACATACTGATGTCAACAAAACATTTCTTAAAATCGTCATGTTGAATAAAAGGCATGACAACAAATACTTGATCTTGCTGGCGAAATGCTGTAATAAGAGGAGAAATGCATTTGCTACCTTTGAGTTTATGCAAAATATTGACTTCGTTAGCTATTCTTCTCGGACTACTTGTGTGATAAATTCGTTTGAGAGCAACAAATTCACTCATGACTTTGGGTTCACCTGTTGTCAATTGAGGTTCCCATTCTTCGTTATTATAAAGCCCACGGCGAAGATCTTGTGCTTTATAGACAGTACTAAAAGTGCCTTCACCAATCTTATCGACTAATTTGTAATAGTTGGGTAGATTCTTTACGGTGCTGATCAAGTGACTGATTTCTTGAGCAATACGAGCTTCTTCTTCTTCCTTGGTCAGTTGCTTTGTATCGGGAGGTGCTTCATCGTTGATTGTCTCTTGTGTCCTTGGTGGTGTTGCTGGCTTCTCAGGTTCTTTAGGCTGGGTATCTTCATGACGAGGCATTTTTGTTGGGTGGTCTTGAATGTGCTCTGTTCTTCTTTTTGTTGGTGTAGCAATAGCTTGGCCCTCCAATAGACTTTTTTCTTTTCTTGTTTGTTTTGTTGGACTTTTGCAGGTTGCTTTGGTAATAATAGGCTCTGTTGATGCATCTTGCCAGGAATCCGAATGAATACCTGAAGAAGAAGCAATACGATGAGGAGACTGCTGATACAATCTAGCAATATGTGTACGTTGAGGGCCAGAGTCAGGTGTAGCATAATGTTCAGTGGACCTCACTCGACATAGCTGTACTTCGTCGTTGACAGTATCGTCATGAAGGTTGAAGATTCTAGACTTTTTACGCAACGTATTGGGTGTCTGATAAGTCGTTTGAGAAGGACTTACAATGGGTATGCCACGGTTATCTGTCCTTTTACTAACAGGGCTTTTCATAATTTATGGTATAGATGAAAAGGAAAGAGATAGAAAGAAAGGAAAAAAAATATCTGTTTCTAAAATTTTTATGGTATCGGCGGATACTAAATTAACGCGTCTTGATTGAAAGGTTAATTGACGCGTTTATTTAGCTCGTTGATGATTTGTTAAGATTAAGAATAAGAAATGTTACACTTGTTTCTTTGGAATAAAGAGGATGATAATAGAATGTTACATATACACACATTTACTCTACTGAAATGATTGGATTATCTAAAGTAGGACAAACACTAGTTTATTGTTTTCTTTCTGGGTCATCTTTCACTACGAGTACAGAGCATTTTAAATGATGCATCAAGTAATCAGATACAGATCCGATCAATTGCCTATCCATCGTCAGCTGTCTATAATATCTACCTTATGCACAAACCTTTTAAAGAAGCCTAATCCTCGACTACCCACAATCACTAAATCAATCTGATTTGCTTCTGCATAATCTTTTAATGTCTCTCCCGGCTCACCACTTAGTATTTCAGGATTTACTTTGATCTAGAAGATATTTCAGCCAAGCTACTCTCGTCAGTGATTGCTGTACTTACTCCTTTACTAGCAAACCATTCTACCACTGTACTTAGTGCTTCTTTTGAGTTCTTTTCCAATTTAGATATACGTTCTCGGTAATCCATTGTATCGTCTGCCATCCAACCTGCTAAACCAGCTACAGAAGCCTCGAGACCAAAAGCACCTTCTACAGTAATAGCATCATCATTTACGATAATACATAATGTGATATCATCATCAGGAAATACGATGCGGTTAGAGATAATCCATTCCATGGCACTATTAGAGACTTGCGTATGGTCATAACCAATCAAGATACGACGATGACGATGAGAATATGAAGTTTTTGTTGACATTATTAAAGAATAAAGTGATAAACACAATCCAACAATTAGAATTTATACAAAATAAAAAAAAAAAAAGTCAGTCGATATTTTGGACGGAATGGCATGAATGGGGTGTTGTTTGGTTTAGAGCGGCGATTAAATTGATGACCACTTTCTTGCAAGTTAAAAAAAAAAAAAATGAGGTTATTGTAAAAGATAACAAATAATGTATTTTACTCAATAAAATAGTCAAGTAATACAAGTAAAGAACAAAACAATAATAATACAAAAGTGCTATAAGCAATTCATATCTAAAAAAAAGTGTAATTTAAAGAAAAGAACAAAATATATTTTTGCTCTTTCTTTTTTTTTTTTTAAATTACCCCTCTCTTTTCTTTTCTTTTTTTTTATTATTAATTTTGATATGTCAGGTCCACCTAAAATAAATACTTTAAATTTAGACTCTCGTACAAGTAGTTCTTTGGGATCACCATCTCAACTCGTCAAGATACTTGCAAACGACGCGAAATCTCGGGAAAGAACAAAATTAAAAGGTGTCCTCGATAAATTCATGGGCAATTTTAATGGCAAGTCTCGAGTCATATACACAATAGAAGCTTATGTAATTTAGACATTCTCTCGCCTACAATTGAATCAACAGAATCCGTAATGGATATCTCCACACCTTATAATACAATACATGTCACTCATGTTGGATTTGATCCAGTTACAGGTGAATTTACAGGTCTTCCAAAAGAATGGCAACTGTTGCTTACACAAAGTGGTATCACAAGACAAGAACAAGAGAGCAATCCACAAGTAAGAGAGCATGGTTTGTGTTTGCCATTTAACTTTAAACTTAGGCTGTGATTCATGCAATCGAATTTCTTCAAGGTAATACACAAGAGAAAATGCAAGCCAATGTTTGGTCCAAAATTCCTCAACAACAACAGCAGCAACAGCAAAGAAAATCTTCTTCAATCACAAGTAAAGCATTAAAACGGTTCTCATCCCTTCGAATCACAAAATCAAAATCAGATAACTTACTGAGAAAAAGCACCATAGTAACACCCACTGCTTCTACTTCTTCTATGGTATATATGAGATCCACCAAGGGTTTATAGCTTATGTATACACATCTAGGTATCGGATACTGCTATTTCAAGTAAAATGACAAAAAAACCACAGAAACAACTAGAAGATGGTAAGACATATTGGTATATAACGTATCTTATGCGCCTCTAGACTACTTGGATGATGTCCGTTCTTTTAATTCAGAATCGACAGCTTCATTTAGCGAAGACTGTCAAGGCCAGCCTATGCATGAGCTCACACGCACACAAGATGTTTTATATAATGCACCACCAGGTACAGTTCGATCTCGAGCACCCAAAGAAGAAAAGCGCAGCATGAGTGATGAGCAAGTCCTCAAACACCTTCAAGAACTCTGTATCACATCAGATCCACTCTTGATCTATACGAATATGGTCAAAATTGGTCAAGGTGCATCAGGTGGTGTCTACATTGCCTATCGAGCAGGCAGTAGAATGCCTGTAGCCATTAAGCAAATGAACCTGGAAAAGCAGCCCAAGAAAGAATCCATCATCAATGAGATTCGTGTCATGAAAGAGAGCAAGGCCAAAAACATTGTGAATTTCATTGAATCGTATCTATGGAAAGGTGATTTATGGGTTGTGATGGAGTATATGGAAGGTGGTAGTTTGACGGATGTAGTGACATGTAACATGATTATGGAAGGACAAATTGCTGCTATTTGCAGAGAAGTATTGGAAGGATTAAAGCATTTACATGCCAATGGCGTTATTCATCGAGATATTAAATCAGATAATGTTCTTTTAAGCATGCGAGGTGATATTAAGCTCAGTAAGTAACCAAAAAAAAAAAAAAAAAAAAAAAAAAAAAAAAAAAAAAAGGAAGGGAAAGAGATATAGCCATATAACTTATTATTTATTAGCTGATTTTGGCTTTTGTGCTCAATTACATGAACCTCAATCAAAACGTACAACATTGGTTGGTACACCTTATTGGATGGCACCTGAAGTAGTAACACGCAAAGCTTATGATTCCAAAGTTGATATCTGGTCCTTGGGTATCTTGGCTATTGAAATGATTGAAGGAGAGCCTCCTTATTTGAACGAAAACCCTCTTAGGGCGCTTTATTTGATTGCTAATAACGGTACACCTGAACTCCAGAGTCCTGAAACCCTGAGCGATATCTTCAAGGACTTTTTGTTCTTGTGTTTACAAGTCGATCCAGCATTTAGACCAAGTGCTTCCGAATTGTTAAAGCATCCATTCTTGAAAAAAGCAGATCCATTATATACATTAGTTCCTTTAATAAGAGCAGCCAAGGATACCATTCAACAACAACAACAACAACAACAACAACAACAGTAAATACAATTAACTTGGCCACTTTTCTCTTTCTATATGAAAAAAAAAGGTGGCTACATAACCTAAATACATACATGGCGACTTTGCACTTTTATTTCTTAAGTTAGAACAGAAATCCCTCTATTTTAAGAGCAAGAAGCAATAAAAAAAATAGTAGAAAGAGAAACAGAGACCTTTGTTAATCTAGTTAAGAAAGGCCAGTATAGGAGGGAGAATCAGCATTTGCTGCTTCAGCAACAATCTTTTGGTTTAATGAAATATATACGTAGAAGCGTCTTTACCAGTATTGGTATTGAGTTAAACAGCATTTTCTTATATATTTGTTAATTACATTCCCTCTAGTTGAGGTACTTATCACTAATGAAACAGCAGTATATCTCATAGCTGATATCTAATGAATATATCACTACATTCGTCTTACTGTTAGCAAAGCTATATTTCCAGAAGGCAAATGTAGACATAAAAGGAAAGTCTGTATCTCAAACACAGCTTATTACGTGCAGTGGTATTCTTTGCTTTTCTTTTCTCTCCCTTTTTTTTTCTTCTTTCACATTATGAGACTTACTTCACTTTCTGCAGAACTCGACGCTATCACACATGAATTTGATTATGGCATTGTTCCTGGTTCAGCAACTGTGTTTGTCCGAGATGAAGTCAACAATCTCGGTAGACTTGATCTTACACTGTTGGAAGGCGTTATGATTATCATAGAAGTGACAGATCAGGGTTATAAGGTAACATGAGGAACACTTTTTATATATCATAACACGTCTTGTTTTAGGTCACATCATGCTCTCCACTCTGTAATGTGGATCCAGCCTTATCAACAGCACAAACAGTACAAGCACACTTGGAGGCACCATTTGAAAGTATGGAAAATTTACTCATGACTATATCTCCCATGTTTCGAGAACGGTTTCAACAAGAATTATATAACAAACTTCAAAGTGTTCAACAACAACAACAACAACAACAATCGACACCTGCTCTTCAACAACCAAGTACTATCCTTTATTCCCAAGCTACTCGTCCAAACAATGATACTTCTTTTGATGAATTAAATCATTGGATAAATTAAATTTAAAAACAACTCTTGATCGTTCCTGTAATAGCCATAAGAATTGCTATTGAGACCAAGGCGTAATTCAACATGCGCTTCCATAAGGGAAGTTTAAACAACTTGAGATAACAAAAGATGGGGAAGATACCCGAGATTAAGAATGAGAAAGAGGCACCTAACAAGGACATGACCTTGTCAAAATCAGGGATCAAAATGGCCAATGTTACAATACTAGCAGAAGTCAGTAAAATACCAACCCATTTGACCAAGGTTTTTGTGTATTTTGTCTTGTTTATCTGAGGTTCCAAGTGAGGCAAGAGGCCCATTTGCCAACTGAGAACGACAGGGTTGAGTGTGAGACCGTATTTAGCAATAGGATTAATGGCAATCAGATAAACAGCAAGACGATTAAGCGTCTGGTTGTATTCAGGGATCATTACTAAGTTTTGTGTGATCTAAGTTGGTATGAGTTACAACATAATTGAATTCAAAGACTTACTTCTTGCATTGTCTTTGAGCCAAACATGGCATATCCAGAAGCAGCAACAGCCATATAGACCATGGCTGCTACAAAATAACTGTAATTGACCATCTGTGTATAATGCTCTGGGTGTTTCATGTCTCGATAAATAGTAGGGAAGACAGCATGACCTGCAAATCCTGCCATGATCAAACCAAAACTCATAGGTATGGCTGTATAATCCACAGGAAGAAGTGTAGCTGTTGGCTATACATCAAGATCAATATATTATACATTTTTTGGACTAGTTACACTTGCCTCCATTTGATGCAGACTACCTGGTGCAGTAGGTTTTGAAAGACCATCATAGATAATGACTGCAAGTAAACTGATGACACTCAGGATACCCAAAAGACTTGTATAAGATAAGTGACGAATAGGTATATATAATGTAGGTGTCAAAATAGCAAAAGAAACCAAACGGATCAAGAATGGATTATGACCGGGAAACAAGCTTTCAATTCCGTCACTCAATAAGACAACCAATGCAACACTAGAATCAATGATGAAATACTTAGCATGCATTGTTATAGCTTCTTTTTTTTTTCGTACCTGCAAGTAATAAGCTCTGCTAGAAATAAACAAGAAATAAACACTCTTCCTTTAGCACCAAATACCATAGCACCCATATCTCCATAAGTACGAGATTCTGGATCTGTATCTAAACATTTTGCTAATAGTTTTGCTGTATAGTTTGTGAGTCCAAAACAGAAGCAGAAAATGATGATGCTGATCAGCCAACCCGAGGACTATATGATTATATCAGTCATCCATCAATCTTCATCCTTTAATTCTGACCTTAAAACCCATAGGAAGTGACAGCACACCAACACCAATCAGAATATTGATTGAATTGAAGATACTCTGTAAGAATGAAGATTTCTTACTATTGCTCTGCTTGTAGTCATCACCTATAGTAACAACACTACTATAACTGTCGACTTTGCAAAGCGAAGGCGAAGGCAGTAGGAGAGGTGTCTGCTCACCTAAAGCACCCTCTGAATGCCTATGTTCTTTGTTAGTATACTAGTGTAGATAATAGCTATTATTACCTTGCAGAGTAGACAGAATCGTCATCTTCCATCTTGCATTATTAGATTCTGTTTTATTTTAATTCGAACTTACTCTATTGTCTGAAACAATAACGTTTTCAGCCATATGCATCAAAGAAGCTCTCGAGTAAGAGCCAACAAAGGACTCAAATTGATCTTTAAAAGATCTACTCAATTCTTCTTCTACTCTTTGTGAAGGATGTAGATTGGGTATGTTTATACTATCTGACATGTTTTATGTAACAAAAAGCAGAAATAAAAAGAAAAAAAAAGAAAAAAAATAAAAAAAGGAATTCCTTATATGTAACAAAAATCTTATTTTTGTGTATCATCTGCAATTGTAAGTAAAGATTGATTGATCTGATCTTTGACTTGTTCTAACATGATATGAGTACAAAAAAAAATCTTTATATATATATCTTACCCATTTCTTTCACTGCTGCTTGGTATTCTTGATTCGCTACTTGATTTTCTTGTTCAAGTGATTTTAACAATTCAATCTAAAAGTGGATCAGAACCATAGTTTATTCAACTCTATTTTACTTGTTGTTCTTCTGTTTGTTGAATGCCCGGTAGTACTTCAATCAATGCATCAATTTCTTTTGCTTTTTTTACTAAATCAGATACGAGTTCGCGTACATTATCTACAATCATTCAGTCATGGAATCATCTAAAGTTATGTCTAACCTTGAAATATATGTGGTTCGTCTGCCTGCACTAATTAGGATGCTGTCAATATCAGTCTATCAAGCTAATCAAGGCTACCTTTCGGTTGAGTGACTGGAATATCTGGATTCAGTTCTGCCATGCCTGATTTTTCATGGACATAATATATACTATTGGTAAACATACGAGCCATCTTTTAGAGTTTAGTTTTGTAGTTTACGGTTGGGTTATATTTACAGCATCAATAGCATCCTGTAACTGTGTTAGTCTATCCATCACTTAAAAAACAAAAGAAAGAGAAAGAGAGAGAGAGAGAGAGAGAAAAAAAAATGTTAAAAAATACATTAAAAAAAAAGGATAGGCGTAGAATAAAAGTGCAAGTCTTCATTGGTTACTGGACACCAAAAAAAAAAGTCATAGATGTCTAGCTTGATACATTCTACTGTTGTCGTAATATACAAAAAGCATTTTATGCAAAATCTGATCTTTTATTTTTAAATAATTGGTCAATTCATTCCTAAAGTATATTTAGTGATTTCTTTATCTGTATTTATTTTAATTTTATCTATTTGTCTGCAGTTTCATGCTCTCCTTTCTTTCAAGTGCTTTATATTTTATTGTAAACACTGCATATATATATATATATATATGTATAGTACATCACGTGATGTATATAATATACCAAACTTACTCTAGATATACACTACGGCGAGACAGCATGCTTAGAAGCGAAGGGTGTAAAATTCTGAAGTTGTCGAAGCAAAGTCGAAAAAAGAATTTTTTTTAGTTGATCATATTTCTACCACATTTTCCGCTTTTGAGATTTCCTTTTTTTTTATTGGGTAGTTTATCTTTACCTCCTAACTTTCAAGCTGTATCTGACTTTTCAGCTCAACTAAAAACGATTTTTTTTTCTTTGACTCATATATGTTATAAATTTTGAAATAACTGTGCTTTTCTGATTGAGATAGTCTTAACCCTTCAACAATTGAGTTCTTTTTATTAAGAATATATGTTTTATTTAAAAGATAAAACCCGTTTTCTCTCGATTCAAGCTCATTTTATCATTTTTATTTCTGAACCGTTCTCAAATTTGCTGAAAAATAATATACTGAAAAAAAAATTCTCTTTCTCTCTTTTTAATACAAAACTCCTTCTCTCTCTCTCTCTCTCTCTCTCTCTCTATCTTTCTTTCTTTTTTTTAATTTCAATCTTGAAAAAGAGAATATTTATTTTATCCTGATCTTGGTCAAGACAAGAGAGAAACACTTTAAAGAAACAAGAAAATTAAATTTGTAGGTTTCCTCTTTCTCTTTCTACTATATGGCAAGATGAAGTTATTTCTTCATCTTTTGTCCATGATGACACGCGTTTATAGGTTACTCATACTTTATAGTAAAAATGACTGACTCGAGTGAAGTAAACGTGGATTCTATCATTGAAAGATTATTAGAAGGTAATACTAAGTCATAATAAGGACGTAATCAAATATTAATTTTTTATTTATTTGATAGTCAGAGGCAATAGACCTGGAAAACAAGTGCAATTAGAAGAACATGAAATTCGATACCTTTGTCTAACTGCTCGTGATATCTTTATGAGTCAACCTATTTTATTGGACTTGGAAGCGCCTATCAAGATTTGTGGTAAGGTATACTTGTTGTTTATATAGTGTGGTTGACATGCTGTTATTAGGTGATATTCATGGTCAATACTATGATCTTTTGAGATTATTTGAATATGGTGGATTCCCTCCAGAATCCAATTATTTGTTTATGGGTGATTATGTAGACAGAGGAAAACAATCATTGGAAACTATTTGTTTGTTATTGGCATATAAGATCAAGTATCCCGAGAATTTCTTTATTCTTCGTGGTAATCATGAATGTGCAAGTATCAATCGTATCTATGGCTTCTATGATGAATGTAAAAGAAGATACAACATCAAATTGTGGAAGACATTCACAGATTGCTTTAATTGTTTGCCAATTGCTGCCTTAGTTGATGAAAAGATCTTTTGTATGCATGGTGGTCTTTCTCCTGATCTTCAATCGTTTGAACAGATTCGACGAGTGATGAGACCTACGGATGTACCCGATACTGGTAAGTTGATGCGTAAGGGAACCAACCATTTTCTTACAAAAAAAAAAATTAGGCCTTCTTTGTGACCTTCTTTGGTCGGACCCTGACAAGGATATCTTGGGTTGGAGTGAAAATGACCGTGGTGTCTCATTCACATTTGGACCTGATATTGTCTCAAGATTCTTACAAAAACACGACATTGATCTTATCTGTAGAGCACATCAAGTCGTTGAGGATGGTTATGAATTCTTCTCAAAGCGTCAATTAGTCACTATCTTTTCAGCACCTAATTACTGTGGTGAATTCGATAATGCTGGTGCTATGATGAGTGTGGATGATTCTTTAATGTGTTCATTCCAAGTAAGTTAAATCAAAATCAAATTGCGATGCTTATACTCCGTAGATCCTTAAACCTGCAGAGAAAAGAGCCAAATATGGTGGATATGCTGGTAACAAAAATGCGCCAAGAGGTAAAAAGAAGAATGGCTCTTCGTAAATTGTGTTATATCTTCCTCTTTTTTCTTTCTTTATCTCGTTTCCTTTATACTATTACCTTTTTATTTTGTAATAAAAAAAAATTCAACATGTTTAATTATTTTTGTCCTACTTTGTTTTCCGTTTTTGAGAGAGTATTTCATGTATGTTTAATTAAACACCTCCGTTTATTCGTTTTGGAGGAGAAAGGGAGACACAGCTTATTTATCTATACAGTGAAGCGAGATGTGACATAGAGTATTCATGGTCTTATTTCTGTACTTTAGCTTATACCACGCAGGGTTGGCGCTTTACAACGCGCACAGATACCAGTCGATCAAAACAATTTTTGGAAAACGACTCGTCTGTCGTTAAAGTTAAATTGATTTTGTGTCACAATCAGTCTAATGTCAATCTTGAAATCTAGAAAAGGAAATTCGAATTGGTCCAACAAAAAGAATACTATTTTACTTATCCAGATTACTGTTTCAATCAAGAAAACTGCATCGCATTGCTCCCGGAATTTCTAACATACGAAATCAGATTGGATTAAACAGCCCTTTCGAATTTATCTTTTAAATGATAATTCATTGCTTTTGTTCTCTTAGCTGTTTTGGGTGTCTTTCTTTTTACCTTTCTAGAGTATCAAAGCGCTTTTCTTAATACAGAATTGAGGGTATAATGCAGTTTAATTCGATTTTACAGCCATAAGTCATGGACATCATTTAGTAAGAATGACCCTGTTCTTCTTTGTAAACCAATGATCTAAAGAGAATAAAGGTTATATTGAAGTAAAGAAGAATGCTCTATTGATACTATGTATCTGTTGAGTAAAACAATTCATAAAACCGATCGACAATTCTGCCAAAGATTATCTTTTATACCTTTAAGACGTCTCAAATATACTCTTTTACGAATATCTATAACCAGATATATACAAAAGATCATTTCCATGCAAAAACAATGACAAGTTTTAAAAGAGCCTAAAGGGCAAAAAACCTTTCGAGGATTTTCTTTATTTTCACAAAAAAAAAGAAAAAAGAAATATAATTCGACAGCGATAGAGCAACTTTTTTTATATGCTGTATATTAATATAAATCACGCGTCTGAGGCTGACGAATACGCTGAAAATGTCGGATTTACAAAAGCCTTATGGAAAGTGTACGCAATGACCCAAAAAGTAAAAAAAAAAAAAAAAAAAAAAAAAGATTGTGATAGATTGCTCAACATTCTCATAGTATATATACAGTACTGTTTATACTATTCAATACGCTTTGTCGAGATGTGCAAACTTTGTTGAATTGACATTTGATATCCCTTTGTTATTGTGCACTTATGGACAATTATTTGGTTTGTGTAACATGGAAACCTATCATCCATCCAAGAATAGGCAATTTGAAATAGTACACTTTTTTTTCCGACAAAGACTAAAAAAGAACAAACACAGACAATTCAATGCAATAACAGAATCATTTTAAAAAGTCACTGGCCCACTTTGGGCTGTATAATTACTACCTTAGTAAGCATTGATCTGTTGGATTGTTGATTCAGAATCAAGAAAAGCATGATAATCATGCTGATTTTTGTATGCACGATGATCAAGAAAAATAAATGAATTGCGTTTGAGCCAAAAGTATGTTATCGACCTTAAAGCCACTCTCTTTGACGCAGCAAAGCCCGAAATGACATCTACTTTGACTTAATAAAACAATGAAAGAATAGACTTGTGCGATGCAAGCAATTATTTATGATAGAAGGAAAAAGTCTTCATGACTTCATCTTTAAGACAGACTTTGCTAAACAAAATCGGAGAGTTGAGTCAAGCCACAGTCAACTGGGTATCACGCAATGCTTCAAAAAAGAGGCTCAAAAAAAAGTGAAGAAAGTATAACACTCATTGAATCACCTATACACAAGACAAGTCTCTTATCCTTGTCTTTATTCTTCTAAATTATAGATAATGCTGTCTATGTAAACTATCTTTCTTGCTCTTTTTAGTCGTCTTTCTTTTTCTTTCTTTCTTTTTTGGTACAAAGCAGAATCAATGAATTTATGCCGATCCAGAATTTAATCAGAATAAGCGGGGTTTTGAATATTGGACCTGAGCTCTCTTGCTCACATTGATAATGTAATGATGAATATTCCTGAAACAAAAATAGGGGTTACAAGAACACTTGCAGATGTTGAAGACCAAAGAAAAAAAGCGATGCTCTTCTACAGAGAAATTACGTCTAATGCCTATGCAAGCAAGTACTTTTTTCTCTTGTTTTCGTTATAGAATAAAGACATCTCCGCTTGTTTTTGTGAAAATAATTTTCCAAACTAAATCTTCAAAAACGCAGTAAAAAAAAATTTGTCACACGGACAGCTTATAACTTAATCCTGCCTTTTTATTTTCTTCCTTTTCTTTCTTTTCTTTCTCTTTCCCTCTTCTCTTTTTCTGTTTATCTCAAGATGCTTCCAAACGACTATAACCATAGGCATACTAGACCCGTGTCCGAAGTCATTAACTCGAGTCGTTTTATAAATGAAGGTACACATAAATCATGAAGAAAAATCAAATAACTCATTTTTTTAGCTGACATAGGAGGTAATTGGTATGAGGACTTACAAAATTATGAGCGAAATCTCGACGAAATGGCTTCCACTACGTTGGACCAGGTAAGATTAAAAATAACACGCGAACAAAAGAAATGAACGCGTTATTTTCATCAGACCTTCAAGGAAGAAATGCAACATGTTGACCAATGGTATCGTTATTTGACTGAAGCTGAAAAGACGGCTACCATGTATACACTTCTTCAACACTCGAGTCAAGTCCAAGCTCGGTTTTTTATTAATTTGTTACAACAAATGATCAAAAGGGACCCTCTGTTTTCGTTATTGACCCCTAATCATTCAGAGCAAGGTAAGCAACAAAGCACACTCAACCTCTTATTTATCATGAGTCTATAGATATGCAGAATCATTTAGCTGGTGCGATGGCAAAAGCGGAGCTTGAGGCAAGTCAGCGCTTAATGTCGGTGCTACCTTACAAGACAGGTCAAGTGATAAGCAGACCTCCCAGTACGACAAATCGTCGAACAGTTGATCGCCATTCATTCGCATTAGGCGATACTGAAGAATATAATCGATTGTTTGGCACAAGAGCTGATTTTAACACAAACAGTCGTCCATCATCGTCTTATGTAAGCAGCCTATTGGACGATCCCATGGCTGGTAACACAACACAAACAAGACGCATCAATAATAGAGGGCGTCCTATGTTTAATAATGGCGGTAGACCTCATTCTGTCATTGAGGGCGATACCAATGCGTTGTTCCCTAATAACTGGATGAATATGATTCCTAGTACAAGTACAAATAATATCATGCGTCGTCAACCTCCTGTTGTTGTGGGTCATATTGGGGATCGTAAGATGATGCCAGAACGACCCAAATCAGCTGACATTAGTCATTGGGCATTGCCTACTGCCACTAGTTCCACTGAGTCACTTATGGATCGCCATGCAAGTAACGGTGGTACCAATTTTGCTTCTTCTTCCTCTTCTTCTGTCTGGGGACAATCATCTCAACAAAATCAACAACAACAACAGCAGCAACAACAGCAACAACAAGTGGATAATGAGTTGCTTGATTTTGCTAGTACCCTGCAACAACCTTATCGCCGACGTGCTAATGTAAACCGTATTCCTGTTGTGCCTGAAAATGATGAAGTGACTCGAAATAATGCATTTCTAGATGATTCTTCTTTTCGTATCACTGCTCCAGGCATTGAGCATTACAGCAACTATTTGCTGATACCTCAACAACAACAACAGCAGCAGCAGCAGCAACAACAACAACAACAGCAAAAGCAAAAATTGCAAGGTATCATTGATGGTGCTTCTAATTTGACATTGGATGACCATGGATATACCAGTGATCATAGTGATGGTTCACACATGTCTCGTCGTCGTTCTTCTTCCATGATACCCAATAATAATACTTCGAGAGCCACCAAGGATAAGAAAGCTGTTGAAGTAGTCGATATGGAGCTTTTGAAAGGTAAGTAAAAAAAAAAAGCTATTTTTTTCTCTTTGTTTTCTCACTTTGTTACTAGATGTTCCTGCTTGGCTCAGGAGTCTTCGTCTGCATAAATACAACAGTATCTTTAGTGAGAATACATGGCAAGAAATTGTCAAGATGTCAGACGAGCAATTGCTAGCTAAAGGTGTTGCTGCGTTAGGTGCAAGACGTAAGATGCTTAAGGTGTTTGAAAACATTAAAAATCATTGTGAAGCCAATGTAAGTGTTAAAGTTATTCAGTATTTTTACTGACTTGTTTTGTTAGAATATTGAATATTAAGACTTGTTTATGTACATGTATTTTCTTTTTTCTTTGTTTTTCTGATTTCTTGCTGGGCAAGGTATTCTTTCCCTTCTCTATATATGTATTCTAAAAAATAAAATATACTCTGATTCATCATTTATTTTGACATGCAAAGTCTGTTTCATAAGCACACATTATGTTCAAAGCAAACGCGTTGAGTATTAAGAAATAATCTCTATCAAGTCGCGTCAATTGTATCTAGACATTGAAGCGATTCAAAAAAATCTTTACAAGATAAACGCTGATCGAACAAAACTTCCAATTATTATAAACCCCCATATTTCTATTGAACAAACGACAAATCCAAATTTCTCTTAAACCATGTGTGAGCAAGGAAAAAAAGACATCTTTATTTTAAGAACATCAGCATTTCCACATTCGTTGCTTGTTGCTTATTTCTTGCTAGCGGCAGCAAGAGCAGCTTCAGTACCCTTCTTAGCGAAACGTTGGTTACGGAGGAACTTGGCATCCAACTAGTGATGATATGAGTACTTTTATTTCCATAGCTTGGTACTTACACTCTTTTGAGATCTGTACTTGTGGGTAGCAGGCTTCTTGATACCGTTACGGTGAGCCTTCTTGTCTATAAGGATGTTAGTTACATCTGCAGAATTTTCAACCATTCTAACATACTTTGGTTGTGGTTGGTGTGGTTCTTAGACTTGGCCATTTCGCTTCTAAATAGATGGATGAGTAATCAAGGTGGATGGATGGATGCTCCTCATTACCAAGGTCAAACAAGTAGTTGAAAAGAGGGATTCCTCACAATGCACATCGGCTGCTTTGTTTAGGGGGATACTGAGAAAAAAAAATTGCCCGGTGGAGATTGCGACGGGTTCGTCGTGACCCAAATTGCCTTTTTTGTCACCACGAAAGCAACTAGGCACCGAAAAAATTATCAGAAGAAAAAAAAAAATGAAGGTTTATTTACGTATCTTTCTTAACTTGAGCTTCCATATTTCAACGTCTTCATTACCAACCAGTTGATTTTTGATGAGTTTCTTAAGTACCATTCTTGGCTCGAATCCTATCAAGCGTGCTTTTTCAATGAACCCATCCACCACAGCATCATCTCTACGCTCCATAGCAATAAATACAAGTGTTTGATGCGAAGCATGCTGCTTGATACAATTCAACAAGGGCTCTACCAGTTCAATTTCATATATACAGTCTGATGCAATAATATAATCAAAAATAGTAGGTTCAGATGCTTCTGTATCTAACCAATTCAATGCTTGTACGCTGATCTTGGGTGGCTCTATCACAGGAGAGGGATATAAATGATGCCACCAATCAAGAATGGCATCCATGGCTGTTGTGCAGTTAGGTTCAAGCACGCAATGGACTATTTCGGGTAAATCTGTCAAGACGGTATTAAATCCTAAGGCTGCCATAGTCAAGCCACCTAGCCCACACCCACTGCCTAATTCAAGACAGGTCTTTTGGTTGTGTACTCGAGTATCTTTAAAGGTGGGTCTCTTGAGTGAATCAAATAAGTACAGAGCGAGAAGTTTGGCAGAGTCCCAGACAGTAGTTCCATGGTTTTGTGTATTGTTTTGTTGGCTTAAATGAAGAGAGAAGGAAGCATTCAAGTTAATTGTAAACGTATCAAGTGCTTTTGTATCGGATAGATCTTGCATTTAAACAAACAAAAAAGGTGAAAGAAAAAAGTTTAAAATGACAGTCTCTTTTTTTTTTATTGATGAGTTTCTGCATATTTTACCATCATGGAAAACGCCTCATAAATAAGGTCAGCAGCCAAAAATGTCGTTAGTTGTGCTTGAGTATCATAAGCAGGTGCTACTTCTACAACATCCATGCCCACTATGTTATATCCATCTAAGCTCCTTAATATATATCTCATCTCTCTTGTTAAAAATCCGCCTGTTTCTGGTGTTCCTGTAGCAGGAGCCATGGAAGGATCAATCACATCAATATCAATTGAAAGATAGACAAGAGTATCTTCTCGAGGGCCCAAGATCTCTTGAATACGATCTGAAATACCTTGTACACCTAATGTGAAAATATCGTTTGCCTTGACGATACGGAAACCCAATGCTTCATCCCGAGAAAAATCAAGCTCGTCATATAAAGTAGATCGAATACCTACATGGAGACTGGTGCCATTGGTCGTCAAGCCTTCTTTGGCTGCATGATAAAGAGGATTTCCATGATTGTATTTAGATCCTTTAGCTTTTACATTGTAGGTTTCAGGAGCCCAGGTATCCAAATGAGAATCAAAATGGATAACAGAGATAGGTCGTCCATGAGCTTCGCGCATTGCCCTAAGGATAGGCAAGAGAATCGTATGATCACCACCCAAAGTGATCAATCGAGGTATACCACCATCTACAGACGAGAGAGAAGGACGTGTAGGTCGAGAAAGGATGTATTTCGCATGCGATTCAATCTGTGAAATGGCATGGTCACTGTCAAAAGGTTCGAATGGAATATCACCACAATCCACTGCTTTTGCCCATGATTTAAAGGGATTGATAGATAGTTCTGTATTGTATCCCTAATCAACCGGTTTATATTGACATTATGCCGCTACGTCTTTACCTTGATTCTCTTGGATCCTTCACGAATACCAGAGGGTCCGAATCGAGCACCTGTTCTAAATGTGACACCAATGTCATAAGGGGCACCAATCACAGCAATATCATAGTCTTCATCTACACTCTCTTCCCAACATTGAAGATAGGGGAGATGAGCAAAAGTAGAGATACCTGCAAAACTAGGAACATAGCCATCTTTTTCAAGTACAGGTCTGTTAAACAAGATAGGCATCTCGTGGGGGCCTGAGAGCGGGATTTGACCTAAATTACGTTGGCTATGGTCTCCATGAGCATGGATAGCACCTAGCACTACACCAGAAAGAAAAAGACTTTTGAGAAACATACCAGAGAAAAGAGAAATGTTTATCTGCTTTTTATAACCGTTATCGATCAGTTCTCACGAAAGAATGAATGTTTTCAATTATTGGATAGATATTTGTCAGAACTTTTCAGGTACCGAATATCTTCTACTCTTTCGAAAACTTCATTATGCAATATACATGATTACCGCTCCATCGAGAAATTGCTGTACTTTAGTTTTGGTTTTCCTGTTTGTATGTTCGACTTGCACTCGCCTGTTGATGTTGCCCATTTTTAATCAGTGCAAATCAAAAGGAAAAAAAATAGGAATAGTACACACTTTGCTTATTGTAATATTCAATCGACAGCATTATGCACTTCCTTTACAGAGCTTATCAATGAACGCATTTCCATTGATGCATAAAGCATTTTCAAAAGAGGGCTGTCTTATCCTCGTACAATACGTTACTTTAGCCAATCACGACTAAGTACGCGTTCAAGCAGAATTTAGCCATTAAATTCGTTTATTTTTGTATTTTTTCTTTGCTCCCTTCTTATTTCGATATAACTTACTATGACAAAGAGAGCTAGCTGCTGGAAAAAGAAAGCAGTTTATCTAACTCGTAAGTCATACTGGTTATTTTATACACCTTTTAACGTCTACTTAGCTTTTATTCTCGGCTGTATTGCTCAGCTTGTCTCGGCATCTGAGGCACAGCAACAGGTACACTACTTCTCTCAAATAAAGTTACTTATAGTGTAGGTCTTGACTACTTCGATAGAAAAAGGCAATATAGACCATATAAATGAAGGTAAATGAAAGAAAAAATCATACGCACAATACTCATTTAAATTCTAGGTCAACGTTTATACCAAGAAGCATTGAAACAGCTAGACATGATTCAAAAGAAATACACTAACAACACATCTAAATCCATAGTCAAGTCTAGCATGACTGATCAATTGATTCAGAAAATAATGAATTTCTGGCAACCCACTTCTACAACATCCCTAACATCACCTGAACAAGAGCACTCTAAAAAGAATGACTTTGACAGTATTACACTTACACTTGAGAAGTCTGCCCGAGAATATCAAAATAACGATGCATTGTTACTCTTGGCAGAACTCAATTTTGTAAGTTAGACCCTATCTTCTTGTTATTCAGTACTCACCGTAAACTAGTTCTCTAAATACAGTCATCCTAGAAACTATCGTCATGCTTTTGATTATTACAATGAATTGGCTGCTAAAGGCAATGCTACAGCACAGCAGATGATTGGCTTTATGTATTCTACAAGTATAGGCAACGTTGTGCCAAGAGATCAAGCCAAAGCCCTTTTATATCATACATTTGCTGCACATGGCGGCGATACAGCAGCTGAAATGACTATAGGCTATCGTTATATGATGGGCATTGGAACAGACGAGAAATGTGAGGATGCACTCTACCATTACAAAAACGTAGCTACCAAGGTCATTGACTATTATTTATCCGGTCCTCCTGGTGGCCATACACCACCATTATCCAAAGTAAGATTGTCTGAAAAGGAAGGCGGCATTTATGGCTATGGTGCTAGTATGACAACAGATAAACGATCTCGCTATGGGAGCAGTCAAGAGAAATCTGTCAGTATTGATGAAATTCTGCAATACTGGCGCTACTTGGCTGCGAAGCAAGATGTAGATGCTCAACTCATGTTGGGTCAAGTGTATTATCTCGGTACTCGAAGTATACCTCGCGACTTTAATGAAGCCTATCAGTTCTTTCATCAGATTGTCGATAAAATCCCTGCGAATGGCAAAATGCCTCCCAAAAACAGTAAATTGATCGGTCAAGCTGCTGGATATTTAGGTTTAATGTACTGGCGTGGAGAAGGTGTGCAAGCCAATGCAAGAGCAGCTCATAAATGGTTTGAAATCGGTCGAAGTCTTGGTGACTCAACGTCTCAAAACTACCTTGGTATGATGTATTTAGATGGTATTGTGGTTGTCAAAAACAGAGATAAAGCTATTGAATTGTTCAAGAAAGCAGCCGATCAAGAAAATCCTCATGCTCAAGTCAATTTGGCTATTGAATATGCTCAGTCAGAATCAAGTCTACCATTGGCTATTCGTCTTTTTACAAAAGCAGCTGATGCAAAGCATTTGTTGGCTTATTGGTATTTAGCACATATGAACGAACAAAACATGACCCCTCGACCTTCTTGTCGTGTAGCCGTGTCCTATTACAAAGCCATTGCAGAACGAGGTGATTGGTTGAATCCTACGGTTGAAGATGCTTATAAAGCTTACAAAGAAAATGATAAAGAAGATGCCTTGCTGAATTATATGCTTGCTGCTGAAAGAGGGTACGAAGTTGCTCAGTCGAATGTAGCTTATATGTTGGATCAAGATAAGAAAATGTTGACTCATTTGCCTTTAATTGGCGATTTGCAAGAAGATCAATCCAATCCCTTGGCGCTGAAAGGATTAGATCAACAAGAATCTGCCTTTATTTACTGGACTCGATCTGCCAACCAAAACAATGTAGATGCTCGTATCAAGATGGGTGATTATTATTTTAAAGGCATTGGTACACCTGTAGACTATGAAAAAGCTGTCTCTTGCTATCGCTTAGCAGCTGAAATACAAGGTTCTCCTTTAGCTTTTTGGAATTTGGGCTGGATGTATGAAAACGGGATTGGTGTGACCAAGGATTTTCATCTTGCTAAGCGTGCTTATGACCATGCACTCAGTCTTGAACAAGATGCTTATTTACCTGTCAAATTGTCTTTATTGAAGATGTATGTCAAGTATTACTGGGAGTGGATCACAGGACATGAAGTAGGACCTGCTCTTCAAGACAACAAGCATCAAGAAGGCATTAAGAACAAATTTGGTGCTTCAAAGAACAAAGAGGTAGAAGGTAGTCAATACGACATCGGTGAAGAAATGGAACGCCAGTACAAGATGAAGAAGCAAAAAGAGAGAGAGGAACAAGAGAGACTGAGTGACGAGAATCCTTTTGGTGATGATCCTTATGCTTTGGATGATTTTTCGGAGGAAGATGAATTGTTTGAGAGTTTGTTGATTCTTTCGTTATGCCTTTTAGTGGGTTATCTTGTCTATGTGAGACAGTTCCGTTTTGGTGGCGGTAATCAACAGCAACAACAGCAACAACAACAGCAGCAGCAAAGAAATAATGGATTTGCTGTTCCTGATGCTGATCATCCTGAAAACAATAATAATGTACAATAAATTTTTTTCTCTATCACATCAATTTTATTCAGGCAAGACTTAGATGTTAGTTTAAGTAGTTAAGCAGGGTTCAATGTCCAGTGCTTTGGCCAATTTAGAAATAACTGAGGAACATGACTTGTCTTTGATGTTTCGAGTTTTTCAAGCCATGCGTGGTAATGCTTAGAGACTCCCTCTAGTTCTTCAACCGCTTTGGATGCATAAACATGCTTGGATGGGTGATATTTCCAGTCCCTATACTCTTTAAGCTCTAGTTGATCTTGCGTATTGGTATTTTCAATTGAGAAATCGAATATGCTTGGCATGGTATAGATCTCATCTAAAATACTGATGTCTTCGACACGATTTTGATGTATATTATTTTTTGACTTTAAAATCTTTATCGACATGAAGCATTTGCTATAAGTCTCAGCGAATTGATGATGGCTGAATTTCTTGATTTTTTTATAGCAACTAGAAGGTGCTTGTTGATGGTCCTTTTCTTTAGGTGATGTCTGTTTGTGTGTCTTATTTTTTGACTCCAATACAACAGTTTGAGAGGAAAAAGGCTTAATCTCTTTACACACTAGTGATAAATAAGTGTTATAGATTTGATGTGCATTAGAAAAATTTGCTTTCGTTCTTTCGACATGATCATATTGCTTGTAAAATGCATCCATCAAAGTCTCTAGTACAATATGTATTTTTCTATATGAAAAAACGAACAATAAATAATAGTAATTGAATCAAAACTGATTCTGCTTACAATGAACACTGTCTGAGATGTATACCTTCCTTAACTTGTTTTTTTTCTTGTATTAATCTAAACCATTCTCTTGTACAGAAGGAACTATCGCAAATAGACATTGAAGATCTTGGTGTAGTATCTTCATTGCGCCAATTGAAAGTTTTTGTATTATAGACACGTCCAACACGCCAGATAAGGCATCTGGAATAAAAGAACCGAACATTCTTGCTCCAATGTAACAACAGACGCTCAAGAATATTGGTATTCAATAGAACGTCAAGGCAAAGAAATTCCGTCAAAGCTACTTGTGATGTCAAGAATTCAAAGTTTGTGTAGATAAATGATAGCGCTCGAAGAAGCGAAAGGCTATGATCTGATTTGGACAAGACAATGTCCAAAGTGTGTAAGATATAAGGAATATCAATGGGCAGAGCTTCCTTGTGTTTAAATGGATATCTACATGAATTAAGATTTAAAGTGAGGAATACGTTTACTTGGGTACCTACTTCTCAAGTTGTAGTATAATTTGCTCCATGAAATCAAACAGGCCTATGAACTGGTTAGACATAGTTTCCAATGTCTTATACATTCAAGCTTACAATACACTTGCTCTACTTCTGTAAGTACAGTTTTTCTTATTGCAGATCGAATCCAAATATTGATCATATCGTAGAACAGAGCAGTTTGATTTGACTCTATTAGGGCACATCGAATGATGCATGCAGCATATTTCTTGGTTGCATTGTCTAATTGAACGGGCTTTCCAAACGACTGATTGTAACGAGCATTTGTATTACCTTGATCAACATTGAAAGCATCGAAAAAGGCTGCTAGTGCTTCGTTATTTAAGTTTAACGCATCGCTGTTCCTGAGCCAGTTTGGTTCGAGATCAATCATGAGTCTGTTGTAAATAGGCTGATGAGCTGTGTTTGTCACTGAGATGACTCGTCTATGAACAAGTGAATCGATTTTGCCTGCAAAGAAAGAAGCCAAATACATATACCCAGGTAACAATGTCAATATAGAGTTGCGTTGATAGAGTCGCTGATGTTTTATTACAGGATATACTATGGACGTATAGGTACTGAGCAAGTAATGATAATGCTGATAAAATGCAAAGAACAGCCCGCTATCATCGCTTTGCCATCTTTAAAATTCAGGTTAAATGTGAGCATAATGAGAGGCTGGCCATACCTTTTCACCCAATTCGCAGTGGCATGTTGAGTTGTGTTTGGAAGATTCAGTCGGTGACTCGACATGCTCATATATTCACGATAAGCGAAAATATTGCTTGTCATGATAGGGTGTAAAAAGGAAGGAAACACTGACTTCAAATAGTTTTTTTCTTGCGCTGAATAAGCTGGCAAATGACTACGGGCAAAACACATCGATTAAAAAAATCGAGATGACTACTACAGGATGCATTACCTTTCCATTTCTTTCCATATTCTAGTAAACAAAATTGTCTTGACAGTCAATTGACTCAATAAAATAGCAGCTAGACCAGGTATTTTAAAGAAACAAAGAGCTAATGAAGGAGGTTACTAACACCACAATAATACATTGATTGCTTTGATTATACCCAAGATCTTTGCGCAAAAAGATATCATGTTTGAGAATAAGGCTCTTTGGTTCAGTTTGTGAATAACATTATTCAATGTCGATTTGAGTAATTGACGATAACAGAGCACACGCTTGTCTGAGCATTTTTCGTTCCATGAGTCATCATCTTTTTGCAGAATTAAAAAATGGTTACAAAAAGAAGGGGAGAACCTGATATATATTTACCATAATCCATAAATTCAGATCTAATATTACTATACATTAGCTCCTTATGATCTTCATAAATGTATGTACATATTTTGACATTACATACAGCTGCAGACTTTATATGTATAGATAGACTAACTTTACCTTGACATGATGGATAAAATACATTCGAAATAAAGGCATTTTTCTTCATTATTGACAATAAACATGTTATTTAATAAAGCCCTCCACCTAACAAAAAGGCATTTAATCTGCTGTGTCTGTGTAACAATGCTTACCATCGAAGCAATATCAACTTCCCATTCTGGAGCTTCTTCTCTTTGTTTCTCAAAACCCAACCTTTTGTTTGTTTTGTGTACTCAGCTATCATCTCTATTTTCGCTGTATTACTTTCAAGCCAAGGCAACAGATGCCATCGAATAATGTTTGTTCTTTGTTTCATCTTATTTTGAAATCTTTACAATGTTAGTCTATAGTCAGGAATAAAATGTGTACACTACTTTGAGAGATGGTTTCCAAGTTTCTTGTAATTGCAAGAGTTATTTTGTATGTGGAAGCGAAGCCTATTTAATGGCGCAGTGCTTGATAAAACCGTGAAAGAGGAAGTAGAACTACTAGAGGCTAAAGTCGGTTCAAGTTCCTCATTCTTTGTTTGCCTTAATAAACTATCTGGGTAATGAGTGCTGTCAATATGGAACTGTACAGATTTTCTTCGATTTGTATTCGATGTCATAGATTGAAGAATAAAGAAGAGAAAGAGGATGCATGAATCAAAATAATTTATTATACAGTTTTATAAACAGAAAAGATAGGAGTTGCAGCTTTATAAACATACATATTTAAACCATAACTTTCTCTTCTTGATGGTATTCTTTGACAAGCTGCTGATGAGCATTAGCCAGTTGAGCTTCCAATTCGAGCACTCGTTGAATATTATGTTTTTCTTTTTCAGCAGCGTGATTAACTTCAGACCCCAGCACGGCAACTTTGACCCGTAAACGCTCGTTATCGTTTCTAAGTACCTCAACTCGTTTTTCCAAAGACTCCATTTTGAGCACTTTTCTCATTCTTGACCGGCGTGCAGCATCTGTATTGCGTTGTCTTTTGATAACTAAGTCCACTGGCTCACCGCGACTGCCTCTTTTTCTTCTAGGAAGACTATCGGCACTCAAACTAGGTGAAGGAGGAGCAATATCAGGAGAAGGTGTGATAGGATGTAATCGCTTTTTGTGCTGTTTTTCTCTGATTAGTTGCTCACTTTGACGAATAGAATTTAATAAGGAATACACTTTCATAATTGGAATTAGATTCTGTTGTTGTTCGTCAACATTTCTTGATAGTTGGATAGGTTTTAATAAAGGCGTTTTGTTTTCTTGTAATACAATATTTTTCAGTGAGCATATCTTGTTGGTATCGTTTTTATCACATTGGATTTGGTTTTGCTTTAAATCCTCTTCAAGCCAGTCGTCCAATGATGAATTCCAGCTATTGTTCAATCGTTCGTTTTGAGAAGGCATTATGTATTAAATATTAAGAAGGCTATGTACGATAAGGAAAAACAAGAGATATAAAAAAAAGAAACTAATGTTTATATATGAGTCAAATTAACACACACACACACACCCATTCGCATTAAGCGCTATAGATTATCACCTGGCATGAAGGAATTCTGATTGGTTAAATGGATGACAAGTTTTGTCTCCCCTATCATTCAATCGTTTTTATTGGCTAAAGAGATAAATAAAGATACACTTATTTTAGCTGTTTTGTACAAAAGAAATACCTTGCGTAATCCCATTCCATGGCAGTGTATATGTCATAGACCAATTAAGAACTTTTTGTATTCAATGTTTCGAGTCCTATATTTTTTTCTCATTCTTATCTATGGAAGTCTATGATATGGAACAAAGTCTGAGTCAGAGCTTGTAATTCATTTAGATTGGCAACTGTGATGCATGATGTGCAATCAAAGACCAATAAAAACACAATTTGAATCAATTTCCGAATTGAGTATTTTATGCTTTAATAGATATTTTATACAACTTTATTATAGAGAAAAAATATTAAAAGGTATCAGATAAGGTAGATATGTATATATATAATTATTCAATAGACCACATATTGTCTTGTTCAGCTTTTGGTTTGGATTGTTGATCCATGGGCTGACTGTCTAGTAATGTTCTGCTTGCATTATGTGGGTGAGATTCTGCCATATCGTAACCATCAATACTATCATGATCAATAGTGGTGGGTTGATTGGTGTACAACTTTTTCTTGTTTTTGCCCATGCTTTCATCATTAAAGATAAGAACACCTCTCTTGATATTCAACAAGCATTTGAAAGCGACAGCAACAGTAAGCAAGACTAGAAAAGCTGCAATAACAGTTGTGAAGATCAAGAATTGACGTGTGTGAAGATAAGGATCGTAGCCTTCAGCTCTGGGTCTGGCAATAACAACAAGGCGGTAGATAAAATAGACAATGCAAAGACCGCCAGCAGTGATAAAGGCCATTAAGGCATACTTGTTTTCTTGATACACAGCTACCAGAGCTAAACACAATCCTAAACCACCCAACACAAAGACCAAAACAGTCTCAGTCACTGTGTCTTGGTAGCCTAATCTTTGAGAAGGAATCAATTGAGCAGCAAATGAGAACACAAAGAAGAAATCAAGCTTTAAAAGTGTGAGCAATAAACTAACTGTAATCAAAGCATTTCGTACTCTATTCAATGGTTAGCTTCCTTTGTTTTGATATACGTAAGTTATTTACTTGATATCAGCAGAGAAGTTACGGTAGTTGTCCCAAGCAAATTGCTTGCGAAGCCTCCATCCAAAAAATGCAAGAACGAGGAAGAAGGCAGGAATCAAAGCAATAATAGTATACTCAATAGGTCTCATAATGCTACGGAAATAATTTTTTGCTGAATCCATGCCTGCCAAATTATCACTCCAACGGGGATCTACAGGTTGCCAAAATTCTTCATTTCCACTAAAAATAAATAGTATTAGGCATCATGTGATGTTGGTAAATAGGTATTTACCAAACGGCGTCTTCTAAAATAACATGTTGTTGAAGTTGAATGCCTGCATATCTACAGAAATTGAAATAATTTAGTAAGAGCCGCTTAACCTATTTAAAATATCCTTACACTAATAAAAGTTAGACTAACTATGCAAATGTATAAATGGTTCACTTACCTACAACCGATAGACCAAACGTAATCAATGCAATAAGTTGAGCTAGGATTGAGATGTACGAGTGAGTTATAACAACCAGGAAAGTTGCATAGTACCTGTATTTCTTTGATACAAGGCATCGACACACAAAATAACTTGAAAAACTTGAGCAACAATAAACAAAGAATGATAAATAAGATCAGACTCGCTTACACCTGTAAAGAAATAAGTATAAAGAAAGCATTTCATCAAATATCAAACCTTCGCCAATAATATCAGGGTTACAATTAGAAACAAGCTGAAGATGGTTCATGATAACAATGCCTTCCAAAATACAAATCACAATACATTCAAATAAGACAAGACTAAAAGTCATAATAGACTCTTTTGTCCTAAATATAGGGTTTTCTCTTAAGGTCATTTTGAATAAAAGAAGAAAAAGAAAAAGAGAGAGTAAAGAAAAAGGAAAAGAAGATGATACAAAGGAAGAAACGTTTTATATTCTTTGTATTGTGCGACTTTAATAATATAATAGTGAAGTCTTGTACCGAGAGAAAACTGTTTTTTTTTGGGGCGCAGTCCAGTAACTCTAAAGACTTTTGCTATTGTGTCACGAGTCATATTTTATTTGATCCACGCATTAATAACACTTTTTATTGATCTAAATTTAAAATTCTCAAGGCGCAGTCTATACAAGATAGTGAGTATAAGTGGTTCATTTATTTCTTTTGTTTCTGATTTCATAGGGAGTTTTGAGGGAGATTTTTCTTAACCTATAAATGGAAGCAATGGCGCTCTGGATGTCCTAGGTTACACGACAGAATCCAAATTCACTTTAAGATTTTAGTAAACAGATATTTCAAAGTGATTTCTTGCCGTTTGAGGTAATAGCTAGATCGAGTAGAAGCAAGCATTCAAGCATCTTCAATTGGATAGTGTATGTAGATATGCTTTCCTGGTAGTATTGAAATATTGGGATTGATTCTGCCTCTTTATGAATCTCTTCTCCAAAGAGTAATTGAAGAACCCAACTGTCTAAGAAAGACTCTGATGACTCAAAACTCGTTAACAAATTACGTCTGTGTAGCAATCAACAACACAGAAATATCAAACTGATCATAGCTCTATAATTGATTAACTAATCAAAACACAGAAGCAAATACGCGTCGGTATTGTGGGTTTTACAAACATCATTTTGAATTTAAACAGAACTCATGATCTTATTACTATCTATCAAAATTAACTTTATTTCCATTATTCCTTCTATCTTTTTTTAACTATAATAAATATAAGTGCATACTTACAATATATTTATGTTATACTAAAAAAAACAAAGAATAGATCTGCAGTATTCGGCGCAATACAAATATGGTAATTTAAAAGGTCTAGGTACACAAACACATGAAAAGTACAGACTTAAAGTAGGATAAATGTCTAAGCCATTAATCTATTAAATGCGATGATGGAACTTTTGACCCAATGTTTCACGTATATTGATTTTTGACCATTGTACATGTGCTATTGACTTATTTGATCTTAAGGGCCACCGTCTACTCTATTCAAAAGACACCATCGTTAAGGAGAAAGAGCTAGAGGAGTTCCAAAGAAATTTTACACGTTGTCTAACAAACAATCCAAGATTTCAGTGATACAAAAGAAAATAATGACAATTCGATTCAAACTTGTGTTTCTTTGTTCCTTTCATCCTTCATTTATATATCTTTTCTTTTTCTTTCATTTTCAACAATCAATGAACATGATTTTTTTGACAAGTGAATCCAAAAAGATTGTTTCTTCCAGTAAAGGATTACACAAATCAAAAATTTAACTTTTTGCCATACTCGAGAAGGTTACATTGATCAAATGGCTTTTTAAGAAATTCAATCGTGATTTCCTATAAAAATCAATACGCAGTCCTTTCAGAAAAAAACAAGTAATGAATTCTATAGCAGTCAATTAGCTATAAAACATATTATAAACAAATGAGCATAATGCAGCTTCTTAAAATGCTTTGAGTCACATTGTTTTAGCAATTCCTGAAGTTTTTACTAGCGCTAAATTTACTCTATTTTTAAAAATTACCCGAAATTGCTCAAAGGAACTGTAACATTGAAATGAAGGAACACTCCGTCCTCTGAAATATGTATTTTTGATGACATTTGTTGATCTTCAAAAGATAGTAGCTATAAGTATTTCAAAAAAAAAGAGTTTTAATAAAGGAAACAAATGAAAAAAATAAGTTCATTTATTAAAAGTGTTTTGTAAGCAATAAATAGAGCTCTTATTATTCCTTATAAAATAAACCAGCCATTTATCAAACGCATAGAAACTAAAGATGATTAACTTATTGATGCTAAGAAAGGGCATACAGTAAAAGAATCAGTATATCTTAATCTTCATTACAACTGTACTTTCGAAACCAATGCAGTTACACAAAACTTGAAGTTTTTATGTTAATCTTTAAACATAAGGCACAGCATTTTACTAAAGAAAGCATATTTGTTTTTATCCTACCAGTGGCATTATACTAAAAAGAAGTATTTCATGGTGCCTTTTTTACATGTTTATTGATTGTAATATTAAAACACGGTATCATTCAAAAAAAAAAGCAGCAGTAGCAGATTTAAAGCCACAATCAAGATCAGAAGTGCAAAAATTCATTTATGAAAAAATTTGTCATACATCATCATTAATAACTCTGTCAAATGAAGCTATAATGCTTTCGAGCAAAAAAGCATCACTACCTCTCGAAAATTCTTTTCCAGTTTCAGATGCACGCTTAAATCGCACATTTGGTGTTATACAGCTTATTCATGTAACAGAGACACCAGGCAAGCAAATGCTTCAGCATTGAATAGGGCAACAATTCATGCAATCTTTTGTCTTTTTCTTGGGCATATAAGGGTAACATAAAGCCTGTTTATGCATGCATGGATGCTATAAATACATGCAAACAATGTCTAATAACATCTATGGTGTCCTTGAAGTTGATTTGGACCAAAAAAAAAAAAAAAAAAAAAAAAAAGCGACTTGTAAAATTAGGCCAAAATGGCCTTTTAACTAAAGGCTACTAGTCATGAAAATGATCTGTTTGACAACTCTTTGAGCTTGTTTTTGATGCTACAGTACGAAAAATAGAGCTATCGGCAAGTTTAAATACTCAAAATGAGTGTAAGAAGGTCCAGTTTTGGTAAATGCGTTTGATTGCTAATTGTACTACAAAAATGATGAGATATGAGCGAAAGACCTCATAAACATTCTTGCGCATTTGTTCAAAATTCTAGCAGTAGACTTACTGCGTTCTCTACATTGACGAACTCAGAAAGCAACGATCTACAACTCTTGTCATTACACCAAAGTCAGACAACTGCATCTTTATGCAGTTCTCAGCAAAAGCTCGATCTTTGGATGCGGCAGGATGAAGAACTGGTGTTGTCTTCTATTTCAACCTTCGCACGCTGCCAACCTGCATGTCCTATCTCCATTTATCCCACATTTGCATTATAAATCAACCCTGCTTTTACTTTTAAATGTTCCTTGGCGCTCCAAGTAGCATATAATGTTGTTTATAGCAACACTGATAACAGGGTTTGTATGTCATATAGACCAAAAATGCTCTAAACACAGTTAAAACATACCAATCTTTGATGTCCCATTGCTCGACAACCAGACTATGAAACCAGTCTGTTTTTTCGAGTTGAGGAATCGAATCGTACCATTGGTCTGGCTGTTAGATGAAATTCATGCACTTTCTCCTTTCCCCCTCCTCTTGCACAACATACTCGCTCAATCTTATTTATCACTCATTAAGACATCTTAAATAAAACCAGAACATAGTTTCCCTACAAAAAAAAAAGAACTAAACCATCCTATGCACAGATCGTAGCAGCTAAGAAGAGGATCTCATTGATCTACAAAAGCATATAACAACCTCATGTCGAAGCAGAGGACCAGCTTTCGACTCTTCAGTCCTGCATCTATAGATCTGCCAAATCACCCGGAGCTCTTTTACTTGATCTCACCAAAATTCGTAGCGAGCATACAGATTTTCAAAGTCTTCAGATCGTACTCGAACAACATCCCGAAATAGATGGGTGTCAATTTCTCAGTGACGGCCCACGCCGCTATTCGGAGCTCTACATTCGTCCAAAGGACAACACTATCAACACAGCTGTGATTTTCAAAACAAAAGAAATTCGAGTTCTTCCTCGTCGCTCGGGAGACGGCGATTATACGATTACGACCATCAGTTTGACCCACCTTCCCTTCGTTCACTCCGAAGAAATTGGGAAGGGTTCAGAGCAGAGCTTGGCCCCATTTGGAAAGATCCTGGATGTGGGTATAACAACTGAACCTAAATTAGGGATCTAATTATGCAGTAATTGGTAAAGACAAGAACGACACACAATATCAAGATTTGGATCACATTATTAGCTGGTATGAGTCTTCAGATCAAATTTTTCATTGTACATAGAATAATATGCATACCTGGTGTAGATATTACCGCCAAACGAGTCATAATAAGTTTGAGTGTGAGAAATCTAGAGCAAGGATCATCTGCTACAACTGTCAACACCTTGGACACCGATCATTTGAATGTCCTCGTAAAGCACCCCTGAATCCATTGAAGAAGCATAGAACACCAGCACCTAAGAAACAGAATGTTGAGGGTGTCTTACCTCATGCTACTAAAGAGGATCAGTTGGCCCCTTCAACTAAAGCCTTAGAATCGCAACATGCACCAAAGGACCAACGTGTCGTCCTTCCTCGAAAAAGAAGAATTTGAAATCGGCAATCGCGGAAAACTACATCAGCGATTTTGATGTTTGGGAAACCGACGGAAGCAATGTGGAGGCTCTGATTATATGTCAAGTGGATTCTATGATAGTGATATTAACAGTGCCAGAGAGGAACTCGAAGCTGAAAGTGGTATATCCGCTATGGAGTTAGATGCAGTGAAGGAGGATGCAATGATAGTCTTGGCTGATTTATTGTCTGTCCAAATGGATCTCAAAATGCCTTTGATGCAACAAATACATCAATTGCAAAAAAGAGCTGCCGAAGAAGCATTAAGTGAAATCGAATGTAACAATTTGACTGACCTTTATCGTCAATTAATTCAGCTGGAAGAAACTATACAGAAGAGTTTTTTGCAGAGTAGTGGAAATAAATAGGCCACAAACATAATATCTGGCACTATCAGTCAAATATCCATCTCTTTTAGAAACATACTCTACTCCTAGACGATTTTAATTCATCTAAATATTTTCTTCCTAATTTTCCGTTTATCCACGCTACACCCCTCCACGATGTGTAGCTAAAACACATATTTTTGCATAATAAAATACTATACAAATCCCCCCCCTCAATGCAAGTCTTTTCCAACCAAAATGAGTTAGAACCACCGCTTGGTGCTTCTAATAAAAAGAAAGCGAGTTCACTAAGATGAAAAAGGCGAGTTCATTTGAGCGTTGGCTTCAAATCTGCATTTAAAGTTGATTGTACACTGTAATCAGTATAAAAGAAGCCCTTCACAGTAGATATTGATTAATAAGTGGGTACTTGCTTCTGAATGGTTCGGCGCTCAAAATATATGCGAGTATATTTTGTCATAACACCTGGCACTTTTGAGGTCAAAAGAAAGATCTTTGGATATGATAGACAATGAATGCCTTGAAAGAAGTGAGTTCGATTTTGCAAACACCGACTTTTCTTCTTGCTAAACATCACCTTTGTGGCTAAAAATACGAAAGCCCGTAGATATATCGAAAAGGCGTATCAAGAAAAGCTTTGCAGTCTTTTATTGTACGATGAGTATTTTAGAGTAAAACGCCTACTCATTGCTGGATATTAAACAAAAAGAGCTACATTTTTATCATTCATAGTGTACAATCAACTTTAAATGCAGATTTGAAGCCAACGCTCAAATGAACTCGCCTTTTTCATCTTAGTGAACTCGCTTTCTTTTTATTAGAAGCACCAAGCGGTGGTCTTAACTCATCTTCACGAGCCCTCGTGATCCTCTAGGGTCAAAAAAATAAATTTCTCCTGACAGTCAAATCAATGGTACCATTCCATTTCTCGACTCCAAAAAACATGTTTTAAATGAAAGAACGGACCATTTTGATAATCTGGTTGTCGAGCAATGGTCCATCAAAGAACAGTGCATTTGAGCTGTGTTTTGTGCATTTTTAAGTGTTTTTGCTCTAGATGTCATATAAAATGTGTTAATCATGAGGCTACAAAAGATATTATCTGCTATCTAGAGTGTCAAAAAACGTATGAAGATAAAAGCATGGCTGACTTGTAACGTAACTGTATGGTAAATGGAGATAGGACATGCAGGTTGGCAGCGTGCGAAGGTTGAAATAGAAGACAACACCAGTTCTTCATCCTGCCGCATCCAAAAATCGAGCTTTTGCTGAGAACTGCATAAAGACGCAGTTATCCGGCTTTTCTATAGTGACAAAAGGTGCAGTTGTTTACGCTCTGAGTCTATTGATATAACAAATTCGACAGTTTTGCTGAAAAAATATTGAGCAAGTACGCAAAAACGTTTTTGAGGCCTTTCACTTATATCATACCATTTTTGTAGTATTCACCTCCCTCCTTATTCGCCAGAGCTGAATCCTATCGAGAGTTTTTGGTCTACAATGAAATCGCATGTCAAGAAAAGTAAATTTAGTGGAGAGAAAGATCTTAAAACGAGAGTGACTGAGGCAAGTGATGGAGTGAGAGCTACCGCCCTCTTGAATATGAGCCAGCATTCTGTGAACATGTTTGACAAATGTCTTCAAATGAAGCCTATTTAGTAAAGTTTTACTGCAGTTTTCAGATACATCTCTTGTAAGAAAATTGGTTTTGTTTATTGAACACACCATTTGGAATTACCATAAACGCAATTTGGGTTATTGAGCATCCATCAAGAATTAGAAAAGTGGGGTTGTTTGAGTTAACTGCCTTCTATAATGTAGTGATTTTGATCTGTTCAATCTCGTTGATGCGCACATAATTTATAGCATATTTACTTTGATATGGTCAATCGATTGAGAGCTTTCCTAGCTCACATCTACAACATACGTCGTACTGAATGTAAATTTATTATTACTATAGTATAAGGAGCCTTCTGTAGTATGAAAGAGGCGCCCTGCTAATCGCATAATAAAACTAGATCAGGACATTATTTTATGGTGACTGCAGCAAAACCTTTCCAACCTTTGCAGAAACAGGCATTGCCGACAACACTTGACTCCAACTATTAATCACAACCATGATAGAGACCAGACTCTATCGCAGCTCTTATACCGATCAAGACTTACCGTGCGCAGATCGCCATCTCCATCACATGCATGCTGTTTCAGGGGAAAGAAGACGTAACTAGCGCAAGTACATTGCTTTCATCCAAAAAATCAGATCGAAATGGCAATAGCAAGATCATTACGGATGTTTTCACAAGGCTGATAGGAAGCTGCATCAGCTAAAGATCACCAAATGCTCATTCAAGTATATACATGTATACATGTGCGAGAAGTTTGTAAGAAGCAAATTTTCAAGGAATGTGTCCACTCATTTGAACGTAGAGTGAATGGCAGCAATGAGTAGCACTGCACAGAAATTATCTCGTTGCCAACGCCTTGAAATGAAGCAAAGCCCCGGAACCAAGCGCCGAGAAGATATATAGCAGATATAATCGCTTCCGTCCAATCTCATTATTCCTGGCAAATGGTAATAAAAGCCGTTATTTCTACACACCTGCTGCCCAATACCCGGATATTGCTGATGCCGTATTCCACGAATTGCCATCTTCATAACACAAAATACGTATATAATGTGCTTAGTGGAGATACACTTTAAGCTACTCTTGTATAAAACACGACCTTCAATTGCATGGGTTGAACGACATGAATACAATCTGTAGACTAACAAAAGCTTGCATCAGATGGCAGTAAAAGCAGCATATCTACAGTTCGAGCTATACATGTCAAAAGAAGAAGAGTTACCTACAATACTAAACAATATTTGTTGCCATCCATAGCTTACCTCAATATTAGTGTATGATCATAACCAGCATTATCATGCACTGCAACTTGCTCGGGTTGCTATCCCCTTAACAAAAAGTACGTATACTCTAAGCTTAGAGCAAAAGGCAAACAGCAGACGCTTATTTCTGTCTCTAGGTTTCAACTTGGCTCGGATGTTTACTATCTAAAGATGATCCATAAGCCTTACACCTGCTGGTACATGATATGCCCAACACTGATGCCGTATTCCACGAATTGCCATCTTCATAACACAAAATACGTATATAATGTGCTTAGTGGAGATACACTTTAAGCTACTCTTGTATAAAACACGACCTTCAATTGCATGGGTTGAACGACATGAATACAATCTGTAGACTAACAAAAGCTTGCATCAGATGGCAGTAAAAGCAGCATATCTACAGTTCGAGCTATACATGTCAAAAGAAGAAGAGTTACCTACAATACTAAACAATATTTGTTGCCATCCATAGCTTACCTCAATATTAGTGTATGATCATAACCAGCATTATCATGCACTGCAACTTGCTCGGGTTGCTATCCCCTTAACAAAAAGTACGTATACTCTAAGCTTAGAGCAAAAGGCAAACAGCAGACGCTTATTTCTGTCTCTAGGTTTCAACTTGGCTCGGATGTTTACTATCTAAAGATGATCCATAAGCCTTACACCTGCTGGTACATGATGTCCTGGAAACTGATTGCATATCGATGTGTTTATGATATTTTGCAGAGATTGTGCAAAAGGCTTTTTATGAAAAATTATGGAATGGAATGAAAATAATATGCTGACGTCACCTGTATGTTTGAAGTATTTCTCCTTCTTTTTTCACTCATCATGACCACAAATAAAAGGAAGCAAAAGGAAATCACGTTGCAGTCAGCACCAATTAGCAGCAAGAGAGCCTGTCTCGGGAACCTTCCTGGGAACACCGTTTTAACCAAGGATCTCGCTAGAAAGTTAAAGGCGCCTGATTTCATTGCTACTTTAGAGGTACGAGAATGGAAGCAGGAGGTTTCCTTGGCTCGCTCTTATTTTCAGCATACAGATATGCCGGAGAGCACATCAAAGCAATTAATGACAGTATTAAATGGAACCCTTCACAGAATAATCAACAATAAGGATGCAGATGCAAAGTTGAAGAATTACAGTACTGCTCTTATTCGACAATTCAAAACTGAAAAAAGCAAACAGAAACTTAACATGGAATACAGGAAGCTTCTCAACGACTATCGACTTGGAGAGCTTGAAGAAAAAGCGCAGACTGAAGCTCGTTTTACCAGCCGGATCCTCACGACAGTTGAAGCCAAAGCTCACAGGAAGAACATGCAGCGTAGACTGGATCAGCTGTTTAACGATGATGAGACTGAAGAAGACACAAATGATGCAGGACAGTTAGACTTGACGAATCGTTTGGAATACGAAGAAGATCCTCTTAGTGAAGAAGAAACAGCAGATATACAGGCAAGTCAGTCTGTTGTAGATTTCTGTATTCACTAGAGTATGAGAAATGCATATTTTAATACCAAATTTTGACTTTAGCCATTTGCATCTGCACGATCATTCACTGATGAGCATGAAACTGGTAACGCCATTAATGCTTCTAACGTCCATAATGATGAAGAAGAGGAGGAGGAGGTATGTTCACGTATTTTACATTATGGACATGAGTTCTAAAGATTAAAACCAGTTCCCAACTCTGAAGGTCGTTAAAGAGAAAAACATATACAAGTACCAAGCCCCAGCACAGAATATCATTTCACCTCACAAACCCATCATTCAAGCAAGTGATTTGGGTGTTCTAAAGGACTATTTTGACATTTGCATTGGGACGAATCAAGATAAGGCTACCGAAGAAACCAAGCAAGAGTTTATAGTTTGCATGAATGAACAAAATTTGCACAAGTCTCTTAAAGAAGTGCCTGGTGAAATTTATGACAAACTACTAGTGACTCTGCAAATTCAAGATCGTCTAAAGATGAAGAAGGCAATTATGGACCTCCCTGCTGAATCAAGCACTTTTACTGAATTTGTCCAGTACGCCCTGCTTGATTTTACCTTGAATTTATTGAAACCTGGTGGCTTTAATGGAAAAAGCGACGAACGCAGCATCTTTTGTGAAGTATATATCCCAATATTCAAAGCTTTTGGCAACTGCCTTAGCGTATTGAACTATACATGGTAATTCAACTGAAGTAGTAGAAGATATATAATACTAATAGATCTAATCAACATCTCAAACTTTCAACATATAGGTGCGAAAAGAAAGCAAAGGATGCTGATTACGTCTGGCTTGTCTCAAATGATTTCTCCAAGGAAAAGAAGGATAACCTGAAACTACTTGATGGCATTGGCACCTTGGCGAAAATTGACAGTACATACCTAGTAATGGAAAGCAGCGGCTTTAGCAATGACAAGGTGGTCTCTCATTCCCTCAATGACACTCTCAAGAATATCAAGAACGGTCATGACAATTTAAAGTATTTGTTTAGTCAGTATCGAAACGCCTCTTTTGATACCATCAAGAAAGTAAACATTTTCTCCTGCCAAATCATTGAGAACAAGGTTACTCTGATCAAATACGCTGTCAAGTCTCGATCAACTTGGAAAGTCGTTGAATGTCGTTCAGCTTCAGTGCCACTCAATATTGAAAACAGCCTTGATTATATGAGAGTTTTTGAACTCTTCGCATTCATGTTGGTAAGTTTTGAAGCAGGTGTCTATACAGCTTTGTCTAACAATCTGATAGGATGATATTCAAAAACAACAATTTGTCTTCAAACAGCTGAAACTGGAGAACTTGGGCCTGGTGTCTGTACCCGAACACGAAACTGTAGCCCGCTTCCTGTTGTAACCTCTATGTATATCAAACATTGTCTATATAATTTCATCCCTAATGTATACCACTCCCCATCATGACTTATCAATCATGTTAAAGTTTAATACATCCAATTTGCTTACCCCAAGTCTAATAACAATTGCTTGCAAGTTGCATCTTAGGTGATCTTGCTATCAGCCCTGTAAATGTTTCTAATGAAAATGCTAGATGACTCAAGCTCTCAAGACTACTGGCAAGAGCTTCTACAAAATCAAATCACCCGAAAAGACGTATTATAACACTGATGGTCCAAAGGGACGTATTTGGGATGATCTCTAGATTGCTACAACAATTTTATTCACTGAAGAATAGTCTTTTTTTTTAAATCTACAAGATGTAGTATACTCTAAGCTTAAAGCAAAAGGCAAACAGCAGACGCTTATTTCTGTCTCTAGGTTTCAACTTGGCTCGGATGTTTACTATCTAAAGATGATCCATAAGCCTTACACCTGCTGGTACATGATATGCCCAACAGAAGACCCAATTCGCGCTTCTCAATAACCCAAATTGCGTTTATGGTAATTCCAAATGGTGTGTTCAATAAACAAAACCAATTTTCTTACAAGAGATGTATCTGAAAACTGCAGTAAAACTTTACTAAATAGGCTTCATTTGAAGACATTTGTCAAACATGTTCACAGAATGCTGGCTCATATTCAAGAGGGCGGTAGCTCTCACTCCATCACTTGCCTCAGTCACTCTCGTTTTAAGATCTTTCTCTCCACTAAATTTACTTTTCTTGACATGCGATTTCATTGTAGACCAAAAACTCTCGATAGGATTCAGCTCTGGCGAATAAGGAGGGAGGTGAATACTACAAAAATGGTATGATATAAGTGAAAGGCCTCAAAAACGTTTTTGCGTACTTGCTCAATATTTTTTCAGCAAAACTGTCGAATTTGTTATATCAATAGACTCAGAGCGTAAACAACTGCACCTTTTGTCACTATAGAAAAGCCGGATAACTGCGTCTTTATGCAGTTCTCAGCAAAAGCTCGATTTTTGGATGCGGCAGGATGAAGAACTGGTGTTGTCTTCTATTTCAACCTTCGCACGCTGCCAACCTGCATGTCCTATCTCCATTTACCATACAGTTACGTTACAAGTCAGCCATGCTTTTATCTTCATACGTTTTTTGACACTCTAGATAGCAGATAATATCTTTTGTAGCCTCATGATTAACACATTTTATATGACATCTAGAGCAAAAACACTTAAAAATGCACAAAACACAGCTCAAATGCACTGTTCTTTGATGGACCATTGCTCGACAACCAGATTATCAAAATGGTCCGTTCTTTCATTTAAAACATGTTTTTTGGAGTCGAGAAATGGAATGGTACCATTGATTTGACTGTCAGGAGAAATTTATTTTTTTGACCCTAGAGGATCACGAGGGCTCGTGAAGATGAGTTAAGACCACCGCTTGGTGCTTCTAATAAAAAGAAAGCGAGTTCACTAAGATGAAAAAGGCGAGTTCATTTGAGCGTTGGCTTCAGATTTGCGTTCAAAGTTCGTAGTACACTGTAATCAGTATAAAAGAAGCCCTTCACAGTAGATATTGATTAATAAGTGGGTACTTGCTTCTACACCATTCTATGCATAAGATACTTGTACTTTATATTTACTATAATGCTTGGAATTCTTGGGTCTAAATGGCAAAAAGCCAATTCGAAATAGCTAGTAAATTTTACCTCAACCTCAAATGAGCAAAAAGCATGCACTGGCGTTGCATTCAAAGTCTCCCAAAAATACAAAGCCATATTTTTTAGCGTCAAAATTCATGTAAATAGCCTCTGTACCTTTTCTTTGACTTTCTCTAATTTGGAAGTGCTATCTACTACGCTTTTTTCCAGTCATTATTCGCGCATTAAGAGAAAAGCATTTATTCAAGGAAAACAGTGTTAACTTTGAGTAAGCCATTGATTTCGAGAGTAATCTATTCTCAAGAAATCTAATCAATATGATTCAGCGATTTGACCAATTGACTTTAAATATTTTGTCTTATCGCTATCTTTTTTTCCCAGAAAGGGTACTGATTCACAGAGTGGACCCAATTAAATAAAAGATAGATTGACCCTCAAACATCCTAAAACAGTAAGGAAAAAGACGGATGATTATAATAAGAGAACAGCCGGGGAAATAAAATCATAGGTGAATATAGGTGTATATTTAAAGATGTAAAGCCAGGCTCATACAAGATTTGTACTTCAAAAAGATAAGCAAAGAGTCACCACGTCGGGGAAATTGAATGATAAGCTTTTTTTAAACAGTTGTACATGAATTTGCCTTTTATGGGGATAATGATAGGAAATTCATTTAGACTATAAATATGAGATAAAGACTACTTTTTTTAACGTTTTGTTCAATTAAACATTAAAATGGCTGTCATCTCTAACAATGCTATCCTCCAAAAATACCTTGCTCTTGATCAACGCGACAAGGTTCAAGTTGAATATGTCTGGATTGATGCCAACAATGGTTTAAGAAGCAAGACTCGTACAGTTAACTTCATCCCTACCAAGGCTGAAGAATTGCCTGAATGGAACTTTGATGGTTCTTCCACTGGCCAATCTGAAGGCCATGATTCTGATATCTTGATCTCACCTGTTGCTATTTACAATGATCCCTTCCGTGGTGGCAACAACAAGTTTGTCATTTGTCAAACCTTCAACCCTGATGGTACTCCTCACTCTACTAATCACCGTTATGAATGTAACAAGATCATGGAAAAGTATGCTGATACCAAGCCTTGGTTCGGTATTGAACAAGAATATTCTCTCTTTGATCCTGAAACCAACAAGCCTTATGGTTGGCCCAAGCACGGTTTCCCCGAGCCTCAAGGTAAATACTACTGTGGTGTAGGTGCTGGTAAGATCTTTGGTCGTGATATTGTAGAAGCTCATTACCGTGCTTGTTTGTACGCCGGTATCAATATTTCTGGTGTCAACACAGAAGTGGCTCCCGGTCAATTCGAATACCAAGTAGGTCCCTGTGAAGGCATTGAAATGTCTGATTCTCTTTGGGCCTCTCGCTATCTTTTGGAACGTGTTGCTGAAGACTTTGGTATCATTGTTTCATTGCACCCTAAGCCTATCAAGGGTGACTGGAACGGTGCTGGTTGTCATACCAACTTCTCCACTGAAGAAATGCGTCAAGAAGGTGGTTTGGCTGCTATTGAAAAGGCTATCAAGAAGATGAGTTTGCGTCATGCTGAACATATTGCTGTCTATGGCGAAGACAATGATCAACGCTTAACAGGTAGACACGAAACTGGTCACATTGATGATTTCAGTTACGGTGTTGCTAACCGTGGTGCTTCTATTCGTATTCCCCGTCATGTCGGTAAAGAAGGAAAGGGTTATTTAGAAGACCGCCGTCCTGCTTCCAACATTGACCCTTACCGTGTCACCGGTATCATTGTTGAATCCACCTTCTTCCCTGAAAACTAAATCCTCACCTTGTAATTTTATTTATTTCTTATACAGTAGACCATATACACTTAATAAACACTATACATATATCTGATTTTACTTGAATCTATTGAGTCTTCCGATATAAAATACAGTCATGTTTAAAGTTGCAATAGCAGCAGCAATCCGAAACATCCAAATGGCCCCTAGATATTCGTACAGATAACCACCCACAAGCGCACCTAGCCCTGTACCCAATCCAAAATGAAGCGCACCCAAAATCCCTTGAGCAACCGATCGTTGTTCTGGAGGAAAAAAGCTATCCATCTCACTTACTGCTGTAGCCCAAAAGATACCGAAACCAATACCATGGAGTGTTTGAAGTAACAAGGCACTGACGTTAGTCAAGAATGAATCGGAAGGAAGAATAGTGTATATCAAACAACGTACAATGGTTGCAATGTGTGCAATCAAAATCATGTTTGTCACACCAAACAATTCAGTCAACTAACAAAGGGAGAGTTTAGGAATGTCATGATTGCCATATGGATTTTACCTGCTTGGAAAAACAAAAACAAAGCAATTCTGTAATACCCGTGGTGGGCCCTGTCCAACCAATCCAACTTGCAGGCATATGCAGATCGCGGCTAAGGAACAAGAACAAGAAATTGATGATAATTGATAAGACGACACCAAAAAGTAAAGTTGTACTCAAAAAAGTAATCACACGAAAAGACTTGAACACACTCTTGGTATAAGGCGACAGTGTGATATCTTTAAGGCCTGCTAAAGATTGATCGACAGAGGCAATTCTAGATATAGCCAAACCGAGATCGACGTGGCCAATAGCATCTAACGTTTCATCTGCCTCTTCACGAACCGTATGTACAGAGGCAATACTGCTTGTCTTGAATAAATCGACATAATGACTTGTACTATTGTTTTGCTCAGAAGAAATGCTATTGTAAGTGTTGATAGGCACACGAGCACCTAACAGCTTTTCAGCGTCATCCGATGTTATTACAGGAACTAATGTATTGTTTAAAACCGCTTCATGAGATAGTTCTGGAGCAAGGACGTATTGAGTATCTTCATTGTTGACATTGGCAAAGCATGCAAGGATCATGAAGGCAATGGTTGATATACCAAAGACATAGAATAGCATATCAAAATTACCTGTCCATGAGATAAGTTGGCCCACAAGTAGAATAGTTAATCCCGCTGATACAGACCCCCATAATCTTTGTTCACCTAAACAGAAAGTTGGGGCTAGGACATTTGAAACATCTTACCATAAAGTATTTTGTTGGGGCCGAGTATTTTCATCACGGCACTATCCACAAGTGACATGTTTGGTAAAGTAAAGAAAGCAAAGGCCAATGCAAGCGTAGAAGTGATAAATACCAGAGAAGTGTTGGTCAATTTGAGAAGATTAGATATGATCTCTGAGGAAGATACAGAGTGCCCAATAATCATTATACCCATGATAGCAGAACCACCAAGAAAGCTAGTCAATGCCATGATCAAACCATGTAACTTGGGCCTCTTGTCAACCACAAGGCTCCACAAAGGACAAGCAATGGACTGAATAAAAGGAGCGATGGCTAGTACAAGTCCAATTTGATCTGAAGAGAAATGAAGTACATCACTATAATAAAGTGGTAGGTAAGGTGGAGCTGCTGACAACAATGCAAAGATAGCAATATATAGTAATTTACAAACAACATACATCTTGAAAGATAAGTAGGAAATAGAAAAAAAGAAAGAGAGATATAAATGACATCTTTTTATAGTCATTTACATTATTATGTGATAACAGTAGAAAATGGGAGACTTTGCGTTTCATAGAAGCAAGGAAAAAGAGTAAACTTTAATACTACAAAACAAACAAAAACTTTATTTTCCCATTACGTCTCGTATTAAGTCAATCAAGGTACAACATGTCATAACCAAGTTGGCTTCAAGCAAATCGCATCTCTCTTTTTCTACTTGGTTCAGAATGTCCAGGTCAATAGAGAGCTTTCCAAGTTCTTTGCTAAGGTAGTTTATATTGCCACTGTGAAATTCAGCAATCAGTTTCCAACGTCTACATGTCTTGTGGGTATGGTTATCATGATCATCTTCGTCATTGTCACTATCGCTATCGATAAATCCGTCACTTTTGGCGGTATCAATTAGAGGAAGGCCTTTTCGCTTTTGCTTTGATTTTTTGGTTGCTAATCGTTTTTGCTGATTAAGTAGCTCTTGCAATTCTTTCTTTTTTTCTGGTTTTGTCAACTTTATTTCACAGGTAAAGTCATGCGATAATAAGCTTGGACGCTTCCAACGCATACGAGAACCACGAAACCAAGATTCATATTCAAAAAGAAGATTGGACTGTGACCTTTTGATGAGTTCTTGAGAATGAATGTTATCCGAAGCAGGTACATGCTTTAAGTTCGGTATATGAGGCTGCGTGATATCTGGAATCATACTGTTGTTATAGTCAGCAGTCTCGATAGTTACTTCTTTCTGGAAAGCACGGCGACGCGCTTCAGCCACTTTAATGCCTTGACCATCATTGCGATTACTGTACAACATACTTTGAAACCCCCAAGTATAAGAATAGGGTTGTATTTTGCGATAAGCCATCAGTTCTTCTTCGCCTTGATCCATCTGTAGAAAGATGTGATGTTGATTTGGCTTTAGGATACTAGCCTTTTTAAAATTGTACACTACGACATTATTTGTTGTTGTTGTTGTTGTTGTTGATTTCTTGTGATGAATGGCACGGCTCTTGTTTTTCGAAAGAATGCCACTCTGGTTAGACAAAAGTGCTGTTGCTGCTGCTGTAACAACTTGCGTAGCATTTTTGTGGTTTGTCACCGTGTCTGTTGAGACGCCAATGATACTATTGACAGAAGATATAGCTGGCGATGCGTCTTTAATTACTTCTTCATGATGATGGTTGGCAAAGGTATGTGTTGTGGGCATAGGCTGACTCAGAAGAAATGAAGTAATGTGCTTGTCTATCTGTAGTTTGTAAGGACCAGACGTACTTTTGGGTGAAAGGGGAGGTGATTCAATAGGCGTATTCGGAGAATAATACACTTCGTTGTCTGTTGTAGCATAAGTCGTGGCTGTATTGGTCGTGGCAGAAGAGCCAGTGGTGTTGGAACGACGCACTGTAACAATTTCCTTTTTCTGGAAATATCGACTGGCATAGGAATCAATGGTCATACGACTACTTCTACTGCCCTGGCGTCTTGCTGTAATGATAATAGGAGGTGCTTCATCATAGGCATTGGGCTTTTCATAAATAGGAGTAGCAATAGCATCTGGCTTTTGGAAAACTACACTATGGGATATCATGATATGCAAAGGGGGTATAGAAAGAGAAAGAAAAGTGAAAAAAGAAACTTTCTTATTTTGAAAGAACGGCAACTTATATGCAAAAGGAAAAAATAACAAAGCAGAGAAAGGCATGACGAATGCTCTAATGCGAAATAAACAAAGAGGCACATATGCTTGTTTCAATTTTTCTTCTTTTAGGCTAAAGCATTCAATCTTCTCTCATTCCGAGAAACTAATAGATCTTTGAAAAATTGATCTATAAAAGATCTGATACAGTAAAACTCCTGAAGTTTAAAGGAATCATTCCGTGTTGTATTGCTACACACGCCCTATTTTACTTCAAAAGAAGGTTACCTAATTTCTTTAATTAAGCAATGTCTTGTAAACGCACTGGACTAAATCATTGCATCATAGGATACACAAGCTATGAAAGAAACAAGTATTGACATGGACAGTGTATTACAACAGACAGCTTATCATTCGGAAAGTATTGCTTTGATAGGTATAAAAAAAGATACACAATATTATGTCGTTATAGTGGCCTTTCAAGCTTTGGTTTCTTGTTGACATTTTTCCTTGTTTTTATCCGCCTCAATATGTTCATGTTATTGCATGATATGATGATCTAGGGCAGTATATTTCAAGCACCGTTTTCATTATTAAAATACACAAGTTAATTCTGTAATCTTGTAGCACAAAACTTTACTCTAATTTCTTTTTTTTTCTTAATTACAATGGCATTGTAGTACTCGAAACAAAAGCGTCCTTCTAACCCAGCAAGCTTTCATTTTGAAGCAATGTTGCTTTCTTCTAATGTTTCCTATTGCACACCTTTCAACTTGTTTGCTGATCCAACTCATTAAGCAATAACTATACGAATACAAACGAATTCTATTGATATCAATTGATTAATAGGGCCACAACCCAATATGCTTTCTAGTAAACCGCAGCTTACAAAGTGTACATTAAAATCTTTTTGGGAATAAATGACTGTCAAAAATCATTGCATTCCTATTGGATGACGCTAATCTCCTGTATTCACTCACACCCTAAAAAAAATCAATTTTTTTTTCTTTATCACTACTCTATTACTGGTTGAGTATAATACAATGGATTCCCAACAATCAGGTACAGTCTATTAAAGATCAACTTTATGAGATCAGATTTGTTTATGCCTTTTTTGAATAGCTTCTGGTGTTGATATTAAGAACAAGAACGGCAATCTTACCGCTCCCACACCTCAAAATACACCTATCAATCCTGCTCCCATTACTTCAACCTACCGCCCTTCTGTCCCTGCTATTTCTGAAGACATGGAGACCATTAATGTCAAGGGTAAAGTATATTCATATAGAACATTAGTATTCTAACACGCTTTCATAGGCTCAGCTGATAATGATTCTGGCTTGGCTGGTGCATTCACGGGTAATCCTGCTCTCTTGAGCATGCTTCAAGGCAAGTTGGGAACTTTGGTGGGTCGTCCTTCTGGATACATTGAGTCATTGCCTACTTCTGTTAAGCGTCGTATTAATGGTCTCAAGTTCCTTCAATCTAAGCACTCTGAACTCGAAAACAAGTTTCAAGAAGAAGTCTTGGCCTTAGAAAAGAAATATCTTGAATTGTATCGACCTTTGTATGAACAACGTGCTCAAGTCATTCGTGGTGATTATGAACCCACCGATGAAGAAGTCGCTTTGGGTGAAAAGATTGACGAGGAAGAGGAAGAGGAAGAAGTATCAGAAAAGAAGGAGCAACCAACAGAAGCTGAAGATAAGGACGTAAAGGGTATCCCTGAATTCTGGTTGACTCTTTTGAAGAACCACCCTCAAATTGTTGAGACAATCACAGAAGAGGACGAAGGTGCTTTGAAACACTTGGTTGATGTCCGCATGTCATACATGGAACAACCTGGCTTCAAGCTTGAATTTGAATTCTCAGAGAACGACTATTTCACTAACAAGGTGCTTACCAAGACATACTTTTACCAAGACCATGCTTACGGTGGTGATTTTGTCTATGATCACGCTGAAGGTTGTACTGTTGATTGGAAGGAAGGTAAAGATTTGACTGTTACCGTCGAAACAAAGAAGCAACGTCATAAGGGTACCAACAAGACTCGCGTTGTAAAGCGTACTGTTCCTTCAAACTCTTTCTTCTACTTCTTCAGTCCTCCTACTATCCCTGATGAAGAAGAAGAAATTGACGAAGAAGAAGCTGAAGGCTTGGATGCCAAGTTGGAAGCTGATTATGAAATGGGTGAAGAATTCAAGGATAAAATCATCCCACATGCTGTTGACTATTTTACTGGCAAGGCTCTTCAATATGAAGACTATGATGATGAAGACTATGTAAGTTGCTTATATTATATGCGTCTGTAACTCATTGATTTCTCTATAGGATGACTTTTATGAAGATGAAGATGAAGATGATGAAGATGATGAGGAAGACGATGAGGATGCTGACGATGCTGACGATGCTGCTGTTGTAAGTCAACTCTTTGTATCTGAGTATCTTCTCTAACTGGTTTTTATAGTCTTCCAAGGGTGAAAATGCACCTGAATGCAAACAATCCTAATTACATACACAGGCCGTTAATAAACTATACAACAGGTGTGTGTATGTGTATTTGAAATTTATTGTATTATTTATCTATACGCTTTATACATGTTTCCTTTTTTTCTCTCTTTTTTTCTCTCTCTCTCTTTCTTCTTTCAACAACACTACACATAAACACTATAACAAACTTAAAATCAGAATAAAGCTAGAATGAAGCTCACTTTAATAGCTGAAAAATGACTTTTATGTAGGGTTCTATTTAGGTAGGTATATAGATCCATAGAGCATTCTGTACCTTTGGCATACTTTTTACAACTAAACCATACCATAATCGTGAGGCATGAATTACAAATGAGGGCAGACTTATATCTAGTGCACAAATAGATCTAATGTCTCTATTTGGTCTCAAGCATTAAATGTAGGTGTTTCTGGGGATCATAGTGTGACTCTGAACAACTGGGCATCCTCTTGTACTCTTATCAATTATTACCTACAAAATCAGATGGCGACTGTCGACTTTGACTCCACAGCTCTTTTAAGTCCTGTTCAAGATAAATTCGATGGCATATCTGATTTTTTCTTTCTTAATTAGCATAATAACACTTACTGTTTTGTTTTGATTTTGAACACTTTATAGCTCCAAATATAACAACATGTTAGACTTGCATTTTCTTAGTCTATATGATGCTGTGGTCGTCGATCTTGTACATATCTATATCTCAATAAATTTAGTAGTCAACAAAATAGTACAAATGACATGTAGTGACAAGAGAAAACACTTTGAGTTAGATGTATTTATGTGTATTGATGATTAGCATTTCTCTCAAGACACCATACTATCGATTTCATTAAATCATGCTAACAACAATGCACCTTTTAAGCTAAGTGTGTCTTTTACTATAGGAAAAGTTTGCAACCAAACTAGAGTTGTAAGTATATGACAATTTACATCTTATCTAATATATGTATCGAAGATTACTTTTCATATATCGTGTATCATAAAGCTGAAGCGAGTTTCCCGACACTTTGACATTTCTTATAAGCAACTATTCCCTTTCTTTGATTTAGACTGTTGCAATAAGGTATTTCATTCGAACAGGCAATTTGGCGTTATACAGTTTATTCATGTAATAGAGACACCAGGCAAGCAAATGCTTCAGCAATCTTTTGTCTTTTTCTTAGGCATATAAGGGTAACATAAAGCCTGTTTATGCACGCATGAATGCTATAAATACATGCAAACAATGTCTAATAACATCTATGGTGTCCTTGAAGTTGCTTTGGACAAAAAAAAAAAAAGCGACTTGTAAAATTAGGCCAAAATGGCCTTTTAACTAAAGGCTACTAGTCATGAAAATGATCTGTTTGACAACTCCTTGAGCTTGTTTTTGATGCTACAGTACGAAAAATAGAGCTATCGGCAAGTTTAAATACTCAAAATGAGTGTAAGAAGGTCCAGTTTTGGTAAATGCGTTTGATTGCTAATTGTACTACAAAAATGATGAGATATGAGCGAAAGACCTCATAAACATTCTTGCGCATTTGTTCAAAATTCTAGCAGTAGACTTATTGTTTTTTCTATTTCATTAGATTCAGAACGTAGATATCTACAGCTTCTGTCACTGCACTAAAGTCCAATAACTGCGTCTTTATGGAGTTCTTAGCAAAGACTCGATTTTTTTTTGATTTTATTTGTCGCATGTATTAGTGGTCTCGAGAGGGGCCCACTAAAAGAGGTGCTCAGCAATTATTTATTATAAGAGGATTAAAAGAAACAAAAAGGGTACTACAATTTCAAAAAAAAAAAAAAAAGAAACCGAGAAAAAAAAAGAGCAGCTATTGCGAGAAAAGACCTCTCAAGATGAAAGGTCATTTTCAGCAGCTATACGCTTAATTTGATAGCGAGTGCTGTAAAGAACAGAGAGATAATGGAATGGCTGGTTCTGAATGGTATGAGCCCAATGGGTCTTCCAGATTTCAGAGAGGCCGATCAAGGTTACCATGGCTACTGAAAGAGGACAGTTGGTTTGAGACCGAATCCGAGAAAAATTGAAAGATGCAAGTGCATCAAAGACTAGATCCAGAGAGGTGCCTGGCCACAAAAATTCCCTAATCAAGGCATCCCAGAACGGAAATTTTTGGGGGCAGCGAAAGAAGAAATGGTACACAGTCTCCTGATCACCACACAAAATGCAAGCAGCAGTAGGGAAGCGAGCAGGAAAAACCTTGGATAGAAGTAAGCGAGTGGGAATCTTGTGAGTCAGAGATCGATACATCACATTTCTCTGCAATGTTGTGATAGGTATACAACAAAAGTACTTCCAAGCAGCAGAAGAAACTTCTTGCCGAGCAATGATATCAGACAAGGCAGCTTGTGTGATGACCTTACGGAAAGTACAGCCACCATTTTTGAGGGCAATGAAATTTTCATTGTCAAAAGGCAGTTTCAACATACGCACAAAAGAAAAGAAACCAAGAGACCTCTGGATTGCAGGAATATGCACAGGATTGTATAAGTCTAATGAAGTACGAACAAGGCATTGACCAAAGAACGGCTCCAGTTGACAATGATTTTGATTCACTGCTTGAATATATCTTCTGACACTACGACGGATATCCAGGGGAAAGGAAGAAACTGGTATTCATGCCAAATAGTAATCCTGTGGATGGTACTCATATAGATAGGAAACTGCTACTGTGCGTAGCTTGAGAGGCAAGTCAAAGGTGTCAGATGGCAAAAAAATTGCGCGTAATGGCAGTAGAAGGCATTCGATAGGGTTTGGCATGTATGAGTACTGTTTCCTAGGAATAGCATCCATTGTCTGGCAGCACACTGTGACACTATTACTTGCCAATTGCCTGAGTTGGCCTGGGGAGAACGAGGAAAGAGCAGGCCCAAGAGCAGATGTTCAGTCTGAAGCAAAGCACGGGTATGTGCTGCTAGAAAGTCTTGTATCAGAGACCGTTCAGCTTGAGGACACAAAAAAGGATGAAGCCAATGATAACACAGTGATTTCTGCTGAGAAAACAAGTCAAGAATGCCAAGGCCACCATGCCACTTTGGTGCAGTCATCGTTTGCCAACTAATGCGAGGAAAGATTTGCCGGTTGACAAATTCATCATTTCTTTAGGTGTAACCAGTTATCACTGCCACTGGACGAACGTTCCGCTGGGTACCAGTACTTATTGTTTCAAATGCAGCAAATTGAAACCATTCCCTTTTGGCTACAATTATTTTCCTTTGGACAAATTATAGGATTCTTTGATTTACCCTTCTTGACCACGGTTAATTTTTTCGAAGCGGTATGGTTTACCAATGTATTTCATACAATGCATTATGGTTCCCGCGTCAATGCAACGTCGCAATTTAGAACCATAATTTTATTATGTGAGTATATTAGATGAAGAAACCCTGATAAGCATACTGTAATCCGTGACACATGCGATCATATCCTTAAAGGATTTGCATATATTATTGTATTTCTTAAGCTTGATGATTGTTTAAATAGAAGATCAATTCAATAAAATGCTTATTGCGCAAAAAAAAAAAAAAAAAAAAAGAAAGAGAGAAGCTGATAAAACTTATCTCCAGACATGCTTGGTATTTTATCTAAAAAAAAAGTGTAGCCTTCTACTGTTTTTGGCTATAAACACTTTATATTGTTTTGATGCATATTTAACAGTCTAGTTGAATACTATTTACTGTGTGGTTGCCAAAGAGAGTTGAGTATATACTACAATGTTGATTCCTGCTGTTTAATCACAAAATGACTATCTGATGAAAACCATTTGCTGTAATGATCTCTTTCTTTTTTGATTAGATCTTTTGCTATCTATATCTTTATTTTTTCTTTGGTACAAATTTGGTCTGATTTAGTCTAGTTTTATGGCGCACCAAATCATCTTTTGTACCCTTGTTCATTTGTGTAGGTATCATATAGGGTTCTTCTTGATAGAGAAGCATATTTACAAGACCAATGGGTATGTCATGAAGTTCAGGCATCCAATCAGATGGACGATCAGATATCATTTCCTTATCCATACACATCAAATTAGCATGCTCATCTATTCCATGTCAGCTTGAGTTTCTTTTTGTGTTGCTTACCAGTAATACAATAAAGAGAATCAAAAGAGGGTGTATTCATTAAATTTACAGCCATGAAAGAAAGGAAAATAAACCATACAAATGTCATAAGCCAAATGGGAATGGCTAATGCCCAATATCGACTTGGATAATAAGTAATGCCTAGTCGATGCAAAATTTGATCTGGCACATAGGCCCATATTAAATAGATGCCTATATCATATTAACTTGCTTTCTTTTCATGTGCGCACATACCAAATGCTACAAAAGAAGATAAATACATGACAAATCCATAGTATTCATAGGCAGGTGTCTTGTTGGTTGTTGCTACTGGAGGGGCTCTTTCGACAGGAGGTAGATTATATGGAAGTCTATTATCATATCAATAGGAATCGCATATACATATAACTTACTCTGAATAAGACCTAGGTCGATGTCCTTTTTTACCTGATTGAAATTGAACAGATGGCACTCTTCCTGTGATAGTGGGGTTTGAAAAGGTAATGATGTTATTGGCTATCGAGGTAGCTGTCCGCTTATATTCAATAATAGTTTCGTCCATACTTGTCTTCTTTCCAAACTTAACAGTTAAAAAACTACTAAATGAATGTCTTCGTTTAGTACTACTGTTAGAGAACAAAAATAATGAGTTTATGCTTTTGTTTATTATTTATATATATATATATATATACATTGGCTTTTTCGGCTGTTCTTTACTTTCATTCGATACTCGCGTTGTTTGTTGACTGCGACCACGACGGACAATTACAGGTTGTTTTTTGTGAATATTGGTCAAGGCAGATGCGCTATTGAAGTTGACCAAGTTGGGCAATGACGATGTGGAGCGTGAAGTAGAGAGTGCAGAAGCATTTTTAGCCACTAAATGTCCTGTAGTTGATTTTTGAGAGAAATAAGACAAAGCGTTTGTTGAATTCGATACTTCTTTTATTGCCATATCGCTTTCCAGAAGCTCATGACTAAAGAGAAAAAGAGAGATAGAGAGAGAGATAGAGAGAGAGAGAAAAATTTGGTTTCCCGTCGCGAACTTTTAAATCTTGATTTAATTTTTTGATCTGCTTATGCAAATATCCTATTCAAGATGAGGTGGAGTGAGCAGAGTATATGGTTTCTCATAAATAGAGTATCTTGTAGCTTATAAGAATGACTTGAGAATCCTCATACACCATTTAATTTGGACGAATGCACTTTGTTCTCTTCAAATAGACTGCAATGCGATAAGAAGGTCACAATGTGACCGTTCATGTCATAAAAATAATTTTCGAGTAGAACTCGAAAACCTTTAGGCTTTTTTTTTGTTAACTATGAGTGAGTTGACATCGGAAAAGATCGCCAAGGCCCTTAAAGGTGCTGGTCTTTCTTCCAAACAAAGAATTGAAAAAGCACTCGAAGCTTGGCACAGCAACGCTATTTTTTTCCCTAATAAGGACGATTTTTTATTTGACTGGATCTGCTCGGCCTTTGCAAAACCCAACTTGAAAAAGTAAGTCTTACACTTCAATAAACAGTGTTATTCAAATTGAATATATTTAGATTGGATGATTGTTGCTTACTTCAACTTCCTTATTGGACCTTGTTAAATGAACTCTTGCACCATTATGATAATAAGGCACGCATAAACCCAAAGCAATCCACACCTATTATCCATGTCAACTTAATTTCTTCTATTTCCACCCTATTGCAGCAATTATATAAAGACAAATCCGAATCAAGAACTCAATTTCTATCCATTGTACACCAATGTCTTGATATTTTGTTTTCTGATCATTTCACTTTATCTTATCGACCTGCTTTTGAGCATGTTTCAGCTGGTGTAGATCAATTGTTGATTTCGTTGACCTTACAGATTACTTTGTGTTTGAAGGATCTACAGGATAAACAAGAACTAGAAGCATTTCACCAACTTGTCTTGACAGCTTATTCACTGCTTAAAAGATTCGATTCACAACTTGTCTTGGCTGCTAATCAAAAGAAAGTAAGAGCGATAGATAAAAGAGAAAGAAAAGAGAACTCAAAAAGTGAAAAAAAACATATAGGTCTTTTCATTCATTGTCGAGAAATCATTCACCAAATTATTATGCGTTCGTCGAAGAGTTCACCTTGTTGAAAACAACAAAGAAACCGAAAAAGTATCAGAAGCCATCACCAATATCATTTGCCATGCATTGTTCCATGCAGATACAGTGTTGGAATACACTTCTGTATTGAAAGATACTGGATCAGAAAATCATACGTCAGAAGGGAAAGTGAAGCAGACAAACTATGTTGTTCGACTTTTTGAAACATTGGAAGCCATGACCAACAGCACAGATGACGTGGAACAAGTATTAGATGGTAGTATTTAAAGCGATTATAAGAACTGTATTGATTTGCTCTATAGCTGTCGATATCACTCCTACTTTATTCTCGGCTTTTCTCGGTGCTTTTCGACAGAAACGTAATACAAGCACAATAGCTATGCAAGACATTAGTAGAATGGCCGAGTTTGGTTTTTTTATTCACTTGAATAAGATTTTGAATACCATGAAAGATAAACAAGTATCTGCTTATCTCGAAACACTCTGTCAACTGTTAAAGAACATGTTGCAATGGAATGTATACAGTGCTCGTAATGACGATATTGCTAAATTCCAACAAGGGGTTTTGAATGAAATAGTCAATGATCTTCTTCATTATCTTCAAGACACAGACAGTAAGTTTCATATGAAAAGCACCCTTTTCTAATTCAATGCTAGAATACGATCAAGGTCGTGTGTTGAATTTAACAGATACTCTTTTGAAGATTGACTTTTCATTAATTGAAAATTGTGTGCAAGGCTTGTGGCCAACTCTATTGAACGTAAGTATGCATAACAGTGAAACGATAATTAACAAGATGGATATAGCCTGCTGACAGTGCTCAAGCATCTTGTCTTACATTTGCAAAATCTATTTTACATACCTATGCTGCTTCAAGACAAGTTGATGTTTTTGTGACAGATTTGATCAACAATGTGGAGCAGATAAAGACAGATAATGTCTATAAACTACTTGGAAAACCCATGTTCGCCCGAGATTTCTTGCAAGAGTAAGTGGACATCATGGCTGTGGTTGACTCATTAAATCAACACTTAGGTTTTCATCTGTGGTGGCTAAATCAATGCCTGTAGCTCAGGCCATTAGTATCTTTTCAGAGTTACAAGACAATCTCATATTACGCGTTGCAAAATCAAATGAAGAGCCTGCACATAAAAAGCAAAAAAAAAATACACCATCTCCTACAAACAACGCACTGCTTTTGATTGCCCTCTATATGGCAGAATTCACCAATGCTTTGAAATTGAATCGACACCAATTACGCACATTTGAAGCACCTGTCATGTCCTTGTTTTATGATTTTGTGAAGCCAAGTATTGCTGCTTGGCTTGTATCAAAAGATCAGATTGAAAACACTATTTTACCCGCCCTTCACATCCATTTTACTCTGACAACAGCATTTTTTGATACTTACACTTCTAAGCTCGAAAACAATGACCTTGAATGGCTTGTGAATGCCTATACACACATCTTTGACAAGTACTCAAGTACTGATAATTTGGCCTCTCGCATGATGACAGTGATAACCGTAAAGTATTTTATCTTACATCAAGGCTCTTTCTTACCCATTGTTTTATAGGCAAACACGATGCTTCAACATGTTTATTATGCATCTCTTTTACAGCAATCTTCAGCCAAGCAAACAACTGAGTTGGTCAACAAAGTAGTAGATTATGTTACAGATGACGTGTGGTATGAAGAAGCACAATGGAGTGGGTCGTTTTTAGACCTCAACACTAAAAATACGGTTAAACTTGCATGTTGGAAACTGATTTCAGACGAGTGGTTTGATTCAGTAGCGTAAGTTATTAATGGATTATATATGTCATTGTACTGATCATGTTGTGTATATAGCCGATTTGCAGACCATAATAGAGCTGAGAAGATTGCTTCCATTATCTATATGTCTTTGATAAACGATTCTAATTCGACCTCCATTTCTGCACAACTCTTGAACAAAACATTGCTAAGATCTGCTAATTTCTATGAAGCCAAATGCTTTAAAGGTAAATATAATTCATCCAGACAAGCCTTACTTAAATCATGTTAGACTGCAATATCCAAACCATTTTCAATACACTTGTTCATCTCTCCAAGAACGAATTGTCCACTACGGGACTAACATCGCATACTGCAATCACTATGGTCTCTAAGTTGGATACTAGCAAACCTCTTTCAATTGACCATCAAACCATAGAACCTTTATTAGCAGTTTTGAAGTCGACAGAAGATTTGATGGATCAAGACAGTGATGCCAGGAGCTCAGACAACATTGAAAAAGTAGCTTCTTTGATGAAACTTCTTTTGGTTTTTCCTATTGAATATTTTGAAAAGAATGAACGCCCACAAGCTATCTATTTGGCTACACTAATTGATATCTGGGGTGTTCAATGCACTCATGCTGATCCTGTTACTCGAATCAAATTATCGCTTATGTGTAGAGCACTTCAATTACGATTCATTGGCTATTTCAGTACGCATAGTATTTTGGTAAAGTAACTGATATGACAAATATAAGTATATTCATATGTTCTGTATAGGGTTTAAATGCTATTGCTTTAGACTGGTTTGTATCTTCTCAACAACAATGGAAATCACAAGAACGAGAAGCACTGGACTCTCTTGAACGAGTTACGAATAAACTCGATCAACATATTCTGCGTAAAATGATCATGAATGCAGGCTCCAAAACCCCTGATGAGCATTCGCTTACCTATCTCCAAGATACCCTTAGACAACGTGTTGTAGGTCTTGAAAAGAATGATCAAAAGGTTACGCTTACAAAACTGATTAATCTCTTGTCTGCTATCAATTCTGTTTTGGCCAACAGGTAAGTAATTTTTGATCGATTTACGCTTGTATTCATATATTTTATAGTAAATCCAGCGAAGTCGATCTTTCAAATGCTGTTTATGCAGTGAATGCTCTATCCCAAATCAGTAGCTACATCACTTGTTCACTGAATAAAGCAAAAAAAATTGTTTCTTCTATCTTGGAACAAGTGACAAAAGCAAATCAATCAGAAGCACAAATCATTGCAGATCACGAAGGCACATTTGAACAAATCAAGCTTGTTTTCAATTTGACTCGACTTGTTCAAGAGTATGCTCGCATTGTGGGACCCACAGTCGATGAAGGTAATGCATGCAAACGCACATACCACATAAACTCATTTGCTTTTTTTAGCTATTGGTATCGAAAAGCTTTCCAAGACATTGACCGATTTGGCCTCTCCTTTTATTCAGTTCTTACAATCAGCTTTACAGTTTAACAAGTCTGCTGTTTTGCATATGACTACTGAATTCATCGCTGCATTTTGTTCTATCTTGACTCGCTACCAACAAATTGATTCTACAAAGCGTGTGCTTGCCGCTGTGTGGTTTGTTTATTCCCTCGTTTTCAAAACAGGTAAAGATAAAAAAAACAAAAGAAAATGGTTTAACACTTTCCTTAGGTGATCAAGAATCCATTGATATTCTATCAAAAGCATTTACTTCGTGGGTTCAGTCCTTGTCTAAAGAACAATACAACATTGTGTTTGAAAGCTTTCTGGAACAAGCAGAAGATGAAGCAAATCATAGAGTTGATAGTAGTAAAGAACAACGCACATTGGTCTTGCTCTCGCTCTTTTCACTCTTACAAAGTAATTGTGTTGACTGTAAGTTAAAAATTTTATTTTTTATGCAACTAACTCTGCCATAGCCGAAAAGAATCGCCTACGAAAACAAATACCAGTGATTATGCTCAAGTTGTCTCTCATTGCAGGTAAAACAACCTCATTCAGATACTTGCAAGAGTTCTTGAAATTGCTTGTACAATTGACAAGTGATCAGGTAATTCATGATCATTGATCTTCTTTTTGGCTAATGCTATTGTCTAGTCTTATCACTTCAAAGATTACGATGCTTCTCTTCTGCTGTCTTGTCTCTTACAAGTAGCACACCCTACAGCTCCCGAAAGATTTAAGGGACAGATGAATGCCGCTTTAGCCAATGCTCTCTTTATTGACATTTGCTCTATTCTCTCCAACCTTATTACACATCACAAAGAACAAGTGGTTTATATGATGCCTCCTTTTATTGCTCTTGTTCAATCCATGCTGCACTGCTTTAAATCATCTCATGTGTCTCTTGTCACAGGCAAGAAACGCAAACATATAGACGAGAGCAAGCTAAAAATGGGACGTACTATCTCCTTGTTTTCTGATTATGCTCCTTTAGACGATGTTTCAGCACAACGCTTTGCTCGTGTGTTGACTACCATACCTCAAAAACAACCTACACTCTCATCTGCCTCTAAAAGCACACAGACACTACAAAGAATGGTAGCAAAGCACACGCCTTCTATTTTGATAGAATATTTCACGATTCAATCCAATCCCAACATGAGTATCGTCCAGCCAAGCATAAAGTCAATTTTGACAAACGCTCTTTATGATATACTTGATCTATGCTCAGAAGCAGATCGTAATTATGTCTTGTCATGTTTAGATGGATCAGGGAAGACTTTATTCAAGACATTCTATACAAGTTGGAAAGAAAACCACAAATATACAGGTCAATAAAGTTTATTTTTGTACACAATTAAGTTAGACTACTGATAAAACTATCAATGTTGTATTCTTCTTCATAATCCTTTTCATCCCATAAGGTCTCCAGGTTATCCAAAACAGCTTTAGCAACACCCAAACCCTCAGCTGAAGCATCTTGGTTCTTGGCCTTCTTTTTCTTTGTGTCTTCACCTTCTCCAACATTGAACAAATCTAGAATTTGGTCTGTATCCATGCTTTGAAGACCCGAGTTTTGTTGGTTGACAATTGAATTAGCAATATTTAGCTTGAACTTTTGTAAGCCCATAATCTTTTCTTCTAATGTGCCTCTGGTAATCAAACGATAGACATTGACCACTTTCTTTTGACCGATACGATGTGCACGGTCCATAGCCTGTAAATCCTTCATGGGATTCCAATCATGCTCAACAAAAATTACAGTATCAGCGCCTGTCAGGTTTAGACCAAGGCCACCAACATGAGTTGTTAGCAGCAAGACGTCAATAGAAGGATCCGCATTGAACTTTTGAACCATTTCATGACGCTTGTTTGAATCAACAGAACCATCTAGACGCAAGTAACTGACTGTAGGCATCAATGTCTTGAACAAGTCATTCTCAATGATATCCAACATGGGTTTCAACTGACAAAAGATTAAGGCACGATGTTGACTGACAGCGCCAACAGCCATGGCTGCAGGATCAGAATCTGATTCCGTGGTAGTCACACCAATACCACATTCGCCTAATAATTGTCTAAAAAAAAAGATAAACACATGCCAAAACAGAAAGGGAGACTTACTTTAGTGCCTGTAGTTTAGGTGCATTTGAAATGCTATGTATGTTTGCATTTGTCTTTTGCAAAAACGATTCTACTTTCTTGTAATTGGGATATTTGTCACTGACTACAAGTAAGGGATGATTGCAAAGTCTTCTAAGGTATTGTAATGCTTGGAAAATGTGCGTTGCTCCTTTAGGTTTATCTGTTGATTTCTTGTCCAAAACAAGGTCTTGCTCAACAGATGATTTGGCTTGCGATTTGGCAAATTCATCATAGAGTGATTTCTAAAGTTTATGTTAGCGTTCAATTGTATGACATGACCTTGTTTTTTTTTCTTTACTTGTAAATCGCTTAGTTCACAGTAATAATCTTGAATAATCTTGGGTGGTAAATCATGCAAGACATCTTCTTTTAATCTACGCAACAAAAATGGCAGCACTTGCTTATGTAAGGCTTCTAATGCAAGTGCGCCTGCTTCTTGTTCTTTTGACGAACTCTTGCTGTCCCTACTAGCCAAAATAGGTTTACCAAATCTTTCATTGAAGATCTTTTCAGAACCAAGGAAACCTGGCATCAAAAAGTCAAATAAGGACCACAGTTCTAATACATTGTTCTGTATAAACATGAGCAAAGATCTTTACAAGCGTTTCACTTACCTGAATAGGTGTACCAGACAAAATAAGACGATGATCAGATCGAAGTGATTTGATGGCCTTTGTGATTTTGGTCTTGCCATTCTTGATAATATGTCCTTCATCAAGAATACAATAGTTCCATGTAATCGCTGATAGTTCTTCAATGTCATTACGAATAATATCATAGGACATAATAATCACATCGTTTCTTGAGATAGAAGAACGTAATCTACTCTAGTGTTAGTATTCCATCTATTCTACAGGTACTCAATACCTTTTTCTTTCAGCAGGACCACCTGTGTATAGCAGTGGTTTTAAATTACCACAGTAATTCAGGATTTCATGGTACCAATGGCCTGTTAAAGTAGGAGGACAAATGACCACTGAAGGAATAGGAGCCCATTCTTGCGATTTACTTTGGTCAAATTTTTGTGCTCGATGGAAATGATCACTGGCAAGAATACAGATGGATTGCAGCGTTTTACCAAGACCCATATCATCACACAGGATACCATGCAAATGAAACTTATTCAGGAAAGCCAGCCAATTGACACCTTCTTGTTGGTATTTACGGAGTTCTGCATTGATCTTGACAGGGATAGTAAAGTTTTCTACCTTGGAACTATCTAGCAGTTGAGACAAGAAGCGACGCTCTTCATCACGCTGAGCCAACATTTCTGCAGACATGCCAGGTGGATCGGGAATACCAGCCTCCAAAGGAACCAATTTAATCAAGAGAGCAAAACAATTGGTGCATGTTAAACGCACAGCTTCATCTACATCACTCATACGACCCAAGATAGGCACAATCAAGAAAGTAGTATAAGGCAAGATCTTGGTATCCAACAATTGAACTAAATGATACACTAATTCAGAAGCGCCTTGACGATGATAGGCATTCAGTGTATTTCCTAATTGAGGCAGAATTTTGTCTACAATAATTTGCATAGTTTCTGTGGTGATCACATTGGCAATAGCGGCTAAACAACGAGCACTGACATGGCGAATAACAGCATAACAAGATTGCAATGCTTTGCATATATGAGGTACAATATGAATAATGTGGTTCCAAAGGCCCTTGGATAAATAAGGAATAATCATGTTGAGAATAGCCAAGGAATCAATCACATCTTGACCTAATTGGAAATCGGTTGTGATCAAATTATCTGATTGTTCACTGCTGGTACTGACAAGAGGGAAGGCTTCAATTACCTTTTGACTGATGCATTCTTTTAATTTAGGCACAATGTCAAATACGCGATCACCAAACGTATCACATAATGCACGTAAAGTAATTTCAGCACCACGTTTCATCAATTGAGCGTCTTTTTGTTCTTGAGTCAATACTTCTTTGTTTGCATTCGCCTTGCTTGTTTCTTCTTTGGCAATGGATAAAATAGCAGACTTGACTTGATTGTCTTGCAAGACAGGCGTAATGGTTGTGTCACTGCATAAAAATGTACACAAGTTCTTGACGACTTTATCATTAGGATTAGAGCGAGATTTGTTGAGTTCGCAAAGAGCAATCAGATCCGTCAATGTGGCAGCAGAACGCTTTTGGAGTTCGAGATTTTCTTCGTATTTAATGCTGTTCATGACACTTCGAATCACAGGATTAAGCTTGGTGGGCAAGACACCTAATTCAACCACGGCTCCTGCTGTGCTAGCATACACATTGATTTCAATCTTTTGCTTGAGTTCTTCGAAATAACCGATCGAGGCCACGACGCGTTTTTGACGATCTTCCAAAGCCGTGATCAAGGCAGCTCGCCCTTTACTACGAGGTACTTTGGCAAGCAGTTGTTCAAATGTTTCGCCTACAACACCAGTGGCTGTTTCAATGGTAAACAAGGGACCTTGATCAGGCAATGCTTCGCCAGGGACCAAACTAGGTAAAGTGGGAATAAGCTCAAGAGGTACCTTGGCTTCTGTATGGAAAGCATTGACCATGTTTTGACATTCACCACGAATGCGCTTCAGTACATGTACTAATTCAAAGTAAAACTCTGTGTTGTTTGTCTGAGCCGTCTCTAGGTTAGCAATCATGGCTTCAGAGAGATTGCGAGGAAAATTATGACTGTTGGCTAAAATAGCTTCTGGTGGAGCATGACTAATACAATCTGCATTATATCTTGTCTTAAGGACAGCTTTGGCCCATTCTTCTACTGCCATAGCGCCCAATTGTCGCTTCAAGGCCCATTGAGAAGATAAAAGGGTTAACAGAACTTCTTGATACGACATTTCCATGGAATCATCAGGCCAAGTACTCATAGCCATACCCAAAGCAGTAGTACAAGCAATACGACATCGCATCACTTGCTCTGTTGTAATCAACGAGAAATCTTGGGCAATCATCCCAGCATCTAAATTATGTCCATCTCTATCTGCACCTTCACGCACAGTTTCAGTACGAATGTTGCCTATATTGTTATTCGCTGCCTTTTTTCCTTTCTTGTTGGTGCCTACAGTGGGTGCAGAGGTCGTTGTAGCAAAGGTGCCTCCGTTACCAAAAGCACCAGGAGGTTTATAAAAGTAGGTAGCAATATCCAAGGGCTGACCAATAGGTGTCATTGTAATTTCAAACCAACTTCCTAGCCAGTTTTGAGTGCCTTGAAGAATCAATGGGTTGTCTACTTTGCCACCAATCGTCATTCCTTTCCAGACAGTCAATGTCTTTTCAATAATGTCCACTTTTTCCTCTACAATCAAGTTCTGAAATACAAGACGATATACTCTGTCATCAATCCATTCTGCTGCAGTACCGCATTCAATAAAAGTCAACAAGGTGTTTAATACTGCAATACGAACACTGGTGATAGTGTGTCTGAAGAATGGGTGTAAACGAGGCACTAATTCAGATAGACTGCAGCCTTGTCGTACAATATCCATGACACCAGGCTGTTCAAACATTTTAGAGATCAAGTCCATTACTGCGCCTGTAGAAGCTGTCAAGTCGTCTTTGAGATCAATTAGGCAGTCCCACAATGTTGTAATGACATCTCGAATGCGTTCTTTTGAGCTCATGCGTACAAATTCAGCCGTAATGGGCAGCAGTGTGGATGCACTGACTGCACGTACATCATCATCATGATCACGTAAGCCTAGAATGACTGCACCTGTTGTTCCATCTACCAACATATCTACCAAATCCTTTCTTACAGCCACTGTGTACTTGAGGCCCAATAGACCAGCATGGCGTACTTCCCAAATAGATTTTCCTTGAAATGAAGCATCGTTTTGATTAATCAATTGAAGTAGATTCTGATGTACTTTTTCGACTGAACTGGCTGTCATGTACTGCAGAACAACACCCAACGTCTGTGAGCATGTTTCACGCACTGGACAGACAACTTGATCCGATACAAAATCAGCAAATCTATCTAATGCAAATACACATAGTAAACGAATAGCTACATCTTCAAGCCATGCATTATGCATTTCTTGATTCTTTTCCTTTCTGCCTAGTCTTTTACCAGCACCTTCTCCATGGGCCTTTAGGATACTACGAAGACCAATACCAGCACCATGACGAATTTCCCAAGCAGGGTCAAATAAATCCAGACATAAATGCTCACATACCATTTTAAATGGCCAATCACGCTGTACTTCATCTACTTGATCGTTTTCTTGTACAGGCTTCTTTACTTCAACAACAAATTTGTCAGACTGAGGTTGAGCTGTGAATTCAAATTCTACAGACATAGATCAATGAAATCATCATGATACAAGACTATCTACCTTCTTTTGACTCTATCTTGACAGGCTTTGGCTCTGATTTACCCTTTAAATCCATCACACGCACTCTAAAAGAAACAGTCAATCATGGTTCATCCTATTTTAATTTACTTTTCTTTTTTGCCCTTCATTTTGGATTCTAGTTTCATTTTGCGCTTCAACATGTTACGCTCACGGGCAGATAAGCCTGCCATGTTGATTTCTGCTACAGCTGGGGTGGGTGCTGTGGTGGATGTGGAAGGCGAAGGTGAAGGACTCTTGGTTTCTGTCTTCATTTTGTTTTGTTTTGTATCCAAATCAGCATCATCCACCAAGTCAACTAGAATATATTGCTTTAGTGACAAAAATCAACAGATATATAAATACATACCATCCATGAATTGACTGGCAAGACCAAGGCGTTCTTTCAGGTTGCGTCTTTGAAGCTCCAAGCGTTCTTGTGGTGTCATGTCTGAAAAGTCTATATCGTATTCTTTACCAGCAGAACCCAACAAGAGTTTGCCGTGCTGAAGAACAGAGGCAAGATCAAATTGACTAAACTGTAATTTATGCAAATCTTCTGGCTGATCTTCGTTCATGGCATCTTGGTCTTCTGGATCCCATGCGGGTACATTGGCAGCAATAGCTTCTAATGCTTGGCCTGCTGCCCAACGCGTATCCCATGCTTTACTTCTTAGATGAACAACAATCTAAAGCAATCATGAATAAGCATATCGTGTGCATGTGTTTATTTACTCTCGATAATAAATTATAGAGTTCTCCAGGATGTTGCTTTTGGATTTCACCCAACTGTTGAGCAGCAGTGCGTCTCACAGCAGTGGTTGAACCTGTGTCTAGTAATAAAACCAACCGATCAAGTCTATAAAAGGTCTAAATAAGTTTGCCTTCTTTTTTACATAAGTACCTTGTGGCCATTATTAAAGAACAAGTAAGAAAGAAAGAAAAAAAAACAGTGGCTTCTTCAAATTCTTTTAAATAGATGGATATATGCTATCAGGAATGCTAAACAATGATTGGCTAGTAGAATTGCATTTTGACATTTCTTTTTTGTATCAAACATCTACATTAGAAAAACATAGCCAGTATTATTTTTATTCTATTGGTTAACTATCAAGATATGTTCTAGTGTTGTAAAAGTACTGAAGAGTAACGTTGCATAGTATATTTTATTATTACAAAACACCCTTTGTAGAAGGAACATCATTGGTACCAGTTCTAGTAATGGCTTCACGAATAGCAACAGCCAAAGACTTGAACGCAGATTCAGCCTTGTGGTGGTCATTCTTACCCTTCAAGACATCCACATGAAGTGTAATACCAGCTGCACCAGCAAACGATTCCAAAACATGAGGAATCATTTCTGTAGACAATTGACCAATCATTTCACGCTTTAAGTCAAGGTTAATATCAGCAAAGGGACGACCAGAGATATCAACAACAGATCTAGCAAGGGCCTACGAACAGTCAATAATGGTTATCATAAATAGATATACATACTTCATCTAAGGGACAGAAAGCAGAGCCAAAACGCTTGATGCCTCGGGGAGTACCAAGGGCTTGCTTAAAAGCCATACCAAGGGCAATGCCTGTATCTTCAGCAGTATGGTGATCATCAATATAGAGATCGCCTTTACAAGTTAAGTTTAAAGACCAACCACCGTGTTTGGCAAGAGCATGAAACATCTACATATCTGTTTAGCTATTGACTTTACTTGACAAGCTGTTATTTACGTGATCGAGAAAACCAATACCGGTGTCAATATGGATCTTTTGATCAAATTTGTCATCAAGGTTGATTGTGACTTTAATGTCGGTTTCGTTTGTCTTTCTTTCCAAAGTAGCAGTACGTGCCTCGGTCATTGCGTGGATTAGTATAAGAATGATGAAAGAGAGAAGAAAAATTAAAAGATTTTAGTTCATAAACAGATGCGTGCCGTGATTGGATGCTTTGATTATTCATCAAGAAGTGGCAAGTAACCAGTCATTTTTTTAGTGTATCTTTACTTATCCAATTACATGGTATTTTTCAAGCAAAAGATGCTTTTTGCCATTTGAGGTGCATTGACAGGAAGTGTTACATGAAGTGCCTATTTTGGAATACCAGCGCAACTTGATACTATTTTGAAATGTTTCCCTAAAGAAAGCTATCTTTTTAACTATAGACATATGGGCTTCTAACTAGAGCAATCTGATAATTTATTTATACAGTCGAAAGCTCTTAAGTAGTCTGATTTTTCTCATATTTCAAGATGAGAAAGAGCTTGTTTCTTTCAAATAATCGACACCAATATATTGAAATTTGCCGTGTCATAATCTCTCTTTGCTCTTCTTTAAACTCTTCCATCTTTGTAAAACTCAACTTTCTACTGCCCTCTATTTTACTGCCAATTCAAGCTTAATTTATCCTGCCTTTGAGGATATTTTCTTACAAAAGAGAAAGTAATGATAATGTTTGGGATGACTTAACTAAACTAGAAATAGGAATAGAAAAGAAGCTGGAGACAGTGATATTTTATTCTTCATTGATAACAACATCCATCGTACCAGCTGTGTCACGTGATACAATACAGAACATCGGTTTATTCAAGAGCTTTATAGTTTAAATAATCTTGAAAGGCGTATCTCTTTTTGGCCAGGTGCCCATTTGACTTTGATGCGATTACAAAAGTCCTATATGCCTTAATAAACATGGCTATAAAATATTTTACCCATGTAAAGACGTTATGAGGTAAATTAAAGTGTTCATTCCTCTTGAATAAATGTGTCGTGCCTGAGAAATAGACAGGCAATCCTGCCATTGACTGCAGTGTACCTGAGGAATATAGATTGTTTCTAACATTTTATTTAAACAAAAACCAAGAGGAAAAAGAAAGACGCGCTTAAAGAGAAATATGTATTTCTGCTTAATCAATTCTAATGACTAACGATTTAATACATAAAACATGAAAACAAGGTCAAATTTTCACACGTCTTATGCCCAGTGACTGGTGGATAATTTTGCTGACTATTTAGAAATCGGAAAACCTATAAAAGTTACACATTTTTTCTTCCATGAACTTTTATTCTTTTTTTCCCCACATTTAATAACATTATGTCCGCCAACGATCGCTTAAACACTATTAAGGGCCATTTGTCCGGTAACTATACTAAGGGTTTATTAGCTGGTGAAGTTGCTATCATCACTGGTTCTGGGTAAGTTGAATTGTCTAAAACAACGAGCACAATTAACACGCTTATTAGTCAAGGTATTGGTAAGAGCTGTGCTGAATTATTCGCCCGTGAAGGTGCTTTGGTAGTTGTTACTGATATTGACGCTGGTAAAGTATGATGGATAAAAATTTGGATGTATGCTCATAAATTCATCATAGCCAAGTCTGATCAAGTTGCTGCTGACATTAATGCTGCTGGTCTCAAGGCTATTTCTATTCCCGGTGATATTCTCGATGTTTCCTTCCCTGAACGTTTGATTGAAGAAACTGTCAAGGCTTTCGGTAAAATCAACCATATTGTCAACAATGCTGGTTTCACTTATGATGGTATGCTTCACAAGATAACTGACAAGCAATGGGACTTGATGCTTGCTGTTCACAACACTGCTCCTTTCAAGATTATCCGTGCTGCCTCCAAGTACCTTCGTAAGAAGGATAATGAAAACAAGAGCATTGTCAACGTATCTTCCACCTCTGGTCTTCATGGTAATGTTGGTCAAGCTAATTATGCTACTGCCAAGGCTGGTATTGTTGGTTTAACCAAGACCGTTGCTAAGGAATGGGGTATGTTTGGTGTCCGTTGTAACACTGTTGCATTCGGTTGGGTTGATACTCGTCTTACTCGTGCCAAGGAATCTGGTGCTTCTATTGAAGTTGATGGTCAAAAGGTCTCCCTCGGTATCCCTACCGGTAACAAGAATGCTGCCAAGATCAACCCTTATGCTGATATCCCTCTTGGTCGTGCTGGTACTGCTGATGAGGTTGCTGGTTCCGTCTTGAGTCTCTGTACTCCTTTGACCAGCTATATCACTGGTCACACTCTTGAAGTTACCGGTGGTCGTGGCATCTAAGTCATCACTTGGTTTGCATTGTAAATTACTTTTTTTAATCAAAAATTGAGACGCAGCATACACAGTTGTAAAATAGAAAAGGAATAATAAAGACAAAGTGCGGTCATTTTTTGTACAAGTATATGTTCAAAGTGTTTTAAGAGGAGCATATGAATACTGATTCCTAAATTGATATTACAATACTTGCTATCATCAAAATAGCATCATTATGCCGCTTTTCTCAAAGTTGTTTCAATAATCGATGGATCTGTGTAACCCTTCTGAAAGACAACCTAAGGCCTGGGTAGAGCCACATCTTTTGGTGAGAGTGATTTATAGCAAAATCGGTATCCGGCTGTTAAATAAGACCACATGCGTCGTGTACGATTCTTATAGATGGGTTTTCGAGACTAGACACATGGATTATGTCTATTGATACTAAAGAGTTATTTTCTATTAGGTTATTATTGTGAAAATTGTTTATACGATGAGCTACAGGTAATTTCTTGATCTTCATTCAAACAATGCAGGCCTTGGTGGGTCCAAAGTCGTTGATACACTTCAATAACTCGTCCCTGTCTTTGAATGAACGTCAATACAAGAAAACATATTATATGGCTTAATGCTTATTGGATTTGTTTAGAAACGGGCACAAAGGACTATTTAAAACAATAAAATGTGGCAATATTTACTTTTGGCTTCCTCTTTTCTGAATCTATCTGACTAGGATTTGATAGCTTTTGATTTGAGATAGGCCATGAAAAGATCATATAGCCAGCTCATGTGTTTTATTAAAGTGCATTTGCTGCTATTATTTAGTACATAATATTATCATCTTTATTCTTATTATCAAATAAGAGTTACAAAAATTCTATCATTCCTTCACCGATACAAGTTTCTTTGTAAATATATTCATAATCATCATACAGCAAATCAAAGCTTGCTTTTGTCTACAATAAACTAAGAAACTTCATCACCATATGCAGTGAAACAGAAAGATTTGCATTATAAGCTCTTTAAATTCAACGTAATCGACAAAGTCAAATGTTGTTTTTATTTTTGTCATAAATCCAAAATTGCCACACTATTTCGTTATATTTAGGTGCAGAAGATGATAGACGTTGTTTTGCATGAATCAAGCTAACATCGATCCACAAAATGCGTTTTATAGCACTGATAGCTATTAAAAGGTATGTTTGAATTATCAAATCATAAAAGCAATCTTTGATCTATTATCCTCTATGCTACCCTTATGGTTTTGCATTAAAATTAAAACAATTATCTGTATCCCATCGCGAAAGCAACTTCTAACATGACAGTCAATATTAAATAATAGCTAACTAACATTAATAAACATAATTCAAGTGTCTAATCTAAACAAGCTTTATTAAAAATTTCATAAAGCATACAAAACGGTGTAAACTATTTTACGCAATATATAACAAAAGATCTTAATGAACATTACATCTCTACTGCATGATTGTGCTTTTCGAACTGAAATAAGCCACTTTGATTAAGATGTCAAGTCAATCCAATCTCACTCTGATATATTTTTTAGGCGATTTCTTTTCTTTTTCTGTTCAAGATACAGCCCTAGAGAGAATAAAGGCACCTTCAAGAGCAAAAAGTACTACAAAAGTAGTACTTAGATAGCCATTGCACTCTAAATGTATGAATTTATACTCGAATGGCACTATACTCGTAAAAAATGCAAGATTGTCACTACCAAACACCGAAACTATGCTTTCTAGTTGTTGAAATGGTTTTTTCTCTTAGACCGCAGGGAGGTTTTTTGTCACAATGAAAGGTATAGCAACATCGATAGATGCTCATCTAGAAACCTCATTGAGGGATTTTTTTCAGTATAAGTAGGTTTAGATTTGAAACAATATTGGTAGGGATACTAAGAATCAAAGCTCATTTACTACCATGGACAGGCCTACCATATGAACCCCAATTCTACATATAATTAGATCAAGGTTTCTCTTCACATGTATACTACCAATTGGTAGCAGCTTTAATATTTAATGAAATAGTCAAAGACAGATTTTGAAATCAAAGACTGAAGCGCTTGTTAGACTACAATATAAACACATCAGGTCTACAAAGGAATTTCGTAACGCTCAATCAATATAACAGTAAAGAATAGCAGGATAATAGAGAAAAAATGTGTGTGTTTTGGATTTTCGAAATTTAAATAAATAGTTTTATTTTTTTTCTTAATTTAATTTAATCTGATTCTTTTAAGCGATGGAAGAAACCTTCTATTAAATGTAGAAACCTTCCATCAAAAATGGAAGAATTATGCATTCAGAAATAAAGGATTTTCACTTAAATATGAAGACTTGTTTCATCAATCAAAGAAAAATTCAATTATATTTTTTAACCAGGAAAAGTTTTCTGTTGACCCAAATAGCATACTTGTGCACTGGTATTAATTTTTGTTAAATTTATACTCAAAGTCTGTTAAATTGTTGATTTCATAGAAAAAGTCTGTCCGAATACATGGCCTAATGCGATTGTTGTGAAATGAAGAGAGAAAAGATATAAAATAAGAGAAAAGGTAAGAACACAGAGAAAGTCCGTTAGAACTTGTATAGGTTTTTATTTCTCCAAGAAATGTTATCTTTCAATTGCTATAAAATGTCGAGGTTTTTATACTTTTTCTTCTCGGCCAAAGTGTTGTTTTGGGGTTAGCTTCTTGACTACGGATTGATTTGTTAGATCAGGAGCAATTAAGAGAAATGCCTTTAGAGGAAGTTGTCAGCTCAGCCAATAGTGCATGATCTGACCTGAACTTGAATAAACTACTACATATTTGTCAGCTCTAACTGTCACTTTATGAGGGCCATTAATAATAACAGAGCCACTAGGTCCATAATCTCTGACTATGAAGACGATATAGTACTTCTAGTAGAATGAGTGAATGTCAGTGACTATAGATCCATTGCAATTGCCATAGATGTGATCTGGTCTTTTGCCATGATCATCATGTATTGATCTATGCATATGAGTTCATATATGTTCACAACAACCATTATGTATTATCCAGATACTTTGTTTTTCTCCCAAAAAAAAAAAAGAATTAGTATGCTTAGGCTCAACAACATAAGGCCAACCTTGACCAATTTGGACCAACCTTTTTTTCTTAAATGTCAATAACACGAAAGCACGCTATATGTATTTTTTAACAAAGAATTTATAAATGAAAACTCTAAAAAACTCAAAGAAGATCTTGACAAACTTTGTGAGTTAGAGATTTGCTATACTGACGTATGTTTATTTTGGTTGTCGCTTTTTGGGTATTCTATTTTTCTGGTTTTCTCAAGAGACTGCTATTTAAGTTAAGTAATTGTGTATATTTTTTGTTGATTGGCTTTGCTGGCTGTCGTTTGGTATTTGTTTGATTAATATCCCTTAAGAATTGGTCGAGTTATAGTTATTACAAGTTTGGTCCAATGGTAGCTCAAGATCTTCGGGCGAATCAGATTGCTTGTTGTGTTGGTGAGTTTTCGAAGAGTTTGGCGCAGGGTGTCTGTAGCAATGCTGGAAGAATTTGTTTTCCGCTCTATTGTGTTCTTTATTCATTTCATACTCAATGGGTTATACCATACAATTGTACTGTATGTGTTAGTTCCATTTCGTCTTCTTTGTTTGACACTTATTTTGTTTTGTTTTGATAGTCAATTGACTTTCTACATTTTTTATATTTTTTTTTATATTTTTTATTATTGTTATTTTATTTCGTTTGGTATTTTCGCATCTCTGATGTTAGCTATTTTGGTTATTGTACTCAGTAGCGGACTTGTCAAGAATGGTACAAGATCAAGAAATTCCATTCGAATTATTGTTGAAATTACTAGGTGCATTGGTGCTATTGGTGTTGTTGAAATTGTCTTATTTAAATCTCATTTTTAAAAAGGTTAAAAAGGAAGTGAGTTACTTCAATAAACCATATCGAATCTTTTCTTTCTGTTATATTTTTATAACAACTTTATTTTACTACCTTTAAATTCTGTCTTTGAAGCTTACTAGTACCTAAATTTAAATCTATTCTTATTCCTCTTTATTGTAATTGATAGTCTTTACAGTCTTCTATCTCCCTTTGTCTTAATTGGTTCCATATATTTCTAGTCAAAGGTAAACATACAGAAGGGATAAAGCGTTGTCAATACCGATGACTCCAATAAGCCCATGCTCCAAACTAAACTAAAAGTAAATGGTTTTCCATCCTACTACCATCGATACAAAGATGACCTCCTAAAATCAACCAATCTTCAAGAACAAATTACTATAAGTAAGTGATAAAGAAGAGTGTTTTGTTATGTATTAATTTAACGACTTTACTAGATAACCAGAGACAACTTGTTCAATACCTGAATAAAGTATATCGACCTGGCCAGCCGGTAGATAGTGACATGTACGAACGAAAGCAAATATCAATGAAGCAGATTTACTCAGAAACTGTTCTAATCACTGATCTATTTGACGAGAAAACATCAAGATCATTTTCTACATGGTGTGGCACAGCCAAGTTAGATCTAATGCTTGCTGACCAAATCCGCAAAATTCAAAAAAAAAAAAAAAAAAAAAAAAAAAAAACGATGTCTCCAAAACCAAGATAAGATACCACTCCCTTTGGGTTCTGAAAAGCACACATCGAGGTATATTATGCTAGTTGATAAAACTGATACTTCTATACCTTTGATTCTCATGTTTTTTTTTTTACTGTATAATCAGTAGCTAGACAAATCCTAAATGTTAGCGCAACACATCAAGTCAGATTACATGGTCTCATACGCGAGTGTAAAATTATCGGATATGTAAGGAAACCTCCTGGAAAGGAATCAACCGCGACAAGACTTCGTCTTTTGGAAAGTATGGTAGACAGGTTGATGAAAGCTTCTTCCGTGGACATGGTGTTTGGTTCATACAGCTCTGCTTCAGATGAACTCTTTGTAAAACGTGATACCACTACAACCACCGTCATCCCAAGGACTGAAGGAAACATCCAAGGTAATACAGCAAAGTGTTACGAAGATTCCTCTTAAATTAAAACAATTTGCTTTAGATCTTTTGCAATTCTTAGCGGCCGCTTCTTATCCAATTTCAATTGTGGCAATCGACTTCGCTGGTTTAACAACAAACAAACCTGACTTGGTCCAATTTCTTCGGTAATGCAACAATATGCTTAAATTATCATGTCCTCTAATGCAATTGTTATAGTGTTCATAAGAATGTAAAAAATATAGTGATCGACAATATCGAATCTCACAACGAAGCTTATCACTTAACCAGGGAGCAGATTCTTTCAGATGAGACTGTACTTCAGCTTTTCGACTGTCGCTCTGCTCCAGTACTACAATCTCTTATGCCATGACTTGTCATTTTACGTGTTTTAATTATTTAGCTACTCATATAAAGATCATATCCATAAAGAAAAATAAAAATAACAGTGAATACAATCCGATTTTACAAGATAATTAACGATTTCATAGAAAATGCGCTATATTCATACCTTCTGATCTGTCGATTGGCATTAATTATGTAGACATAAAAAGTTTAAAATAGTTATTTTTGTTATCTTAGCTAAAGACCTTGACATGATAGCGTTCATTTTATTACAATTCGCAGAATAGCCATCTCTAAGTGCTGTTTCGCTCAATGCTGACGATCTAAACTTCTAGTTACTGATCCACTATTAATCAATATAGACTTCAAAATCAAAAAAGACTTGATGAGCTTCATGACAGACGTAATTATAATAGTAACACTTAATTTATTATTGTTAGATTTGACATCAATTAGAGGGAAAATGCATATTTGTGCCATTTGTTACGATGAGTACTTGTGATATTCTGATGGGTCTGCTTGTATCCTTACTAGCGACATTAACATTGGTAAATTTGGGTCATTTGTATAGCAAATCTCTAAAACTTTCATGGCTTCAAGTTTTTTAGACAGAATTCTTGCATTTTCTTCACTATATTCCTGGCAAAAGAAAATACAGAGGGCTCTGTCCCTTGTTATATTGCCTTTACAGATGTTCGCATCCATGACAAATTTTAAGAATTCAAGAGAAAATAAATTTAAAAAGCCATACTAGTAATTTTTAGGGAAGGTTGGTCAAGGTTGGTCTAGGTTGGTCTTATGTTGTTGAGCCTAAGCATACCAATTCTTTTTTTTTTTTTTTTTTTTTTTTTTTTTTTTTTTTTTGGGAGGGAAACAAAGTATCTGGATAATACATAATGGTAAAATATAAAGTGTAAAGTGTAAAATGTAAAATACAAAATACAACTTATAAAATGTAATCATAAGATATGAGAAAAATTAACGAAATATTTTATTATACCAAGGATGATGTATCATATTTTTATCATTTCTTCTGGTAACATTGGTATTTAGCAAGGCAAAATGGCCATTTGATGAGGGATAGGACAAACCGCTGATTGGCACTAAAGGTACTGTAAATGGTACTTGGTGAAATAAATTAAATCTTACAACTCACTAAATATCAAAAGTGTACATTTTTTATTGTATTGACTTTATAACATTTGTATTGATAATAAAAACATTTTACTGCTCAGCCAATATATTTTGCTAACCATTCAACGTTATAATAAAACTTCATTTTAATTGTTTTGGAGTAAAAAAATAGGCATGATTTCTTGAGTCAATTTGATTAATCCTATTGACACCTTTCTCTTGCTTTAAAAGGGAAAAATGTTAGACATAAAGGAACAAATGGATTTGTTTTTTGGGACAATTATTTTTGGCAGAGTGTCATTAATTTTCTCAAAGAGACAAAATTTACCATTCTCACTATAACCTTTTTCTTTCTTTTTGTGAAATGCAAGAGTAATTATTCTCTCAGAACCAATACGTCTGCGCAAAAATGGTCCCTTTATAGAACGAACATCGGAGTGAAAGAAATGTTTTCTTTTTATATTTTAGAGCTTTTTCTAAATGTGATCGATTGAATACAAACAAGTTCTCTTTTACAACTTCAATGGTGAAAGATGGTCTGTCCTTGTTGTTTGTTTTCGTCTTCCTTTTGCATATTTTTGTCTTTTTCATGCAAACATAGAATTAGTCCCCCCCTTTTTGTTTAATATGTTTGATTTACCAAACATTCATCGGTCTGAACATTTGATGAATGTACAGAAAAGATTGTAAGAACGCCTTTGAGCTCTATATACAATTTCCATTTTGAAGTAGAGTTCCCGATTTTACAGTATTGCTTTCGTAGTTCTCTATTTCTTAATTTAATAATCATGTATCCTTTTAACCAATCATTTGTTACTATTGAACAAAGTTCAAATTACATAAGATTTGTCAAAGAAAAAACAAGCAGGTAATAGTTTTTATTATAAAGTAATGGGTATATGTATATTTATATTGAATATAGCTACATGAAAAGGATTAAACAGACTATAATGAAGGCCCAAACTATTGTTGTAGGATGACATATGTGACCATCGGATTTATCGGAAGATAAAGTGGTAGTGCTTGTACTCCCATCTGTCTTTTGGTTATTGGGTTCGGACGAATTGGAATTAGTTGTCTCGTTCTTCTTTCTGGCAATGAAACTATCTGCAAAAAAGACAGTATCAATGATATGCATCACACCGGAAGTTGTGATGAAATCTCTCTCGACAATACGAGCAATATCATTAACCATCAATTTACCATCTTTTAATTGAACCTTGACATCACTGTCTTTGTAATCTGTGCGTAAGTTTAGAATGTCTCCAGTCGCCAACTGATCGGAAAAGTAGACACCTTCTAAAGAGAGATAATAGAGATCATGCACTAATGTGCCGTAGGGAATAGTAATGCCATTTGCTTGGGACCATGCTTCATTATTAGGCACTAGAATTGTCTTGTTTGCACCAGAGACAGTGTCGGATACATTGAGCGATTTTAATATTTCTTCCATGTATTGTGTCTCCGCCAAATCGGAAATGGTATCTAACGGCGTTTCAGCAGGTTGCAGAAATTGAGTAATGACCTGAATGATGCCTAAAAAAAAAATTTTTTTTTTCTGTAAATTAAAGTTCGTTGGTTTGTTTTTTTTCTTACCATTTTTGCAATAAACATCACTGATTTGAATTTGAGCTTTCGTTAAACCAGAGAAAACTTCAATTGTCTGGTTTGATTGAATAAATTGCTCATTGACGAATGGCCCAATCGACAGTTTATTTTCGGTCAAAGAAGGATATGTTTTTCTGCTTTTCAGAAATGAATGGGATTGGAATGAGCCATTGATAATAAGGGATTGAATAATATGCTGACTGGTTTGAGTATTTGTAAAGTTCAGTACACCAGTTGATATGGCATTAGTGATAGCATTTTCATTTGGCAAAATAAAAGTAATATTGTCTGAATTCAATGTTCTAATTAATTCGTCTGACGTTTGAATGGCTTGATACAAATGCTTTTATTTTATAAGTCTTTTTTTTTTTTTGAGCCATTGCAAGTCACTTACTGGAGAGATTGCAGCCAAAGTAGTATAGATTGTTTGATTTAAAAAGTACAATTGAGCAGATACATAGTTGCATAATAGCAATAACAATGGTATCTTTTTCATCATCCTAAAGTAAGAAAAAAAAAGAAGAGTAAAAAAAAAAAGGAGAAAATGAAAAGGGAAATGAGCGATGTTATAAAGTATTTCAATGTTGTACAAATCACGAGTAAATTTTTTTTTTGTTCTCTTTTTGTGCCTGTATTTTTCAATCCCGTTTAACCCTCTTTTTTTTTTTTTTTTCTAACTTTATGAAGATCGCAACTTCAATCGCACTTGTATGGGCAACTTTGTCTACTGTCTTGAGTCAGTCACCTTTTTATTACCAACATAGTCAAGAGAGTTATTCTGAATATGCTGTTTCGGGAAAAATGGAGCAGATTGGCAGAACGGGTGTCGCTGCTATGCACGCTGTCTTGCTCAAGTAAGTTAGGGTAGCACAATACGTTTCTCGATTATCTAATGTTTCCTTGATTAGCGAGAAAAGCATTCTGATTATTGACAAAGGTAAAAGAGAAGCTATTCAAATAAAAGCAAAAGAAAGAAAAATTTTTTTTTAATCTTAATGAATTAGCTGAAGAAAATGAAGCTAAACTGGATTCAGGTGTCAGTGCATTCTCTACGCTATACGATATAGAAACAAACACCTATAGAACACTTTTATTGGAAACAAACACATTCTGCTCAGCTGGGGGCTTTTTAGCAAATGGCACGTTTATCAGTACAGGTGGAGCGGAAAGTAGAAGTCAATGGAAAGCAGCCAGAGGACATCAATCTATTCGCCATTTTAGACCTTGTTCTGACGAAAGTTGTGCTTGGGTAGAATACCCTACCGGGAAAATGTACAGCAATCGATGGTATCCAACAGTCGAACAATTACCAGAGGGAGATCTGATTATCATTGGTGGATCGATTGCAGGCACAAAATACAACACAAAGGAAAAGAACGTACCTTCCTATGAATTCTGGCCACCTCGTACAGAAGAACCTGTTCCTCTTGATTTATTGTTGCATACTTTACCTTATAATCTCTATCCCTTCGTGTTTTTGTTGCCAGATGGGAACTTGTTTATTTTTGCTTCTACTAAATCCATCATTTATGACTACAAGCAGCACAAGGTTGTTCGAGAATTACCACGTATGCCTGGTGTACCGCGCTCTTATCCTTTGACAGGTGGTGCTGTCATGTTGCCCTTGAGTCCAGAGAATGGTTACAATGTCGAAATCTTGATCTGTGGCGGCTCTCATTCACCCAAAAACACCAGTCCTGCTGATGACACCTGTGGGCGCATTAATTTAGGAGACAAAGACCCACAATGGGAAATGGACACATTTGTACACAAACGAGTTATGCCTGATGGTGTTATTTTGGCTGATGGTAGTCTTATTTGGGTCAATGGCTGTCAAAGAGGTTATGCTGGTTATAAAGATGCAAACCATGATCCAACCTTTGATCCATTGATCTATCACTATCAAAAACCCCTAGGAGATCGTTGGACACAAGGATTAGCCAATACAGATATTGCACGCATGTACCATTCAGTGGCACTTGCTTTACCTGATGGCAGAGTATGGATTGCAGGCTCAAATAGTGTAGACCCACCTGATATTCATGCAAAATACCCTACTGAATACCGAGTGGAATACTATTCTCCTCCTTATCTATTTCGATCCAATCGACCCAAGATATCGCATATTCCTCGAGCAGTTGAATACAATCAGACATTTGAGGTCCTTTTCCATCTTGAAGCACCTAATATAGACCCCAAGAAGCTCAAGGTGGCCATTATGAGACCTGGATTTAGTACACATTCAATGCATATGTCTCAACGCTATGTGTATCTTGTTCATCAAATCAATCATGACCATAAATCAATCAACATCACAGCACCACCTCATGCCAATATCTTCCCTCCAGGACAAGGTTTTTTGGTAGTCGTCTATGACGGTGTGCCTTCTAAAGGCGTTGAATTCTTTGTTGAACATAACAAGCAAGATTTAAAGATTTAATAAAATTTGTTCAGGAACAATTACTGCTAACTAAAAAAAGAGTCATTTGATTATTTTGCTGTTGACGTCGTTATTTATTTTATTTTGTTTTTTTCATTTTTTATTTATGCTATATCGAATGGAATCCAACTATGGTGATGGAGGCGCTGGTTCCGAGTTTAACCCACTATTAATACAACTGGCACTATTATGTACACTTGTCGGTTCTTGTGTCTCTTTCTTTTCTGTTTGGCTACACTGGAAAAACTATCGAAAACCAGTAAGTATCATAAAGCAAAAGATGATCTTTTTAACTCGAATAGAATCAACAAAGACAAGTCATTCGTATTCTTTGGATGTAAGTGTGTTATACCCAAACTATAGTATTGACAAGTATTATAGGGTACCCATTTATGGTATCAGTACATACATATCACTTGTATCATTGAACGTAGCTTTTTATGTCGACACTTTTCGAGATATTTATGAAGCATTTGTGATTTACGCTTTTTTTAATTTGCTACTCAACAAACTAGGCGGAGAAAGAGCATTGATTATCATGCTTCATTCCCGCCCACCCACACAAAACTTCTTTCCTGGTACTATCTATTCTAGTGAGATCTTTGTTGGCGATCCATACACATTTCTGTTTGTCAAAAGAGGCATTTTACAGTTTGTGTATGTGAAACCTGTGTTGGCTATTATTACCATGGTATTGAAGGCCACTGGCAATTATCATGAAGGTGAATTTACACTCAAAAGTGCTTATTTCTACTTGACTTTCTTTTACAACATCAGTGTATGTTTGAGTTTATGGTGTCTAATGGTCTTTTTTTATGCTACCAAAAAAGACCTTACTTCATTCAGGTAAAAAAAACACACATTGTTGAATGCATGTCATTCACAGAGAAATTAGACCACTTCCCAAGTTTCTTTGTGTCAAGGCCATTATTTTCTTTTCTTTTTGGCAAGGTGTGGTTGTTGCCTTGTTGGTCTTTGCTGGCATTATTCCAGAATGTAAGGATACATCAAAACATGATTGAATGACTCATATGACCATAGCCGAGCATATTTCAGTAGCCATTCAAGATTTCCTTGTGTGTATTGAAATGGTTCCTTTTGCCATTGCCCATGCGTAAGTTATCTTGCGGCAGTCTATAGACTGATCAACACATAGATTCTCTTTTTCATATGAAGACTATTTTGACCAAACAGTTCATTCTGCCCGTATGCCTATTCGTAAAGCCATCTCAGACTCACTTGGCTTAAAAGACGTCATGATGGACACACTCGATACACTTCAAGGCTCTCGATTCAGTTATCGCTCATTTGAGCCCTCAGAAGGCGTACCCCATATGGGCAGTAGTCGTACATCCCGTATCATGGCAGGTCTTCGTTACTCAAACATGACAACAAAAAAGCATTGGCTTGAACCAGCACCTACTTCTCGCTTCCTAAACTCATCAGGGCGTGGCATGAATGATGAAATTCAAGTGGAAGATGATCATGAGCCCTTGGTCTTTGAAGACCCTCAGCCAACAGACGATATGGAAGCATTGTATAAAGCCAGTCGTAAGATGGTCTTTGGTGACTATAATTATCCTGTCATTGATTTTCGAGTGCCTTTGTGGCGGCTGGCCCGTGAAGAACGTCGCCAGCAGCGTCAGTATGGTGGATTGGGCAGATCAGATCCACTTCATAAGAAAAAGAATGATTTGATTGGACCAAGAGAAGGTTGTATTGATGTGATTATAGAACAAGGCAAAGGCAATTATGTTCTTGTGGATACACTCAATGAAGAAGAAGAGGAACAGAGTAACAAATCGCCTTTGCTACCATCACCACAACCACCACCTATATCACCAGCAAGGAATCCTACACTCACAGACGTAAAACGTATTCAGGAACAAGTCGCCAAAAATAAAGAACAATTGGATAAACAAAGACCGCCACCTGTGATTGTCCAGCCTTCTCATTCTACTCCTCAACAACAAGTCTCTAGATACCCTCAACCACAGTCTTCTGTGTCTTCATCTTTATTCGAACCCATTCTACAAAATGCATCCAAAACATCCGTCCATCAACCCGCCTCAACAAATTCCATGTATCAACCACCTTCAGAAGAAGAACAAAACTGGCGTTGGCCTAATGAACATACCAGAAACAGGTACAATGAAGAAGAACTGTTGACGGGCGACGTATGGAAGTAGTTTTCTTTTCTTTTCTTTCTTTTTTACTGCATTTGGAGAAGAGCAAGACTTGCTTTTTTCTTTTTCTTTTTTTTTACTAATTATTTTTTTCTCTTTATTCGAAAATAACATAATGAAAACGACATCTAAACTTGAAAGACATTTACTAGAAAGCATGTTTGAACAATCTTTGTTTTCAGACTTATCTCTTGTATTTGTTCACCCTTCTTTTCCTATTGCAATGCGTTATAATGTACACAAGGCTATTGTGAGCCAGTCTCCTTTTCTTTGTAAACTATTAGAACATCAACAAGACAATCCTACATTAACCATCGACATGGCACAAGCACTCTCCAACTGTGAGTTTGTCTTGGCACCTTCTCATCATATCGTTCGACGTCAGTGGCAAAAGACAACCAAATCTCGGTCTACAGAACACTCTCGACTCTTATCTTCTCATATTCGTTTTGTATTGCAATGGATGTACTGTCTCAACAAACAAGACTTGATCAAAAGTATGCAAGATGATGACACTTTACGGATCTTGTCTGTTGCTGTCTTGTTTGATCTTCATGATCTCACCCAGACATGTGTCAATCGATATACTCAGGAACAACTGTCGCTCGACAGTGTCATGCGCGACTTGGATACGATCTGTCAATTACCGCGTGGTCATCCTGCTTATTTACAACTAAGAGATGCAGCCTTGTTGTTGTTATTTCGATTTGGACCTGAGAATGCCACTCGATTGGCCATGTTACCTGCTGATTATATGGCTGATGTCTTATCGGCTGATCTCTTGTTTGTCAACTGTGAGTTTGAGCGCTACTGTCTCTTGCGTGCTGTCTTGATGGCCTATATGCAATCGATTGGCAAAATCACTTGGACTTCCTCAGGTCCTGTAGACCAAGACGCTAAACGGCTATCTGGCTTTGTTCGGCCTTTAAAGCCTGTGCTCCATACCCATTTATCAGCAGATACAGTCCGGTCACGTAAACGAAGACGGATTCCTTCTCAGGAACTCGAGAATGATATCGTCAAACAACCTCGTCTGAATCGACTTTCGTTTTCTGCTTTGGTCCCTTTTCAGAAACTAGTAGCCGATGCAACCTCAGGGGATGTGATTGATAAAGCGACTGTCTTATCGTATCTGTTGCGAACCACAGTGAATTACAGTAACATGACATTTGATCAATTGACGTGTGTAAGACAAGACGGTATTGTGGATGAAGGCATTGTGTTTCGTGCATTATGGCAAAGAGAAGCACTAGAGAGAGTTTTGTTTCCCTTAACCTGTCATCAACAATCTCAGACAATAGAAGAAGACGATCAAGATGATCCAGCACGAAGTGAAGCTTTGGATGAATATTTTGATGTCAAGGGATCAGAATCAGAAAAGAGGCGTATTTTGTTATTAGGAACGCCCAAGTTTCGTTTTCGAACATCGGTTGCTATTGACCCTCCTTCTGTTGACAATGGTTGGGAATGCGAACAACAATACATGTCAACTGAAGTCATTAATGATGAATTAGCAAGTGCATTTGATGATGGAGACAGTAGCTCAGTCTGGTCTGCTTCTGATAATGAAGAAGAAATGACATCCAGTCAAGCCATCAACACTACCCTTCAAGAACTCGATATCACGAAAAGCAAACGCATTGTTACCAAGACACCTTATACACTCTACAGAAAAATATTCTATTCTCATGCAGTGACTATTCTTGGTATAGCCTACCGTGTTCAGATTGAAGCCCAAGTGATGCCCCGTCATCGTTTGTTTTTGGATGAGACAAAGACAGAAGAAACATTTTATGAAGACCATGATGCGAATGAGAATGTCATGGTATGTCGGTTTGAATTACAACGTGATATGAAGCAAATTGCAATCAAAAAAGAGAAGCCTGTGATTCCTGTTCACCCTCCTTCTTCTGTTCGCACTGAAAAGACAAAGATTCATTATTGGATTTACTGTCTCAATCGTCATGAAGGCATTCTAGAGAATGATCATATTGATCCCGAGGATCGTGTACTAGTAGCAGTAACAGAACAAAGCGAAAGAGAACACGGTGAACCAGGAGAAATGGGGCCAGGCTATGTAGGACAAGTCTTGGTAGAAGCAGATCTAAATAAAGGACTGCAGTTGGATACAACAGTGGCGCTTGAAATATTTGGTTTCCAAAAAGTATAATAAATTTCTATTTCTTTATGGACTCAAAACCTTATTCTATCGCAGGCCTTAGTCTTGCTTGTCTCTTGACCTTGTGGTTATTATCAAGCAACACATCACCTAAACAGACAGCAGATCATGGGTTGTTTGCGAATAAGAAACTATGTACATCTGACAGTTTTAATCAAGGCCGATGGATCCATCAAGAGATAGGACTCTCATCTCACAGTGTAGAAGGTATCAATGCACATAGTGGATACCATTGCAACTGGGATTTCCCTCATCGATGCTATCGAAGAACTGAACCAGCCACTGAATTCAATCGAAGCAAAGCCATGTAAGAGTGAAAGTGATTTTTTTTTTCTGAATAACATGTTAGGCTTGACTATTCATGGCAACCTGATGACTGTATAGTCTTGCCTTTTAAGCCCAGGGATTTTTCAAAGCATTTATCTACTCATCCTTTGTTATTAGTGGGTGACTCTATCACGCAACTGATGTTTGAAAGTATGTGGTGTTTATTAGGCCAAGATTTGGTTGCTCAAAATAGCGATACTCATCTTTCAGGAGGTGATACGCATATGTGGGCAAGCCAACTTGTACATCAAGATATATCAGACCAACAAGAGGCTGTCACAGTTGCCTATATTCGATCAGATTATCTACTCAAACTAGACGATTTCAGTTTGATCAAGCCAAATGAAGGTGAAGGATATCAGATTGGCGTAGGCAGCAATTTCCCTTGGGTACATGCTATTCCTCGCTTCAAGTATATCATGATCAATACAGTGAGTATTCTCATAGTAGATACTGTATAGCTCATACGATTAGGGACCTCATTGGCATCCTGATCTGAAATGGGGGCCCAACAAAGATAGAAAAGAACTGTTGGAGGCATTCACAATAGCCATGAAAAAAGTATTTGGTTACCTAAAGCAACATGTCAAGCCAGATCAAATTGTTTGGGTCAGAAGTACACCTTATGGACATGCTGCATGTTCTCAATACACTCGGCCAAGTACAATACCCGTCAAACCCACCGGGCAACCAGGAGAATACGAATGGGACATGTTGGAGAGATTTGATTTTGTATGGAAGGTAAGTGTCAAATATCAATGGGCTATACTTTACATAGCTTCATAGGACATGATTGAACAAGAAAATGATGAGCGATTCCGTTTCTTTAATGTGTCGCTGTCAAATGCTAGAGGAGATGCTCATTCACAACCTGATCATGATTGTTTGCATACTTGTCTTCCGGGCCCTGTGGATGATTGGAACAAGTTCTTGTATCATGAAATCACAAAAATGACTATTTAAACAATAAAAGGATTTTTATTTTACAACAAAGGAGGAGTAGTAAGGATAGGGAAATCAGCACGCAGTGTACCATTATTAGGTGCTGCATCCATGTTCAGTAATTCTGTTATAAACTCATAGACTTCTGTATTAAAAAAGGGCGCTAATACAGTACCTTCTCTGTAGGCACGATTCACTTTAGGTCCCTTGGCTAAAAAGATGGCACGCATTTCATCTGCTAAATTATCATAGCCATGATTACCACCCTTTACAAACTTGTCTTGATGAGTTACAAATGTATAGCCTACATCAGGGATAGCCACGACAGGTGTAATACGATCAGAGTGTTTATAGTGATATCGTTCTGGTATATCTTGTTTTAAAAAGACTTGATAGTGAGCTGAATGGTTGGTTTGGGTATAAGCATATAGCTGATGATACATCTTTTGTATAGTATCTGAGGGGGCTTGTTTATCAGGTCTCAAGTCAAGTAAAGGGAATGCTTCTCTGTGCATGACATGCTGTAATACATCTTTGGAGAGTATGTCATCGTAATAGATCAACCGAGAACTGTCTGTTTCTGCCATACCATGGTCACTCACCTGAATATAAAGACATTAATATTATTTTTCTCTTCAGATAGTGCTTACAATCACAATATGGACATGTGAATCAAGATGTCGAAGTTCAATTTGCTCTATCAAATAGCCTAAAGCATTATCTACTTGTTTGATATGACTGTTCATCTATCACTTACGTAAGTAAAAAATAAAAAAAATAAAAAAAGAATGTTATTCAAGCGTATTTTACCTTGGCACTATAAGGTCCTCCTCGATGTCCTTCTTGATCAATCTGGGGTACATAGACAGTATAAATCTGGGGTCGCTCATTATAAGGTAAATCAAGCCAATTTAAGGTGATATCCATCTTTTCTTTGGCGGTCATTGTCCCATTGTATTTCACTACTTTGTCGGGTGGATTGAAAAGGGTATCTGATCCAGGCCACATAATAGATCCACTACGCTTTCTGTTCATTTTTGAAGTCACCCATATCTATTGTATTTAGTTTATTATATAAATGATACTACTACTTACAGGTTCACCTTTCCACCAGCGATGATCAGAAGTAGAAGTATGGTTTGAATGAATAAAAGTAGCATCTAATACAGGGTCATAGAACTGATTGGCAACAATACCATGCGATTCAGGATAAAGACCAGTGACTAATGTCCAATGATTAGGAAATGTACTTGGCTATTCAATATCAGTATATGAATGTGATGACAAAGGACCTACTTACAGGAAATGCAGGGTGCATGTATTTAGCCATGACACCATCCTCAGTTATTTTTTTCATATTGGGTGTGATGCCTCGGTTAAGATAGTCTGGGCGAAATCCATCCAAGGAAATCAAGATGACTGTAGATGCAAAATAATCAGATCCATTATAATACAGTTTCTCTGCTGCTCTATCATGATGATCTGTTGCTTCTGAAAACTTGTTTAAGCCAAACTTGAATAGAATAAAGATCAACCCAATCGAAACCCCAATAAAGATATATCTTAAAGTAGGATGATCCTGTATCCATATCAGTATATTGTATATATTATCATTATTGGCTTACATTTTCAAAATCATGCGTACTTTCGCCTGCTTCTTCTACAAGAATAGCCCACTCTTCATCTTGTTCGTCTGATTCAGAATCAGAGTGGTCTTTTAACAGTTGTTCTTCTTCTTCTTCTTCTTCTTCTTCTCGATGACCAACTGTACTTGATCCCTCTGATAATGAACGGGACATTTCATACTCTTCTTGTGGCATTTTTATATTGAATAAAGAAAGAGAGAAAACAAATATCCTGTCAGCCAATATATAAGCTTTTTTTTTCTCCCCCTCTCTCTCTCTCTCTCTCTCTCTCTCATCCCCCTTAAACCTGTGTTACCATATCTCCTTAAATAACAACATAACGATAGTCTACTTATAAGAGTTGAATGATACTGACTTGATAAAATGAAATTAGATAATATATAGAGAGACTTATTTGTATTCAAGAATCAATAGAATTTATCAAAGCGAATAAAGAAATATCTATTTATCACTATTGTTTTGATGAAAAAAAAAAGGTGGGAGAGTATCTAATCAAAAGGAAGTGGACGAGGTTTATTATTAATGGCAGCAGCAGCAGCAATAGCACTAGGTACAGGAATACCACAACAATCAGGATGTTCTTGTCCTAATGCAAACACTTCTTTTGGATGATGATGTCCACAATCACTTTCCATTTCTTCGGATTCTGCATGTCCTCCTTCAAAATGAATCAAACTGCCAAACATAAAATGTTGCATGATAGGTAATTTTGACATGACTTCTGCTTTATACATTTTGATCATGCCTTGATTGACTTTGATCCATGTCTTGCATGCTGAGATATCGTCCAACATGGGTGAGTGCCAACGTAAAGAGGCTGTTGTTTTGACTGAATTAATAAACTGAATACAGGCAAGATACATGTAAGAAGAAGAGAATTGTTCAACCACATCCTCATCATGAATTGATTTTGGCTTGATATATTTATGATCTATAGAGATGTCAACACTGTTACTCTTGATCCCAATATTGTATATACCATAGAGTTGTGCAGACCCAAACAAGAATGGCAAGAAATGATAGTCGTCTAAACCCCATACACCATGCGAACCAGCAGGTTCAAGCCAATAATGGAATTGAAGCTGTCTCATGAGCTTAATGTATTTGACAAAGATACGAAGCACAACAGCTTTATCATCATTCTCTGTCAACAATTTGAGTTTCTCCAAACATAGTCTATAATCTAGTTTAATCTAGAATATCACAGCATGAATGACTTACAACCAAGCAATGAAATTAGCTTCATGTCCTGTACCATAATCAATACGCTTCTGATTACCAAAACTTTCATAGAAATATCTTCCCACTTCTTGAATAGCCTCTTCAGGCACTAAATCTTTAAATAACTCGGGAATGCTCTACATAGTTTATGAGTCTATTGTTTATGAAAAGCATATAATTACATCTTTGACTTTATCATAAAAGGTTCTAAAAGCAGGGTTACCAAAACGCGATTTTTCATTTTCAACAGGAGGAATTTCCTTGACCCAATTCAACAGGATCTCCAAAATATCAAGTATTTTTTGTGTATTCTATCCAGATGAGAAACAATTCAGATCTTTTTTTTTTTTTTTTACTTGAGAGATGAGTACTTGATCATCAATCTTGAGGTTCTTGACAGATTCATTGAGTCGTTCAATATAGCCCATGTAGTCTTGGTATGCTTGTGAACTCAAAAACTCATCGAGATCTTGCTTAGTAATAATACGTCTAGTAGGAACAATGTAGGTCATAACAAACAAGAAAGAAAAGTGAAAGCAATGTCGCTTTTTGAAAAGTTTATTTTTATTATTTTTATTATTTTTATTATTATAATTTATGTTTCTCTGGTCCAATGTAATGCCATTTCTGATCCAAGATACTATAGATATTGTTATTATCGTATGGGTCTTCACCCGTTTTTTGTTGAAATAATTCAGCGTCTATCATTTCTACTTTCCCATCAAAATACAGTTTGATAAGGTGTAATCCCACGTTACGCACAACCACAGTCATCAAGTGTTTATGGTATTCTTTTTTGTTATCCATGGCTTGAACTATATCTTCAGGTGTCATGGGTTGTTTTGTTCTAAGCATGACATCTATGATCTGTTTTTCTTTGGCTATTCTCATAGATAAGTACTGGTCTACTTTATCAATCGCATCTTCTACTACTTGACCATGGCCAGGATACAGGCGACTAGGATTCAAACTTCTAATTCGATTTAAACTGCTCATGTATTCTGTAAGGTCTTCAAATGCAACAGATCCATGACCCAAGATACAATCCGCTGTGAACACAGTATCTTCTTCTTCAAGATAAAAGGCACAATGATCTTTAGCATGACCAGGTGTATGAATAACTCGGATATGGACCTGTTCATCTACAACAAATACTTGATTGTCTACTAAATCATGAGGGACAACAGAAGCTGGAAATGTGCCCATAAAGTACTTGAAGAGTTTGTTTTCAGCCAAAAAGGGGAATTTATGCACTTGAATCGTCTGTTGTTTGTTTAATTCGGATACCATAATGCTGTCTAAACCACCCCAATGATCTTTATGGCAATGACTGATAAGAATATCAGAGAGATATGCTTCAGGATGAATGGATTTAAGAGACTCAATTAAGAGTGGTACATAGTCAGGATGACCATCACCACAATCAATCAATACTTTGCGATTGCCAGTACCCACAAGATAAGTATTTGTTCCTTTTTTGTTTTTATTAGAAAAATGCAACATTATTAGATTTTTTGATTTTTTTTTTTTTTTTTACCTTGAAGGGTGAATTTTCCAGGATTCAGGCCCATGACTCGCCATACTCTATCAGATAATTGCGAAAAGTTGGGTAGAAAAGGAAGATCACTCCTTGGTCCAGAGGCCCATAAAGACATGTTTAAAAAAAAAGTAAAAGAAAAAAAAAGCGAGAGAAAAGAAATGACTAATCAAATCTCTAAAAGATATAAAAAAAGATAAAGGTAGTACAACCTCCAAACGTGCTATACCCCACACTTTATGTTTGATCATGCATAGTAAGAGCAGCAAATACTGTCAACTTTGCGAAAATCAAATGTTTAGAGAAAAAAAACAAATGCCGAGAGGAAATATGACGCTCTTTTGGTCAAGATGCTCCTAAAAAAAACCAAACAATAATCTCTATTAATCTTTATTAGGAAATTTACACAATAAGCATTTACAGTAATGTCTTTTTAGGTGAAGAAGTAGTGGAGGGTTTAGGGGAAAGAGGCAATCCCTTACGCTTCTTCAAAATGTTACTGATATAGAATTCACCGGCCTTATAACTTGATCGGACCAAAGGACCACTGGCAACATATTTGAACCCCATGTCCATACCCTTTGTTTCCCAATACTTAAATTTCTCGGGTGTAACGTATTCATGCACCTTCATATGTCTCTTTGTTGGTCTCATGTATTGACCAAGAGTAACGCAATCAACATCTGCCTTTCTAAGTTCTTCAAGTGCTTGTAAGACTTCCTCGTCTGTCTCGCCACAGCCCAACATAATAGAGGTTTTAGTGATCAATTCAGGCTTCACTTGCTTTGCATGCTTAAGTACATTGATCGATTGACGGAAGCCAGCACGGCGATCACGAACATAAGGTGTCAAGGCTTCAACGGTTTCAATATTGTGAGCATAGACATCTAGTCCAGATAAAGCAACTGTCTCTACGCCTTTGAGATCACCACCAAAGTCACCTGTCAAACATTCAACTAGGATATGAGGAGCCTTTTGTTTGATTTTGCGGATCGTCTCAGCAAAATGGCTTGAACCGCCGTCCTTGAGATCATCACGGTCAACACTGGTCAAGACAACATAGTCAAGGCCCCAACGACTGATAGCTTCCGAAGTATGCTCTGGTTCATGGGGGTCTAAAGGCTTAGGTACTCTGTTTGTCTTGACAGAACAAAAACGACAACCACGAGTACATTCGTCACCCATCAACATGATAGTAGCTGTAGCCGTTTGGTGTTCACCTCCACCCCAACAATCACCGATATTAGGGCATCTAGCTTCTTCGCAGACAGTATGGAGCTTCAAACCACGCAAGTCTTTCTTGATCTTGCTGAAGTTTTGACCTGAAGGGATGTCTGTCTTGAGCCATTCTGGTAAACGAGGTTGTTTTCTAGAACAAGTCAGTGACTCTCGTCTTCAATACAGACATTTATACTTACAATTTTGAAGTCTTTAGTTTTTTAGATTCAATCACTGTTTCTCTTAATTCTAAGGCTTCCAAGTGAGTCATTTTGTTTGCGGATCCAGTATTGATGAATTCGTCCAAATCATTTGTGTCTTCAGCTTGAAGTCGGCTACGCAAATCTTGAAGACGCGAAGTCTTTTTGTCTTTATCGGATACAGTTGTAGCATGTGTACGGATATGTTGCTGCGTCTATAAAGTACAGTTTAATATTGAACGACAATGACTAACGACTTATTTACAGCAGCAGCAATTGTTCTGGGATATGAATAAGCAACTCTAGTAGAAACTGTCTTCAAAAGTGACATGATAGTGAAAGTGAAAAGAAAAGAGAGAGAAAAAAAGAGAGAAGGGGGGAGGGTTTGTTTTAAAACAAATCTCAAGATATGTGACTGTCTCACCACCGAGCTCAAATCTGTGGCCTTTAAAGGCTCTTTTTGTAAAAAAAAAAAAAACCAGATTGGTGATGAATCATTTCAAAATTGGAGTTTTTTGGTTTAGTTGTTTCTAGTTGTAATTAAGCGCAGTAATTACATTGAAAGTACTTGTAAATCAAGTGAAGGGTTGAACACTGGGATTCTACAGAGAATTCTTCGCTCTTCACTATAGTTTCTATACGGCCAACAAATTTTTTCAGAGAACAATAGACTCGCTAGTAAGAAATACATGCTTTTTTTCAGGGTCCTTTAGATACTAATTATAGAGGAAGAAAAAGAGTTTTGAGAAATCATACTTTCTAAAAGTTAAAAAAACCCCATTTAACCAAAACATGTCGTTCCTGCAGTGTAAGAAGTAAAAAAGTAGGCGCCTGTGTATAGCCGCTTCAGGTATTAACAAAAAAAAAGGGGGAACAAACGTAGGTTGAATATTGTTTGAAGGGGTGAATAGGTCAGTCTTTCAGGACTAACTCTCAGACTCGAATGATATTGATTATCCTGTTTACGTATTTAAAGATACTCCGTTTTTTTTTCTTATGGTTTATTGTACCCTTATTCTTGGAGTAATATTTAGCCAATTCCGGATTTTGTAAGGAAGTGTGTATCTTTTTTTAAGAGAGTTATATATTTATTAATCATAAAAAGTGAACTTTACAGTAAGCTTTATAGTGAGCTTCACAGTGAGCTTTATAGCAATCGTAGGGATTATACCCCTTACTATGTAACGCATTATTGGGGGTGTATGTTTCAAAATAAGCAGGAACATAATTTTCATGGTAGAATGCGAGAAAGATCTACAAGGTGAAACACAATGAGGGATTTAATATTATGAAGACAAGTAAAGGTGTTATGTGTATTAAGAAAAGCTGACAAATCAGCCTTTCTCTTTTGGTTTTTATTAGTAATACAGTCATAAGCATAAAAGTCAGTCTACATTGAGCTTCTGTAGAATGGTATTGTGTTGAATGAAATGGAGAACGGGGGAATACATAATCGAGTCTATAAATGGGGTTTCTTTCTTCAGATAGTCTAAGGTTGGTATATACACGGTTTGTTGTTGTTAAATAAATATACAATGGTTGAATTTGGTTGGAATTTTATGATCGGTGATAAGGACAAGAATCATCGTGAGTAAATTGAGAGACATCAACACCACAACCAGGACAAAAGGAATAGTCGTTGATGAGCATGTTGTTTGATGAGACAAGAGAGCCACCACAGACAGATTGAAGTAATTGGTTAAAGTTCATGTTATATAATAAATAGAGAAGAAAAGAATAGAAAGTTCAAGAAAACAAAAGTTCAAGAAAACGTGGCATTTTATACTTCCACAAAAAGCTTAAATGTACTGCGGATAATTGAAACTCCTGTGCGGTTTGCTGCATGCATATTGCAATTACAATAACAATTAATCTGTACAAACACTATAATTAGCAGTTCCGTTCCGTTATCTTATAAGTTTATCCCCTTTCATTAAAGGATAAATTTTTTCTTCTTTTTAATAGAAATTTGCTGAGCAAATCGTTATAAATTTTTTTTTTGCTGTAACAATGTCATACACCAGTAAACTTGCTTCAAATCAATCCATAAATAGCTTATAGATCACAAAAATCTCAGCCTTAATATTATTGTAAAGATGATAGAAAGGGGGTAAAACGCCAAGGCAAGAGTTTATTGCATTGGCATCAAAGAACAAGCACATGTGGAACAAGTATTCACCTGACCATTGTATTTCAATTAAACCACCTTTTTTTGTTTGCAATTCCTTTTTGACTACGGTACCTGAAGGAAAATCAGGCGCAGTTGACTCAAAGGAGAAAAAGAGAGAATCACGACAATCAAAACAAAACCCTTGTTACAGAACAGCCTGTTCAGGAGCTACTACGGCTTCCAACAAAACGAAGTCTGCTAAATATAGAAACGAAATTGAACTGCAGACAGTGATACTTTTATATTTGAGACTATTCTTACGATCAAAAAGCTGTAATATGTAATTTGGCACCTCATAACTTGCTTTTGCAGAAAGAACTAATAAATTAAAGGTATTTTCTTTCCTTCTTGTTGTTCTTCTGGTTTGATTGACCTATTTTTTTCTCTTCTGTTTTACGACACTCAACAAAGCATTTTTTCTAGTTGTGCCTGAATGGATCCATTTTGCTTCCTAATATTGATCCAGTAACAATAACAACACCTTTTTTTAATTAAACTAATTGGTGTCAAATGAATAGCAGACGATCCAAACATATGGTTGATACTTTTTTTAAGCTCTGAAAACGGCAAATATACCTTTACACTGAAGATAATTTTTTTTTTTTGTTGCTGTTGTTGTCGAGTGCTTCCTTCTAATTTTGAATTCTTTCTAGGCAACAATTTTTTCTCCAGACAAAGCCTTAAAGTCATGCTTTGGGATACTCATGAACCTTTTACCTATATGGTATAGTACTATATCATCAGCGAAAATTTTTACAAAGTACGTATATACTCGCACCACTTGTTTATATGAAATATCACTTTGAGCTTCTAAATGTATTGTGTGAAAGTGTACTTTTACACATTAGCGATTACCTTTAGCATAGCCATAAATTTCGACATTTTTTTTTACAATTTTGCTTTACTTTTGATATCAAAAAAGCAAGTAGTCTCTAGTAAAACAACGTCTAGATACTCAATGAATGCCGAGTAAACAATACTATCTGCACTATGCATTTGATGATTGTTTACTTTCTTGTCAATTTCTATTAACTGATAGTATACTTTTCACGAATAAGTCTTCCTTGTTCATGTATTGTAAATAAAACAATTTTCGAAATATTATTGCTCAAATACAGTGCTCCCAAAAAGATGAACGCATTAGAATAGATGAAGTGTCTTTCTTTTATTTATATGAAAGTACTATATATATCCAAGCGTTGCTCAAGATAGAATGGATGAAGATGTTCACCTTGTAATGGTCGTCTTACATTTATGATTAGTATGGCTAAGTAACAGCATCACTAATAAGCCTATGATGATGTTACTGACAACTAGTGTAAGCAAGCTCGGAGCAGTTTGATACTTTTCATGAAGGCATCAATTGCAAATGCGAGATATGTGCCTCGTCTTGTTTTGGTCTCATTTATCTGAATAAATTATTTACTTTTTCTTACATAGCAGACCAGCTGTGAAAAGAGGTTTTAGTGTTCTTGCACTTGGTGATAAAGCCAATGTAAAAGATTAGGAATCGAACAAGCCAAATTCGTCGATGAGCAACAAAAAAAACAAGTGTAAAATTCTCTACATTGTTTTTCATCTGAAGTGATATAGTGTTTATTTACTGAATGAACAAATATTACTGGTATTATATAAGAGTTTGATAAGCAACTACTATTTTGGGAGATATATCTTTATTTTAAGCATTTTCATTGGTCCGGATAAATAGTTTTAAATTTAGTACATATATTTTATTTTTTACCAGCTTACAGTCGACGAAACTAGTTTGGGCCAATAAAAGAAAATTTGGTCATTTCCAAATTAAATTGGGACAGAGATGTGAAAATGGGACAACAATGTTAGAATCCTTAAGCCTTCGCTACTTAAAGTTTAGGCACCATATTCGAGGTGGCGCTTTGTCGGGTGAACATGGTAGGGTGTCCTTGGCCGTTCCAAATAGATTGAGCGATTGTGAACATATTCTTAGAAGACATAACGTCTCGATTCCAAAAAATATTGCAGTTTTGCAAACTAATACTTGATTAATATTCCGTTTTTCGATACCACTTCCTTGCGTAATATGCTCCAATTTATTTTCAAGGCACGAGTTGCAAGTCTTTATAATACAGAAGTGTCAATATTCAAATTATGGCCAAGTAAACATTATACACCTTGGATGTCTTATACTCGTCTATATCCAGAAGTAACAACTCTCCGTGTTTTTCACGAATTCTTAACTGTCTGTACAACTTTTCAATGACACCATAACGTAAACCTTTAAACTTAGCATGCGACTTGTTTTTCAAACCATCTCTGTTGTGAACATATAGAATCTATATGCATATGATGATCTGACATTAAATAAGTCTTCAATTACATACTAAAATATATCATAATCAATTTACATCAGAAATAGACATAAAAAAACCTCTTGTGCTGAATAAGACAATAGATCTTTTAATAGATCAAGACTCATAACTGAAATCCATAATTTACATTATTTAGTTAATTTAAAGTAGTCTATGATAATAGAGACTCAGTCATTTGCATGAACTCTACGACTACTTACTCCGACATCTCTTCATGTATAAATACCTAGAGAATGAAGAGCTAGAAAAAGATATATATATTTTTGGGATAATAAACCTATACAAGTTCTAATCGACTTCTTTGTTTTTATCTTCTCTCTTACATCACAACAATCTCCAAAAACAATCAATGGCATTTTACTTTGATCACCTTCTTCAAACTTTTCCTTATGTGCCCTTCATTTAAATTATCAAGAATATTGCTTTAAGGAGAAGAATATAAGAAACATGTGCTATACCTTGACCTCATTCCCCCTGTATTTGGTGGATAATTATCATGATGACCGTGTTGATAACTGCTTGATGTCTTGCATCTCTTCCGTTTATTCTTTTTGGTGTTCTTTCTTTTCCTTGTTATATTTTTTTGCCCATTGATGAGAATGTTGACTGCATTTTCAATTGCTTATTGAGAGCCTTTGTAGTTGCACCATTTGGTTTTAGCAGTGTTAAAGCCGTAAAAATTTGCTAACGCTCGAAAATGTTGCAGAGCATACATAACATATTCTGTATAATGTTGGAGTTTTGCAGTTTTGGGTGAGGGAAAGTGGGTTTCAATCTGCTCTATATCCAACCTTTTCTTTCTATCTTGCTCTAGCTTTTTTCGGTTGACAGTGCCATTCATGTTGTAATACTCGGCAGTCGACAAACGCCTCAAATCGTTTTTATCATGATAGGATACAAAGATATCAGACCTATTTGTATCGACAGTGCAAGGACGAAAGTAACAATCAACCTCTTCACTAGCGAAATCATCTACCTTCAGGGATACTTTATCATTGGGTGATATGGAGTGAACCTTGTTGTGATGTAAGAGAGAAGATAAAAACAAAGAAGTCGATTAGAACTTGTATAGGTTTATTATCCCAAAAATATATATATCTTTTTCTAGCTCTTCATTCTCTAGGTATTTATACATGAAGAGATGTCGGAGTAAGTAGTCGTAGAGTTCATGCAAATGACTGAGTCTCTATTATCATAGACTACTTTAAATTAACTAAATAATGTAAATTATGGATTTCAGTTATGAGTCTTGATCTATTAAAAGATCTATTGTCTTATTCAGCACAAGAGGTTTTTTTATGTCTATTTCTGATGTAAATTGATTATGATATATTTTAGTATGTAATTGAAGACTTATTTAATGTCAGATCATCATATGCATATAGATTCTATATGTTCACAACAATGAGGAATCTTCGAGATGTCCAAAAAGTAAGCATTAGGTGCCAAGGAATGGCGCTAAATTCTTGTTTGAATTTCAGTCGGTTTATTGGTGGATACTGCGGTTGCTACAGTGGCTACTGGATTCATAAGAGAGTGCTGGGTAGTCGGTCGACGAGACAAAGGTATGGCTCGCTTAGCGATAGCAGCAAAGGTTGGTTTGGTGGTTGGATTTGGCTGGTTAGTGGACTCCGCCCTGGAGTGTAACGTATCGTTATCGGGAAGAACCATGTGTGAATATAAAGTAAGCATTGTATAATGACAGTAAATAACGGTAACTGGGATAATATGGATATTTACAAATAAGGAAACCATGATTATACCCTTTTAGGCAACAAGGAGAATTAAAGGATGTTGTGAACATATATGAATTCATATGCATAGATCAATAAATAATGATCATGGCAAAAGACCAGATCACATCTATGGCAATTGCAATGGATCTATAGTCACTGACATTCACTCATTCTACTAGAAGTACTACATCATCTTCATAGACAGAGATTATGAACCTAGTGACTCTGTTATTATCAATGGCCCTCATAAAGTGACAGTTAGGGCTAACAAATACACTAGTATTGGCATTTGACAAATATGTAATAGTTTATTCAAGTTCAGGTCAGATCATGTACTGTTGGCTGAGCTGACAACTTCCTCTAAAGGCATTTCTCTTAATTGCTCCTGATCTAACAGATCAATCCGTATTCAAGAAGCTAACCCCAAAACAATAGTTTGACCGAGAAGAAAAAGTATAAATACCTTGACATTCTATAGCAATTGAAAGATAACATTTCTTGGAGAAATAAAAACCTATACAAGTTCTAACGGACTTTCTCTGTGTTCTTACCTTTTCTCTTATTGAATATCTACTCTCTCTTCATCTCACAACAAAGGAGAATTTACATAGTCAACTCCCAGGCACAAGCTTTCAAAGTGTTAAGTAATCAATAATCAGTAATCACAATTAGTCAATAAATCAGGTAGTATAAAAGACAACCTGGAAAAGATGTATTTTAGAGGATAATTAATCACTTTTGTAATAAAGAAGTACTGAACAGTCTCACTGTATTTCTTTGTTTTCTTTTTATTCTATTCTATTTTCATTTGACAACCCAAACATCACAATAGCTATATATATATATATATATTAGTAAGATTCTTAAAAGGAAAATAAAGCGGCTCTTTGGAGCATTTTACCACATTTCGCGACTTCACTTCGTTAACATTCGTATTAATTTAAACATTATGAAAATATGAAGTTTCAATCCTAAATACAACATATAATGATTTACATAAAAAAAAATCTATAATTATTTGGTAAAATCAATGAGTATGCATCGAAGCATATTTTCTGTATTGTATTGTTCATTTTCTGTGCAAAATATTGCGTTTACCCGGCCAGGTATATAAAACCATTCATCCATTCGCTGTTTCCTTGATTATAATTTAATAGTCATTAATTAGTACCTACTAAATTAACTATCAAAAGTTGAGCCTAACATCATAAATGCATCCAAAGACTCCGGAAAGATAATTAATATCTTTTCTTCAGCATCTACTTATATATGTATATCATATTCAATTTATTTAGATTTTTATTTGTCAATGAAAAATATAAATGCATTTTTTTATATTAATATCTATATTGCACATAATCATACTAGCTTACATATAATACTTTGTTTTGTAGATACTGATTGTTTTTCTAGCCCTCAATGCATTCACTGTCCTTACTTCCGTCACAATACCATTGACACACTTGACCATTTCACATATATCGATCCTTCTCTTACCGCTCCTTCAATTCACCTCTTACGGCAACTCCTCAATCTCCATACCACCATCAGTCGCTCCAGTCATGCTGCATTCCCAACCCTATCCACACAACAAATCTGCGCTAGCACATTGGAAGGTCTATAGTCCAGCTATTGGCGTTCGGTTTTTGATTCCATACCCTTCACCTTTTCTACTGTACTCTTTATAGTCAAACGCCTGTTGACTAAACAATCCGATGAAAAAGAACTAATACTTTTTGACTGAAATCACTTTCCTTGCTAGTCAAACTTATGCACCTTTCCTCTCCCTTTCTTATTGCACATCATACCCCTCCAGTCTCAATTATCACTCATTATGACATCTTTAGGACTTTAAATAAAACAGGAACATAGTTCCCTTACAAAAAAAATCGTGGTAAAGGCTGGTCTAATGGGAGGTTACAATTGCGAAAGAAAGTTCCTGGTTGATCCTCTATTGGTTCTAAATTTATTTTCAGTATGGTGACTATATCACCAATGTTTATGTCTGTAGCAATTTCTGCCAAATTACTGTGGAATTTATTGAGAGGCAAAACAGGCGGGTAACATTGCATAGATATTTCGAGTAGTCTAGGTTATGAAGGAGCATGATAGAACATCCTACTTTTAGCTTGAACCAATTTGGTGGAATAATCTTCGATAGGATACTGGTCGGAAAAGGAATACTGAAATCAAGGCTTGAAAATTAGATCAGATTTGTTTACTTAAAAAAGCATATGATCGTTTTGGTACTTTTTTTATTAAATAGTTAGAGTTATATACATATTTCAATAAAAAAAGCTACATGTCGAACTTTCTTTTTTCTTCACTTTTTTACAGAAGAACAAGATAGTAAAAGACTTTTCTTGCAGTCTTATTTGAATTTGTTGTCTACGTGAAACAAACATAAGCATACAATATCTGAGCCAAAACTAAGAAGTGATGATAAACTATGCATAATAATGATTCTTACTTCTTCCTCTGAAGCTACAAAGTAGCGAACAAAGAATCAATGTGGCACACACCATCAAATTTATGCATAAAGCGAGATGTGGCTTTCCATCGTTACTTTGTTCAAACTCAGGCGCCGTTTGCTAAAGTGGCGACTTCCCCCCCTCCCCTCTTTTTTTGTGTTTTTCTTTTTTATACTAAAGTATCGGCTGTATGGGTTTATTTCGGTCAAAAGGGTATATTAAAGAACAAAACGACGAGGAAACAGAGCCACTTCATCATGGCGAAACAATAGAGATGACCGAACCCAGTCGAGTTTCCAGAGATATGCCCACACACCCAGACCACCCACTCTATCGTAAAATAGGTCAAATTGCTGAAGAAGGGTGGACTTCAGTGACTAATTTTGTTGTTCACCCACGCTCTTCAACACATATTGAAGTAGAAGACCCAGCACCGTCTATGCCAGATATAGCAAATGAATTAAAACGAAAGCTTTATCTATTGTTGGAAGAGCCAGCCAGTAGTCAAGCTGCTTTTTGGACAAATATAATTGTTTCGTTCCTGATTGTTTTTAGTGCTGTCACAACAACCATCGAAACGATTCCCTCATTTCGTTCTGCAAAAAGCAATCGTGTTTGGTATGAAATCTACTTAGAATAGTGCATTATCTAATGCCTTCTTGTTTTCTAGGTTTCATTTAGAATCAACGATGGTAGCATTATTTACTCTGGAATATCTACTAAGAATGTTTGCTCATTCAGACTCTTTGCGCATGTTGAAGCGATTCTTTTTGTGTAAGTAAATGCGAGATATGGACTACATGTTGATTTTATATAAATACAAAACAAAGCACCACTGTCTATTATTGATTTCATTTCGATTATTCCATTTTACATTGAGGTTATTGCTCAACATGATACAGTAAGTTGTGTGTAGAATGACTATCAAAATTGAATTTTGGGAATAGACATACGAATTTAGATTTACTATCTTAAGATTGTTTCGATTGTTGAGACTATTTAAGTCTTACAAATACTCGAATGCAATTGTAATGACAATTGAAGTTATGATGATGGCCTTTAGACGATCAGGGGATGCCCTGTCTGCCTTATTCTTTTTCACTGTCACTTGTGTTGTCTTGTTCTCAACATTGTTGTATTTTGCAGAACGTGGTATTTGGGATGAGACACTCGAGACATTTGTCGATTCTCAAGGATCCCCAAGGTAGAGTTGAATAGACAAAAACCTATATTCACCCTCTTGTGTATAGTTCATTTGACAGCATCCCTGCTGCATTCTGGTTTGTGTTGGTAACAATCACAACTACTGGCTATGGCGACATGGTGCCAACAACTTTTATTGGTAAATTAATCACTTTTCCAGCAATGATCTTTGGTGTTTTGGTAAGCCAATTGACTTATTGTGTCTGCATAGCCTAATAAGAAACACATAGTTGATTGCATTACCTTCTATTATTGTTGGAAGAAACTTTACTGTGGTTTGGGAAGGTATGAGAAGAAGACAGTTTTCTTCTCGGTTCTCAAATCCTATGGGTGGGGATGATATACTTATGCCACCCCAAAACAATGCTAGACAGAGCAGCCAAACTATGCCTCATCCTACCACTAATTTTGGCATTTTACCCAATCCCAATGAAGCAGAAATTTTAACACAAATAGAAGCCTTGATGACACTCACCTTAAAAAATCAAGCGGCCATTAATAGAATTGTCAGTGTGCTGGAGAAACAAGGCACAATGTCTTCCAAGACAGAAGAACAGAAAGATGACTATATTCCAACACACAAAGGAAAAGAGCCTTTATTAAAGAAAGACAACAATCCATTTGATGAATAAGTTTCTTTTTTTATCATTATAATTACTGTAATAGACTTTAGTAATCTAATCATAAAAAAAATAAAAAAGTGTATATATATGGGGTGTCTATCATCTATAATACAAGAACAATAATCTTAACGAGATCTAGGCGAATGATCAGATACACTAAAGCATGTATGATAGTGTCTCCAGCCATTTGGAAGTTCTCCATCATGGCAAAGTTCAACTGTTTGTATCCATTTTGATTCCAAGACTTGATCAGCTGTCCACCGTGTGTCTGGATTTGGATCTAACATGCCTGCCAAACATTCCTTTTCATCGTCCGAAAGATGATCCTTACCACTCAAATTGTCCCATAAGTCACACGCAAAAGCACCCAACTTGGCTCGTTGCTCAGCATACAAACCATAGTCTCTATCACCTCCATCAGCCGCTTGAGCAGCAATTGCAGCAGGCGAGTTAGGTTTAGCATCGGGAAGGGGACTAGCATTTGGTCTTCCTGTATAAAATGCAACAGCAAAAGGTAATTGTTGAAATCGAATACAGATAAAAGTGACCGCTGCACTCCAAACATCAAAAGCTTGACCATTATAGCCGTCTTCTTGACTTTTTAATGACCAAATCTCAGGAGACCAAAAGGGCTCTGAACCACACCATTTGCGAGAGACATGTGGTTCTTTTTCAAAGCATGTCTGGACTACATCGGCAACACCAAAATCAGCAATTTTAAGTGTGCCACCCTTTGTCAAGACGAGATTTTCCGGTTTAATGTCACGATGAGCAATGCCCAAATGATGTAAATGTTGTAAGCCTAGCATAAGTTGTTTGAATAAGCAAGCTGATTCCATTATAGGCATCGATGATTTTTCTGATAACAAACTAAACAAATCACCACCATCACACTAAAAGGAATGTTAGATATAAAAACACGAGCCAACAATCGCTTACATATTCCATGACTGTACACCAGCGGTCATGTTCGTCTACGACTAAATCCATTGTTTCAACTATATTTGGATGTCCACTGACAGTCTTGCTGATACAATATTCATTGTGCATACGTTTGAGGTAGTCTTTTTCATCTTCATTCCTGTCCTTTTTCATGAATTCTTTTACAGCCAAGATGCGTCCTCCTTTCGGCGATTGAACCAAACGTATCACAGCTGTCGCACCACTGGCAATGTTTTTCTTGTTGGTTGCTCCTGATGATTTGGAGTTGGACTTTTTGTTTGATTTGACATAGTCGCCATATTTTTCATTTAAGCGAGGCACATTAGCATAAGGTGATGAAAGTTCTGAATGATGATGGTGATGATGCAAATGTTTTTTTGTCCAAGAACTTGGACTTGCAATGAAACTTCCAATCGATCTGCTTAGTTTGTTTTGATGAGAAGAATGCTTGCTAGCAGAGCCTACAGATTGGTTTGACTCTACACTGTGATAGCTCTGAGCATCGCTACTGTCTCTACGTCTACTGACATAAAGGTTTTCTGCTGTATTTTCGACAGGCGTCATTTTTAAATTGGATCGAGAGCTGGAAGGGGAAAAAAATGAACTAAATCGAGTAGGCTTTTTTAAGATAGGAATAGATTTTAATAAGGAAGAGTCAGTTGAGCTTGATCTGGTTGTGCTATTTGAAGCAGAAGGCTGCGGATAAAAACCGTTTAGCATAGGCTCAGGCGATATTGATCGAGGCATCATTTGTTCTTTTACTGACATTATAAGTGAAGAGAAAGAAAGAAAGAAATAGAAAAAAGATCCTTATTTGAACAATGAGTTGCGGGTAATAGTTTGAAACTATCCGCTTCTCAAGGTGTGGTGTATTAGCTAATGTCCAATTAGGTCAGATTATATTTTTTATTGGATGGTTCTAACGTCATTTTTTTGCGATGTACATTAAAAGTTAAAGCCATTCTTTGTTTACAGTGATATAAGTTTGTCACACAACTCCCCTGACCAAAAAAGTTGATTAGCCAATAATAAAATAAAGAAGTTGACATAGATGTTTATCATTTTACATAGGAAGCCGTTACTGATTTATTGCTTTTCTGGAATAACCTCCTTAATCACCTTACAGGGATTTCCAGCAGCTAATACGTTGGCAGGAATATTTTTCGTGACAACAGCTCCTGCGCCAATGGTTGTGCCTTCACCAATATTAACACCAGGAAGAATAATAGCACCTCCACCAATCCAAACATTATCACCAATAACCACGTCTTTGCCCTGTTCAACACCTGTCTTTCTTAAAGTAGGGTCTAGTGGGTGATTCACTGCATAAATATGAACACCGGGTCCCATAAACACGTTATTGCCGACCTTGATTTTGCCTACATCCAAAAAGATGCAATCATAATTCATTTCAATATCATTGCCAAAAAAGATATTGTAGCCGTAGTCGCATCTGAAGCCGTAATTAACAAAATTGCCATCACCAAAAGATCCAAACAGTTGACGTGCAATTGCAGTACGATCTGGGCCTTGAGGTGTATTATTGAATTCTTTTAAAAGCTCTTGGCAGCGTCTTCTGTCATCTGCAAGCTCTTTATAGCCTGCATGATACCATTCGCCTGAAAGCATTTTGTCTTTTTCTGTCTTTTCGGTACTCATGTGGATAACAAAGTAAAATGAAAGAATAAAAGTATCCAAAAAAATAACACTATAAATACACCTAGGAAAAATAGAAATCAAAGAAAGCATATACTTGTACTACATTCAACAGATTTTGAACACGTATTTATTAGTTTTGAACGCCAATGTCTTCTCTCATGAAAGCCTCTGAAGAAGGTTCTCTTTCAAGGAAATCAATCAACAAGTCCATGCCATCCCTAATTGTCATTGTCAGTGCTGCCTTCACAAATCAAACGGAGTACTACTTACTTGCTGCTACCCTTTTCCAAAATCTTCTTTCTGTAAGAGAAACCGACTTCAGGGGAAAGCGTATCCTTTTCGAATTTGCTAAAGAACATGTCGCTAGAAAAGACCTTGGACCACATGTAGCCATAATAACCTTTCAAAAGTGTATTAGTACTCCGCTTATTCTTCTCCTTTTGAACTTACCGGCGTCATAACCACCCATCAAATGACTAGAATGTAAACAAGTTAGATAGTGGTAGAAAATAAACAAGTCTAACATACCCAAATGCAGCTTGGCCACAGGATCCTTCAGGAGCAGGAACCAAAGATATTTTAGCACGGAGGTCATTATAGACCTTAGTTGTATCAATACTTTCGTCTGAAGATTGATCAGCATATACAGTACGTCTTTCATACACTTACCGTCTGATGTATGGATAGTCATATCGAAGATACCAAAGAAAAGTTGACGAAGATTGAGCATGGCAGCATCGGCATTCTTTGCCTTGACAATTTTGTCGATAATTTCATCCGAAATGGGTTCATCAGTTTGAAAGTGAGCAGTGAGGTACTTGAGGGATTTAGGATCATAACACCAGTTTTCAAGCATCTATGACAGCTTATGAGATTTATATTTAATGATGCTTGAAAGACTTACCTGAGAAGGAGCTTCTACAAAGTCACCTTCAACAGAAGTACCGTGGAATCTGGCGTATTTAGTGCGAGAACAGAGATGATGCATAACATGACCCTAAAAAAAAGGAACAATCAGTACTCATGATATGTAAACGAAGGTAGATAACTTACAAGTTCATGGAACAAAGTGACTACTTCATCGTGCTTTAACAACGAAGGCTTATCAGCAGTACTAGTAAAAAGGCATTTAGAAAAAAAATTGATCTTTATACTTACGGCTTGGTGAAGTTGGCAACCATAGCAGCAATAGGAGCAACACGCTCGTTATTCTCGGCAATATAGGAAGGTTGGAGAGGGAAACAAGCAGCATGGGGGTCTAGCATTAACTCTATAAGCTTTCATCGCAGTTAATGAACAAATACTTACACTTGTTGTCACGAGGAAACAAGTCGAGATACATATAGCCAGAGAAGCTCTTGTCTTCGACAGCATCCCAACATTCGAACAATTGAACATCAGGGTGCCATACAACAGCCTTTTCAGCAGGAACTCTGGCAAACTTTAAACCTAGCACTTTCTCATAGATATCCAACATTTCTGTGTGAAGGGTGAGTCGATCGTTCCAATATACTGAACCATTTACTTACTTTGGATGGTTTTTTCAAGACTAAAGTATTTCTTGATTTCTTCTTGATCAACAGAGTATTCGTTTTCAAGATGAATACGTTGATAGTAGCTAGTGTCCCAAGCATTAAGTTTGCCGTCATAGTCCTCTCCACGAGAAGCTAGTTCATTAAGCTAAGCTAGGTATTCTATTGTGATTGATTTACCTTTTTCAGCCTATCTAAAGTTAATAACAGCTATTTTCTTTTGGGTATTAAGCACATGTTTACCTTCTTGAGTTCCTTCAATGCTTCAATCTCTTTTAATCCAGGAGCATGCAGCTTGTCAGCCAAATCATTCAAGAACTGATAGAACAAATTAAAAAAAAAAAAACTTTATTTTGTTTGACTTACTTTTTCAACAGCATCAACAGTCTTGGCCATCTTTACTTCGAGAACATAATCCGCATGAGACTTATAGCCCAAGATCTATGTAAGCCAGTGTTAGATGATGATATCTATTTTATGACTTTGCTTACTTTGGCGGCCTTGCGACGTAGTTTGAGAGCCTACAGAATAAAAGTGAGTAATCTAAAATTACCATTCTAAGAATATTTTACTTCTTCAAGAAGAGCAATGTTTTCCTTATTTCGAGATTCGTACGCGGTAGAATGGACCTTACGGGTATTCTCATTCTTACACAACTTGAGGACTATGCAAATACCATAAATGAACTACTCTTTCTAAAAGTGGGAATATATTACATACCAGGACGAATATCTAAACGGAGTCATAAAAAAAAGGGAAGAGACATTTAGCATTGTATGCATTATGTAGGTTTTTCTTTACCAGGATATCTATTATCAAACGATGAATAAAGATGCTATGTAAAGCATGCAACTTACTTCATTGTCAAGATGTATTTAGTAACACCATTTTCTTCTTCAGTCTTTAATCCGTCTAAAGTATTTATGAGGAATAATGACAACAACAAAAAAATAAACTCACTCAAGAAGTCATCATCAAGTCCATCTAACTCTTCCTATAGAATGATTAATAATGCTAATAGGATTAAGATAGGTACCTTGGTAAATTTGACAGCTAAAGTCCAAAATGAAATAAGTATCTCAAATAGCACTGCTTAGATTGTAACTTACTGCTGCTTTCACGAGCCCAGTTCTTATTGAATTCAATACAAGTTTCACTAAGTCGTTTACGAAGTTCCTTGAATTCGTTACGCTTTTCTTCAGGAAGATGAAGACCATTACGACGATACATTCTTTGCATCTTTTTCAAGAAGCGTGCATCTTCATAAGCCAAGCTTTCCAAATCAGTCTTGTCAATGTAGCTTGAAATAACAGTATAGAGATCGTGACGCATACTTTGATCAATACTGAATTGATCATACTTAGTTTCAGCAACAACAGAAGCTTCACGAACAGCAGCGTCAGGGGATATTTGACTCAAAGAACTCACGAGTTGAGCTTTGCCTACCATTTGTTTAGTCCACAGGTTAATCTGATGTCTCTTTACAAACCTGCCAATTTGTTTTCCATATTGACCAAACGAACAACGATATTTTCATATGTTTGTTCTTCAGGTTTCAAGGCAGAAATTTCATCATTGGTAGCAAGTTCTTCGGCAATAATTTCATTTGTAATTTGCTCTACTTGTTCAGCATTGATAGAGAAATCAAGGGAAGGAGGAGGAGCCACTTGGGTCATAGTGTTTGAATAGAGAAAAGAAAGGATCAATTAGAAAACGCGTCGTTATTTATCTTCACACATTATTTAAATTGCGATTGAATCCATTCTAATCGTCAAAGCTTAAACCATTACACAAATGTCACACCCTTTATAGTGTTATTGATCCTTTTCTTTAACAAAAGACAGTCTTGTTAGAGGTCAATGATAACAAGCATTTATTACTTGAACACTAAGGTCGATTTCTGAATTACTTATTTTGGTAACTTCATACTAGAATAGAAAGACTGCTGATCCATTGAATGGTAACTTGTATAAAAACAACCAATCACTCTGATTACATAATTATTCTCAAGAAATTGTAACAGACTATGCACATATGCTTATCTTTAGCTTTGCTTACAATAACTATATGAGGTTTATTCTGTTGCCTCAGTATAGAAAAAGCTTTGTTACAAACATATTTCTGTATGCTAAAAAAAAGAAAAGCTTTTTTTAATATTATTTTTAGTTCCATACTTTCTTTTTCTTTTTCTTTTTTTTTTTGTATGAAGTTATAGATGGACTTCGAGGCGAATCCCCTGGTCAGGAATAATAGTAGTAGAATAGTGTTATACTGATTTACTTATAGCGCTTGGGTCGTCCCCATTCCAATACAATAGAAGGTTAAATCGTTGAATCTAATAAAAAAAAGCGACATTGACATTATGTTCTATAGGTACAAAAGAAAGGAGGTCTAGTCTATATGAAACTCCTTGCCAAATAGATATTAAGGTAATGATGAACATAAAGTAGTGAGCCCTATATTGATTATGACCATAGCCAAATTCTTCCATATCAACACCATTATCCAACCGACAATCAATTGATGCAACTGAAAGACTCGAGTTTTTAAGGGAAATGCAACAAGCACGGGAAGAACTAGCTGAATTTCGAAAAAATGTAGCCGATCTGGCTAAACAAATGGATACTATCACACAGGATTTAGTGAGTCTATACAATCATACCAAGTGGCTCATCGACTTCTATTTTATATAGGCACAGTCTGGAGATAGAGTGTGTAAGTGATATCATTGGAAAGGCTTACCTGTATTCACTACTGAATAATAGCTGAAATTGAGCAAAATTTAACTGCAACAGAAGAATTGAATGTCAATCTTCAAGTGCTATTAGAGAAAGCAGTGAAATCCCAAAAAGAATCTGACGTGTTTGCTAATCAAGCCATTAAGAATATGTGTTCTGATCTTGCACTTGTTGTTTATGAAAATAATCAAATTCAAGGTAGACTAGCATCACTTGAAAATAATCAACAACAACAAAAGGGCAGCGTACATGATATGATTAAACGAATGCAAGAATATACACATATGCTTGAACAAGCTCAAAATACAATTCATATGCTGCAGGAACCCCATTTTGTCACTAAGTCACCTTCTGTTGTATTTCCCAGTAATGAGTCTATCAGCACCTCGAGAAGAACCAGTGTAGCATCTCTTTATGATGATGATAATCAGTCTGCCACTTCCTCTTCTACTATCACTACCATTCCAAAACCATTAGGGTGTACTTATGTTCAATCCCCACCCCTTGGACCTCACTTCACTTCTTTTAAACCACAACAAGGTATTCGCATGCTATTCGACCATGCTTACCAAGCATCTTTATCATGTAACAAACACGAATAATTTAATATAATATTTATTTAAAGTGGGGTTTAACTTCAGATATTTTCTTTTTTTCTCTTTTCTCTTTTTTTTCTCTCGAAACAATATGGCAATTTATTACGTTCTTACATTCGGTATTTTGGTCACTGAAGTAAGCTTATTTGTATTATTTATTTGTGTATTAAAAATGTAGTAGATGATCTTATTTGGCCTTTTAGTGGCAAGTATATAGATACACACTTACAATGGAAATGTTGGCTTATAAGCTTATTTTAGCTTCCTTTACCTTCCCGTTGGCGTCACCTTTCACTTAAATTTATCTCAACTTCGCCTGCTGTAAATAAGATTATGGCATTCAGTAGATAGGCTAATATACTCTCTATTAGATGGCCAAGGCTATGTACGTCTTAAAGATTGTATTTGGGTAAGGCTTTAAAACGCGTAAAAATCGAGTCATTCACATCTTTTGTATAGATTTATTTTCATCCTTTTTATTGGTAACGAAAAAGAAAAAAGGAAGGTTTTATCTAATACATCAGTTTAGATACCATCAATCGTCTTCAACGTATTGAGTCTGAGGTGGAAGGAGAACAACACCACCATGATTATTCTTATGAGACCAGCATTAAAGCTAAAAGATTTTATGCTCAGCGTAACCTTTACTTGACTGGCTTTACCTTATTTTTATCCTTGTGAGTCTAGACCAAGGATTTTCACTGTGCTTATTCTTTTTCTAGGATCTTGGAAAGAACAAGTGCTCTTGTCTTGGAATTATTACAACGTGAAGAAGATTTGAAAAAGGCCAAGACCGAAACAACTGAAATTACTAAAGGTCAACAACGTTTGATTAACATGGAAGACGACTACAAGAAACAGATTGATGTATTGCAGGTTCAAATCAAGGAATTGAAGCGACAAAAATTAGACTATGAAACTCTGAAGAAACAAGCAGATCAACAACAGAAAGAATATTCCAGATTGGCTGATGAACACAACCAACTTAGTCAATCCAACGAAGCTAAAAAAGACAAATAGTTTCCCTTTATTATTAAAAATGAAAAGAGAATTGTTGGCCTTGTCCACCAAAATGAAATCCTCCTGCACCACCAAAATGAGCAAAAGGATTACCATTGTGTTGATGTCCCCAAGGGTTGTGATGATGTTGTTGTTGGTTAGATTCAGGGTCATAAGGATCAAAGCCATTATCAAATTGCTCTCGTTTTTCAGGATCACTGAGTACTTCATAAGCCTGATTAATATCTGCCATTTTACTTTCTACTTGGCTTTTGTCTAATTCGCCAGAGTATTTATCAGGGTGCCATTCGTGTGCCTTTTTACGGTATGCTTTTTTAATGGATCGACTATCAGCGTCTCTAGGAATGTCTATATAAAATATGAATATGCTTTCTGATTGAGCCATCTTTGTGTTTACCTAAAATTTTGTAATAATCTCTCTTTTTACTTTGCTTTAATAGTTGTTGTGCACGCTGTAGCAGTTGTCTAATTTGATGGTCTTGTTGTCCACTTGCTTCAAATGCTTTCTCTAAATCTCGCACAGCACCTTCAAAGTCATTATCATTTAGCTTCATTTCACCTAGTTGCTTCAGGGCATCTTTGTTGTCGGGATCTAATTCTAAGGTAGCTTGACACCATTTATTGGCTTTATCTGTATCTTTGTTTTCTGAGGCAATAGCACATGCTAAAGAGAAGATCTTAAGATGAAGATACTTGGGTAAGCTAGCGGCATTCATTTCTTGAAGAATGGCTTGATAGGGTGCATCAATATCATTCACAATACCAGGCTTAGATCTAGTACCTATCAAGGCATTCATGGCAGTGGCAAATCGTTTTTGACTCTGGGCATCTGTACTCTTCTTGATTTCCTTTTCAATACGTTTGATCAGTCTAAAAAGAGATTTACAGGCACGATCTTCAGGGTCATAGTGGATGCATTGTTTGACTTGAGTCAATGCTCTATCAGGCTCATAAAGTGAAAAGTAGTTGAGGGATGCCAAGTTGTACAAGAGTTGTTTGTCAGAAGGGTTTAGATGTGCTACACGACTATAAACAGATGAGTTGATCAATATAGGTATAAGTCTACTTTACGTGAAATCATTGGCTGCTTCTTCAATCTCATTCTTTCCAATATGACACTTGGCACGAACAAGTCGCCATTGAGGTCTTTGAGGAGCCACACGAATCACTTCAGTCATATGTTGAATACACTGTTCATACTGTCTATCCTCAAAAGCTGTTTGACCCAACACACTTTGTGATTCAGCAAATTCCACAGAATCAAGCTAAACTTAAGTTAGGAATTGGTATTTGGATCTATTGACTTACTAAAGCCTTGACTTGTGGGTCGGATTGATTGTCTTTATGTTCTAGCAAGTCTTTTTTAGCAAGTGAAAATTCACCATCAGCAGCATAGAGTTTGGCACGCTGTAAAAGTGCCTTCTCAAAGCCAGGCTTCAAGTTTAAAATGGTTGAAAAGTCATCAATAGCTGCACTCGTTCTACCGAGTGATAAATAAGCAGTGGCTCTTTTATAGTATGAGATATAGTCGGATGGTCTTTGTTCTAATGCTATCATTAGCATTGTTATCTTTATTGTTTATTACTTACGAATAGCAGCATCAAAACTCATGAGAGCATCGTTTAATTTGCCAGTAGTTAAATATTGGTTTCCTTCTGCCAAATACTGCTCTGCAGTTTTTTCGGCAAAGGAAGAATGAAAGAGAAAGGGTATAGCAAGAGCAAATAAAAGACGACGATTTGATTTCATCACGAACTAGTAAAAAAAATAAAAAAAAATAAATAAAGAAGAGCTGTATTGACCTTGTTCATTAAATTATATGTCCTTTTATATATAAAAAATAGATATAAATAGACCAATAATATGCCGCTTTTTTAAAAAATTGACACGTATATGTTAGCCAATCATCGAATTAAATTTGATAAGAGGGGAAAAGTGCGCCATTGGTTATTGATTGTTCTTGTTGATCCAGAGGAGGTGAAAGCAATGGATTCAGGACAGACCCGTAATACTTTTGAATGGGCGATACACTATTCTCATGTTTAGCATGATCTTTAGCAAACGACTTTCTTCGAACACCAGCCAGAATATAGGGATCATCCTCTTCTTCGTCACTGTTAATGCTGTGCTTACTTTCACAATCAAAATGCCGCTTGAATTTGTTCTTTCGAGTCAAATATCGGTCAAACATCTCGCATGTGGTTTCACCTGAGATAAAAGGATGAGAAGCAGCTTCTTTTGGTGTCAATCGTTTCAAAGGATCTACATGAAGCACCTTTTTCAGAAAATCCAGTAAGTTTCGTCTGGTCTTCATTTCCTTTTCTATCTCGGAACTTGTCATGTCTTTACGAGGCATAGGATATTTCAGCACAAGTTCATTGAGTTGATTGGTGGAGAAGTAACGCTTGCTAGGTTTCTCTGGTTTACTTCGTTCCTCAGAGTACTGTTTGAGTGATTTAAAGTAATAGCGTATGCCAGTAGTTGTCATTTTGCGATTATAGTACCGATAACCGTATTTACTGTTCGCAATCATATAGTCGGGTAAGTCTCCGGCAGTTTCAATGATCCGAGAGAGTTGATTGTATTCTGAGCTTCCTGGAAATAAAGGCAGTCCTAAAAAGAGTTCAGCAACAATACAGCCAAAGGACCACATATCAATGGCTGTTGTATAGTTCACGCCAAGCAATACTTCTGGAGATCGATAAAATCTGGATTGAATGTAGCTATAAGCTTGTTGAGACTCATAGCATGCAGAGCCAAAGTCAATCACCTTGATAGCTGGTGATTCTAGAGTTCTTAGCAGAATATTCTCTGGCTTCAGGTCACAGTGAATGATTTTGGCTGATTTGGTGATTTGGAGTGTATCTAATATTTGACTTGAAAACACACGAACAAGGTTGGTAGATAGTCCTTTAAAGTGATTTTGCTTGATCAGTTCGTACAGGTTGACTGAAAGTAATTCAAAAACAATGCACAAGTGTTGCTTGTACACAAACGATTCTTTTAACCGAATAATATTGTGTTCATCATCGGGATCATCGTACCTATTTAGCTGTTCATAATAAGTCAGTCTATTTATTCGTATGTACGTACATGATTCAAAATTTCCACTTCAATCAAGCTTTGCTTGGTATAGGCAGGTTTGTTCTTTATCACTTTGATGGCTACTAATTCGTCTGTCTCTCTATTTCTACATCTTGCTACTTGTCCAAATGTACCAGCACCTAACATGTCTATAATTGAGTATCTTTAAAGAGCGTAAGTCATTGACTCCAAACATCGTCCCAGACTTACTTTTCTTTACTGTATTCGGGTCCAATAAGCCCATGAACATAAAGAATAAAATCTGCGTTTTCATTGTCATATCCATCATTCTTTAGCGCTAAACTCGGTTTGGTAAGGACACGTTTTGGGTTGCAAGCTTTGTCATATCGAAAAAGAGGGTTTCTTTTCTCAAACGTATTGCATATCTCAACTGTCATCTTTTGTACCAACTGTAATACATGATGTAAGTTCTTATCTATTATTTATTCTCTACCTTGCTGTCTTTCAGACTTGAGTCATTTTTAAATGCTGTAACTTTATTCTCCTTGTGCGTTATTGGTATAAAACTGTCAATGTCTTTGTTAAAAGACATGATATCAAACAAAAAAAAGAAAAAAGAAAAAAGAAAAACAGAGATTTTTACCCGCAACGGAAAAAATAGTACACCAAATTTGCATGAATTGTGTTTTACAGTGATTTTGAGAAACCTTATTTTCTATAGCCGTGAAAATCACTGACTATGACAAGAGTTTCATTGCAGTCGACAAGAAGTGTTGGGCACGTAATGCATCGAATAGACACAGCGAATATGAGTGTTTTGATAGATAGATAACACACTATGCTCCAGAGGTACTTTATTGACCCTCGGTATAAGTCGAATGAAACTAAGTAATACTTGTCCAAATGCTAGTCTCTGAATAAATTGACGCTTAATGAAACAAGGCATTTGTTCTCCTTCGCTTTGACCGAAGCTTGGGCGTAAAGTGGTCTGTTAATCTACAGATAGTGTTATAATGCTCATAAATCGTTGGCTTTTTTGATTTTGAAGTACTCCCTTATACACAGTACCGCCAGTAGCCATTCTCAAAAGTGGGCTATAGACATGTTCAATAAAAACATTTATTAATTGAGATGCTTTGATGTCGAACATTGCAGCATATAAAGTCTAAGGTATTTTGGACTCCAAAAGTGTCAACGAATGTGAGTTATTTTAATTTTTCATATTCGAAATAGAAACAAGCAACTACTTGCTAGTCAATACCTACTGAAAAGGATCTCTTTTGTACTAATTACAGTGTACAATGAACTTTGAATATAGATTTAAAGGCAATGCTCAAATGAACTGGCCTTTTTTTTATCTTAGTAAACTCGCTTTCTTTTTCTTAGAAGTACTCAGACATTGCCTTATCTGATTTCAGTTGGATCAGACCTACATTGGGTCATTCCGAAAAATTCTTGTTTTTTTTCCATCTTTACGAACCCTGACCCTCCCTGAACCTCCCATGGGTCAAAAGAATGGATTTCACCTGGCAGCCAAACCAATGGTACCATTTGATTGCTAGACTCCAAAGAACATGTTTCAAGTAAAAAGAGAAGCCATTTGGTAGTCTGGTTGTCGAGTAATGGTACTTTAAAGAATGGTGCGTTCAAGCTGTGTTTTGAGCATTTTTAAGCGTTTTTGCCCTAGATGTCTTACAGACCATGGTAGTGATTGATCTTTCCAAATTGATTACACTACTTTGAGTACCAGAGAACATAAAAAAAAAAGGAGAAGTAGGATCAGTCAATGATGCGAATGTGGAATAGATGAACGAAATATATCCAAGACGGCTGTGCTACATGTATCCACCCAGTCTCTGCGCACTATTTCTATAGTATAGTTGACACAATGTCTGTACTTTTGGGTTTTAATGCATTTCATCCACAGCTTTCACTAGTACAATCACTCACTATCTTGTTGTTTTTATGCATCCAAAGCCCAAAGAAGGCTTCAGACGCATGCTGTCGACTTTATAATCGGAAAATGAAAGAAGGATGTTCAGTTTTTCTGTTTGACCATCTGAAATCGAGCATGTATTTAGAACTGCCTAAAGACGCCGTTATTCTGCTTTTACACATTAACAAAAGCTGTAGATCTCTGCCTTTCAAGTCTATTGATGTAAGAGAAGCATCAACTTTGCTGATAGAATATTGAGAAAATGTACACTTTTACTTTTGAGGTTTTTGGCTTTTAGCGCATCGTTCTTGGAGTATTATCTACAATTAAAGGTTACCATAAGGGACTATAGCTTATGACGCTTATTCCGAGTACTCAGCCATGCCAATAACTTCATTTCTTGCCATGTAAAGACGAAAAGAAACACAAAAGTGGAGAATGAAACTATCTTTCATGACCAAGGCCCTTTTCGGAAATCGACTTTTTCAGGAACTAATCATACAGCGCCCTGTGTGGTTTTATTTGTCGTTCAAAAGAATACAAGCTGTGTCTCTATTTGAAGTTAAGATGCTTTAACACTTCATGGCCAACAAAATGTTTGCTACAAATATCATCTTTCATTTTGCTATAGCTAGTTTCTACTGCATTACAAAATAAAGTAAACGCTTTACCATATAAATAGCATGTAACAAACTTGCCCCCTTTTTTTTTATTTTCTTCTCTCTACAACCTTATTTTATGAGCCAACACTCTAATACAAGCAGCTATCACGGACCTACAGCGTCGACACCGTTACTGCATAATGGGAAGAAGGTACGAGGTGTTCACAGAGTACCTACTTTTTTCAAGTCATCTATTCCCAACCGACGATCGATCTTAAAAGCCTTTGTTGGCATGGCCATCCATATGTTGTTTGAACTTGTGCTGCCTATTATCCTTTACTATGCTTTAAGAAACTTTGTTTCTCCTTTACTGGCCTTGTTATTAGCTGGTGTACCAACTGCTATTGCTGTCCTGTACAAGGGTTACAAAGAACGCAAAGTAGATATGATGGGTGTTTTGATGTTGATGGGTTTTGTCGTATCTGCTATTTTGGCATTTGTGCAATCAGACCCCAAGTTGTATCTGTTACGAGAGTCAGCCATGACGCTAGCCATGGGATTGATGCTTTTGATTACACTGTTACCATTGCGTTGGCGACATCATGTCCTTAAGCCCTTTATGTTTTACGTAGCCAGACAAATCGCTATCTCTAGTAATGTCTTGATGAACCCAAATACAGTGCGCGAACATTGGGATTGGTTTTGGGACTTTTATTCTGCTTTTCGGTGGTTTTTGCGTAGCTTGACAGGTGCTTGGGGACTTGGTTTGGTCAGTGAATTTTTGGTTCGTGTTGCATTGATTAATGCACTGAACGATGTAGATGATGTTGTTTATTATTCAAACATCTATATGTTTGTAGTCATGGTTGCTTTGGGCGCGTTGACTGTTGTGAGTGCCTTGTTATTAAGACACTACTTTAACCAGGAACAAACTCGTATCAAAAAGGCTGAAAGAAGGTCAGAAATTGAAGGGATCATTGCTCGTGCCGCAGCCGAGCAAAAAGAACTCCAGAAAAAGAAACAACAACAGCAACAATTTTCATAAGCATACCTGTGCAATATGCACAATATACACTGTTTTTTTTTCATCCAAGAACAAAATAAACAAAAATCAAATGATATCACTACACATTGTACTTTGAAAATGAATGAATCCTTTATTTTTTAGAGCAAATTACTTTTATAACGTATATAAAGAATCAAGCTAATAATTAATATTCTTCCATATCTGGAACAAATAAACAACTTCAGGCGATGTACTAACAAAAGTAATACTCGTTAGCAATTAGAGAAAAGTCTTGCTAAAAATTCTTAGTACTTATCTTGAATAAAACGTAGCAACCTTTTGAGTTAAAGAAACCTTAGTGACCGTCAGATAACGAAATGTATCAGTCGCCTACCATAACAAAACGAGCAACCGTATAACGGAACCCCGAGTTGCTTAGATAACACTTCTTCCACTAGGGTTCAGGGCCCAAGAAACGGCATATTGATTGCATGCCCTTGATTGAAGAAATCACCAAGGGGGATGGCTAAGCTGCAATCGCCGTAGCATCCTGGAACATCCACCAAGTGTTTACTGAGTTGGTCACCACGAAGAGTCAAATAGAAAAAAAAGAAACTGGGAGTTATATTTTTCTAAACTTTTGGTAACGTCATACACCAAACGGAAAAATTATTCGTGCATTTCTGAAAAAAAGATGTGCGTACTTTTAAAAGAAAATTTAGCGTGAGTTTATTAAATAGGTCTGTGTTGAAGGCAATCTTCAAATTTGGCAGCAGAGTATCTACAGAAGCCTTTAAGATCACTGTACAAAATTCTATTACAAGCAACTGCAATTCTCGAAGTCAATGTCTCCTCTTCCAAAAGCTGTTCCCTCTTGAGTTTGCTTTTGCAAACCGACCAGAATTGCTCAATGGGTTAAGCTCAGGCGAGTAAGGGGGGGAGGTACACGCACTTATAGCCTCGGCTCTCAATGAGATTCTGAATATCTTGATGCTTATGAATAGGAGCATTGTCCATGATCAAATAATGGCCACGGAATTCCTCATGACGATCCATAACATCCAAAACACTACTGATGAAATTGAAGTAATGTCCACTGTTACTGGCCACTTTTGCATTCGAACCTCCTGCTGCTTTTCTTTTCTTTGATGAGGGTAATGCTCTTGGTCTTCTTACACTAATGTTAACAACACCAAAAGGCGAGATGCCACCCAAAATGGTAGTAGTTTTTGCTCTTGTTTTGGGCACTTTCACGCTCGCACGCTCGCCTTCTTTGGACCAAGAGAAATTTCTCTTAAGGTTGATATGGAAAGCAGCTTCGTCAATGAACACACAGTTGCTAGTGAAGTCCATATCTGTTTTCATCCATCTCTTCACCCACTGATAGCGCTCTTCGATTTTTTCAGGGCTGTTTCTCTTGAAAGCTTAGAAACGAGCCTGCTTGAAGGTAATCTTACACTTATCCTTGACAAATTTGTTGAAACCGCTTTTACTGATATCGAGTTTGCCAAATTTTTCTGTCAATACGTCAAGCATGTCGTCCAATGTAACGGAATTTATGTTCTCGTCTGCCCGTTCGATCATGAAATCTCTGTGCTCATCAGTTAAAATGGGCGGTCTGCCTACAGGTCTTCCACTGCCTGTAGCCCTTTGGATATACTCCTGAGGATCTTTGTTGTTCTTGGCTACCCAGCCTTGTGCTGTTCGAACATTAATGTTGAGGGCCAAGGCAGCAGCACGAACACTCATCCCTTTTTCTTCGACAAGAAAAAAAAGCTTTTCTTTTTCAGCATCCTTGTAGTGCTTATATGCTTTTGTTCTCGCAGGTGTTTGCTTCAGCTCTGCAGGTAACTCAGCTTTCTTTTCGATCCCTTTCTCGAGAGGCTTTAAATCAGTGTATCTATCGTAGTCTGTTACGCTTTCGACTGGATACATCTCGTCGTCAATTTCCATTTCAAACTCTACAACTTCGTTTCCTTCAATGCCATGTTGGTTTCCTAACCCGTCTTCAAAATTAATGTTATTTTCAAATACTACGCTAAATTTTCTTTTTTTTCTGTGCGATTTATTTTTTTAAAAGTACGCACATCTTTTTTTCAGAAATGCGCGAATAATTTTTCCGTTTGGTGTAGTTTTGGTAGTTTCTAGTTAGAGGGTGGACATTAATTTTTAGAACCTACGTATATTCTCCCAGAAGATTAGCTAATCGTGGCTGTTAAGACTTGAATCGTTACAGCATTACGTCACGGTCTGTTTACCAAAAGCCTTCTATAAAATTAAAAAAAAATTTGCAATTTTTTAATACGTTGGAGGCTTTCAACGATCTAATCATCAACATTGGAAATGGTCTGCCCTCGTCCCGCACTCCAATGGGGTCCTCACATTGTATGGTCTGCCCTCGTCCCGCATCTTTGTCGAGCTTAGTGGTAGAGTACTTGTATGGTCTGCCCTCGTCCCGCATCTTGTACTTTATTTTCTAGACCTGATGACAAACAAATGTCTGCCCTCGTCCCAGATTTGTTTGAGAAAGTTGTAGCCTCTCCTTTTTTAAGATGAGTATTCAAAAAAGAACTAAAAGCATTTTTTTCTGTCACTAACTTTTTTATATAGTAGAAAGACATTATTGATTTCCCTTTAAAACATACGAATACTCAAATGTACTTGTGAAGTTAGATTATGCCCATACTTTGTGCTGCTGTTAAAAAGATATAGCTTAAGCCCCACAAATAATTTAGCTGGTTATCTCCCAAGTCCTATTGTTACTGATTTTCTTCTAAAGATGCCTTTATCTGGTGTCGTGCAAAATAAATAATATCACGATCCTGTTTAGAATGTGAGCATTTTACATTTGATTACAAGCAACTTTTAGTGAAATCAGAAAATACACATCATTTTTAGATCAATTTTATTTAACTCATTGTGACATTTCTTTTATTTCAAAAAGACAAAGTTTTTAGACATAAAGAGACAATCATTTTCGGCTTGGTGCCATTAATTTCTTGGAAAGTGACATTTATTTTTTTGTTAGGGGCATTGAATTTTCTCAAAGTGACAAAATTTACCGTTCTCACTGTAGCTTATTGCCCTAGTTTACTCATAAAACCTTTGCTTTTTGAGTTTAAAATCTATTCACCAGTCACTTTTTTTTTACTTCTTTTTTTTTTGGTGCCAAAATTTAGTTAATTCTTTTTCATTCTATTTTCAATATGCCACCCAAGAAGCAACAACAATCCAAGAAGGATAAAGAAAAAAAGCAAAAGGCCGCTGAAGACAAGACCTTTGGTATGAAGAATAAGAACAAGTCTTCTAAGGTCCAAAAATATATTCAGCAAGTTCAAAGTCAAGCTAAACACAACGCCCAACAAGGCAAAGACCAGGTAAAAAAAAATCCAGACGAGAACAAATTTTATTAACACTGATTTCAGAACAAAGCAGAAACTGCCGCAGCCAAGAAGGCGGAAGAACAACGCAAGAGAGAAGAGTTTGCTGAACTCTTCAAGCCTATTCAAGCACCTCAAAAGGTTCCCTTTGGTGTTGACCCTAAAACTGTTCTCTGTCAATATTTCAAGGCTGGTCACTGTGACAGAGGTGCCAAGTGTAAGTTCTCTCACGACTTGAATGTGGGTCGTAAGGTTGAAAAGAAGGATTTGTATACTGATAGCAGAGTGGATGGTAAGTGAATTTCTAATGTTTAGATCAAATTGGCTTATTCAATGATAGACACAATGGATAAATGGGATCAACAGAAACTTGAAGAAGTTGTTAACAGTAAATCTGGAAAGCAACCTCCTACTGATATTGTCTGTAAGTTCTTTTTGGAAGCTATCGAGACAAGCAAGTACGGTTGGTTCTGGGAATGTCCAAATGGAGGTGTCAACTGTAAGTACAGACATGCTCTTCCCCCTGGTTTTGTTCTTAAATCAAAGAACAGCAAAGCTGAAGAGAAGGAAGAGATTTCACTTGAAGAGTTCTTGGAAGTTGAGGTAAGAGATCAAAAAGCAGTAAATAATGCATTTGATACTGATTGAACTATCTACTAGCGTCATAAATTGGGTCCTAATTTGACACCTGTTACACTTGAATCTTTCCAACAGTGGAAGAAGAACCGTGTTGATAAGCGTGAAGCTGATGAATCTTCTCTCCGTAAATCAAAGGAAACACGTATGAAGGCTGGTAGATCACAAGGCATGTCTGGTAGAGATCTGTTTGACTTTAACCCTGCACTTGCACAAGATCTTGATGATGAAGAAGATGCTATTGATTTCTCTTCTTTTAACCGTGAAGAAGCTGAAAAAGAACGCGATAGATTAGCAAATGAAAAGTTTCTGTCTCAGAATATGGGCAATATGTCCTTACAGGATGGCACTATTGCTACTGAGTAGAATATGAATATGAATAAAAAGAAATCATTATTATTTAAGTTTTACTTTCTTTGTAAGTTTCGAGAAAATGACTTTAGCTTGTCATACACTTTTGAAGCATAAATCTATGGGTAGCTACTACATTTGATCATAAAACTAACAATGGACCACTGAACTCTGAATTCAGGTACCACGTCAGAATTTAAAAATCCCCACGCTAATCTCTCTTTTTTTTTTTTTTTTTTTTTTTTGCTCTTCCTATGTTTCGATTGTCTTCTGCTTTTACTAGATCCATGTCAACTTTGACACGCGTTCGTATGTTTACACATTGATAAAGATACACTTATTCACGTACTGTTTAGACACGAACAGTGCTCCTGCTGCTATTGGGCCTTATGGTAAGCATAATAATAAAGAAAAGTAGATTTCGACTATTAACAAAGACCTTGACAGCTCAAGCTATTAAAGCCAATGGTGTTGTCTATACTTCTGGATCCCTTCCTGTTATTCCTGAGACCGGTAAACTAGACACTATTGATTTTCATATCTCATTAGTGCTTAGGCGACATCATTCAGGGTGGAATCAAGGAGCAAACACATCAAAGTTTGACTAATATGGCAGAAGTTCTCAAAGCTTCTGGATCCAGCCTAGATAAAGTAGTCAAGACAACTGTCTTTTTGAAAGATATGAATGAGTTTGTTGCCATGAATGAGGTTTATGCTGAGGTGAGTAAACCATAATTACTTTAGTTTATAATATTGTCTAGTTCTTTAAGCATCATCAGCCTGCTCGTAGTGCAGTTCAAGTAGCTCGTCTTCCTAAAGATGTTGCTGTTGAAATCGAGTGTGTAGCTATTACAGAATGAGCTATTGTCATATTCAACAATTGCAAGGAGATAAAATGTATTGAAAACAATAGTAATCCTGACTTTACGTGTATTATTTTGACACCACACATACACACACATTCGCTGAATAATACAATGGTTTATTTTACATGTCTTTAAAACAAAGCAGTAGCACCACCACTCTAAGAAAAAAACGCAGAAAGAGATGAGTCATAACTATTCACTTTTATAAATCTAAGTTTACCTCAATAGCTTCCATTTCTGCTTCTGAAATAAGTGTACGATGATACTTGGGTGCCAACTGGCCAAATTCAATAGCATTTTTACTGCTTGTGACTGACTTGGTGGGTGTTTGAGTAGGTTGAGCAACGTGCTTGACGAGATTAGGAGGTGTCAAAGGATGAGGACCAACATGGTGAGGAGCATCTACAAAGAAATGTCAAAAAAAGCCTAGTAAATATAAAAGCGCACCTTTCCAGAGGTTGGCTCTAGGACCAAGGAAACGAATAAGTGGTTTATGAGCAGCACGTAAAGTTGAAGAGGGTTGCATTTTTTCTTCTATGAGAAGTTTTCTAAAAAAAAAGAGGGTATTCAACCCAGGGGACTAAAGATTTTATACTTGGGATGGAGATTTTTTATGACCAATCGTAGAAAGGATAAAGCCGAGATTTGTTTGTAGGCCCAAATAGACGTATATGACTGGATGTACCTTTATTCTAGAGCACAACTAAACTCCTGAATAGACTAAAGGCCTCTTTCTTTTCAAGCAGCATTTGAAATTGACATTATACTTCTTTTACAAGCGTAAACATTTAGGCTCCACTGCGTCTTACAAGTTTCCATTCAAAGTTACTAAATGGGCCAATCAGACATGACAAAGAATGATTGCACTCATTGTAACAAGCACAAAGCAGTAATAATTTATGAGATATTTGTCAATCAGGAGCAAAACAGTATTTTATATTCTGTTGTTAACCATCAAGAACTTTTTTTTTTTGAATGGCAAAAGAGGGAGATCATAGTATAAAAAGTACTGCTTCGAGATATTAAAGTCAATTCTGGATTAAAGGATGCGTGTAACATATATCCAAACAAAAAAAGAAATAGCTGGCAAAGTGCTGCTACAAAGTATTCTATAGATCAGTCTGCTTAGCACACAAAATAGTCTGTACTTTTATATTTCGTTTCGTATGTTTAGTAGTGATTGATCGAATCGAGTTTCTTGGCATGGTATATAGACAGACAAAACAATAAGAGTAGGATTCATCTTTACTTGTGTGCATAACACACTATATAATCTTGTTCTTAACTCTATATTTGATAGTTTTTTTTTTTTTTTTTTTTTTTTTTTTGCCTATGTGTTTTAATGAAAACCTTGTCGTCTCGAATTGCATAAACGTTTAAACACGCCAATGACAAAGTTGGTTAATTCTCAAACTCATCTCCGCTCTTTTGTGTGTGTGTGTGTGTGTGTGTACGTGTGGTTTAAGCGCGATTTTCTTTTTTTTCTTTCTTTTTCTTCAACTTGGTCTTATTCTCATAGTGAACTTACACCAAAATTGAGCTATGAGTGTATGTATCTCCCATACAAACATAAACTAATTTCTTTTTTAGGATAAACAAACGAAAATAAACGAGCTAAAGGCTAAAATAGCTCAAAATGAAAGAATGCGAGATAAGGCATATCAACTCAAACCTCTCTTAACGGATCGTAATGCCTTGTCGCAGTGCGAGACAGAAATCAAAGAGTGTCAGAAATACATTGATTATTTTACAGAAGAGCTAGCCAAAATTGAATCGCGAAATGATACAGAAGATGATGTCGTATTTCATGATACAAATACCACAAGTGGACGTGCTCGTACAAACAGTGTGGGTGCTACAGAGGGCAACATGAAAAAGTATTCTACGCTTGGTAACCAAAGGCAAAAAAATTCGATTTGTAGATATACTAAGTAATCTATAGATTTACTTACGACTGAAACACTTTACAATAAATCCAAAGTGTCTATGAAATTGCATGAATTGGAGTACAAATTAGACGTGGAAAACAAAGTGCTGGCTGGCATTAAAACAATGGCTGATGTGCTCGACAAAGATACTTCAATCAATGACCGAAAAAGAAGGAGCGAACTACAAGGCCAAATGTACGAAAGTATTGAAAAATTAAATCTTTTGACAAAAGCCTTGAGAAAGTACAAGAGCTTGTATATTGGTGAAGGAGATGATGAAGATGATGGTAGATTCTATTATTCATTATTATTATTATTGTTGTTACTGTTATTGTTATTACTCACTCAATCATAGAATTAGAGACACCTCCTTCTTCTCGTATGCCTCCTGGATTTCGAAGACCTGTGACAGGCAAACTACAACTTGAGCTGATTCAGGCACGTGGATTGGCTCATGCTCCCACTCGTATGTTTAAGGCACCAGACACAATTGTGTACGTCAAAATTGATGGTAACATTGTGTTTCGCTCCAAACTATCTCGAAACGACACCTGGGTTGATATGTGCGAGACACATGTCAATAAAGCAACCGAAGTAGAAATCTCTATCTATGATCAAGAAGCAGAACGCAGCTTGCCTATTGGTATCTTTTGGCTCAAGATCACAGACATTGCTGAAGGATTGCGTAAAAAGAAGATCCAGCAAGAAAATGGTTCTGGCTGGGTTCCTGCTGATGTCTATCAAAAGCAAGAGCAACAAGACAGTGAGGTTCCAGAACAACAAGTTGAACCAAAACGTCAAGACCCTACGTGGACCGAGACAACAGAAGATGGTATTCAGGCTTGGTTTGATGTAGAACCTTCAGGGGAAATGCTTTTGCGTGTCAATTTTGTGCGTGAGGCTGCTAATCGTCGTCCCTTGGACAAGTTGGGTCGTGCTGGTGCTGTCAGACAACGCCGTGAAGAAGTACATGAAATGAATGGTCATCAGTTCTTTGAAAAGAAGTTTTATAACATCATGCGTTGTGCTCTTTGTGGTGAATTTTTGGTCAACAGTGGATACCAATGTGAAGGTACAGAGAAGCTCATAAATCATTGCATTTTACTAACGCATTTGGATTAGATTGTGAATATACTTGCCACAAAAAGTGTTACACCAAGGTGGTTACAAAATGTATTTCCAAATCCAATGCAGATAAAGACGCCGATGAAGACAAACTGAACCACCGTATTCCTCATCGATTCGAGCCTATTACAAACATTGGTGCCAATTGGTGCTGTCACTGTGGCTATATGCTTCCACTTGGCTCTAAAGGAGCAAAAAAATGTTTAGAATGTGGCATTACTTGCCATACAAAATGTCAATTGTTTATTCCTGATTTTTGTGGTTTATCTATGGAAATGGCAAACCAAATGCTTGCTGAAATCAAGGCAGCCAATAAGCGCAAAACGTTAGACACAAAGCCAAATCGCACAACGCATCCAGAATTAAGCGACGCTATGTCACAGTTGTCTATGAAACCACTACCTCTACAACCTTCACCGCCGCCACCTGTCAGCCCTGTGAATCGTATTCAACCTTCTACGCCTCCTCCCGTTGTACCTCCTCATGCTCAACCTTATGTTCCTCAACAACAACAACAATACCCTATTCAGACAAACGATCCTCGCTATCAATCTTATGCCATGCGTCCACCTCAACTTACCCCTACGTCTCCTTATCACCAGTCTCCTTCTTCTACGAATAGCTCACCACAAATGCGTCCAGTATATCAACAACCTCATGGTATGGAAATAGCAAGACCTCCAATCCAACTTAAACCTACTCAGCAGCAACAACAGCAAAGACGTGTTACACTAAATGACTTTAACTTTTTGTTCGTATTGGGTAAAGGCAATTTTGGTAAAGTAATGCTGGCTGAAGACAAGTACGATAAGCGACTTTATGCTGTGAAAGTGTTGAAGAAACGTTTTATCATTGATAATGATGAAATTGAAAGGTAATTTTCTCATAAATTTTATCCTTTCTTACTAACCCAGTATACAGTCTTCGATCTGAAAAACGTATCCTTCAAGCAGCAAATCGTGCAAGGCATCCCTTCTTAGTTAGCCTTCAATCTTGCTTCCAGACCGAGTCTCGGGTTTATTTTGTGATGGAATATGTGAGTGGTGGTGATTTAATGTGGCATATTCAACGTGAACCTTTCTCAGAAAGAAGAGCCAAGTAAGTCTCGTTGATTCTTGTTTGCCATGCTAATAGTGTATAGGTTTTATGCTTGTGAAGTACTGTTAGCGTTGGAATACTTCCATAGCCAAGGTATCATATATCGTGATTTAAAGCTGGACAACATCATGCTTGGGTTAGATGGTCATATCAAAGTAACTGATTATGGTCTTTGTAAAGAAAACATGTGGTATGAAGATACAACAGGCACATTCTGTGGTACACCTGAATTTATGGCACCTGAGATTCTGTTGGAACAAAAGTATGGGCGTGCTGTCGATTGGTGGGCATTTGGTGTACTTGTGTACGAAATGCTCCTTGGTCAATCACCGTTCCGAGGTGAAGATGAAGATGAAATCTTTGATGCTATTCTTGAGGACGAAATTCTTTATCCCGTCAATATGTCTCGAGATTCTGTCTCTATTTGCCAAAGAGTAAGTACTTGATTGATGTTCAATAGGTTGCTGATCATTTGTTAGTTACTGAACCGTGATCCTAAGCGAAGATTAGGTGCAGGTCCATCAGATGCAGCCGAAATTAAAGAACATCCTTTCTTTCATGGTGTCAATTGGGATGATATGCTTAATAAGCGTGTCCCTCCACCTTTCTGCCCTACCATTACAAGTCCTCTGGACACTTCTAATTTTGATGAAGAATTCACTCGTGAGCGTCCTGCATTGACACCCATCAATAGTGTACTGAATCGTGTTGAGCAACAAGAATTCCAAAACTTTTCTTACGTTGCAGACTTTACTCAACCTGGCTCTCTGTGGTAATATATATATATATATATATATATACTTTGAAGACGAATAAAGATCATGTATTTTTTTCCAATTTAAAAAGAAATACTGTACAAAATTAATTTTATTGCTTGTTGATACGAACTCTTTCAAGATAGGCATCCCAACCAGCTTGACGATAACGTTGAGCTTGAGTTTCCACTTGATCAGGCTGACCATAAATACCACGACCCACAATGATAATATCGCCACCGCTTTCAACAATGACTTGATGAGGTGTTCTGTATTGTTGGCCTAATCCATCACCCTTTACATCAAGACCAACACCAGGAGACATGACAATAAAATCTTCATCATCGTATTGGTTCATCTTGTGTTGAGCAATGAATCCGAAAACAAAGTCTTTGTTACGACGAGCCATTTCAACAGATTCACTAGTATATTCGCCCTTGGTCAAAGCACCCTTACTTGACATTTCAGCTAATAAAAGCAGACCACGACCAAGAGGAAGACCTACTTCAGCAAGCCCCTTGATAATGCCTTCACCGGGAACAGTGTGAGCATTGGTGATATGAGACCAAGAAGCGATCTTGTAGACACCTTTACCATATTGGTGTTTGACAGTATTACCAATATCAGCAAACTTGCGATCTTCAAAGATTAAGAAATCATGCTTTTCAGCCAATGCTTGCAATTGTTGAACCAAATCAGCATCAAAATCTTCAACAATATCAATGTGGGTCTGGAATATGATTCAGCGACGTTTTCTCGACATGTCAAAAGTTACCTTAAGAACACAAACATAAGGACCTACAGAGTCAGCAATAGAAAGCAATTCTTTTTTGGTAGTCACGTCAACAGCAACAGACAAGTTTGTTTGTTTGCGCTCCATAAGCTCAAAAAGAGAGCGAGCACAGGCATTAGGGTGTTGCTTCGCACGTTCACTGTAGGTTTTGTAAGTGTTCATTCTTCTTTCCCCTCTCTCGTTTTTTTTCGAGAGGAAAAAAGAAAAAGGGAAAAAACAGATGCGAAAAAAGAAAAATTATTTATTGATGTGATTCTAAACAAGTCACGGATCTTCTTCTTCTACGATAGGAGACAATGTACCCGAGGATCTACGGTCTAATAAGTCCATTCGCAAGTTTTCAAAGGCTGCATTAGGCAGACTGTTGTAGACTTTCTTGACCCATTCACTTTCCAGTCTAAAAATGACCCACATCCATCGTCGAAACACCTCCAGTAATTCCATCAAAAAGATACTACCATCCAATTTTCGTAAATAGATGTGAGAGCTTAGTTTTAAACTCCAGGTGATCCGCAAAAGAAAGTCAAAAAAGATACTGAGGACATACCAAAATGGCTGAGAAAAATACAATTGGCGTCTAAAGTGAACGATGGGCGTGGATGTCTGAGGCTGATGTCGAATCACTTTTGGATGCTTCAGCGTCGGTTGTTCTTGAACTTGCGTTGGATCTAACTGAACCGAGATCAAGTTCCAATCCATCGAAATGTCCCACCAAAATGAATACATGGAATTGATAAATACAAACATGATCCTATTCGCTTTGTTTAATCCAAAACCATTGCTAGACATGTCGTACTTTGTCCCGGTTCTTTCTCTTACCAAAATCGGAAGATTGTATCTTCTTTAAGGTACCAATGATGCGGCACGCTGCCTGTTTCTGTAATATAAATAGCTGCTTTCCTTTGCACGGCTGAGAATATGACAACTGGTAATGAAGAAGCATATTTGAGTGCATTAAATACATGGCGTTTTTCTTTGGACTCAATGTATTCTGCTATACATTGTTTAAGGCGGATTAAATAAGGTGTACTAATAAAGAGATGAGATACACACTTTAACTTTTGTCTTTTACCTAATCAACAATGGAACAGCAATATCTCGATAATAAATATTCTCGGTATTGTCCATAAAGAAAGAAGAGTTATATCCTGCAACAAAGACGCAGGAGGCAATGAAAAGATCACCAAATACGTTGGAAAAACTGGTTAGCATATCTGCTAAAATGATATCAGAGAAAAACACTGGGCTAAAGATATTCAGAGACAAGACTCTCCTTAATGCCCTACAGAAACAATAAACACTCTATCTTTTGTAATATATGTACCTTGTAAATCGAAGTCGCTCTTTTCTATAAAATGATCTTCCAGGCCATATTAATAGCAGTAACGCTAGCAGATAAGGCAAAACTGCAATAGAAGGTGATTTTAAGTGCCAGAATAAAGCTAGACTAGCACATGAAATAGCCCCTAATATCCCAGACAAAAAAAATATAGGTTGGTGCAGAGGAATATGCTTGTCTGTCTGATGAAGTTGTAGTAAAGAGATTGGATCGATCCCGCACTTTTGGAGAATAAACAGATCGAGCGCCCAGCCTAACACACCTATTGAGAATAGCACTATAGGTCTATATGTAATAGGCAAAAGGGTGCCTTCTCCTTCCATATGCAACAATTATAGAAAAAAAAAATAAAGAAAAGGATAGAATAAAATTCAAGTCCCTTTATGGACTTTTTTTAGGTACAAGATGTGTACCACATTAACTTATTTAAAGGTGCATTTATTAATAAACTTGGTTAAAAACATTTACCAAGTTTATGTCTTTAAGCTTCTCTGATATTAGATCCAAAGGATAGGATGAACAAAATAAGAACATGGAGTTCGAAACAAACCGTCATGATTGCCGAGAAATTTGCCTACTTCTCCTTTATGTTACGTGTTTTGGACTCATTCTTTTTCTTTTACTCTACACTACATATTCAAAACGATGGGCATGTGTCAGTCTATGAATACACTTTCTAGAGAAGCAGAAAAAAGCTGCCAAATCGACAAACAGCTAGAAAAAGAGAAAATAAAGCAAGAATACAAGATTTTGTTATTAGGTACATTCAGACTCCATTTCTGTCTTGTAACGTTGTGAGTAGGCAGCGGTGAATCAGGAAAATCAACTATCTTGAAACAAATGAAGATAATCAATCAAAACGGCTATTCAAAAGAGGAGTTGCGTTCTTGGCGGACTATTGTTTATAAAAACCTGATTGAATCGGCACAGGTATTGATTCAAGCCATGTCAGACTTTGATCTGAGCTTTGTGGATACACTGAATAATGTAAGCAAGATTTGGTAAAAGTAGTATTCAACATTGCAATAGACCTATGCCGATCAGATCAGAAACTATCGGTTATTGGAGAGTCAAACCATGTTGGATGCTTCTTTCATAGAAGCAGTAGAGCATATATGGGCAGACCAAAGTACAAAGTTTTGTGCTACAGAAAAAACCAGTGAGTTCTACCTTATGGACTCAGCACCTTAGTATGCATCTTTTTTTTTAACTCAATATGGCTTTATTTATTGTGCATATATAGCTTTTTTGATGAAATAGTACGTATCGGAAATCCGAACTATATTCCCAATGAACAAGATGTCTTACGGGCTCGGCTAAAGACAACAGGAATCACAGAAATCAAATTTCAGCATAAGAAACAAATGGCAATACAGTAAGTATGTACACAGACTTTATTTAGAAATAAATTGGCAAGTATGTTTGATGTAGGCGGTCAAAGGTCAGAAAGAAGAAAATGGATTCACTGTTTTGAAGCTGTCAGTTCAATTATTTTTTGTGTTGCTCTTAATGAGTACGATCAAGTTCTATTAGAAGAAAAAAGACAGGTAAAGACAATGATTTGACACATGAAATAAAATAAAAATGTCAATAGAATCGAATGCTGGAAAGTATTGCATTGTTTGAATCCATTGTGAATAGCAGGTGGTTTCTGCATACATCTATCATGCTGTTTCTAAACAAGGTTGATCTATTTAAAATAAAAATAGCAAGAGTGTCTCTTCAAAAGTATTTTCCTGATTATGGAGGTAAAAGAAAAAACGTCATTGCATCAGCTCATTTATCTGACTTAGGTGGAAATGATATTAACAAAGCAGTAAAATACATTCTGTGGCGATTTCTTCAAGCAAATAGACCAAAACTCAATGTTTACCCGCAGTAGAGTACATTCATATCTCTCATGTTATATTAACTCTTCTTTGTATAGCCTCACTCAAGCAACAAATACGAATAATGCAAGTAATCAAGTTGAAATACAAAAAAATTCTAATGATAAACGAATAGATTCGATTTGTGTTTATCACTGTTGAAGAAACACTACTTCAAAATGCGCTAAAAGCTTCGGGAATGATGTAAGGAAGCGTATATTCTCATTGGATACAACCAATGATACAAAAAAAAAAGAGTAAAGTTCAATTAATAAACCATTATTGAAAAGAGTCTCCCTTGAAAGATATCAAAGTTCTTTTGCATGTATCCAATCAGATAGACTGCTGGGATTTGATAGATAGCATGATAAAATTCTTTGTCTCAATAAAACAAAGATTGCTATTAATACTATTGGATTTAGAAAACTATATAAAGAGTGCCTTAACAAATGCATTTCTTATTGATCGGTATGAAGTACACTTTCTTTATTTTATTGTCCTCTCTCTTCTTGTTATCTATTCAGGCTGAGAAAGTAATTCAATCTGGTGAGAATGGCACTTGTGGACAAACTGGACAAGCACAGGGTATTGCTACTTACTATGAGTGCAAAGCTGGGTATGAATGCAAGAACTATCGATGCTTCAAGTCAAAAGCAAAGAAAGACACCCATAAAAAATCGCAATAGAGACTTTCTCAATAATTTTTATTCAATATATTCTATCAATAAAGAGTCTTTTGGAACTCGAACAAGCACAAAGTCTTTTTTATTGAAGAGAAATGTCCAAGCAAGCTTCTGAAACAATGCAACCTTCTCTATTAGCAGCTTCTACAACGATAAGATGTTTATGCGATGGATTCATACAGTCTAAGCCTGAGATACGGTATTGATTAGTGAATGCAGTACCCAAAAACAAACGTATGCCATCATGTGCCTCATAATAAATAAGATAATAATCTACTTGTTGCCAACTATTATCTGTCTCAAATGCAGTCATCCACTGTAATGTACCAAAAAAGCGAACAAGTGGCTCTCCCTCTAGGTTTTCATCCGTGATCTCGACTTTTGTATCTTTCCATGCTAGATCTTTGATGAATCCTTCTTGGTGTAAAGTGGTTGGTATAACGCTTAGATATCCTAGACCAACAATGACATGAGGCTTGACACCAGCCAAACTTGCTGTATTTGTGACAACTGTCATTTCAATTCGAGTCATAAAAAGTTTACTATCTTCATCTACAGGAGGTATTTGAATTGATTTTGTGATCCATTTACCTGCACCATCTTCATTCGTCACAGAAAACAGATAGCAACGACTTGGTGTTGTGTTCTCTGAGCCAATGGTAACTGTAACACGAAACTCATCTTCAAGATCAAACGAATACTCTTTGGATAGCCATGACTGAAAAAAGGTATCTGTATGTGAACGATGCGTTTGTAAAGAGAAATGACATGACATGATTATCTTGACATCCTCCTTCAATGGTGTTTGATACACATAGCGCAAGAGAGCTCCCTGACTGACATTTACGTTGAGTTGATAGAGCGGAATCAAGACTTCTACTTCTGTATCTCTTGACTCTCGATATGTTAAACGTTGACCTTTGACTACAAGTGATGTATCACCATGAAATGCATCGTATTCGCATTCGAGCGAACAGGAAAACTGAACATTTTCATCGATTGGAAGACAATTAGGATGTTGATAGTCGAGGTTAGGAAGAATAGCTTGGTGTGATAAATGAGACCAAGGTTCGGACAAGAGCAATTTCCCTTTATGATAGAATCGAGTACCAAATCCTCGGTCAAACCAAGTAACAAATGCATCTTTATCAGGCACAGGTAAGATGAATGGTATTACATCAGCGATACCTTTGTGCCTTGTCTGCAATGATTTCTCTTCGCTACTGAATGTTATTGTATGATATCATATCGCTATTACTGTTACCTTTCTTCACTCTCTGAGCTTGTGCTACATGTTTGTGAGGGATATTCAGTATCTTTGCCTCCATGCCAAAACAATCGATCCATTTTCTCAAAATCCGCTTTATTGAAATACTCATAAGTCCAAGCCATACCAAACAAAGCAGAAGAAGTATTAGCATAAGTAGCTGTCTTGATAGCCTTATGTGAATTAAATCCACCGCCACCAAATGTGCCTCTTCCCCATACATCTGTACCAAAGTAAACATCAAAACCTGATTTACCGCATCTCTCTGCCATACGTCGAGTCATCTCGGGGTACTCTTTCCTCCACCAATAGTTGATAAATATACCATCCGCTTCCTTAAAGAAAAGCATATTGCGATGTGTCAATTGGTTTTGATAGTAAATGTCACCTGTATATATCATACTGTCATACCAAATGATTTGAGATCCAGGTATCTGTTGATGTATTGTTTCGGTCAAATAACCAATAAACCTACGAATGAATCAGTCTTTTATGTATATTTATATCATCTTTACTTGGCTAATTCTTGTGCCTTAAATCTAGGATTTGTTGGGAAAGAAAAAAACTCGGACTCGATATTAATCAACCAACCATCAAACCCAAAGTATTTAGCAATAGCCACTAGAATGAATAATCAGTGTGACTAGTTACAAAGCATTAGACTCACCTAGTTTATCTGCGTAAAAAGGATGCCAGAGTCTCATTGGATCATCGCTAGGAGGAGGGACTAAAGGAGGACCATGAAGTAAAGCCTCCATTTCATGCATTTGATTATCTCCTTCTACTAGAAATGTACCTAGACATTTTACACCGTTTCGATGACAAGCATTGATCCAATTGACAGGTGGAATGGATACACGTTTATGAGAAAAGCTTTCTTTTTGATGAGCCATCGCTTTTCTATTTTTAATGGCTTACTAATTAAAGATGTCAACTAAATGCCAGTCTTGGATATAATAAATTTCTTTATAGTGGCTGCCTTGGACTTGTGCGTCTTTTTTATATCCACCTGCCATATCATGCGTCAGTAAAAGACGCGGTCTAGTATCCATTGCCAAGTTACGAGTCTGTATTGGTACAGATGCAACGTGAAAACGATCATTATCTGAGGGCTTCCAGTCATATAACTCTTTCATAGACTCAAGGCCATAGGATAAAGGCTCCAAAGCGTCTGGTTGTAGTTTGCGCGAAGGCATTCTTATTAGAACAAAATAGAAAAAGAAAGGGAGAAAAGAATGGTTACACATTCGTAACGAATGCAGTTTGTTGCTTTGATAAAAATCAATGCAGAATGTCGTTCATTGCCTTTTAAAGAAAAGAAGTTACCCGAAGAAAAAAAAAGGAATAAAAATGTGAATTAGTCATTCAACTACGTAACTCATTCTTTTATATGTCAACCAACACAATTGATTTCAAAGTGAGCTTTAGGCTTAAAACGATTCCCTTTGAACAATGGGACTTAGCCTCTACTATTGAACAAGTGAAGCAATACCTTGAACAAGAGTCTGGCTTGCCACCAGATAGTCAGAAATTAATGTTCAAGGGACGCATACTGAAAGACGATCAAGCTACTTTAGATCAACTCGGGATAAAGCAAGGCACTAAACTGATGTTGACTGGAAGTTTGCCTACCCAGATTCAACAAGTCAATCAACTTGACAAGAAGATTGAGGAACAAAAGCGATTAGCACCTAGCATTCGTCTCAAGAAGAATCAACTTGGACAAAGACAAGCACCTGATCCCAATGCCAAATATACCTTTCACAAGATGTCTGTTATTGAAGAGTTTCCTCATCCTGAAAAAGCAAAAAAGTTGTTGGAGAAACTACGAGATGATCGAGGTGTAGGTAGATTAGAGTATGTAACGTATGCTAAAATGGAATAGATTCGAGCCATTATGGCAGACAGAAAATGGTCTGTAGGCGAACTGATAGAATTAACGCCTTTCGAAGCCTCTATTCTTGGATACAATCGAAATGCCGGTCAACTAATTGCGCTTCGATTAAGAACTGATGATTTATCTGGATTTAGACACTATGACTCTATTCGAAAAGTACTACTGCATGAATTGACACATAACGTATGGGGAGACCATGATGATAATTTCCATGCTCTCAACAGACAACTCAATAAGGATGTCATTCGTCTAGATTGGACTGCTCATGGTGCTCATCAGTTAGGCAGTGGTGATTTTTATCAACCACTTGAAAAACAAGAAGACATAGAAGAAGCACCCGTGTATCGATTAGGCGGAAACTCAGGGCAACTGCTTGATACACCAGAAGCAAGAAGACAGAAAATGGCTGCAGCTGCACTTTCAAGGCTAACAAAAAAAGAGGAGCAAGAAATGGATGAAGGGTGTGGATCTTCTTTATAGAATTCGATAGAATCGCATCACAAGTATTGATAAAATACAAAAGGCAAAGATACAAAACACGATACTAAAAAACCAATAAAGATCTTCCTGAACTATTTATGAGTCTTTTCAGTAAGTGTCAATACTTTTTACCTGAGATTGTCCAGGCACTTGCACATTCATGCCAAATAGGCCTGTTACTAAATTCATAGGCACCATGACACTACCAAGCGCAGTCAGTTTTGATAAAATATCATTAATTTCATTATTCGTTTGAGTCATTTCAATTGAGATTTGTGCTAAGTAGTTTGAATGAGATCGAGAAGATATCTTTTCGTAATGATTCAAGGATTGAAGCATAGCTACAATATGGTCTACATAAGGTGAATACGAAACTAGCACATAGACTATGATCGCTTACCTTGAACATCACCCAAATACATAATGACATCTTTGGTAATAAACGGTAGTTTTCTTGAGATAGAGTCTGATCCAGCTCCTCGCTTCACTAAGGTTTTAATGACTTCTGATTTAGACACTAAAAGCCTTAATAAACTCATTATTTTCTTGCGACAATAGCCGATGCGTCTCAACATGTCTGATTGTTCTGTCTCTTTAAGAATAAGCACTAATTCATCAATTGAATCTACTTCAAATTCAATAGACTTGATAAGGGGCATGAAACTGTCTACAATATCATCCAACAACCCGTAGCAGATCCAGTCTGTTTTTTTTAATTGAGTGACAATATACGGTTTATATACCTGGTGTGACAGGTAGACAATGCCCAAGATGTAATATTCGCTTTCTTACATTGGCAGGATGATGTATTGTGCCAGAATGAAACTACATTGTAGGTTAAAACCTATCTTTACACGCAAAGTAAAGTCATTTACCGATAAGACAAACCCTTTAAAGATCAAGATATAGACACCCATGGGTTGTAAGTAATTGATAGTATGCGCATCAGACTCAAATGTTTGAAAGCATAGGAAATAATAATGATCAAAGGCTTCACATTTCTCTCGAGGCTCCCTGGTGGTAATATCTTCGACAGTCATTGGGTGAATATAAAAAAAGCCTTGTAGCTGTTTCATGTCTACTGGTGTTGGATCCGTAATATCTATCCAAAAGCATGTGTTCTTGTTTTCTTCAAGAACAGGCAATAAGTCCAGCAAATCTTTTGTGTGTAAGGTCGAAGGAAGTGCAGCAGTATAGAAGGAATATGTAAAGTCTGGTGTAGTATTATGACTTGAGTAACATACATGCTGAACATGAGAGTTAGCGCAAAGTATCATCGTGTAGTACATACATGAAATGAGCCATAATTGGATTTTTTTTGTTGTTTATTTCTATTTGTAGCTGTGCCTGATTCTGACATTTCTTTTAAGGCTTTTATGTTGACCATACTACTCGAATGAGTGGCAGTCTTGCTGATCGAAGAAACTACAGTTGGGTGTTCTGAATTATAACATACATTGTTTTCAACTGAATCTATACGCTATTTTATCAGGACATAAATTTCATCATTTTTCTTTTACCATCACTGTTCTGATTTACAGAATTATTTTCAGAAAGTACAAACTCAAGTTCAGATTGAAAAGAAGTCATAAAGAAAGGATAAAAGAATGAAACATGAGTGCTTATAAACAAACTATTAAGTCACATGGATCATGTTGTCCATGATGGTGTGAGGGTATATTTTTATTTGTCAAGTGCTGCTCAAATTACTCATACTCTGTGCAACCTTCTCTACTTGAGCATCTTTACTGTTAGGCGATAATGGGTTTTCGCTTTCAACACGGGTCTTGACCATCTTGAGTGCATCTTGAAGTGTTTTGCCAGTATCTAACCAAAAAGTGAATGATAGTTTGTGCATCATGAAACTTACTATCAATAGAACTAAGAAAACGAAGCAGTTCTTTACACAGCTCATAGTCATTTTCATCCAACGATTTCTCTAGTAACCGTATGGTATCTTTGCCCCCGATCGCTAAAGGTTGCATGGTCTGTAAGATAATGAGGTAAGAAGTAGCTGTGCGCAATCGACCATCAGCAAGACAGAGTTCAAACAAATCTTTGGGTTTACCCACTACCGAAAACAAATGATCCCATAATGCAACTTCTGTCTTACGAGCACAGCTTACAATCACATCTAATGCATGAGGAAATTGATCCAAAAATTTGATGACAAGAGGTAAAATAGCAGCTATGTATACATGGTAAATACAAAGCGATGGGCTCAGTAGGTTACCTTTGCCTAAATTATGACCTGCTTCTTCTTCTAATACAGTATGTAACAAGATTTCTAGTGCATGACTAAAGTAGACAAACTTTTCATAGGCTCGAGCAAATATCACTGCTTCTTCTTCTAATTCACGCTGTAATAAATAACGTAGAATATGATGTAAAAACAAATGCATCTAAACACAGCGTTAAACCAAGTATGGGTGAATTCTTTTTTTTTTTTTTTTACCTTGGGACTCATTTTGAACAATACAAAACCTAAGGAATCTCTATAAGAAATATTTTGTTCTATACCAACGATAATGCCCTTGTCTAATAATATAGCTATTGAAGTCATAAGCTTTATATGCGTTTACAGATACAACTCACATAAAGGATAAAAATCAAGTGGAATATAAATAGCTTGACTTGATAGACTGTCAAAATCATGGATTATCCATTTAGTGTAGGTCTCCACATCGGCCATGGATGCAGATGGTGAAAGGGGCTCAGAACCAATACGATAGCCTAGAGAATAAGGCTTTCCGATATCAAAGTTTCGAGCAGAGGAAGAAGAGGACAAGACACCCGGTGTTGTAGGTGTAGAAGGCTCACTTTCATCATTTTCAAAGGCAGTGTAATCAAAGTCTTTAGATAAAAGTAGATTGATACAGACCTATTCAAGTAAGTTCAGTTCATGCCATTGACTTGATTCCATCCCAACCTTCAAGCCTTTTCCATCAGCTATCCATAAAGAAGTGATCAAATTCTCAATACGCTTTTTTCCAATCCAATAATATTCAGCTTGATGATGTATGATATGTATATCAAATAACTGGTTTGCAGACAATTGAGATGGGTCATGAACGAGATCTGAAGTATCATTTTCATCCTATCCAAAATTAATACTGTCTATTGTCATTTGAATACATACAAGCACTTTTGGACATAACATAAGCAGTTTACCATCCACCAGTAAAATAATGTTTGAAGAGAGGACATGCTCAACGGATTTGAGTTGATCACCATGCACTGCATGAAAAAGACTGATACTTCTTACTCGAGAAATGCGAGCCACAATGTCTTTTAGTGAGATTCTCTTTACCATGTCTAATCTTGCTGGACTCATTTGTCTGCCATTGCTACTGTTATTAGGAGTAGCGCCCACACCAACATGGTATATAGTCAACATATTATCAGAGGTATACACAATCAAGAATTGGCCACAGAGTGCCATATAAACAGGAATTGTATCTAATGACTCTGAGCAAAGTAAATAGGCATTGTCTAGATTGGTATCTCTAGAATAAAGACGGATCTATTCAATTCATATAAGTCTTCTCATGAAATAACACTCCTGTTACCTCATAAGTCTTTTGTTGGATCAATTCGCAACCTAGGATCAATACATGTTTAAACCAGACCATACCGCCTCTTACTAGAAAGCTTTGTTCTTGATGTTGATTACCAAACAACTTCCATCGATTGGAAATTGAATTGTAATGGGTAAATCCACGCTTACCAGCAATGGCTATATATTTACCATCTGGGCTGATGGAAGCATAGCGAATAGGCCAATGATCTGTGATATATAAAGCAGGGTATTGTATATGTGTCCATGCAACAGCAGCAGGATCAATAGTGTTGTTGTTCTCTTGATAGTCCCCTCCATTGTTATAGAGTAAAATGCGATCATCTGTCTGAATCAATCCTCTTCTTGCATTGTCCTATGCATTATGAGTATGCCATCAAAATGGGTATCTTTTTTTTTTTTACCGAGTGTAAATAGCTTGTAAGTGCTGATTTAGCAAAAGGAATAGTGAATAGTTTTGTTTCTGTACTATTTTCACTCGAAAGCACATACAATTGATGATTTCCTGGACCCCAAAACTTTTAACGTAAGTACAGAAGAACCTAAAAAGAGTGTCTTACCAAAGTATGAATGCTTTTTACATACGTATCTTTGAGTCTATCACCACTAAAGAAATCATCCATTTCACTTGAAGAACACAATAATCCACCATACATACTCCATACAGCTAAGCCATGTCGTTTGAATCCAACAGCAATAGCATATCCATCAGACGTCCATTCGAGTGATTGCACAGAATTATCAATGGATGAACTCTGTGATGCCCATGATGTCAATTCTAATGTGTGCAATAGTGTAGGTGTAGTAGCATAATTTGAGGCAGAGTAAACATACACACTTCCTTTTGTTGTTCCTACAGCAATTAAGGATAGCTTTGGATTGATAGATACAAAAGTGGCTTCCTGTTGATGAAAACATACACCTGTCCAATGCACTTTGGATCCAAAGGAAGGTGCTTGAGGGTGTGAAGTAGTTAATTCATGACTATTGTTCAGTCTTTCTTGTAATAAAGCACTGTTATTTTGAACAAAGTAAGCTTTTCCTTCATTGGATATCCATACAGAAACATGCATTGATTTATCGTATACCATTTGGGTGATTTGTTCTATTATAACATAAGTTTCTTTTGAGCATAATCCCCCTTCTTCTCTACCCGTTGTTTCATTTTCCATTATACCCAGTTGATCTATCAGGGCAGTCTGTGTGGCATTCATTTGTTGTGGGTTCCATGAGATGCATTGTATGGCTGCAGGTGATTTTGTTGCAATAATAAGTGTATCCTCAGATGAAGTACCACTATATATCAATTCAGTATCAGCCATATACATAGCTTAGTCATACCAGATAATACCAGCATCGACTCGAATGGCGAGCCTAAATTTAATAAGCATTGTCTTGGGACCTTTGCCTTCCCCTGGGCCTGTTACATAAGCATGTGAGGAATGCGGAAAGTTAAATTCAAATGTTCGTTGATCATAAGAAATAATAGAGTATAGTAAGAGATAATTGTTGGCTGTCTATTGTATGTTTAGGAGCAAAGAAGGAAGTGTATATTGTACACATACATGAACTACAATGGCTGATGCGTCGGGCTTCCATATCGCTTTAATGTTTTCGCCAAATTCGCTGATATGATTATCTGCGCGTTCTACAAAGGCAAGAACAGTACTGGGCTTTTGCCTGTTAACAAGTTGACATAAAGCCTGCGCTTACCTTGACAGACCACAAATAGATTGCAGAACGAGTGCAGGTAATATACAGTGACGCGTGATGAGAAGGTTGAATCGACACAATGTTTAGGGAATGGGGAAACGTCTTGTTTTCATCTTTACGGGTCGTGCACTCTAAAGAAAGTTGGCTTGCAATTCCATTAAGCCAGTACATATGATACAAGTTGTTGAGTAAGAGAAATAGAAAAATAGCTGGCATCAGGGAATTTATAGGAAGATTGGATCTCAGAGCGTTTCACTCGTACACCAGCTTATCATGCCTAAAAGCTGCTGTAGCCACACAAGTGTCGTGTATTATGATACGATTTGTTCTTCTCAGTATTGTGCATCTGATGGTGTGATAATAAGTACCTGCTTGCTAGTCAATACCTACTGAAAAGGATCTCTTTTGTACTAATTACAGTGTACAATGAACTTTGAATATAGATTTAAAGGCAATGCTCAAATGAACTGGCCTTTTTTTTTATCTTAGTAAACTCGCTTTCTTTTTCTTAGAAGTACTCAGACATTGCCTTATCTGATTTCAGTTGGATCAGACCTACATTGGGTCATTCCGAAAAATTCTTGTTTTTTTTTCCATCTTTACGAACCCTGACCCTCCCTGAACCTCCCATGGGTCAAAAGAATGGATTTCACCTGGCAGCCAAACCAATGGTACCATTTGATTGCTAGACTCCAAAGAACATGTTTCAAGTAAAAAGAGAAGCCATTTGGTAGTCTGGTTGTCGAGTAATGGTACTTTAAAGAATGGTGCGTTCAAGCTGTGTTTTGAGCATTTTTAAGCGTTTTTGCCCTAGATGTCTTACAGACCATGGTAGTGATTGATCTTTCCAAATTGATTACACTACTTTGAGTACCAGAGAACATAAAAAAAAAAGGAGAAGTAGGATCAGTCAATGATGCGAATGTGGAATAGATGAACGAAATATATCCAAGACGGCTGTGCTACATGTATCCACCCAGTCTCTGCGCACTATTTCTATAGTATAGTTGACACAATGTCTGTACTTTTGGGTTTTAATGCATTTCATCCACAGCTTTCACTAGTACAATCACTCACTATCTTGTTGTTTTTATGCATCCAAAGCCCAAAGAAGGCTTCAGACGCATGCTGTCGACTTTATAATCGGAAAATGAAAGAAGGATGTTCAGTTTTTCTGTTTGACCATCTGAAATCGAGCATGTATTTAGAACTGCCTAAAGACGCCGTTATTCTGCTTTTACACATTAACAAAAGCTGTAGATCTCTGCCTTTCAAGTCTATTGATGTAAGAGAAGCATCAACTTTGCTGATAGAATATTGAGAAAATGTACACTTTTACTTTTGAGGTTTTTGGCTTTTAGCGCATCGTTCTTGGAGTATTATCTACAATTAAAGGTTACCATAAGGGACTATAGCTTATGACGCTTATTCCGAGTACTCAGCCATGCCAATAACTTCATTTCTTGCCATGTAAAGACGAAAAGAAACACAAAAGTGGAGAATGAAACTATCTTTCATGACCAAGGCCCTCTTTCACAAAGAGCGTTTTGACTATTTTGGACAGGTCGCTTTTTTTTTTTTTTTTTTTTTTTTTTTTTTTTTTTTTTTTTTTGTTCCAGATCGATTCCAAAAGTACCATATATGCTGGCAGACTTTGTATAGAGATATTTGGAGCCTTTAAAAGTGCATAAACAGACCTTAAGACGCTATCGTACGCCTAAAGAATAGCCTTTTATGTTCATCTCTGCAAAACACAATATGATTATATCTTGAATATGAACTTAAAGTCATTGCAAAAACTAGCTTCAATTTTATCTAGAAATAAGTACGCAATGTCTTGTTTCATTTTATGTCTCGTCTTAACATTATTTTATATCGCCTAAAGGAGTATAAATTGTGTCTCAATTGGAAGTTAAGACGTTGTAGTATACACATTTAATCATTGCTGCCACTTTTATTTCTAAGACGAAACCCCCCCCAAATTTGTAAGTGTGATGAACTAGTCATTATACTCTCACCCAAAGTGATTGCCTTTTAGAATGCACAAAATGATATCTTTTATTGCTAAAAGTCTATAAACATTCAATAAAGAGTGGCGGATCGCAAAACTTGCTCAGCCACCAAAAGCTGCCCTTGTTCATTCTTACGACTTTCAATTTGCGTATTTTGTCTTTTTTTGAGTGCATAATAGTTCTCCTAACAACGTTATGTCAGCACTCGGCCGTATTTCAAGAGCTAAGATTTTCACGCCCCCAAGAACTTGCTATGGCTACTTCGCAAGTGCCAGACTACATACAACACGTACTGTCTTGGCTAGTTCAAATGAGTCACCTCTTGACAAGATTGCTCAGGGATTCAACTCTTTCAAAACAACCGTATTGAGTTCTCCTCCTCTTCGTAACGTAACCAAGCCAACCGATATGCCATTTACTGGAGAAGCATCTAACTGGGACCAAGCACTCAGTGAGGCACAAAGCTTAGTGAAAACAACCGAGAATGAGCGCATAATTGACCCTGCCAAGCTAGTAGGCGATGATTTAAAAGAAATCAAATCCAATATTTCGAAATTGCTCGGTAGTAGACATTCCTTTTTGAATACAGTAGCTCGCCATTATTTCAGTGGAGAAGGAAAGCACGTTAGACCATTACTTGTACTTTTGATTGCCCAGGCAACCAGCATTGCAGACAAGAAATACTTGACAAGCAATGTAGACTACAAGTCAATTGATACACCTATTTCACATGGATTGGAAAACATTACAGCGAATGATGTTTTTGATAAAAAAATACATTATACACCATCTGTAAGCGATCAGGGATGTGTCATTTTACCAACACAAAGACGTTTGGCCGAGATTTCTGAAATGATACATACAGCCTCTTTATTGCATGACGACGTAATCGATGCTTCGATGACACGTAGAAACTTACCTTCCGCTAATGCTTCTTTTGGCAACAAAATGGCTGTCTTAGGTGGCGACTTTTTATTAGCCAGAGCATCTATTGCATTGGCACGTCTCAGAAATGCAGAATGTATAGAGTTGATGTCAACTTGTATAGCAAATTTAGTGGAAGGAGAATTTATGCAGTTAAAGAACACAAAAGATGAAGCTGATGGCAAAGTCAAAAAGTTAAGCACATTTGACCATTACATGGAAAAGACCTATATGAAGACTGGCAGTTTAATTGCTTTGAGTTGTAAAGCATCTGCTGTATTGGGTGGTTCCACCAAAGAAGTTGCAACAATTGCATATGATTTTGGAAGAAATTTAGGTCTAGCCTTCCAGGTAACACCAAAAGAAAAAACATTCAAAATATTCAACCCAACTCCCCCATTTATAAATAGCTTGTAGATGACATGCTTGATTTTACAGTAACTGCCGCAGAACTTGGTAAACCTGCTGGTGCAGATCTAAAGTTGGGATTGGCTACTGCGCCTGTCTTGTTTGCATGGGAAGAATATCCTGAATTAGAGGCACTTATTAAGCGTAAATTTTCTCATCAAGGTGACGAAGAGAAGGTAAAATTCTTCTGGGGGAAAGTGTTTTTTAATCTCCATAAAAATTGATAGGCTAGGGATCTTGTGTACCAAAGTGACGGATTGAAAAAGACGTTAAAATTAGCTGAATATCATTGCAAGTTGGCGATTGACACATTAAATCAACTACCAGCCTCGGATGCTCGATCAGCACTGATTCAGATAACAGAAAAATTGTTAACTAGACGCTCATAAAACCATATTCCTAATATGTACTGCTTTATTGAAACGTCATACATAATCCAACAAAAGGCATGAAAACGAGACAAAAAAAATTTTTTTTTTTGTGTATGTATAAAAAATGGCTTATTTTTTTTTCTTTTTTTCCTTTTCTTCTTTTTCATAAACTTTCTTATTGAAAGACCAACCGCAAAAGACCCTCATATTTGCACCTCTTTTAAACGTAAAAAACACCTCACTTAATTATTAATAACCTCGCTGTAATACTCCTTTATAAAGTATTTTCAGTTTTTGATTCTTTTCACAACCCCTTTTACTATTTTCTTCTATCGGACTGCAACTAAGACCAGTCCGTCCTTGCCCATCACGGCCGTAGAAACAAGACTCGTAGATAGCTTATTTGACCGACGAGGTTTCCCTCCTTGGCTTTCTTGAAGACCATCACTTTTGAACCCTTTGCTTAACTAAATAATCTCACCAGCTCAAAGAAACCTCTCTTCTTGCCTGCTCTCTCTCTCTCTCTCTCTCTCTCCCTCCACTTTATAAAAACAAGCCCATACACGAAAAAAAAAATGCCCTCTAACCTTGAAACTATTGTTATTAACCCTCCTCGCGACTTAGTCAACCTTTTCAAGTCCGTTCCTTCTCCTGACGTCAACGTTCATAACCAATCTGTAAGAGAAGTTATTCAGGCCAAGCTTGATTCTATCTCTAACCAGAAATGGGAAACCGATCAAGAAAATGCCTTCTTTGTTGGTGATTTGGGCGAAGTCTTTCGTCAACATTTGCGCTGGAAAGCTTTGCTTCCTCGAATTGAACCCTTTTTTGGTGAGTTTTTTTTTTTGTCATTTTTTTTTAGCTTTGTACTAAACCTTGTTTCTGAATAGCCGTCAAGAGTAACCCCGATCCTATGGTCGTAAAGCTATTGGCCTCTTTGGGTTGCGGTTTCGACTGTGCCTCCAAGCAAGAGATTCAACAAGTTCTGGACTATGGTGTTGACCCTAGTCGCATCATCTATGCCAATCCTTGCAAACAAGCCTCTTTTATTCGTTACGCTGCTCAACAAAGCGTCTGCCGTATGACATTCGATAATGCCGAAGAACTCTACAAGATCAAGAAGCTTTATCCTGATGCCGAGCTTGTACTGCGTATCTTGACTGATGATTCCATGTCTTTGTGTCAATTGGGTCTTAAATTTGGTGCTCCCTTGCATACTGTTCAAGACCTTTTGCAAACTGCCAGGGATTTGGACTTGAATATTGTTGGTGTTAGTTTCCATGTTGGTAGCGGCTGCCTTGATGAAAATGCTTTTGGTGATGCTGTCTTGCGTGCTAGAAAAGTATTCGATCAAGCTGAACAAATGGGTTACAAGCTCTCTCTCCTTGACGTAGGTGGTGGTTTCCCTGGTGCTGATGTGCAAGATGGTATCACCTTTGAAAAGGTTGCCGCTGTCTTAGGTCCCGTGGTTGATCGTTGCTTTGATCCTAGCATTCGCGTAATTGCTGAACCTGGTCGCTACTACGTTGCCTCTGCTTTTACCATCTGTACCAACATCATTGGTAGAAGAACTACTCTTCCTCCTCCCCCTGCTGCTTCTAACTATGAAGAGCAACTCGTTGAACAAAAGTACATGTACTACGTTAACGACGGTATGTACGGTTCTTTCAACTGTATCATCTTTGATCATCAAGTTGTTCGTCCCAAGGTGTTGATGAGAAACGAAGAATTCACGTATGGCCAAGAAGTTGAAGAGATTCACTATGATAGTAGTGTTTGGGGACCTACTTGCGACTCTATTGATTGTCTCAACAAGTCTACCCGCTTGCCTACACTTGAACCTGGGGATTGGCTTTACTTTGAAAACATGGGCGCTTACACTATTTGTGCTGCCTCTCAATTCAATGGGTTTAGAAAATCCGAAGTTATTTACACAAACACTTTTTGTTAAACTGTTTTTTTTTTTTTACTCAATAAACTGATTTACTTGATTAAATCTTATCAGATCTTTTTTTGTCATTGTTTATATGAAACTAGCGTTTGTTTGGTTAGATCGATTAGTTACACAACAGGAAAGTTTTATAAGAAAACCATCATTCAAAAGCTTAATAATTGTCTCACCCGGTATTTCACGCACGTATTACAAACTGATGGCGAAAAACAGATCAAATTTCCTTTTATTTGGATGAATATAGTTAAAGCATGGGACTAAATAAAGTTCAGGGATGCAATTAAGAATAATTTTTTTGTAACTCATTTGTTGTTTTTGTTCTTTTACCTTATCAGATCGTCTCGATTCTCGTTTGTAGTACTTGTACAAGTTGATCAAAAGAATGTTTTTTGTTTTGTTTTGTTTTTGAGCAACATAATATGGATATAGGGTAGTACTTTAAAGCGAAACATGATTCTGTTCTCCCTTAAACCAAAACATTATTCTAAAGATGTTGTTTTGTATGTTATACAAAATGGTGTTATACTCTTGAAGTTTAGTGTTTGTTCCTTGAGATGCATAGTAATTACTCCCCTGGAAAAACTGCATCTCAAAAATAATACGGGATTGATCCACAAAAGAAGAAGATGATTTTAGTTGTGATACTGAACTCAAATAGCCAAGGGCAACTAATACACACATCACCATCAGTTCTAATAACGGGTACACATGTATGAATTGCTCTTTATTTACGCTATCTTGATATGATGTTTTAAATTGTTCAAGGCTTTCAAGTATGAGTTGATGTTTATTGATAGGCTTTTGTTTGGCTTTGGAAGCAAAACATGATTAATGTCAATTTGAGAAAGGAAAACAACACGCTGTGAGAAAATGCAGGGCCACGGACTTCACTACCGATTCTGAAAAAAAAAAATGGAGATTGCAAAACCCTCGCATATGGTCTTCTGTCGATAAGAAAAAGCTCAGAAATTTGACAAGGGAAATATAGCCAGGAAATTAAGCATTTTTTCTTAAGACACACCAAAATGTTTTACGTTGTAAACTGCAAAATCCTGTGAGGAAAAGGAAGGAGGAGAGTCAGTTGTAAGATTAATTTGTATAGGCATTTCAAAAAAAGGATCGTTAAGTTGCTTCATAAGCTTCAAAGGAATATATTCAAAGAAAAATTGTTTACACTGGGTTCATTGAAGCATGCAATTCTTCATTATAACTATTTCTTTAGTGTTCGTACAAGATTCAATTGCTGTTTGTAAAACTTTAAGAAGAAACAATAGCCTTTATGTTTTTTTTTTATTTATTATTCACATCAATTAGGCAATATATGCATGCATATCAGAAATTGGTCGCATAGCCATTTTGATTCTTTCAAGGATGTCAGACACACGCTTTTGAAATGCTTCATTATCAGAATCAGCCGTCTAATTTTTAAATTAGTTTGGTTATTCATATCAAACAGACTTACAAAATGAATTGTATCAATTGTAGCTTGCTGTCCATCTACATCCACATGAATTTTCTTTTCTTTTTCGTTAAGTTCTACTTGTCCAAATTGAGCTTCTAAAAAGGAAGCAATGTCCAAGAATTCCTTGTCTAATTCCTCTGCCTTTTTCAATGCTTCGTCTTCTTCGTCTTGTTGTTCTGGTTTAGGAGAACCTGTATGGCTGTGAGAGCAAGAATGCGAACTAGCTACACCATAAAGTTAACAATTGCTGTAAAGACCGATTTTTTTTTTTTTTTTTTTTTTTTTTTGATTTTCTTACCTTTGACACTTGCAGGTGAGCTATCAATCGACAAAATAACAGCCAAAACTGAATCAGCCACCATATCATTCATAGCATTACCGACCCATTCTAATGTGACTTGATTGGGTCCGGTTGTCATTTTTTTGATATCAATTGTGTCAAACACACGTAAAACAGTGCCTTGTTGATTTCCTGCACCATCATCTTTAGCCAGTTCTCTTTCAGCAACATTGCCAAACATCATTTCAAGATGCCATTTGAGGAGTCCAATGCCTGCATTAAAAGGAACTACTTGACGTTGTGTAACTACCGTTGTAATCATACCACCTAATTCATTCAAATCTTCAGGACTCATAATATTCAGTTGAAAGTCTTTGACCACAAGTACGCCATTCAGAGGCTGGTTTTCAGTAGGGTACTTGGCTGCCAATCGACCAATAGTCTAAGAAGATTTATAAGTCTCATTTTAAGTCTGCATGTCTAGTTTACCTTGGCCATCTTTTCACCTCTAAAATGCAACTTGACAGTATCACAGTTCTTGGGTGTATAGATGGTGACATTTTCTTCTTTTTCAGAGTATTTGCTTTGAAGAGCAGACTTCAAACGATACATGGCATTAGCTTCACCGTGGACAAGAATCTACAGTATGATAAATATACACCAATTCCTTTATAGCGCTTACATACAACATGAGGTGCTTTTACATCATCAATGAATTTACTGTTTTGTGTGAAATCAACATGAGCTGAAAATGAGATATAATCCACAGACATTCTCAAGGGAATCTTGCGCCCATCCATAGCTTGGAAGTCAGAAGGTTCATTCATTGCTTGCTATCAAAGCATAAGCTAATATAACAAAAACAAAAAGGTAACTTACTCTCGCTAAAGTATTGTCTACACAATAACCAGTGATCACTAAACCATTCTTTTTGTCTGGTGCCCATCTTTCAAACAACTCTCTAGATAAACCATTCTGAAGCATACCAGGACTTGCCATCATAACACATGGACCAGAATCTTCAAATTGCTCCACATTTTTTAAGTTGCTGATATGCTTAAATACAAAGGGATTAGAAATAGCAAATTGTTTACGAATACGAGCATTCATCATGTTGATATATGTCTGATAAACAGCCATACAACGTTTAGCTAAACTAGAAGCATAGTAGATAGGAATACTGTCTAATTCAGGATGAGCTTCCCAATACTCGTCTAAAATCAACAACAGCTCTTGAGCACGACCCAAAGCAAACACAGGCATCAAACATCTTCCTCCTCTTCCTACAATATCATGCACAAGTGCTATATCATGTCAGCCCAACATTTATCTATCAGCTTACTTACATGTAAATCTGCTTTCTTTAGCTATTCGTGGTTCATGGCTTTGGACACCATATGTGCTTTCAGTAATCAAGACATCCACAGATCCTTCAGGCTTCTCTGCAGCCATCAAGTGACGGTCTTCTTCTCTTGAATAATCACCTGTATAAAGAATCTTGACACCAGCAATTTCAATCAAGAACATAGCAGCACCTAATACATGGCCTGCATTATATCCAGTAAATTTAATGCCCTCTACTTCCACTTGTTGATGATAATCAATAGCTTCAATGCGGTGAAATGAATTCAAAAGATCTTCTTCACTATAGAGTTGATCTTCATCACCAATATTGCTGTTTATCATTAGTTTTTTGGCTCCCTTAACAAGATACACACATACCTTACACGGACATAATCACTTAATAACCACTTGTAAATAGCTTTTGTAGGATGTGTCATAAAGACACGCCCTTTGAATGTTGTCTATCGCTTGTTTTAATGAGGTTTTTTTGGCGGTATATACTTACTTTTTCCATCACGTAAGGTACCGAAGCAGCATGATCCACATGGAAACTAAGAATAAATAAATAAATATAATGCAATCATTAAAAAGCAATTGCTATTTACTGAGTAACCAAAAGCAAATCAATGCTGGAAGGATCAATTTCATCATAGAAAGGTAAGGAAGCTAAACCACTGTAGGCAGGATGAATACCAGCATCAAGCTATTAAAAAGAAAAACATTACAAAGGGTTCAAAACATGCTTTATTTCAAATAAAATGATAACAAAAAAAAACTGTAATCTATGCTTGTCTTTAACCTACCAAAATAGTCTTGCCTTTGTATTCTAATAAAATGGAAGATCTCCCAACCTCATTACCAGCTCCAAGTGGTGTGATCTTGAGCAAGTCATTTTCGTCTGTGATGGGGATCTCCATTTCTGCTTTACGTTTAGTGCCTGCCATGTTATAATAATAAAAAAGAAAGAGAGGAAAAAGAAAACTTTTCTTTTTAATCGACGCCTAGTTTTAGCTGCGGTTTAATTTTGACGCGTTTGTTCTTCACTTATTGTTCATCATGACTAGTTTAATCACTCCAGAAACGCGCATAAAGTAAATTACTCGAGATCTGTACGAATGTAGCTTAAGTGTATATTAGGGTGAGCTCAGTATTGAATCGCGATATTGGTAATTATGGTAAACAAAACTTGATTGACGGTCAAGAAGAAACCTGTTGGAACTCAGAGCAGGTAACTCTATAACTCTAAAGAAAATACCACTTACAATCATTAGGGCCTTCCTCAAAATATCCTACTGGATTTTCCTAATCCCGTCTCTGTAAAAAGTGTTGTATTTCAATTCCAAGGTGGATTTGTGGGTAAGAAATGCGTCATTGTAGGCAGCAAAGCCAGCTCACCCAACGAATACAATGTTGATTTGGACATCATCTATCCTGAAGATATCAATTCAACTCAGACGTTTGATCTCCCAACTACCACTGAACCACTCAAACGAGTCAAGATTATTTTTGAAGAAAGTACAGATTTTTATGGCCGTATTACAGTCTACAAGCTGGATGTGCTAGGTTAAACTACACCCGCTGCTTTTCTGTTCTTAAAACCGTAGATCCCTATCCAGATAATAATCACCAACAACCCTATCACACAAGCACCTAAATAAAACTGAATAACCATACGCCTTCCCATTGTCAGTAAGCCACCTCGTTTCAGATTGAGTGGATTAAGGACCATTATGAGTATACAGATAAGGCCAATCACGATCGTATAGGCTAGACCAACATAGAGTCCTACAGGGAATTCAATAGCTACACCTGCTAACAATAAGCCATAGAAAATGATACCTATGCACCATACTGTCTGTGTTGTTTTGGGTAAAGGACCATGCAATTGATTGCGGAAAGCAAACAATTGAACCCAGGACATTACCATGGCACCAGCTGCATATAAATAATGAGCTATGTAATGCTCCCATAGATTCTCCATATTTAAATACATTTCTTGTAACACAGGATATTGAATAACAAGATCAGGATAAGCAGCATTGAAGTCTTCAATAGGATGCTATCATAAAAGGAAATGAGACTTGTATGTCATGTTAGCGTGCTTTACTTTGAAAAGAGCCGCTGCTGTGTGTACACCATGGAATTGACAATAAATAGCAGCCCCAAAAGACCATAGTAGCCATGTCACAGTAGCTTCGCTTATGTCACCCCCTTTCAAATTGTGAGCATAATTCCATTGCATGATAGAACTTACAGTAATCTGATCTACCACTTGTCATAATATTTGCTCTCGTAATGATAAATAAGTTTAAGGGCAGTGTAATTAATGGGTCAAAAAATCGCCACAATGCATCCCCTGTGAACCAAGGTGAGATATTGGGAAGATCAAACAAGACAGGTATTACTGTCATAATTAAAATAAAAAAGCTTGTGGCTAACAGCAGCCATGCCAGTCGGTTGTCTTCCATATGAACGTCTTTGTAAGTGCGTGGCAATGTAATGGGCAAATTGTCATTTGCCATCGGCTCGTCTTCATCGTCTGAATCACCAAAAGGTCTATTCGGTCGAGGTGTATAGATAGAAGGAAGCTCGTAGTCGCCGTGAGACATGAAAAAAAAAACGGTGAAAAATGCCAAGGCGTAAATTGAACACTGTTATTGTTCTATATTTACCTCAACACTGCATGTTACACTTAGATTTTGACATCCTGCAGTAGCTTAATCATTTCAAGTTGCTATCTTGATAGAATTTTACCAACACAGACAAAACGTAAGCTTGTTGAATAAGCGCGAAACTGATACTTTCAGAGAAAAATAGTCAACTCAGCCTGTACAATGACTTTAAGTTCATATTCAAGATATAATCATATTGTGTTTTGCAGAGATGAACATAAAAGGCTATTCTTTAGGCGTACGATAGCGTCTTAAGGTCTGTTTATGCACTTTTAAAGGCTCCAAATATCTCTATACAAAGTCTGCCAGCATATATGGTACTTTTGGAATCGATCTGGAACAAAAAAAAAAAAAAAAAAAAAAAAAAAAAAAAAAAAAAAAAAAAAAAGCGACCTGTCCAAAATAGTCAAAACGCTCTTTGTGAAAGAGGGCCTTGGTCATGAAAGATAGTTTCATTCTCCACTTTTGTGTTTCTTTTCGTCTTTACATGGCAAGAAATGAAGTTATTGGCATGGCTGAGTACTCGGAATAAGCGTCATAAGCTATAGTCCCTTATGGTAACCTTTAATTGTAGATAATACTCCAAGAACGATGCGCTAAAAGCCAAAAACCTCAAAAGTAAAAGTGTACATTTTCTCAATATTCTATCAGCAAAGTTGATGCTTCTCTTACATCAATAGACTTGAAAGGCAGAGATCTACAGCTTTTGTTAATGTGTAAAAGCAGAATAACGGCGTCTTTAGGCAGTTCTAAATACATGCTCGATTTCAGATGGTCAAACAGAAAAACTGAACATCCTTCTTTCATTTTCCGATTATAAAGTCGACAGCATGCGTCTGAAGCCTTCTTTGGGCTTTGGATGCATAAAAACAACAAGATAGTGAGTGATTGTACTAGTGAAAGCTGTGGATGAAATGCATTAAAACCCAAAAGTACAGACATTGTGTCAACTATACTATAGAAATAGTGCGCAGAGACTGGGTGGATACATGTAGCACAGCCGTCTTGGATATATTTCGTTCATCTATTCCACATTCGCATCATTGACTGATCCTACTTCTCCTTTTTTTTTTATGTTCTCTGGTACTCAAAGTAGTGTAATCAATTTGGAAAGATCAATCACTACCATGGTCTGTAAGACATCTAGGGCAAAAACGCTTAAAAATGCTCAAAACACAGCTTGAACGCACCATTCTTTAAAGTACCATTACTCGACAACCAGACTACCAAATGGCTTCTCTTTTTACTTGAAACATGTTCTTTGGAGTCTAGCAATCAAATGGTACCATTGGTTTGGCTGCCAGGTGAAATCCATTCTTTTGACCCATGGGAGGTTCAGGGAGGGTCAGGGTTCGTAAAGATGGAAAAAAAAACAAGAATTTTTCGGAATGACCCAATGTAGGTCTGATCCAACTGAAATCAGATAAGGCAATGTCTGAGTACTTCTAAGAAAAAGAAAGCGAGTTTACTAAGATAAAAAAAAAGGCCAGTTCATTTGAGCATTGCCTTTAAATCTATATTCAAAGTTCATTGTACACTGTAATTAGTACAAAAGAGATCCTTTTCAGTAGGTATTGACTAGCAAGCAGGTACTTCTCTATACATTATCTGATGTGCAGAGTATTTCTAGGTAAGGTCTACTATAACACTTGGCATTTCTGAGGCTAAAGAGAGCAGCTTTCAGCGTAACTAACGATAAATGACTTGTAGATGTAGGGTCTGGCATTTTAAACACCAATCTTTTCTTTTTATGCTTTAATTATGGTTTGTAAATGTTAATAAAGAGAAGACGCTGCACAAGTACAAGATCTAGTCAACGACAAGTACTGGATGTAAATTAAGAAAGACAGCATAGACGAAGAAATGTACCTACCTTTTCAACAGTTAAAAAAAGAAAGAAAAAAAAAGAGAAAAGTTGCTTGTTGTGTACTACATGATAGCAAGAAATCTAAAATTATGCATGCATAAATGAGCAGATTGAGTCTTCTGACAAGTATAAAGCTGCAGGTGTA